ATTGCTGGTGTATGTGGCTGTTTTGCCAGTTTTGTGAACCGCGTACGCGCCTAGAGAGCGTGGCTAGGGGGATGTTGTATGCCTTTGCAACAGCTCGTTGACTAGGAAAAACGCCAGCATTAAGATCACTAATAGCTGCTTGAAATGCAGCCTCACGGTTGGCCATTTTGGCAGGGTGGATGTGGAGATATCGCGATTGTTTGAAGGGTGGAGGATTTCTGCACGGTGTCTCATATCCCCGGGTGTCTCGGAACCCCATGCGCTAGCTTATATACAAGTATGATGTAACAATCCACTAGTCATTCTAAATACAGCCTTAAAAAACGCAGAGGGTAGCCTCCCGCAACGGCAGATCACGCGGTTTACGGTATGTCAATCTCATTACCTTGTTGTGCCTCTGAGGAACTACGTATAAAGATGGGCCAGCACTAACATCAATGTGTTTGTTGCCTTTCTGGAGCTTTTATTAACGCAGCAGTTGATCCGAGAACGATTTTTATATTGCATCCCTAAGGCAAGTGGTTCAAGAAACAACACAAGCAACGCGTCCAGCCCTGTCACGCCAAATTCTGACAGCTTAGCCCTAGCCAAGTCTAACCTCTCCCCTCATTCCTCGCACAAACTCCAGCGGGAACAATAGTCTCACATGTGTTCTTCAGAAACACATTCCCATTCCCTGTGGTTTTGAAAAAGATATCGACATCGTTGTCTCGCAACACATTCATTACGACAACATTTCCGGATGCGACACTGCCGCTCGGCACGTCATCGACCACAACAATCCCCGCCCCCTTCCCATCCAACTTTTGCCCCTCCACATAATTCTCTTTGACAAGGGTATTATGAGCACCATTCACCATGATGCCTGATGCTAACCCGAAGGTGCATGCTTGGTTGAGAGAAGTGATATGATTTCGAACGACCTTCGCGCCCATAATGCCTGGATCAACGAAAGCCCCAACGCAGCTATCATGCACCTTGTTGTCTTCAACCCTCGCGCCATTTGTCTGCACGCATAGTGCGATGATATACTTAGATATATCATTGCTTGCGACACGCGGATTTGCCTGGTCGTCCATACACATCCCAATGAAATTGAGCGGCGCCGCTTCCGAAGTGACGACGTTATTATCTGCAGCCGTGTTCTCCGACCCGACGGTCAAGAAGCCGTAATTGGCACCGTCGACAAGAATATTTTTGGTAGCACGGCAGTTCTTCCCACCTACGAAGGCGATGTTCTGTCCCGTGAACCCCTTGATCGTAAAACCCTTGATGAGGACATCTTTGATAGGGTGGCCAACTGAGAGCACCTTGCGGTGTTCTTGGCCTGGATAGGGTCCGAGTTGGATGTCGGACCCGGAGACACAAATACCGGCTTGAGTTGGGAGACCATTGACGTCGTTACCGGCGAGACCTGTGCAAGTGTTGGAGGTGCGCGTGTTGGGAGGAACGAGGACAGCGTTCGAGCCGATGAGAGAGATTCCGCTTGTGGTGATGGTGAGTTGTTCGTAGTATGTGCCAGGCTTCACAAAAATGGAGGAGCCGGAATTGGCTGCATTGATGGCGGCTTGGATGGATTGACCGGGTCCGACTTGTTTAATCTTGTCGTGACCATGTGGAGAAGCAACGACGAGACCATGTAGGGTCGCCAGTGTTATAGCTAAGACAAGCATGATTTCCATTGAACGAAGTCGCTTCCAGGAAAGCTTTCGAGACAACTGCGGCCGATGAGAAGGGAAGTGGCCTCACTTTATGTTTTCTTGGTTGGTAGGGAGTTCGGACCCCCGGAATTTTCTCTAATGGAAGTGGCATCATCTAGTTGCAGCCGCTCTCTATGGGATGGACGACCAGACCCACCTAAAGTTCAGCCATTCCATCCTTATGTGTTAGTGTGGAATACAATGTCACACGATACAACCTAATGTAGACTACGGTAGTTGCTGATTATGATCCTGCTACTTGCGCAGTTTCTCTATTCAGCTTGTTACAATCAAGTCAGTCTCTCATGCTTGGTTGTCACATACCCATCCCTTATATTATGGTATGTACCGCACAGCAGCACAATTGTGCGGCTTGCTTGGTCGTGAATACGAGACCAGTAGACAAACGACAAATCCGGATGCCCGGTTGATGACGAACATGCGCCGCACCCCTCGGAGCTTGTCCAGCCGTATCATGATTAGACGCCCCATCCGAGCTGAAAGCTGAAGGTTTGAGAAAGCGCCTTGGCATTCACTACTGTGATCGTTAACAGCACTAAGCCGATCCGGGCAAGCGAGGCTTCGTCCTTTACATGCAACTGTCAGTCCACGAGAGTCCACACGCACTGCAAAGCTGCATCACTCCAGAAATACAGATCGACTAGGGTCAATGCTCATCGATCACACCCCACAGTATCGGCGTACAATTTCATTGGGATCCCCACTCGCCAACCGACTTCGGTCTCATAGGCTTCTCTTTCTCTGTTTTTGCATCGTCGAGCTATGGCGAAGGAAGTGGCTCATTTTTTTAAACATGCAGCTGGGGCGCGCATCATCCCAAGGATGCGCGCTCAGCCCAATCCAGAGCAACACGCGGTTGCGTTGAAATCTATCCAGTCAGATCTAGGACTCGTGGAGGCCCGAACATGTGGGCCGTAGGACACCGCTTGACCGCACAATGATGTAGTGTACCTCTGACACATCTGCGGAGCATATTCACCTGCTGTATGAACGTACCGCTGCTTTGCCCTCAGGAACAGCTCTCAATCCAACAGCAGTGTTTACGACAGTATCCAAGCATACATTGATACACAAGGTGACAGTCTTATGTCACAGGCCATTAACCGTCTCTTGAATGCATATGTGGATAGAGTTGCGCTTGTAAGTGGATTTGAGACGGAGAGGAAGAAGAACAGGGACGAACATACCTGTATTCACCAGCAACATCTGGTATGTTTGGCACTTGTTGTTGGCTAAGTTGAAAAACTTTGCCGCCAACTTCGAAGCGTCCTGCGTTGTAACCACCAGCAGAGAACTTTTAGCCGGGCCAGTATATGGCCAGCAGATCCCTTGCATCCAGACATTATCCGCTCCGTACTTGGTGTCCAGAGCGTTTCCAACGGTTAGACAGCAGTTGTTCCTCATGAAGGTTGTTAGCTTATATCCAAGCTTTACATTCTAAAGATCCTTGATCAATGAATTGAAGATAGATAACAGACCATCTACGAATGTGTGCTAAATGCCCAGTCTCAGTGCGCGAGGGGCTAAGCTGTCAGGCTTTAATATCAGTCGCCGCTGGTGCATTAATAGGCAGTGCCGCAGCCAGTGAAGCGAGGAGAAATGGTGTGAGAAGTTTTCAAGCTACAGATCTAAGATGAAGAGACGTTGATGATGGCGAAGGATGAAAAAGCAGATGTTCGTCGCTGTCGCATCGAAGGTTGCTCTCAGTATTGGTTTTGCCCGATGCCTTGACATACCTACTCCATCCTAGTTGTCCGTCCATATCCCAGCCTCGGGCCTCGAAATCTAAACAGAGCTTTTACTGCCTTGAAGCCATCTTTCCCTAGTCCCATATTGTGCTGAGCCTTGTAGCTTTTTAAACGGAAGATTTAGAATCGTAAAAGCGGCAGCATTTATGTCGGTGCACCTAACTCTAAACACTGCAGCTATAAGGATGTTAGGACGGCTCGAGTGCTTCGTTCGAGTGTCAGTGGGAGGCTATAGATGATCGATCATAGGGGTTCGATCTATGCTTCGGTCCAAGATAGAATCCTCCTCCATCTAAAGGGCACCTAGGCAAGCATAGAGTAAAGCTTGCCGTACTAACCCTTAATCGAGCCATGCATGTCCTAAATATCGTTAATGCCAACTTAGCTTACTTGCCCTGAGCGCGTCTCTCTACAAAAATCAACCTGCGTTTATTTTCGCACCCAGACTGAAGCCTCGGGAGAACATCGTGAGTTTGTATGATATATATGAACCATTGACTTACGCCGCCGTTGTTACTAATAAAGAAAGGAGAGGAATCAACATATTGGACACTAGATCCCATATTCCAGAGACTTTGTCTCGGTACGCTGTGAAGGTTATTGGATGAGGTCTACTAGGACCACGGAATGAATCTAGGATAGTCACGTCAGCGTTAATGCTGTGTAATAATGCAATATGCACTGCACGATGTTCTTACTCTCATTATTTCTCTTCCTCTTGGACACGTCAAACATCATGTAGCCGCCCTGCCGGCTACCTTTGCAAAAGTCATACAGAAATCAAATTTGAAGTATCTATATAATTGCTGAAAATGAAGGTGTACTTCCATCTAATTGCAGGGGTCGATAAAACTTCGTAAGTATATTATAAGTTGCGCCGTCATTGTGTTGAGAACACCTCGGTACTGAGAAACCTATCGAAAGTGAAAATCTGGTCCGGCTCTTAGGATATCCAGTACAGTCTGCGCATCATATAGGTCTGAATATGGGGACTGAATAGTACATTCGGTAGAGAAGATCATGATTTACCTAGTCGTACGATCCAAGAGATCCACCTTCCGGCATATTATTGTATCGACGTTACTTCGAGTTTTGAGACTTATGAGACCCAGAACTAGCGGATGCTCATCAATGTTTGATCCAAACAGGCGATCGATCACGGACATAGCGACAATACCGAGGAGTTCAAGATAGCTAGTAGACCACATGGTGACCAGCCTGACTATAGCGAACTTGGAAGTTCAACTTGAAGATATGGAATGAAGAGATTTAGGGGCATACAGTATAGATACACTTTTGATATCGGGGTGAAGAAGTTAAGATTCCCAACACTCGGTCTCTTGCATTGGTCAATGCCAATTTAAAACAATCATTATGCTTTTCCAGAATTAACTACTCAAGGATTGTCTTAGATAGGTATTAGTGGAGGAGATCCAGTCAATCCCTCCCCTATGCTAGTTCGTAACTTCTCTTATATAACTTATACATAGTCTTGAATAGCTCCTCTTTCTCGCTGAAATCAAACGCAGGCTTAGGGAGACCATTATAGTACGCTTTAAGAGACCTGAACCAATGCTGTATAATTGAGGCGACTTACTTCTTCTACAATCATGATTTAAACAATGTGAATTAACGATGAACATCAGTCTGATGACTCGCCTGAATCTTAGATTATGTAACTTCGAGCACATTAGTAGTGCTTTTAATTCAGTCGTTTGGGGGTTTTTCTCGCCAGGAAAATCTCATCATTTGTAGTTAGATCATTATATGGGAAGGTGTGCTCAAGGTTTTGGAATACTGACGCATGCAAAAGGCGTCCCAGTTAGTATTACCGAGAATGCCCCATGCATAGAGAGCTGTTTTCGCTCGTTATCTACTTTCTCTTTTCGGGACAGAGGAGTAGCTATACCACTTTTACAAACGAGGTCAGTCAAGCACTTCCAAGAGAATTCAAACGACTCGTGTGGAGGACACTGCGATAGAGTTATGTAAACATGTAATTGTATTATGGGCTAGAACCACTGCTTATCCTTCAATATCTTTAGCGAGAGTCTCAAAATGTGTCAACCCGGGCGACGACACATTATAGCGTCACAAATGTGACATCTCAGAGTCCGTTGGGGCCTTAGAACGTAATGTCTTTATCTATAAATTAGGTTTTATTGCGGCGTGCGCCCTCGTGCATTTTTTTTATAAGTGGTCTAATAATATTAGCTAGAAGGTATATACATGGCTCTGTCTACTATACGACTTAGATCTCAGCCATCGATATTCAGGATTGTGACGATTTTAGGACCGTAGGTATCGTGCAATAGAAAATATTAAAGGTTCACTAAGGTTGTATTACTATGATTCTAACTGAACTATATAGGTATAGTGAGGCGATCGTTAGGGGAGTTGGCTTATTCAGAGTTTCCTGATTCAGTAGCTGAATTATAACGATTGTCGCGATCCTCAGGAGTCCATGAGGACTCGGTCCGAATACGATTGATAGTAACGTAGATTGAACTGCGACAGATACGTTTCTGTTCTAAATATATTATTTAGTTATCTTACCTATCTTAATCCTCTACCATACGCGTATTACTACGTAATGGGTTCCTAGACTCTTAGAGGAAAGAGATAGATGCTATAACAATTCACTATTGGCCTCAATCTCTTAATATACCATTTCCTGCCAAAACCCTATCGTGCTTCTTTGCGATCATAACACCCAGCCTATCATACGAAGAAATCTCGCATTATGACCGGACCAAGCCTTATAAATCCATTATCATATGACACTCCTAATCGTGTTCATGCCATAGGCTCCTGACTGGTCGGCTTTAAGTCTGTCCGCCATCCACAGGGCATCGTTGTGAATCCCTCGAGGAACATGACGACAGCCGCTCGGTGATTCGCCAAAATTGCTGCCAAGAATGCCCGTGACGCCAGGTGGCGTCGCCGGAAACAAGCAGTCGTAAGACTTTTCTTACGAGTCTTGTCACATTAGACCAATGTTTATTCGAACGACCTTGCATACGGACTTCGGTTGTGAAGCTTGAGAGCCCACTAAAGCCTAAGTCCGTCGCCTAAGTCCACCGTATCGATCTCATGCCGATTCACCCTTTTATCGCGTTTGGCAGCGGGAACTCGATGTGTGGCAAATGTCAGCCTGTAGCCTCACGTCAGACAAGTTAATTTACACGATGCACGACGTGCATCCGTACACTTATCAGAGCCCAAGAACCTAGACTCTTATGGGTCACGTGTAATTGCCATATTGCCTTGCAGCGAATCCCGTACGACCTTGCGCACTCGTACGAGCTCATAGTATGCTCGCTGCTAGTCAGTGGGCGCCCGAGGATTCCTTTCACTTTGCACCCGGGACTATTCAAACCATAGTGATTGGTAAGAATACTAATTGGGCATCGGATGCCTAAAAATGCGTCAAACCTTGACCTGGTTGCAGCGGCCCGCACCGCTGAATGGCCCGCTGCCCTTCCTGAAGGAGGCGCACCATGCATGGCGTTCCCGTCACTCAAATCTGTAGGGACCGCAGTACATGACGCATTCATTTTCCCATGGAGGATACCTGCGATGGACAGCGCATTGGGATGGGTCGCCGGATCGGACTCCGTAAATCGCCTGCAATCTTCTATTCACCCCTCCTGGTCTGGCCACACAGCCAACGGTGAAGGAATGTCGACCAGGTCCGTATTCATCAAAGACTCTGCTTATCGGAGTCAGAAGCGCCAAAAAAAGGAAAAGAAAACGTGTCAATATAGGAACGTCAGACCTCGCACTGGGCCGGAATCCGTCAAGGAGAAGTAGGATACTAGCTGTCATAGACCCGAATGGCACGAGTCAGAAGAAAGTGGACATTGGAAGAGGATGCGCTTTTGCGGCGCATAGTTACAGCTGGTGAGTTTGCTAAACTTGTCCTATCCCTTCTTACTATCGCCCTACCCCTAGAACATTTGCGGCCCCTTTTATGCCCCCACACCACCATAAATGCTCAATTCAGACTAAGAAAAGCCTCACAAATCAGCGTTGGATGAAAACCGACCCTTGTTATGGCGAGAATTAGCAAAAGAGATACCTGGACGGTCTAACAAGGACTGTCGCCGCCGTTGGTGGAATAGCTTGGCCGAAGGTAAATCAAAAGGTGTGTGGTCGGAGGAGGAAGATGAGCAGCTGATGCAAGCGGTAAAGAAATATGGAACAGATTGGAGAAGAGTCGCCCAGGAAGTTATATCGAGAACACCCGATCAGTGCTCGAGCCATTGGAGCCAGGTACTCGATCCAGAGATAAATCACTGCGACTATACAAGTCAGGAGGTATTCAATCCTCACGGTAAGCTGAATACGGAGTAGATATCTGACACTGCACAGGACGAGTTACTCCTGCATGAAGTACTGAGCCACGGTACCAACTGGAGCGCTATCTCTACGTCCCACGTACCCCGAAGAACCACGCTATCGTTGAAAAACCGCTACACGACCCTCCGTCTGAGACATGAGAATAAGAACAAAGGCGATGGGTTGGAGGATGCGTCTGCGACCCAGTCTCTCAGCCTGGGTCAGAGTGGGAAGTCAGTATCGCGGTTCCCCACAGCTCAGCTCGGGGCAAGCAAAAGAGCCAGATTCGACACCATAGTCTATCGCAGGGGCAGTGATCAGACTATGGGCGACGGAGAAAATTTCAATCTCGACGAAGAAAGCGATGACGAAGACGACTACGATGAGGATGGTATCAATCTATCTCCGAACCAAGAATCTGCTCAATCGACCAACACAATACTTTCTTCGACTGACATGATGCCTTCCCCAACTGGAGGGGCCTGGTTTAGTCCCGATGGGCACGATGACGAGCTCATGGCACTTTTCTCGAGCCACGATGCGTTCCCAACCATACCACCGGCGGCCAATTTTGCCCAAGAACCTTTGGCTTCTAACTTAGGCACACTCGAGCATTCGCTGTTATCAGTGAAGCGCCCTCTACATCCGGAAACAGGGCAATTGTCATTCATTAACAACACCACAAGAGCTGAGGCCAATGGCCTTGGCCAGATTCAGGGTGCGTTGATTTCTGAAACCTTTTCGGATCCGGTATATGGTGGCTGAACTTTTACAGGTAATAGCGCAGGCGATCCCGCGATCCCGCTGTCCCCGGGTGGTGGCGGTTTTTTCACAGGAGCCAAACTAGGATCAGCTCCGTTACCTAATGATATGGTGACGTCAGGCGCTGATGCGCTACGCCGCGATTCGGCGTCGTATCGTATTTCATTAAGTATGAACTGCACAGATGCCCAGCTAGAGAGGGTTATGGCAGCTTTGGTAAGAACTGGAGCTTACGTGAACGTGCATATCGAGCAAAGTCCTCGTCCTGCTTCCATATGAATCGAGCCACCTTCTATGACTTACTTATGATTTCGATGTATTTGGAGCGTGTGCCTTTCAGCGAATTGCGTCTTGGTATTCCTCTAAAGCAGGCCTGAGCCACTGAACACAAGAGGATCAATACACTTCTTCAGGACCTAAATTTTCTGCCCTCTATAATCGGCCAGGTTCGACGGGAAGATTCGTGTCATGTTCTGGTCGCTTGCGTGTGTGATGATACTGAAGTCCGGAAGTTCACTGAATGCGGGAAAGTCTGGTCAGAATGGCGCTTGAAGCTACACGAGGCGGCGGACTTCAGAGACATTTTCCCACGCCACGCGGCCTCAGCCCTCGGGAAAAAATTCCCCACGTGGCGTCTCATATCTCGGTATCATGAGTACCTCCCTAATGAGGCTTACGACGTTTCGTTAAGCAGCCACCTTAAATCCAATAGATCAAAATTCAACCGACAGCGAATTAGAGTCATGAGGCCTCTGAAACACGAGGGAGGCGTCCTGAAGGATTGCTCATTCCTTAGTGCATCACCACGATGAGGTGAGAGGGCTGAAGGAAAAGCAAAAGGGGGTGGAAGGAAGAAGGCATGAATTTTCTGTGTAGACTTAGTATAAAAGTCGAAGTCGACTCCACTAAATGGAATCACTATCTTCTCTTCGAAGACATCAACTTCCATCATGGCTCGCTCGTCACTTCCTTCCTACCTCGTAGTGGCAAGCACAGTCCTTCCTTTCCTTAGTCTGCCTACTTCAGCCGGTCCTGTCATTACTCGATCGCTTGGACAACGCACATTTGACTATGTGATCGTTGGCAGTGGCCCTGGCGGATCAGTAGTTGCGAACCGTCTCACTGAGATTCCTGGCGTGTCTGTGGCAATCATTGAGGCCGGCACCTGGGCTGAAGAAACGTCCGGCAACCTTACCTTTGTTCCGGGTTATGATGGAAGCTTCCTGTTAAAAAGTGTCAGTCAGGAGCCTTCGCCGGTTGATTGGGGTTTCATCACCACTCCGCAGTCTGTAGGTCACTTTCTAGGCCTAGGGACGACTTACCCTTGCTAATCTAGATAGGGCGTGAACAATCAGACCATCCGCTATCCTAGGGGCAAAGTTGTATGCAGATCCATATTGACATAAGACAGTGCTGTACTGAACTAAATAGATTGGAGGTAGCTCACGACTTAACGCTATGGCGTGGGGAGAATCTTCTGTCGGAACGTTCCAAAAGTGGGCCGACGAAGTGGGCGACGCTTCATTTACCTATGACAACATCCGACAGTACTACAAGAAACCTGTTCACTTTTCGCCGCCCCGTGAAGGAACTCGGTTTGCGAACGCGACACCCACTTTCAATGCCGAAGATGTGGGCTCCAGTGGAACACTTCAAGTGACGTACCCACCTTACGCTTACAGCTGGACTACGTGGCTCGCCAAGATGCTTGATTCTGCAGGCATGAAGGCTACAGCAAGCTTTTCGAATGGCAATCTCAATGGATCTGCATGGCACATGTCCGCAGTTGATCAAGCCACGGGAACTCGATCCTGCGCGGATGTGGCTTATTTGCGACCGATACTTGATAAAAGTACCCTGACGGTCTTCGACAATACATTGGCAGAGCAAATTATCTTTGACAATAAGAAGACTGCCACGGGCGTCAGGGTGAGCTCGAGTAAGGGGGCTTTCACTGTTATGGCGACGAAGGAAGTCATCGTCGCTGGTGGTGTGTTCATGTCGCCTCAACTACTACAGGTGTCTGGAGTCGGGCCAAAGAAGCTTCTGCAGAAGTACAATATTCCCGTTGTGGCCGATCGTCCCGGAGTGGGACAGAACATGCAAGATCAAATATTCGCCGACGTTGTCTATAAGGTCGACCTACCCACAAGCTCGACTTTAGGCATTACTGAGGTTGATATCCAAGCCTGGAAAACGAATGGTACCGGTCCCTTGAGCAATCCGGGAGGTGAGTTCGGTGGGTTTGAGAAAATCCCCCAAGATCTGCGCGTTGGCTTCTCCAAGGCCACGTCGAAAAGTAAGTATCCCCTTATAGATATCCTGACTTTCTCGACCACATCGCTGAACCAAGATTGCAGCCTTACAATCATTTCCCGCGGACTGGCCCGAAATTCAGTATCTTTCGCTTCCCACATTCCTCGGTGATCTCGGGACCACACCCCGTCCCACCGACGGAGGCAACTATGCCAGTCTCATGGGCACACTCATGACACCAACCTCACGCGGCACCGTCACCATCTCATCTTCCAGTATGCATGATGCCCCAATCATCGATCCCAAATGGATGACGACCAAGGAAGACCTGGAGGTCATGACGGCTATTTTCAAGCGCATGCGGCAGATATGGACTACTCCCGCGATCAAGAAGATCACCATTGGAGATGAGGCATGGCCAGGACCCAGCATCAAAACAGATGAAGACATTGTTGCGTTCCTGAAACAGACAGCTACGCCAATGTCTCACGCGACTTCGACGAACAAGATGGGTAAGAAGAATGATCCTCTGGCAGTGGTGGACAGTCATTGTAAGGTGCTCGGCGTCAAAAGCCTGCGTGTGATCGATGGGTCAGCTCTCCCGTTCCTGCCCCCAGGTGAAGCGCCTCAATCTGCAATCTGTAAGTACAAGCAATCTTCACAACCTTACACTGCTGACTTGTGTAGACATGCTAGCCGAGAAAATCGCTGAAGGTATGAAGCATGGAAACTAGGGAATCGGTGTAAGGCTTGTTTTGATACTGTCTGATGTGGTGTCCTGAACTGGGGTGGTCGTGTACATTTTCTCCTCCGGAGCGTGATGATCAGTTCAAGGATTAGACGACCTGGAACAAGATTGTTTTGTTACTTCTGAATTGACTTGATTTACTCACACTTTTGTGTAATTAATGTGCAGTATTATGTCTTCCTATTATCCAATGCACTTTAAGAGTGTAGCGTTACTGCCCCAATGAAAACTTACGAAAGAATTTAGATTTACTTGCTGGTTGACGGGATCCTGGAGATGCAGATGAGGTACTGAACCTTACTTTCTGGTATCCTAGTAATCAGATAAAAAATGCAACGGAAGGCTATTCGCGTCAGTGACGGATGACGTACGATTTGAGCCACCGATCCGACGTGAATACAGCTGTGCGTCAGTGCAAAATAATCAAGGTCGCGATGCATAACTTTCCATATACGCAGCTCGATTGATTCGTAATACGAACTTTCTAGCAGAAAATTCTAATAAGCTCCCGGAGAGACTCGCACGATTGGTACTTAAGGTCCAACACTATAGAGTTTCAATACCACCCGCCTTTCGTATCTGCGTATTGAAGTTCCGCTGAAAAAAAAACCATGAATTTTCCGTTTCAAACTTCTCTCGATCGACAAGTCGGATCTAGGATTGGGCTTAGCTACTTTCGGCACATCGAAGGGTGTGATATACTGTAGCAAAGAAAGCAAAGTAGAAGGTAGTGGTGGGCAACATACATTATACGTCAGCACAAGAAAAGGGATTAGCTTCTTGATCTCCAAGAACGCTACGTGGCGGCCTAGGCATATGCGTCGGCCGGCCCCAAACTATAGTCGCCGTTAGCTTAGTATGTCGCCTGTATGCCTTCCACCCTGATCGCACACCGTTCCCGAGGTATGGGAAGATATAGTGGCGGGGAACGTACCGTGAGCATACTATTCTCCATGTCCCGCCTCAAAGCTGCATCCACTCCCAACCAACGCTCCGGTCGCCAAAACTCTGCGTCCTCTCCATACAACCCCACATCCCGGTTCACGACATAGGGACTACCGCCAACAACGGACCCACCAGGCAGCCACGTACCGAGCACACTTAGTCCCTCAGGAGGTACCACGCGCTCGAGGGGCAGCGCGAAGGGCGGGTGGACTCGGATTGCTTCTTGTACACAGGCGTCGAGGTACGGCAGGTCACGGACTTCGGCGTAACGCGGATATGGTCGCGAAAGCCCAGCAGCACTTAGTTCTGATTGCAGTTTAGAAAGGGTGTGCGGGTAGGACAAGAGATTGAAGAGGAGTGTGCGCATGGTCGTGCCTACGCTGTCGGAACCGGCGATGACGTTGGAGAAGGTCCAGGCCGTGGGGGCCCATTGGGGTATGGAAGGCTTGCTGCGCTGAAGGGCGAGGTACCGTGTGAGGTAGTCGGTATGCATGGCTTCAGCTTTGGACTCGTTGCCGCTTTCAAGGGCTTCTCTCTTCTCCTTAATTGCGCGGGCTACGAATGCGAGAATGGTGAGAGACGGGGTGGCACCGATGTGCCTCCGAATAGTATCTGCGATTATATTCTTTCGAAGGAACTTGTCGAGTAGGTAGGACTGCGTCATCTTCGTGTGCTCAGCATGCGAAATTTGTAAGAGAAGCAAGGAATGGGAATTGCGTACTGGCGCTGCGGCCCTCATGAAGTCTACTATCGTTCCCAGCATGCCGCCCACGTCCCTTCCCTCGTCCAGGAACCCGTATCTTTTACTAAAGGTAATGGAGCCCATGACGTCGAACGCGAAGAACTGCAGCCACTGCCCCATGTCGAACACTTGCTCCTTGTCCGCGAACCTTTCGTCGAACCTCGTGTGGATGCATTCTAAAACTGTATCAACCAGCGGCTCCAAAGTTGCAGCACTTGAGACGCTAAAAAGCGGCGCAATGGGTGGTTTTATTTGTTTGAGTAAATCTTCTTCGGTCGTGTTGAAGACGGCATGGAGCGCTTGTCCCGAAGTGTAGGGACGCAAAGTTACGTAGAAGTTGCTCTACGCGACACGATACCACGTCAGCATACTGCGAAAGCTCCACACGGTATATGTGATATAATACTCACTTTCGGGATTCCCGCCCGCATGGGGTACACAGTGGGAACGGCAGCGGGGTCGCTGAAGGACACTGTATTGGGCCCAATGCGCACTACCTTGCCGTATCTCTTGTGGCATTGTTGCAACTTCAGATGTGCTTGCTTAGACCAGACCCAGTTGATGCGGTACAAGTCGGTGAGGCTAGCCAAGAAAGGACCGGGAATGTGGCGTAGGCGCCACCACGTGCGACCTGATTGGAGGGCGAGGAGGACAAGGATCAGGGCAACTGCCCAGACCACTGCCTCCTTGACGGTGCCCGGCTCGCTGAGAAGTGTTTTCGGTTTCATGCTGCGCAACGAGATTTTGTCGCGACGACGTGCTCTGCAAACGCAGTATCTCAATGCACACTACAGAGCCGCGATAGCGGTGTTCTAGCCTTGGTTACACACGGCCTCACTTGGCCCTTCCGCGCTGAACCCCGAGTAAATTTTGATATACTCGGGGCTGCCTGTGAGAACGCGAACAAACGACCAACCCCAGACAGGGCGCAGCTTACCACTCGGAAAGGTTTGAAATGCAGCTAACCTGAATTAAAAACTGCCAACCCCAGGTTAAGTAGCATTGTGTTGACGATGTTCGTTGAAAAACGTATACTAAGTTGAGTGGTTCGGTGTGATTCGGAAGCTAGGAGTAATCCTCCCCAAGCTCCAACTGTTTCCAGCCATGTCCGTTGCTGTGGAGTCGTCGACGTTCCAGTCTCTAAAACCGAATGGCCCATTTGCGGAATCGACATCGCTATACTGGTGGGAAACCAGCGGTCGCGACCTCGCTCGCATGCTTCAAGAAGCCAACTATCCGGCAGATGCACAGCGCCAGTTTCTCGTCTTTTTCAGAGACACTATATGTCCAGCATTGGGAGCCCGGCCAGAGCGAAACTCGCTCCGTAGTGGCGTTGGCTGGGATGGTAATCCTTTCGAATACAGCTTCGAGTTGAAGAACAGCAGTGCAGAGGTCGCGGTTCGGTTTGTGGTCGATGTCAGTGCATTACGACCTGCCGATGAAGCCCATCCGCTCAGCATCAAGAACTTTGAGACTGTGCTCAACAAGCTCTCAAACGCAACCCCTGGGTTTGATGACACTTGGTATAAGTCATTGGAGAGATGGTTCGTACACTCGAAAAGCTCCAGCGAGGAGCAAAAGAATTTGGTTTCCCATGTAGGGTATCGGATGCCCATGATTCTCGGGTTCGATATTAATCGCCGCCTCCCTACATCCGATTCTATCCCGGTAATGGCCAAAGTATATTTTCCTCCCTGTTTCACTGCCGCAGCGGAAGGAATCACGCGCTGGGCGGCTGTTCGTCGCGGGGTGCATCAACTCCCGAACATTGAGTCGCACCCCAATATACTTCGCTCCCTGGCTTTGATTCAGGAGTACCTGGACACGAAGCCGAAAGAGTACGAGAACGGCCCGCGGTACCTAGCCACCGACTTCGTAATGATGGACAAGGCGAGATTAAAGATTTACTTCCGACACCCTGCAACCGATTTCGAGGACATCTGGGACTACTATACCCTAGGTGGGCGGATCCCAGGATTGGACGAGGACAAGGAAAAATTTCGAGAATTGATGTCGTTCACTTCGTACCACCCCGATCCCGCGGCGATTCAGAATGGCGATAAGCCGCATTACACGGCAGTGCAGCGAAAGATGACAGCGATCTATTTTTCTCTATCTACAGACAACCCGACTCCTGCGCCCAAGATTTGCTTCTATCCAGCGAACTTTGCACAGAACGACGAGGTCATTGGAGATGGGGTGGACTCCTGGTTGCAAAAGTATGGGTGGAACACAGGAGGCAAGCCAATCAAGCAAAGGGTCTCGAGCGTGTTGTATGTTTTCCCTGTTCTCGACTCGTTTGAATCTTAACTGACAGAAACAATAGCACTCATCGCAATCTCTCAGACGACACAGGCATCTTTACTTTCCTTGGGATAGGTAGAAAGGAAGATCCTAGCAAAAAGGATCTGAGCATGCAGTGTTATGTGACAGGGGAGCTGTATCGTAATCCACGCATGTAGATGGCACCATATTCCAGATTCGAAGATGCCGTCTGCCAACCCCAAGTATTTATTGCAAAGGGACCGAGTGTACAGTCGTAGGAAACAGGGTTGAGTACTGGAGTACCTCTCCTAGAACTGCTTGGTTTACTCACTTTGTCAGATTACTGTTGAAATGTATTCGTCATCTAGCGAGCTCGCATAAAGTCATGGCGTAGAAGCCAATTCATCTTCGTGAACTTCGAAAAATTGTTCAAAGATGTCCAGACCCGTCTCTTCTGCGCGTGCTGTGACTGCGCCCCCGGTAGGAATACCCCCATCTCCAAACACTGTAGATGTCCGAGTCATCGACACCCAGACTCTCCTGCACTTAAACCCTAGTCTCTTTTGGCAGCCCTCCCTGGGAGGTTTCGATGGCCTCGACGCACCAGTCTACTGCTTCCTCATTACGCACGGCAACGAACACGTTATCTTTGATCTGGGCGTTCGGACCGACTGGGAAAACTATCCGCCCAAGATTGTGTCCCTCATCAAAGCAACGACGCGGGTAGAGCCCGGCCAAGACGTCGCAAGCGTAATCAACGGCAGCCACATCACCAGAAGCAGCGAAGTCAGTGCCGTGATCTTATCACACAATCACTTCGACCACATTGGCGACATTGGAACGATTCCTAATGCGGAGATAATTGTGGGTCCCGGCGTGCGTAATACGTTATTCCCTGGCTGGCCACAAGATCCGGACGGCCCTTTGAAGTCGGAAGATTTGCACGGGCGAGTGATCCGCGAGATTGCGTTCGATGAAGACCTCAAAATCGGGAGATTTGACGCGGTGGACTTGTTCCAGGACGGATCGTTTTTCCTGCTGGATGCGCCAGGACATGCCATAGGTCACATGTGTGCGCTCGCTCGCACGACGCCAGATTCCTTTATCTTCATGGGCGCCGATGCGTGTCATCATCCGGGGGTCCTGCGGCCTACCAAGTACTTGACGCTTCCCAAGCCGACCCATGAGTCGTTGCTGGGGCAATGTCCTGGAGATGTTCTGGAACGGATCAGAGGGTCGGAATTGAGTCCATGCTCTCCGTTTTTCACCGTTGCCAACGGGCCGTTATTTCCTGATCGAGAAGCTGCCGTGTCGACGGTAGAAAAAATACATGAACTCGACGCTTGCGAGGATGTTTTCGTCATTCTAGGTCATGACAATTCTCTAAGAGACCGGATTCCAATGTTCCCAGAAAAAATCAATGACTGGAAGAGCACAGATGTCCGTCCTGAGACAAGGTGGCTATTCTGTGAAGACTTCAAAAACGTCCGATTCTTGTGATGGTCTATCTACTCGGGAGGGAATAGGATTGTATCTATGATACGTGCGACAATAAGAACTTATATCCTTCTCGAATAATCTCTTGCAGTCTTTCCTGTTTCTGATACTCACGGTACATATCGAAGAGATGGGGAACACCATCTACAAGGCGTAAATGACTTTCAACACCATGCTGCCTGAGGGCTTCTTCCATTCGCTCCGCCTGGGCCCATGGTATGAGGTCATCTTCTGTTGGATGTACGACGAAGGTGGGAGTATGGAAGGTTCCATTACGAACTTGAGCCAATGGGCTTACCGCTTGGATCTCTGCCTCTGTTGGCGTCACCGGCGCCTCTCGGGAATAAGGATCAAGGCCATTGAGCAGGACATGCAACGTGCGTCCGTGGTAGTTCATGTACAAAGCCAGTCGACTGCGCGGGTCGCTTGGCGTCATCCAGCCGCCCAGTGCTCGCTTCGAGGGTGAGACATTCCATCGCGTCATTGGTTGCTCGCGCACTGCATCCCAAATAGTCTCATCCAGCTCATACGTAGTGGAGGCCTCGGAACCAAGAGGTATATTTGGCTGCATCCAGAATGGATCTTCGTAGTCCAGTGGGGAGTAGAAAACGAGTATGGCCTCTGGAGGGGCTATTCTTCTTTCCATACTGGTCCATCCGAGCGATAGCGCTAATGTCCCACCTGTCGACCAGCCGACAGCGACGACCTGACTACCGTCCACCCTGACATCGTTTCGGCTAAGGGTGATACTAGGGAGGACCGTTCTTGCCCATTGCAGCGCGTCTGCAACATCTGACATAGGCCCCTCAAGCAAGGCTACTTCCGGACAAAGTCGGTAGTCAATACTGATTGGAAGAAATCCATGTTGTAACAATAGTTCAGTTTGATTCGGACGTATGTCATCTCTAGAGAGCATGACGTGACCACCTCCATGAATCATCAATGCTGATACCCAGTCAAAAGAGCCTACTACGTGTTCTCGTCTCGTGCTCACCAATAGGGAGAGGTTTCTCGGAGTTCGCCACCTTAGCCGGGAAGTATATATCTGCCTCAAGGTCTAAGCCGTCTATCCTTTTGAACGTGACTGTTTCCTTCTGGACTAGTGAAGTGGGCGGTGCTGACGGGGACGCTGTGATGAGGCGCAGAAGATTGGACTCCTCCGAAGGGCCATCGCTCCAGTCAACCCATTGGAACCCTGCATCGCTCAGACTTCGTTTCCACCGATTTTCATCAGCCAGAACGTGGGTTCTTCCATCATTGAAAAGCCACCATCCGCTCAACAACCCAAAGACGAGGTCAAACCAGAACAGGTTGCGCGTTAATTCTATAAGACACAGAATTCCATCTGGTCGGAGCATTCTTTGAATATGCGTGGTAGACCTAGTGAGGTCATGAGTCGCGTGGATACAGTTTGTCGAGATGATGATGTCGTATTGACCTAAATGCTCCGGGTCAGGCAACTTCTCAATGTCGAGAACAGAATAGCGCATAAAACTCCACTGAGAGAACTTCTTGCGAGCCGAAGCAACCAGTGACGAAGATAAGTCCGTGAAAGTATAGGTCAGCTCTGAACCTGAGGTCAGATTGGCGAGGGTGGCTACTATCTCTTTTGTTGTACCTCCAGTTCCACCGCCAAGCTCGAGGATCTTGAGTTTGCGGCCCGCTCCTGATCGGGCAACCACGGAAGAGAGATATTGTGCCAACAAGAGAGTGCCTGCTTTGAACATAGGCGCATTTGTGTAGACATCCTCGAGCAGTGCACGAGCGGATGCATCCCGGAAAATTAGAGAAATGGGATCTACAGACCCGGATAAACAATCCGCGAGTTGATGACCAGTAGTATGGAGCAATTTCATCTCAGAAGTGTGCTGGGGATATTTCTTCAGAAGTTCACTAAGCAAGCTTGACGTCGCAACAGACGGTACCGGAATTTCTGTGCGCTGGAGTGATCCGTCTTTGCTTCGAGCCACCAGCCCTGCATCCTCGAGAATCATGTACAGCTGGGGTATCAAGTTTTGATGCGCTTCAACGTGTGGGATGATGGGTATGTTTTCTCCCACCGGAAGGTTTTCGATTCCGCATCCTAAGGCTTCAAAAGCATCCACTACATATCGAAGAACGAGCTGGGATTGACTGACGAAGGGTCCGGCATAGAACCCCGAGAAGCCTGTTCGTTCGGCGTAAGTGTCGTAAGAACTTTTGAATTGAGAGAAACACTCCTGAGCCAAGGAGCCGAAGTTTCGTGTACTTTTGGAAACTGCCGCATCCTCGACTCTCACCACTTCGGTGACGGCAGGACTACCCGAGGATGCAGAAGAAGGCGTGACGTGCGGTCGTGTCTGGCCTTCGATGACATCGGAAAGGGAGAGAACATCCTCGCAGCCCATAATCTGCTCCTGGGTAACACGGATGTTCAGACGCTGTTGGATCTCCCAAAGAACCTCAGTGACTAGTAGAGAATCGATGCCAAGGTTTTCAAGGCTAGATGAGGGTGCCACCTCATCCAAAGGCACTTCGATTACATCGCTCAACAAGCTTCGGAGTCGCGTCAGCATACTTTCCGGCTCCGAACTTGATGATGAACGTGGCTGTTCAGCCTCTGTACGAGAAACAGGTTGCGAGTCCTGATCTGGTTCAGGAAAGATTGACATCACCGGACTGGTGGATTGATATCCAGAATCCGCCTGTAACAAGTCCACATCCTCCTTGGCGATAATAGGAAGGGGATTGCTCAGCAGGCCGACCCGACTCAGGCTACGCACCAGAGACTTGATGTTGACGCTGCGGAATGTCACTCCTGTCATGGCCGCTACCAGTTTGTCGGTGAAGTCATAGACAAAGATGTTGTTCGTCACAACTCCATCTTTGACTCTCTCGTAACGAGAGTAAACTTTCCAATTCTTGGTGGTTGCCGTTGCAGCTCCAAAGGATGGGGCCAGTATGACTTCGTCGATCGCAGTACACATGAAAACTTCGCTTTTCCGACGGGATGAGAGACAATTGATATGTATACCGGCTACCTGGAGGAAGTTGTCAAGTTCGATAGGGTTGCAGAGGGTTGATCTGTTATTGATTGGTTGTGCAACCTCAGAAATATCGACGTGGCCAACAGCCTCATTGCCAAGGGCAGAAACAGATTTTACCGCACGGTAGTAGGATTTGTACTCGACAATCTCAGAGAAGAGCTGATAGATGATAGGACCCCCGATACTAGTAGCTGCTGGAGAGTTCATGACACGATCTATGCTTGACGTGGTGATCATCCTCTGAAGAAGCTTCAATTGCGTTTCGTATACAACATCCCCGGAGTTCGGCAGGTGGATTCGACCCTTTCCATGCTCGGTTATCTCGGAAATCGATGAGTTGCTGAAGATGGTGAAGACCCATGCAGTAGACTTTATAGGCAGGAGTCGAAGGAACAGATCTGATGCAAACCCCAGGGGTGCAGACATAACCAAATCCTCAATGTAGGGAGGAAGAAGGGCATCTTTTACGGAGTCCAATAGAAGTATTGCGCTCCGAGCGACAATCTCAATGTACATAGAAGCAGGGCAGAGACTCTGGCCAGCAACGGCATGCCCACTAGTGGCAAGTTCGAATACGGTGTTTGACGTGTCCACAGCGAACGTGTATCCCCCATCATGATCCATACCCCCAACCATGCTCACTAGAGCACCTATAGGAGCTTTGGTCGGTTGAATCGCGGATGCTGGACTAGGGTCATATGGGATCCAATGTTTTGTCTGCTCAAATTGATAGGGTGGGAGATTGACGTGATCAGCTCGGTGCCGTCCATAGAATGGCCAAAATGGAAGCCGAGTTCTGATCCCGGCACTCCAGAGCTGACACGACACCTCCGCCAGTTTCTCCACGGGATTATCTGTTCCAAACTCTGCAGGCAAGAATTTGTGGGCCCCCGTGGACTGAGCAAGAGCGCGCCGAGCCATGGAAATAACAGGGGTTTCACTTCCGGCTTCGAGCCAGACGGCCGAGGGCAAGCGGGCTGCAAGTCGCTGAACAGCGTCCGAGAAGTATACTGGTTCTCTGGTGTGTTCCGAAAGTGCCATTGCCGAGAGTACCGTCTGGCTCCCGTCTCGCGAGCAAGTCTCGACGTGGATGTCTGGTGATCGAACAACAATAGACCTGGCGAGATCCTTCAATTCGTCCATAATGCTGTCTGCTGCATAAGAATGAAATGCGTGAGTGTTTCGCAAGCGGGTTGTTTTGAATGAGTAGCATGCTCCTTCTAACTTGTCAACCGACGGGGTATTACCGGCCAGCACAAAGCTTCGAGGACCATTGTAACAGGCAATATCCACCTTTGATTCATTGCTGGCATTGATGCGACTGACCAGGGTTTCCAGATCTGATCGATCGCATTCAATTGACATCATGGCACCGCAGTCCGGCCCCCATTTGTCACAGATTAGCCGAGCGCGTCCGCCTATGAAACGGAAAGCATCTCGTGTGGAGATAGAGTTGGCGACGCATAAAGCCGAGATTTGGCCGAAGCTATGTCCGATCATTGAGTTGATTTGCATCCCACAATCGATCCATGTCCTAGCGTATGATATCTGCATTGCAAGCAGCATACAATGGAGCTGGACCAGGTCTTGGATTGGTTTCCCGGAGAAGATGTCACTTAATATATCTGGAAGACCTAGCTCTCGACAAATGGCTGCACACTCGTCCTAGTATCGTCAGTGGTGCTTCAAACATTTAACGAAGCCCCGATATCATGTGCTGAACTCACCAGGTGATAACAAAGTCGCGGACTAGTCAGGTACAGAGTCTTGGACAATGTGACAATGCGCCCGGTTTGGCCACCAAATACTAATACAATGGGCCGCGTCACCGACGGCGAAGCGGACACATTAGCATGGACTATTGCATGGTCCAATTTCGTGACCATATCAGCAGTACTCCGTGCCATGAAGGCCACCCGATATTCAAACGTTGGGTTTTGGCGTCGTGCAAGGGAATACGAAATATCTTGTAGTGCAACATCAGCCCTGGATGTGAAGCTCTTGAGCTCATTCAAATATGCCTTCAAGCTGTTGTGGGATTTTGCTGAGATAACCATCGGATAGATTCCTGGTTCTGGTGTCGTGCAGGGAGTATGTTCAAAACCGCGTAGCACAACCGCCGCGTTGTTGCCTGAAGCACCGTAGTTGTTGAGCAGAGCTACCGGTCGGGATGTATGCCACAATTGGGTTGCCATTGGCACCTGTATCATGTCGGATGGGGTTATTCGCGGATTGAGGGTGACAAAATTTGCTTGTTTCGGGATCTTCCTCTTCTGCATCATTAAGATGACCTTTACGATTCCAGCAGCTCCTGATGCTGCCTCCGCGTGCCCAATATTGTCCTTCACCGAACCCAAGGATAGACGATCGTCTCGATTTCCTGTCAAAGCAAGTTTGACACTTTCGTATTCGATAGGATCCCCGACCTGCGTTCCCGTCCCGTGGGCCTCGACGTATTGCACACTCATTGGATCAAGCCGAGCTGATTTAAGGGCGCGTTGATACAATGCGCTCTGGGATTGAGAGTCGGGGACTGTGATAGGGCTAACGTTAGAGCTTTGATTGATGGCAGAACCGGCAATAACCGCGAGAATGTTGTCTCCAGCTTCTATAGCCTTGGACAAGGGCTTGAGGACAACAACGCCAGCCCCTTCGCCTCGACAATAGCCGGCCGCGGAAGCATCAAAAGCGCGCGAAGTGGTACTGGGATTGAGAAAAGAGGCCGCTGAGAGATTTTGATGAAGGTTTGGGCTAGTAATGACGTTCACGCCTCCAGCAATGGCCATAGAGCAGTCTCCTCCTAGAAGTGCCTATTGTCTTCGTTAGAATTCCAATCAATCAATATATCAAGAGGCGACTCACCTTGCATGCACTGGATATCGCAACGGCCGAGGATGAACATGCCGTATCAAACGTTATGGAGGGCCCGGTCCAGCCAAAGAAATGACTGATGCGCCCAGGAATAAAGGCCCGCAGTGTTCCGGTCGCCGAAAAAGCGTTCGCATTCTCAGATGCGATGTTGCCCTCATAATCCACAGCGCCGACACCAAGATAGCAACCGACATTCTTTTCTTGGGCAACTGAAGGTAAGCTACAATACCCGGCCGACTCCATAGCTTCGTAGGCTACTTGCAAGGCCAGTCTTTGCTGTGGGTCCATGGATTTAGCTTCACGCCCTGAGATACCAAAGAAGCGGTGATCGAAAACATCCGGTTTCCGCAAGAAATTGCCCCAGTACTCGGGCAGATTGGGCTCTCTCCATAGAGAAGCTGGGTCGAAACGAGTTGCGGGTAGGGAGCCGAACGCAGTTTTTCCAGAGCTTATGAGTTCCCAGAACTCTTCGAGCGTATCGGCTTGAGGAAAGCGGCATGACATGCCGATTACAGCAATCTCTTCATGATGTGATTGCGAAGTCTCAGATTGCAGGTTCCTAGCATTGGAGAGAGACGGCGGAATGTGAGCTTCAGTACCCACTGACACCAATTGGACATGACTAGGGAGGCCTTTGAGCGCACTTTTGACCGTCTGAAACCAATTCGCACGTTTGCAAAGGATCAATTCGATGGCGATTTCGTGCAGAAGACCGCTTGTGATCAGCTCGGTCTCTGCAGTGGAACGTAGGGGCCGCCGAAGATGCTCGGCAGAGGGCAACTGCAGGCCAAGCGTCTCCGCGCAAATTTCCTTCAGTTGTTGAGCGGCATTGGAATGCTTCGGGTGGTGATAGGACCCGGTCAAACCAATGGATACCACGGGGATGGATTCTCGATCCAGCCTTGATGTTAACGCTTCCAGGTGGCGATTTGGGACAGTGACCGTGAGGGTGCGGTCGTCGGTTACGCATGAAATGTATGTCTGGTCAAACGAATCCAGCGTTGCCGCGAGCATTGTCCGGTCGGAGAGGCTGTGGCAACGGACCGAAATAATGGTCGCTTGATCTGGCAGGGAATGAGCGGCATCTTCGGCGTCGACGATGAGCCCGACGCAGGCAGCCAACCGGATGGCGCTCGCCGCGTAAAGTTCAAAGTCGTCATGACTGTCGGTAGTGCATGAAGCGACGGCAGCGGTCAAGAAACCGATGCAAAACCCTTGCACGACCGCTCCGTCATGGCCATGGGCTGTGGCGAATCGATGCCACTCGATGGTCTGATATACAACGGTCAAAACGGCTAGTTGGGCGTTCGCAAGGGTGTCTGGCTGCGGGATTTGGCCCCCACGCGCAAAATCGACTAGTCCCACTGGCTGTGCCGCACCGACAATGCGCGCGAGGGGCGTCGCATCTAGGAACACGTCCAGCTCCTCCAGACAAATCTGCAGGAAGCGCAGACTCGGATCGGTGACGAGGCTCGTTTGTAACGTCTGGAGGCGCTCGTGCGTCCAGCGGGGTTGCTGTGGTCCAAACAGCACGAGCTGGATCGGAGAGGCCATGTTGCAAGTTGTTTGTGTCGGCGACAGTCGGCAACGGCTGCCTCAGCGGTAGTATACTGCACATCTCCCCTAGCGTCGTGCGTGCGTGTGAGGCGTCCTGGTGTTGCGGGCTCGGCTCAGACCCTGAGTAGCCCTGGGTAGACGAAGACACCTGCCCTGAGTGTGTGGAGGAGGCGACATCGATGTCTCGCGGAGTTAGCTCTTCTCGCATCTTTCAAAGTCCGGTATCTCCGCTTGTGACGCAGCCTCGTCCCACGGTGCAGATGGACGACTTTCTTTGTTTTGGAGGCAGGTCTGCTTGTTTTTGAACGAAAGCTTCCTTCGACCAAATTCATTGCGAGTCTCTCTTACGGTACGCGTCTTCAACTCGCAAAGCACTAGAACCACAAATTATACTGTTTAAACATGGCTTCCGCTAAACTCACGTGGCTCATCACCGGCTGTTCGTCTGGTTTTGGCCTCTCGCTGGCGCGGATTGCACAGGCTGGAGGCCATATCGTCATTGCTACCTCGCGCAACCCGTCTCGCACCCCAGACTTGGTTGCTGAAATCGAAGGCAAGGGCGGAAAATGGGTCCAGCTGGATGTTGACAGCCCCCAGAGCGGCGACGTCGTCGCCGAGCTCGAAAAGGGAGGCAATAAGATCGACGTGCTTGTCAACAACGCCGGCTACTCCATCTACGCGCCCATCGAGACCATGACCGAGGCCGAAGCCCGCTCGCAACTCGAGACCAACTACTTCGGACCGCTTCGGTTGATCCGCGCCGTCCTACCGCATATGCGTCAGCGTCGCTCGGGCGTCATCGTCAATATAAGCAGCGGTGCCTCGCTCGATGGGATCCCGACCATGGGCGTGTACGCGGGTGCCAAGGCTGGATTGGACGGTATGTATCCGACTCTTTATCCGTCCTTTGGTTGATTTTGACTGACTGGGAAAAAGCAACGACTAGAATTCTTGCGAAAGAGGTCGCGCCGTGGAACATCCGCACATTGACGGTGGTCGCGGGCACTTTCAACACCAACATGCCCAACGCCGTCGTGTTGGGCGAAACGCCGCTCCCCGACGACTTCAAGGGCACCTTCGCGGAGCAGGTTCAGCAACTCCTTGTCGCGGGCAAGGTCAAGCCCAACGGCGACAAGGACAAGGCCATGAAGGCTGTATACGAGGTTGTGGTGGGCGAGGGTGTGGGAGAGGGCAAGGAGGCTGAGAAGCTGCTGCCGCTTGGGAGCGACATCACTCCACGCCTCAAGGGACTTCAGGACAACGCTGGCCACGTCATCGAGGTCTTTGGCTCTGTTACAAACGGCGTCGATGTGGAAAAATAGACTCTGGTACTCTTTTCGGGGGACACCACTTCGTGGATAGTTAGTGTCAACAATCATAAAAGTATGGTGGTCAACTCAAGCTTGGTTGGCCAAGTGGGGCCACGTGGGCCCTACCTCGCCCCACGTTATTCTAGTCGCTCTACGTTAACGTCAAGTTAAGTTAACATGAAGCGCGCTTATATAATCCTTTTCCCTAGCACCCCTCCACTTTCTTTGGTCACATATGGGTAGTTATGCATCCCGCTTCATTGCCTACTACATCCGGTCAGTCCCTCAAGCCAACTCCGCTTCGATGATGCTCTGCACAGCTAGTGGCGAAGTCCAGATTTTTACCACTTTGTAACCCTCCGACTGCAACAGCTCCTGCCACTGCGCCTCAGTCCGCTCGGTTCCGGCCACCATCACCATCATAGTCAGATCGTATGCCGTGGTATGAGGATGTGCTCGCTCTCGAGGCGCAATATGATCGTGGATGAGCAGTGTGCTGTACCCAGGTTTCAGAGCATCCCGTTGCATAGCCAGAATCTTCCGCGCCGGCTCGTCGGACCAGTCGTGAAGCACGCCATGCATGTAGTACACACGCGCACCTTTTACGGGCTGCGGCGTGAAGAAATCGTACGCGACCTTATTGACCGGGTCAGGACTCTTTGACAACTTCACAACCTCGGGCCGATCCTGGAGATATAGGCGCTCGGCAGTGCCAGGGTGCGCCTGACGGAATCGTTCGATATCGTGGCCAATGTTTCCACCCACGTCAACGACCAATGGTCCATCTCCTACGGCTGTCTCCACTACGCGATCGTGGGGGAATATATCGAGCCAACCAGCTTGTCTCGCCATGACGCCTCCCATGACATGATTGAAAGATTCCCCCTCGCGTGGATGAGCTGCGTAGTAATTGAACATGTCGCCTTTCCAGCCCTTGGCGTACTGGAACACTCCGTTTTCTGGGTCCAAGGGCACTTTGTACTTAGTTTGAGCTAGGTATTCCGGTAGCTTGAAGAAGGTTGGCAAGGTAGCGTCATAGCTAAACGTCCCCTCATATTAGCAGCTGGTATAGGAATGGGCTACATTCTGGCCTTACAGATGGTTGATCCACTCTCCGAACACGGGATCTAGGAGGGATTTGGTGAAAGGTGTCTGTTCGTAAGTTCCGATCGATGGTTCGTGGAGCATATGATTAGAGGCTAAATGGCGGAGGAGACGTTCTGCGGTGTCCAGTAAGTATACAAACTGCACTGAGGCGGCTTTTCACTACACACCCAGCAGAGCCGCTTCGCATGGCACAAGATCACTCAATTGTTCTGAGCTTAGGGCTTTGTCTCCGCCTTCGTACCACTTTTCGAACAGTTGTAGGTCCTTGCACACCTTCAACGCCGCTCCTAGCGCAGGCTTATACGGATTGTCAGTTCAATGATGAGCATTTCCGGGAATGCAACAGCGTACCTGGCTCATACAGAGCCGAGCCGTGGTCTCCCATGGCGTCTCCAGCCGAGCTGCTAGAGCATATGCCGCTAGAAGGGCCTTGCCTCTCTGGTCTTCATTCTCAAAAGAGCTCAGTGACACACCGTCAAGGATACCGGCAATCTCTGTGTGGCCATTCATCTCGTTCGCACTATGTTCAATGAGCGATCTGGATCTTGGGTCTATGTTTGTTCAATTTTCTCAAGGCCAATTTCAGCTTCATGTGAAACCGATGAGGTACTTGACCCGAGTGAATGCAACTCGTTTCAGCCTCCTCAACAATCAGGCGTCAAGATGTTGCTTTTGGTCAACGCGTCTCACAGTTGACCCAAGTGGTGGCGGCCACTTAGCGACAATGACCCTTGTTAGTCCTACCCCGACCCCGAGTAGACTCTCAGTCACACTCTCGCTGTTTTCTCGTGGTCAAGTGCGCAGGCCAAACAACTCGACCGCATCACCACCATGGGCTATGGAACACTATTCGTCATTGCGGCCAGTGCACGGCTGGTGCCTTACGTGAGCCGAATCTACTTTCACCCTCTTCGTCACGTGCCCGGCCCATTTTACGCCTCGATCAGCTCGCTGTTCCTTTACATAATCTGCTACCTGGGCATCGAGGGCCACGTTCTCCGATCCCTACATCTACGTTACGGTACCCCTGTACTTCGTGTGGGACCAAACAGTGTCTCGGTATCCGACAGCGGTGCCCTCCAGGAGATTTACGTTTCAGGTGGTGGATTTCCGAAAGACTCTCGATACACCAACTTCGATCTTGGACCTGTCAAATCTATCTTCTCGTCGGTTGATAGGGAGTATCGCGACCATCGTGCCAAAGCGGTTGCGCCGCTGTTCGCTCCCAGCCGCATACGCTCTGCATGCGCCCCGACAGAGGCTATAGGGAAAGCAATAACTCAATTCGTTCATATTATCCAACAGTTCAAGAATGAAAGGATATCCTTCGACCTAGTGGATGTCTGCGCGCGTCTTTCAATTGACGTCGTGACAGCGTATTTGCTGGACGAACCGTACGGCGGCTTAGCCGAAATCGGGCACCTTCCCCCAAAAGCGCAAGCGAGGACAAAGCTCAGCGCCAACCCTTTCATATTCGCCATTGTCGCATTCTCCCGGTTCTCACTCTTTCCAAAATGGCTTTTCTCACAACTTTACAAGCTGTCTGTGCGACTGAGCTTGACAGACGAAGCAAAGCAGTCTTTCCGCAAGCTCGATATCTTCGCAACTAAAGCTGTTACTCGCATTACTAGTCAGAAAGACCCGAACAACGAATACACCTATCAATCACGCCTTCTTGCAGCGGGAATTTCTGTGTCTGAGACAACAGCGCAATGTAAAGCTATTACATTCGCTGGAGCGGACTCCACCGCTGTAATGCTCGCGACCATCCTCTTCCACTTGATTCGAAATCCTTCCGCGCGTCGCACCCTTGTTACGGAGATCGAGGAACACCAGAAAGAATCTGCTGGATCCTTTGACCCTGAAACTATCCCGTATCTTCGTGCAGTCGTCAAAGAAGGCCTCCGATTGGGCATGGCAAATCCCACACGACTCACTCGCGTTGTTCCGAAAAAGACTGTGCTTGACGTCGGTGGATACAGCCTGCCCGCAGGCACTGTGGTTGGGTGTGCTGCCTACACTCTCCATCATGATCCGATGGTTTTTTCAGAACCGTTTGAGTTCAGACCGGAGCGCTGGCTAGAAAGCGGACGTGAAGGAAGTCTTACAAGGCCAGATATGGAGAGGAATATGATGCCGTTTGGGGTGGGACTGAGAGCTTGCATTGGCAAGAATTTGGCGCTGCGACAACTGTATGAAACCGTCTCAGCAGTCCTACAGATGAACGTTGGCGGAGGTCTGTTGGAGGGTGCGAAAGTGAGGCAAGAGCGAATCGAAATAATTGAATGGTTCAATGGTGAGATTAAAGGGCACTGTCTGGATGTCGATTGGGAATGAAAGTTGGCGGGGGTTTAGTGTATTCAGTAGGCACTATGGCAGTAGCTGATCTAAGAGTAGTTAGACTCGGTATTTCGTAGTGTGCGCTCGCGTAGCGACTTGCTACGCCGCACGACCAATGAGTACCTAAGTGGGGGGCTGGATGTCCATCGTTCCTTGTTATCTATCTTCTGCGACAGCAACAAAGACAGCTCTTCATTTGTACACATCCCCGGTCATCTCCCTAGTGATACCAAACGCTATGGAATCCAGCCATCATCCACAACAGCAATCAGTTGTCTCGCAAGCGAAGCTCCCATCCAATCCGCCGATGCTGCTGCAATGACAAACCGGAATGGCATCATTGGCACCTTCTCACGAGAAACCGCAGTACTTTAGCGACCCCTTTGGCCCAAATTACCGCCATATATGCTCTTAGATCAAGGAGAGAAAGCCTTATTATGTTGCTACCTGACCGGTGCCTATTTGTCCTGACTTCTGTGACGTATATTAGTCCGCTGAAAATGCCGAATATACGCGGACTTGGGACCATATATAACCTTCTCCGTCAATGAGTGCTGAAAATTGAGTTTTGGAGGGTTTAGCGTGATTTTAAAGGGAAAGATCTCGATGTCGAAGCGAAAGGAGATGATGCGGAGAAGGACAAGAAAATTGATAGATTGAGAAAGTGTTTCAGAGATGCGGGAGCGGTGGACTTGCTGGAGAAGGCGAACGAGACATTTTTCCTAGGCAGAGTAAGCGCACAGGCTATTAGGCATGAGGCACGATTAGACACCTTGTTAGAAGCCGGAGATATGGCAGGTTACATGTGGATTTAGATGTGTCCAAAGATCATTCAGCCCGCCAAGGATGATACGAATGGAGAGAATTAGGGTGGCGGTGGTGGCGATGTTGCTGTTAGGGGAGTTTGGGAGCGAGGGGGGCAGTTTGGACAGCGCGCTGGGACGGAAATTATTGTATGGGCGATGATCAAGAACTTGTGTGAACCATTCTGCGAGCGACCTGGTATATGTTTTCAGGATACGGAATTATAGTTTAATTCTATCCAAAGTTCGAAGTGCTCGTCACTATAGAGCATCTGCCTTTCTCACCAACTCAGCGCAACAATCTCGGTGTATCTGGCCAATTTCAGGTGTCTCTTTGCCACAGACATCTCTCCGCCGTTCTTCTGTTTCTTCGCTTGCTCCATCCCATACGACGAAATTGAAACATATGAAGGGTGTTTATCAGACAAGCGATAATATACATGATTCTTTGAATCGCTGCTATGCTGCACCGCCTAAACTCTTATCGCATTGCTTACGCCTATCGGTCGACTTCGCTGCAAGCCTGCCATTTACACTGTAGTGCAAACGTCTTCCAGGCGCTACAGTGAAGATGAACATCATGGAGCGCTTGTGCCCTGTATTGGGTAAGTTAGCTCTTATCTGTTTTGATCATGTCCTTGGTACTGACACGAAAATCTGTTTGGGATGCCCCTTAATTGCTTCTTGAGACCAACCACACACGGTTTTGGGCGAAAACTCACTTCGGCCCAAGAACGGGTTAATTGGCGCCAATAGCATACTTTTGCACATGGAATAAGGCATTGATCCGGGAAGGTTATTGTACTAGTATGTGCAATAATTTTCGCTTGTTCAGGGTCCTGTAGTAGTTGCTGTAATACTTTGGATCCTAGACCGGAGAAGTCACGTTCAACTTGGACGGAACTTTGGTGTGGCCTAGGTGGTACGAGGAATTTTTGATATGGCTCGATCTATCCACTCTTATGTATTATGGTGATTGATTTGCAATTGAGAAGATTCTTCGCACGACCAGAGTAACTTCGCCCTACACATATCAACTAATTTCTTCGCACACGATCCAAAACAAGGAGAAGGCAGACCAATCTTTAGTATGTGTCAGGAATTGGTGGCTGCAATGGTCCGCCATAGACAAGTCCGCAGAACTTACTGCAACATCGATGCGGTTCTTCCACTTCACTTCATGCACGTCCGCCCAACCTTTCCTCTGTCACGCCCTACTAAAGAGCTCCGAACTCTCTTTGTCTGGCCGTTTCACGCCACAACGCCTTAGTGACCTTTCTCTCCCATACCCCTTCGTACTCTCAATGAGGCGCGAATTTGTTCACAATTTCCCATCACATCTAACGGCCATGTCCAAAATCCGAAATCTGGCATTAGCCACATCTTTTTATCTGTCGCCAGAGGTCCCAGCGACCAAGATGTATGGTGCTGGTGTTCACTATCCGGAATGGCGCTGACTACGAATGAGAATTCGACGTTCGGAAATGTTTCTGGGCCGGTCGTGACAGCACGGCCCGCAAAAGGCGGATAGGATGCCTGGTAGGTGACAGATATTTGTACATCAGTAGAATATCTTTTGCTTACTACTGACACAGCAGCTATTTCGTTGTATCCAGCTGCCAGCCAATTGGGTGTCGGTGGTCTTTCGTGGGACCGCTAGGTACATGGGAATGTATAGACCTTTGGGCAATTGTCACTACGGTCTGAAAGACCGTGAGGCAATGGAAATGAATAGGCGTTCCCGACGGGATGCGGTTAACCTGCTGCAAAGCCTACTGTAGATTGAAGGATTTCGTCGCAATATCGTTCGGTACTTAGGGCAGCTGGTATTCTGGTCTCTTTAAAAAATACCGATTTCGATGCCTCGTTCTCTGGCTGCTTGATCAATATCGAAGGAGTGTGTGCCCGCCTCCCAAGCTTGGTTGATCAATGTAAGTACGGCACTACCGCCGAGGGTAACGTCATCTTTGGAGAAAAAAACCGACTGAAAGTCTTCCAGCGTGGATTTCCATGATGGGTTGATCTTGAGCAGAGGGACCTCGAGATTTGCCAACGTGAAGGGGAATATCAGTCCCTTGTTCAAGAATGAGGGTTCAAGACCACCAACCGTCTTCGCCTTGCGACTCAGTGCGTCGAGGGATGCAATGAGGCGACAGAGGACCGCTTCGTTATTGGCGGCTTGGTCGAGATTGTCGAAGACAGAGCTTCCGCATGGCGCGTTGGATGCCCATAGACGTCGCAAGCGGCGACGAATGTCCAGGATACCCGCGTATCGCCAAGAATCCCAAAGATGACACTGGTCAAGGGTTCCCACGCAGCCCCTCCAACCCCAAAACATAGCCTCGACCTGGCTATTAACATCGCACTGCTCGGTGATCTCAGAGAATATATCCAGTAGAGTCCTTGGCAAGCCTGTTACCACCTCGATGTCGCCCAGCACGCGATGACTGGTATCACTTCGCAAATCACGCACACGCTTCCAGATGCCGAGGCTGGGGTGGAGACGACCGATCAGGAATGATGTCATGTCCATGACGCCCAGAACCTCCAACACGTGCTGCGAGGGAACATGCACAAGTGGATTCGGCGTTAAGCCTTCCAGGCTGCCTTTGAGATTGTGCATGTCAGCCAGGAGACGGAGATATGGCGTTATTGGTCTGGTCTGGTACAACTGTAAAGAACGTGCGAAGTTATCAGCATGATAGCCACTTTCACTGTAGTCTTTGGGGCAATAACTTACACACATGGTACATATAAGCAGTCCACTACAAATGGTGGCAGAGCGGCGCTCGCTGCCAAGGATCTCCAGATCAGTGCGAAATGTGCGGATCGCACGGTCCATGCGCTCCATGGCAGTCACCGTCCAACCATTATCGTAGTATGCTTGGAGTGCAGCTCCCACAAGCGGCAGAGCTCTTGACTCCTTCGACACGGCCCGGAAGAAGACGGACAGCCAACCGTAGATCTCGGCGTTACAGAGCTGATGGAGTCCTGTAACTAGAACTAACCCACCTCACGTTTCAGTAAAATGGCCATCGATCGCTTCGAAACTTTAGATACCGAGCACTTACATTTTTCAAATGCGATGCTCTCTTCGTCTGAGATGCGGTTCTGGTCTTCCTCTGCCATGTGCAAAGTATCGCCGGGAAATTGCAGTGGCGTTGTGTGCGCAGTGTCAGCAGGACTCGAAGAGGTGACACGGTCAACAGTCGGTGCCGCTGTTGTCGCCTCCACCGGTTGCAGGAGCAGTCCCGGATCCCTCACACCCACGAAGCGACCTCTGGACGCTATGCCCTCGACCCACCGTACCGGATGTGCATACCCCTCGCATTGTATATTTCGATCTATACAGGCCATACATCCAGGTCTCTGCTCGTCGCACTTGCGCTTGCGTTTCTTGCAGTTCACGCAGCCGCCCCTCGTTCTCCTGTGGCTGCCACTCATTTTTCCGTCTTCGTCTCTTCATGAAGCTATGCAGCCATTCCAAAACGTCATAGCTCTAGCCGATGTCTTGCATAGCGACACTGGAGGTAAGTGTGGGGATAGGTTCGAGGAGAGAAACGATTGAGGAGAAGGGCGCGAACATTGCCCAGTTCGAGCTAGATCCGGGGGCAGCAGGGTGTTTTATCTGGGGTCGGTTCCGCCGAACTTTAGCGGCGAAGCGTGCATTAGTCTTATCAAGCGTCACACCGCTACGGCAGTTCCAAAATCACGTAGCGAGTAAAAGTTCCTTCCGCGATTGTCCCAGCCTTACCGGCGATGCACCACCCACAGGCAACATGAGGAGCTCCTCGGCCCGTTAGCACATAGCCGATTGCTGTGAGGGTGCACTTATCATGCAAGCCCATCACCCCAGGGTCCCGAAGTGCACGGACGCGGAAAGGGGATCGCGGAATTATATGCGACAGCACGTCCATGCGCCAATGAGCCACCGGCGGCTACACCTGCTTGAATAAGGTTTGGCATATCGTCGACACCAGCCAGTAGCATGAGCGATTGCTCTATTGGGGATATGAACACCTAAATTCCCGCGAGATATAAGTCATAGCTTGGGATCCTTTGAAAGTCACCCATCGAGACGGCCCAGGTCGCGACTTCGATATCGACACTGACACCCATACGAAATGGCTTCGACAAGCGATCAGCGCGGGGAAGCTTTCCCTCCAGGGACGGTAACACTTACGGGGTGTACGTAGCTCTCTGGCAGTCTGGGCTTCGGTATTGGGTATTGTTTGTACATACTGACCCTTGCCTCTACCTTCAAGACCAGGAGTCCATCGCCAGTGCAAGGATTGTACTCTCTCCTCAACCCTCCAGCGACCCGAATGAACCTCTTGTAAGATAATCCACACTATGACTGTAACCCACACCTTGCTTACCAACGTTGCCTACGACAGAATTGGCCTACATGGCGCAAAGTGACCAATATGACACTCATATTCGGCATGACCTTAGCTGTTTTTACGAGGTGAGTTATTCTGCGCATCAATTTGCTCTCCAAATAACAACTTCTCGGATGCTAAATCTCATTGAAACTCAACAGCTTGATGGTACAGACCGTCTTCTGGCAGCAAATGAAAGTCGACATGGGTGTCAGCACCGTCAATCTTAATAACGCGCAGTCCGCCAACCTTGCGGGAGTCGCCCTTGGCTGTCTCTTCTTCATCCCTTTGACAGTCAAGTACGGGCGTCGACCATCTTATTTACTCTCGATCGCAGTGTTGGCCGGATCTATGTGGTGGGCATCGAAGATGAAGACCAACGCTGAGCTCATCGTCATTGCAGTCATCAGCGGCTTATCCGGTGCCATCAACGAGACCGCAGTGCAGATGACTGTAGGATCCCTTCCAATTAACTCCCTAGATCTGCTCTGTGCTAACTCTTTGTGTCATCTGTAGATCGCTGACCTGTTCTTCGTCCATCAAAGAGGTGCCGCAAACGCCGTCTACTTTGGCGCTGTCATGATGGGAAGCTTCCTTACGCCCTTGGCTGCAGGTTCGCAAGCCGCTACCCAGGGTTGGAGATGGTCATACACTACCTTATCAATCTGCCTCACAATTCTCTTCGTCCTGTTCCTATTCGCTTACGAGGAGACAAAGTATATCCCCGTTTATGTCGGCGCTCCAAACACCAATGCCACCACCCGTTCACTTGATGATGGCGATCTCAAGAATACCTGCGGCGGCGGCAGCGAGGAGATTAAATCGCCTGACGCAATCGCTAAACTGGATTCAGTTCCGTCCCTATATGTCACGACCTATACACCGCACACCTACCGCCAACGAATGCGACTATGGACGCCCACAGATGAATCACTAGGGAGGCTGTTTGTGTTACCATTGCAGGTTATCATGTTGCCGCACGTTCTTTATACATCGTTACAATTTGCTGCTGTCATTGCTTGGCTGGTGCTGGTCGTGGCCATGATATCCGTCATCTTCTCTATGCCCCCCTATAGCTTCACGACCGCCGGTGTTGGGTACATGACGCTGGGCCCCTTTGTCGGCAATGTCTTCGGCACACTCTACGGCGGTCCGCTGTCCGACTGGGTCGTTGTGAGACTCGCACGCAGAAACAGGGATATTTTCGAACCAGAGATGCGCCTGCATCTGCTATGTGTGCCCGTTGTCACTATGGCCGGTGGGCTGATTATGTTCGGCGTTACAGCGGATCGGGTGAGGAAAATCCAACTTCCAGACTTGATGCTACACGACGATAGTTGGGCTAATGCTAATCTTAGGGAATGCATTGGATTTTCCCCAGCATCGGCGGCGCATTCTATGCTTTCGGAATGGGTTCAATTGGAGAAATAGCTTTCACCGTGCTATTGGATAGCTATCGAGACGTACGTTTGGTTCTCCGCATTACATAGAGTACGCTGCTGACAACACCATAAATGTAGCTTGTTGCCGAATCTTTCATTGTGGTGGCTTTCTTCAGGAACGCTATCAGCATGGCCGTGCCTTTCGCCATGGTTCCATGGTGGCTCAGCATGGGCCTCAGCAACATGTTCATCACTATCGGGTGCTTGTCTTTGTTCATAGGATTATTCTACGTCCCTTTGCTTATCTGGGGAAAAGAAATCCGCATCAAGCTAGCGCCCAGGTACGAGAAGTTGGTCGCGAAGAAGAGGCTTATTGGATAGCAGCCAAGAGCCTTCGACCGACGGAAAACTCGGAGGCTGAAGATTAACCGAGAATGGACCTAAGTCTTTTGGAAGTTTCGCGATACGCGCGCTGAAGTTGCCCCACGCTCTCTGTCCGTTCGTTTATAGGTATTGTAGCGAGTTCATGGGGGCTGAAACCTGTCGCTTGTGCTGTTTCTGTAAATCCACAATTCATCAATTGCTCTTTGAGTAGAATCAATCCATTCTACAACACCTCTCCGTGAGCTTCATCATGATAGAACCCGATGGTACCAGTGACAAAAAAGTCACATGATTGTGAGATCATGTCGCTTAATCGAGGTCAGGGTATCTTGAGACGGACTTTGCCAATGTACTCACACAGTTGCCTACAACTCGAATCAATCGCGTTCGAAACTGTATTACGTTCGGAGAACGATGAGCCTGCACTGCCGGCAGATACGAGTTGACCAATCACTCGGCCGAGGTTGTAGTGGGGTACGGTAGGCCAGCGGCATGGTTCCGCTCGTGGATATTCACGCCAAAACTTGACGCCTGCCTTGATTAAGCCATTATATGCGCCCCTAACGGCGGTATCATCTCAAGATCTGCCGAGGCTTGCCCTCCTCACTACAAGTACCATGACCATATCACAAACATGACATTCCAAAACAAATTGCAATTCCTCCATCACCATTCTGCTTTCATGCGCTGGGATTCCAAGTTACCAGGATCGATACCGTAAGAGAGCGCGTGCGGATGCCCAGGTGATCAGAAATTCAATACTCCTTCGCAAGCAAACGGGTCACGAACCTGAGACACAGAATCGACAACAAGATCTAGCTGCTGGCACGAACTCCTGCACGAAGCATGACGGCACCTTGGAACGAGCTTGCTACGGCACATCGTGCAAATCAGCGAGCATGTATCAATAAGGACTGGCTTTTGTCACCAGAATTACTCGCGCAGATAGCGGGGACTGGTCAGTCTGATGAAGGAGACTTGATTGCGCGCCGAGCAGTAGATAAGTCGGGACTTCTGACAGACAAAGAGATCGAGATCACAGAGCGGTATAGCGTTAGGGGCCTGCTGGAAGAAATGGCAACAGGAATGATGAGTGCTTTCGAGGTGACTCAGGCATTCTGCAAGCGAGCGGCTTTAGCTCAGCAACTGGTAAGCAAACCCAGTAGTCGTGAAGAGGACGCAGCCATTGACGTTGAGTACTTGGAAGACGAGCTGCTTGACCGAGATATTCTTCGATACGGGTCTTCAACGGGCCAAAGAGCTAGATGCCTATTTCTCCAAGCACAAAAAGACCAAAGGTCCACTTCATGGCCTTCCCATCAGTCTCAAGGTACGTACTCTAGCACAGTGACCCCTACCGTTTGGGTTTACTAACGTTTGAGTGCAGGAAAGCTTCCAGGTTGAAGGCCAATTCGGTACGTTAGGTTTCGTGAAAGGTATTGCGGCAGGTCCGGCTTCCTCGAATTCGGATGTTGTGAGACTGCTGCTTGACGCGGGTGCTGTCTTATATTGCAAGACAAACATTCCACAGACAATGATGGTACGATTGGATTTCGTTGAAGTTTTCCCTGCCCCTGTAACGCTTTGTATGAAACCTGCCACACTGACCTGTTTTTCACTTGCCGTTCTGCCACGAGAAGATACTGACTCCTTTTCTTGCTAGACCGCTGACTCGGAGAATAACATATTTGGCCGGACCTTGAACCCACATAAAACAACCCTCACTGCAGGAGGCTCATCGGGCGGTGAGGGTGCTCTGGTCGCTTTCAGGGGCTCAATACTAGGTGTAGGTACTGACATAGCTGGCTCAATCCGCATCCCATCGTTGTGTTGCGGTATTTACGGATTCAAGCCCAGTATCAATCGCATCCCATATGGTGGCCAGGCTCCTTTTCCTTACCCAATGCTTCGCGTTCCAGGTGGTATTGCCCCTGCGGCCGGACCTCTAGCCCATTCAGTCGAGGATCTTGAGCTTTTCATGCGCACTGTCATCGGAACAGAAAACTTGAACGCGTCACGCTACGATCCTCAGTCCTTGCCGTTAGTCTGGCGCGACCTCGAAACGGTCGGAGAGAAAAAACAATTGACTATTGGCTTGCTAGCAGAAGACCCCGAGTACCCTCTACAGCCACCAGTGCGGCGAGCTTTTCAGGAAGCTGCTCTGCGACTCACCCATGCGGGCCATCGCCTTGTGGTCTTGCCGCACAATGCGACTAGCAGCGGCGCTGGACTCGGTGGCCGTCTTAGCTTCCAGTATTATGCGATATTACCACCAGGTCCCGATGTCAAGCCACTAGACGAGATTCTGGGCGAGCCACTTGTGGCATCGGTAGCTAAGGGTGTGCATCCTTTCACAGGAGGTTTCCCAGTCAATCCAGCGCTGGACCTGCCACAGCGTCTTCATGAGTTGACTGAAGCACGCGATGCCTATACGGCTGCTTGGCATGGTATATGGCAGGCGCATGCATTGGATGTGGTTTTGGCACCTGGTGCGGCTACTACCGCCGTACCACATGATTCTTACGGCGTGCCCGTATATACGTGCATGTGGAACCTGATTGATGTCAGTTGTCGTCGCGCCCGTCTAGATGTGCCCTGGGCTAACAACATATAGTATCCGGCTGGAATTATTCCGTTCGGCAAGTCATCTAGAGAGCTCGACCCCCAACCACAGAAGGCAGTGGGTCCATTCGAGCCACACTGTAAGTCCCATACAACTTTGGCGTTTCGCAAAATAAAGAGACCAGGCGAAGCTAACACAGCACAGATGACCCGGACGCATGCGAAGGAGCTCCGTGTGCGGTGCAAGTGGTTGCCCCGCGACTTCAAGATGAAGAGTGTTTGCGAGCAATGCGCATCATCGACAAAGTTCTCAACGACCCATCGTCCTTCACTCCTCCAATTCCACCCCAGTAGCTTACTTGCAAACGATCAAATACAAAGCTGTGGTTCCGTCAATAACCATTTTAAACCATGCGTGACAAGTGGAGACAATCCCACCTTCTCCAGACGGCCAATGATACCCTTTGGTACCGGCTTGAATAAGCTCCGCAATATTGTCATGCTAAGCCAGCCCAGCCCCTTTGTCACTTTCTACGCTATAAATTCTCACAAGGACTGAGATATTTATTCCACAATGCTACCAGAGGCAATTCATGTGGGCTCTGGGGCAACGGGCATATGGCTGCAATGTTTTTTGAAAATCGGAGCATTCGGCAGCGTCAATCGTAATAGCCCGACCGTAACATCCTAGCCTGCTCTAGCAGTAGCGCTGCGTAGACTATAGATTTATAAGTATCTATCGGGGTTGGTAGCTACGATAGGGCCAGGAATCGGCCACATGCTTGTCGGGGTTTCCTCTTGGCATGTTGTGCGTGCATATCGGAGGCAAATGCAGTGCATTGCGTAGTCTTCTCAGGAGATAAGATTGGTTATCCGCTTCGGACAGGGGTGCAATCTCAGGCGCGCGGCCATAGAGAAACCCACCAAACAATGCAAGACGCAAGTTTACAAATAACCCTCTGCATATCAGCTCCTATCGATACCATGAGCCTTGATCCAATCATCGATCCGGAATAAATTGCTATAGAGGAGTCGGATGCGCTAGACTTTCACGATAACCGATCGACAATAAACCAAGTCACCTTACTGTTTCGGCCTAGTTGAGAGCATTCCCTAGCTTCTCCTGGGCGTCTCTATGGCCAGATCCGTAATGCGCTTATGCGCATGTCTTCAAGTGCCAATGGGCATCACCGGCATCGTACATACCCATGCGCTCGTTATCTGCTGACTGGGCCGTGAAATGGCAAGTCTGAATTTCTGGGCCCACCAAAACTCACAAGCAATAGATCCTACACTCTAGGAAAGCAACTTAAGCAACCCCAAGCTTTTGTACTAACGCCTGGGACCCTGCTTGACTACTGCATATGCAGACGGGACGTCGAGTTTCAGGAGTATATAAACTATACACCTGCATAACGCAAAGTGGTGCGAAACGTCCACTTTGTCTGGTTTCCTTCGTACCCGCTGTACTGGTAATTTAAGATTAAGTGGCGGCCATAATGAGACCCTCAAGTCTTCGAAACATGGGCATAGCCATGGGCTTACTTCAAGTGGTTCATGGCATGCTTCCTCTTATGGGCCAAATCCCACGCATGGGTCTCACTGTGGAAGAAGAAGCCACGCTGGTTGATGATGCAATTCCACTTGTGGGCAATGGAACTTTCCAACAGCCAATCGATCACAAGGACCCATCGAAGGGCACTTTTTCCACGTCCTTCTGGTACAACGCTACCAATTGGGGTGGACCTGGATCTCCAGTACGATAGACCAGCGAGATAATTCATGTACAGGAACTAATTTGGATCTACCAGGTAGTTGTCTTCACGCCTGGCGAAGCGGCAGCGGCAGGATACACTGGATACCTCACACCACGTACCCTGACAAGCGCCATTGCGACAGCTATCGATGGCGCCATTATTTTGATCGAGCGTATGGCAACCCATTCGAAGCTAGAGTTCGGAGTATTTTGGTGCTCACCAGGAATACAGATCGATATTGGGGCGCTTCCAGTCCGTGTGAAAACCAGACGACAACTTGTCTACAATATCTTACTCTTCAACAATCCGTTGACGATTTCGTCAATTTTGCGAAACATGCTCCCATTCCGTTTGACGTCACTAACTCCTCTAATGCTGATCAGGCGGTACGTATGACGGGCTCTCACGCGGTAGGGACTGTAATTGACTTTGACCTAGCCCTGGATCTGGGTCGGTGGGTCTTATTCTGGTGCTTTGGCAGCTTGGATTGAGAAAGTAAGAAGACTTCCAAATGATCCTTGAAAAAAGCTCACCAAGTTTCAGCTTTCCCCTGGAACATTTTGGGCATATCACTCTACCAGTGGCCCGGTAGAGGCCATATATGACTTTTGGGAGTACTACTATCCTATTCAACAGGTCTCTTAAACCCCAAAATCGGAAGAAGTGATTCACGCTTGCTGATCAGATCCACTAGGGAATGCCGAAGAACTGCAGTCTCGACTATGAGGCAATCGTTGATCATGTTGATTACGTTTTCAAGAACGGTACGGCAGAGGAGAAAGCGGCACTGAAGCAACAGTTTCTGCTGCAAGATCTCGAACATGATGATGACGCTGCAGTCGCTATCTCCTCCCCTATCTGGGCATGGCAGAGTATTCAGTTCTATTCGGGCTATTCTCAATTCTACCAGATGTGTGACGCAATTGAAGGCTTCAATGGTAACTCTACTGGAAATTACTCGACCGGCTATAGCGACAACGGCGTTGGCGTAGAAAAAGCATTGCCGAATTTCGCGACTTGGTTCACGACCACATACCTTCCAGGATGTACGTAATTACATTTTTCAGCTTCCCGCTTATGTTGTGACTATGTTCCACATGCTGACAACAAGATCGTAGATTGCGAAGCATACGGCTACAACGACTGGGCCGGGGAACTCAACGTACAATGCTTCGACAGCTACAACAGCTCATGGGAAATGTTCAACGACTGGACGCCTGACAATGCAGCAGACCGCCCATGGGTTTGGATGACGTGCAACGAGCCTCTATTCTACTGGCAAGGGTACGTGAGCGCACCGAAAGCTTCTAATGTGCAGTCTTCCCTCTGAAACTTGCAAAGCTGACACGTGGTTTTACAGGGGGGCACCCGAAGGTGTCCCAACGGTCATGACTCGTCTAGCAACAGCGGAGTACTATCAACGGCAATGCTCCCTGTATTTTCCGACCGAGGGCAATAATACCTTCCGCAGTGCCCTGGGGATCCGTGAAGACTATGTAAATGACCGTACAGACGGATGGTTCAACACGGACGCCCCACGCCTGTTATATGTCAACGGAGAATTCGACCCCTGGCGTTCAGGGTCGGTCGCCTCTGATTTCAGACCCAATGGTCAGTTCAACGGAACTGAAGAGACGCCCGCTATCCTCATCGCCGGCTCGAGACATTGCAACGATCTAATCATGACCAACAATGTTCATCCACCCGTTGCAGAGGCGCAAGAAGCCGCTATCAGCCAGATGAAAGCATGGGCTCACGAGTTCTGAGCGGGGGCGTACATGCTGCCCTAGGCCAGGTTTGATGGGCTCGAATGCATTATTTGAATAATAATTTAATCCAGCATCTTAGGTGGACTGATGCACAACGGAAGCATCTCCAACGGTAGCAGTACTTTGAAGACAATGCAGTCTGCAATACTCAATCTAGTTGAAGTGGACCCTCTAAAGCTCCGGTCTCAATTTTGCAATGAAAGAACTCTTGGTATACAAGTGGAGATGTTTTCAGTGACAAGCAAGTCGCCCTTTTCCCATGTATGCTAATAGCAAACGCGCCAAACGTGCAACAGACTCTCAACCTTTTCACACGTATCGTTGCGGCCATCTTCGATCTCTACAAACGTTGGGTAAGAACACTTTTCTCCTGCGGCCATCGCTCGTGAAATCTTAGGCATATTTCATTAGTAGATCGATGAGACGTGACCAGAGGTATGTTCTCAGTTCTTTTATTGTCGATAGATGGGACGGCCACGGTCTATCTTGAATTCTTGTTATCTCGAGTGAGAACTCCTGAGGCAATTGTTGGAAGGTTAGTCGCGAAATCGAGGTCAAAGTGAACCCAAGTGTCCGAGGAACTTGGTGTAGCAGCAGCACAGACTCAAGCCTCGGCGGAAACGGTACAAGAAGCCCATTCCCATCACCATCGAGTATTTTCGGGTCTTAGCCATGTCATCAAAATGAGACGGCATTGATTCCTCACTGAAGATGTTGTTCGATACCTGGCCTTCCGATTGACAGTCTTTCATTTCCAAGACGAAGCCAAACTTCCAGGGTGTGGCTGACCAAGTTCTAGTGCAGCTGCAATGAACCTCTCCCAGTTCTTACTTCCTGGAAGCCTCCTAGGATGACGGGTGAATTCTGTTCTGGTAAAATAGCAGACGGAACTCGAAGTTTCGGGAGAAACATTTGGATATCGGCTGGGAAGGAACCAAGCCAGATGTGGTCTGGATGGTTATGGATTGTTGGATCGAGACCACTTTACCTCTTGGAAAACAGATCGTGGCACTAGACATGGACGGAGAGTCACGCTTGGCCCGGAATCAACTGCAGGGTCGGTAAGGGGAAGGGAAGGAAACGACCCACAGTTGACATAATACCTAGCGAGCGAGGGATGCAGAGGTTTTACGTGCTCTTAGATGGCGGGATAACCCAGGAGAGAACAGAAGCGGCAATTCGACTGCATATGGCGCCACATAGAATTCTCAAGGTATGCCTTGAAACATAGCAACGCTGAAGACGATGACTTTAGGCACATGAGAAACGGAAAGGTGTCCTGGCGGTGTGTCGCGCTAGCGGAGATGAATCGGGTGTCAAGACGATTGTGGGGTACAGCTGACTAGTGTAAATTCTCCGGCACTTTATCCTAAACCAACACATGGCACGTAGCCTAATTTGTCTACAACACTGTTCTCGCGGGATAATGAGCACCGAAGTTGCTCGTTCCATTGCAGGCTGCGAATGGAATACGAGCAGCTTGCACGCGTGGCTGGTGTGGAGGTCACGACAACCCTCGCTCCCACTCCTCCGTCAATCGTCCACCATCGGCCGAATGGAAGCTTCTTAGGACATTTGAGGGGCGACCAGGTGATGGCCAAGCTGGATGTTTTCCCGAAAAAGGTGCCCGCACATTGTCAATTGTTCCGGCCTACAGAGGACCTCATCGCACAGGACTATGCCGAAAACTCGACACATGCGTACAATTCTCTACTAATCCAAGGCACTACTGTTAAGGTTGCCGAGAAAGCACATCACCTAACCATGTGTTTATCTATTCTTGACAATTAGTTGCGGTGATTTGATGCCACGCCAGTGGCTCGCTACTGTTAACATGCCCAGGAACAGCTGTAATTGGAGGCGCATACCCGTATTTGACGTACCCAGGATTTATATAGCACGGCAGGGATGGTTGACGTTTCCCGGCGGCATCTCCATATTTTTCCGTCCTTGGAACAATGTACATCTATGCTAGCGTGAAAACGCAATATCACGTCGACTGCAATGGATTCCTATATATACTGTAGTTTTGGAACGTGTGAACACGGTACCGCCAAATCACCACAAGACCTGGAATTAACTTCCAAATTTTCGATCGCAATTTTCGCACGATGAAATTCTCCTCGGAGCTATGCGTCGCAGCTTCATTCGCGCTCACTGCGCTAGCCACTCCAGTCATGGAGAAGAGAGCCACGCCAACGATCTACCTTGCCGGCGATAGTACCATGGCGAAAAACGGCGCCAACGACGGTTCCACTGACGGTAAATTGCTTTTCCTTCCACCTACACACTTCTAGCTGATTCGAGACAGGCTGGGGGCAATACCTGAGCAAATACGTCACCGTTCCTGTCGTCAATAAAGCCATCGGAGGTCGCTCGGCCCGCAGCTACTCTAATGAAGGTCGCTTCACCGAGATTGCAAACCTCATCAAGTCGGGGGACATCGTGGTCATCGAGTTCGGGCACAACGACGGAGGCTCGCCCAACTCTGCCACCGATAATGGGCGTAGTGACTGCCCCGGCACCGGCGAGGAAACCTGCACGTCCGGGAAAGATGGGTCTACCGTGTACACCTTCGGCCACTACGTCAAAGCCGCTGCAAAGACGTACATTGCCAAGGGTGCGACTGTGGTCGTGAGCAGCCAGACGCCAAATAACCTGTGGGAGGGCGGATCGTTCAGCACATCGGCACCTAGATTTGTGGCGTATGCTGCGCAGGCGGGCAAGGAGATCGGGAGCGGTGCATCTTTCGTTGATCATTTCCAAGCTGTGCTCAACGCGTACAGGAAGTTGGGAAATGCGGCGACAAATGCGCTCTATCCCAAGGACCACACACATACTAGCCCGGCTGGTGCTGATCTGTCGGCGCAGGCTTTCGCGCAAGCGATCAAGTTGAACTTGAACGGCACTACGTCTATCGCGCCGTATGTGAAGGCTGGCAACCCCACTGTATGGTAGTCTGTTGTTAGCATATCAAGAGTTCAAAACCGACCCGGACAATTCCCTCGTGGGCAGATGTGCGGCGCATATGTACTACGAAGATTCTGTGGCAGTGGCACATCCGAGGTCGCTCGTGCACACATAACTGCATTTTTGAGGATGGAGGAATCGAAGGCCTAGGTTTGTCCACCTTGCGGCTCGTTTCAAGCTACATGTGTATCGAGACACAATCGTCCTCACGTTTCGGTACGGAGACACCACAACGTGAGACAGTCCCTCGACCAGGTGTGTATCCATCGCCTCCTCTTCCACCATGAGCCACTTACACCTTACACCTGGCCTACGCGAACGGGTTTCCCTGCCCCCGTTTGATATTCGCAAAGTCCTTCCAGAAGTTGTGCATCCTCACGGCTTGCCCCTCCGTGAACTCAGTGGCGCACTTTGGCCAGTTATAGTTCATGAAGTTGTTGATCGGATCCATCCCCTATACCATGCATCCCGTCAGTCTTTGGCCTTACTTCCCCACTCAATGGCCACTTACCGGTTGTCCTGGGCACGAGTCGATGGGTTTGCAGTTGAAGTACTCGTCATCCATATTCAGAGTCATTGGCTGGCGATGGATGGGGGTATCATCGACACTGTCGGCGTCGGGGTAGTCGCATTCTTCGGGACCGTCGCCGTGGCCCGTGTTGAAGGTGTGGCCGAGGCCCAGCCAGTGGCCGATCTCGTGGACGAGGGTCGATCCAGCGTTCAGGGGTGGCAACGCTTCGTAATGCATGAAGATGCCAATGTTGTCCGTTGTCTGGGCTGCGATTTAGTCCGGGCCTGTAAAGATTATGGAAGGGAAAGCGGGATACATACGCCAGCTACTCCGGGATAAAATTGTGTGAAGGTCCAAATGTTCAAGGTGTTGACCGTGCCCACATATGTGGACGCCTTGAGGTTGTAAGAGTCGAACAGAGGTTCCGTAGCATTGGCGGAGATGGCATCGACAGTGTGGTCAAAGCCCTTCATACGGAAGTAGAAGCCCCAGCGATTGAAATGCAGGTTGATGTAGTCCAAAACATCATAGAGACTCTTGGCCTGCAAAGAATGTTACTCACGTCCCGAGAAAAGCAATGGGAAACTCACAGTAAGGTACGATGGGTCGCCAATTTCGGAGACAGACTGGGCGTGGAAGTGGACCTCGACAGTGACGTTGTCGAAGTTGTTCACTGTCAGCCCCTGCGCGCGCTCTATGGCAGCATACCCTAGGCTCGTCTCTGCAAATCCATCAGACATGATTGTTCCGCATCCCAAATGCATGTCCAGGTCACGAACATGATGCGGGATCGCAGCCGCAGACGCCGCGCCAAGGAGCAAGGCGAGAACCACGAGGATCATGATAGTGTCTTGAGCTGCTGAGTAGTCGAGGCCGAGTACTGAGCAAGTGACCACTTCCAAAAATGGATCGAAAAAATGTGGTGGTACAAAGATAAGAGAGGGATTGTAGGAAGATGATGGAGAAAAGAGGTCAATTAGGGAAGTCTATATACATGTGCATTGCCGGGCATACAAACGCTTTCCGAGCCTCACATGGTAGAGGAAATGACGGGGACTTTCCGCGCGCTGGACACATGTGCTCATCACGAAGGATGTTTCGCGCCTAACTTTACAAGACGGATCGAAAAATTGAATGTAGCACCTAACATGCCGCGCTGCGCCTCCCAGTGTCAGGCTTCGGGGCCATTCTTATATTGTCGGACAAACGAGAAACTCACAGCAAACGCCAAACTAATTTGGCAGAGTAAACTCGGAGGCAAGAATTTTATGGGCAGCGGATTTTAGGGTACCGTTCTTCGGCTGATGTTGATCATATGGAAATTGAGGTGATTTACTTGCAAGGCAGTCGCCACGTCGGATGACGGCACTGCACAGATTCATGATGCCTGAGCACTTCGCAGAGTCTTCATGGAATATTTGGGAACCAGACCTTGGGGCGGATGAGTTTCTGGGATGTTTTCTGGAGATGGACGCAGACCGGAGACCTCGTAAAGCACATTCTGGACCACGAAACCGGTACTTGGTTCACTGGAGTAAAAGTGTCAAGGGAAAAGCTGCTTGAGACGATAAGAACTTCCGACAGTTCCGTTCTAGTGATGTCACGGCACGTTAAGAAGTAATGGATGTAGCCGGTAGGACGCGATAACTGGCGGTTGACCATCGATCCTATCAAAGCTTGGCATTTGCCGTCCTCGGGAGCTTCATGGACGGCGATCGGCATGTCGAGATGCAAGGACTCATCAGTAGATGGCCAGCCGTGCAAAGGGAAGCTCCTGACAATCGCCGGTCTCCCATGCCATGGTGTATGTGGTGTGGCTCAGGGAGGTTGACGATGGCTGTGACGAGACGGCGCCAGTGTGTCGTAAAATCGATTCTCGCGTTCCCATTGGCTAAAGAAGAGACCTCTGAATTGAAACGGGATCGGCATTGTAGGCAAGGAGCTAATCAGCATGGACAGTATTGGAGAGACTTGATTTCATAACGTAGAAGAAGGGACATTTAGCAAATTGAGTCCTGCTCACATGTACCTGGGCTGAGAGTTGGTCACGTGATACGAAATTCCTCGAGCCCAATTGCTGTTCCCAGGGTTCCAGCGCGTGAGATATGGAGGAATGCTTGATCACTGGGAGTCCTCGTGTAAGGATTGGACTAATATGCCTACGGATGTTCTAATGAGTTGTTGGCTGGCACAGGAATCGATACCAAATCATTTTCTTCAACCGAGCCTAGTTGAGGACATGAATGTACCTCACCATCCAGCATCCTGGAGATGGTGTGTTAATCAACCTGGACACCTCTGTATGAGAGAAGTTGATTGGGAATCATGAGCCTCGTAGGGTAGGTACAGTGGCCGACGAGGCAAATAAGAATCCCCAGCTGGCAACATTCACGACTAGCTATCATACAGTGAGTTTACCAATGCCCGATCACGCAAGCATTGCCTGCGCAAGGCGTGCGGCGACGTTCAAACATACTCTACGTCGTCCACCGTGAGGTGTTGCGGATGGACGCCGGGTTACGTAACGCCGATCGCCGCCTTGTCATTGGCCGCGCATTTTGCTGCTGCAAAATTGCGCCATGGCGTCAGACGCCCATGGTGGGGGCGGGGCACATGTTTTCACCGCGGAGCAAAAAATGCCCCTCGTTGAGCCTCAGCGCTGCGATTGCGAGAGTCCAGAGACCCAATTGCTCGGTCTGCGCTGGAGCAATGCCCCCGGGAGGCGCGTAGACGACGGCGCCGCAGTGAGGACCAACAAGGCCGTTCGCGGCCCTCCCGATGCCCGCTCGTTGCGCTTTCACTTCGAGCGCCCAGCGCAAACATTTTCATTGGGCCAACCGCGACCGGCGCCCGCAGTGACTCCCCGCTCCCGCTTGGGCGTTTGATGCGCAATTAAAAGCGATCCCGCGCCCCGCCCGCCCTCGTCGTCTTTCTTCGAACATGTCCGTCACCGTCGTGTTAGGAGCGCAGTGGGGAGATGAGGGCAAGGGCAAGCTCGCCGACATCCTCGCCCACTCGTCCAAGCTCTGCTGCCGCGCCCAGGGCGGAAACAATGCCGGCCACACCATCGTCGTCGACGGCGTCACCTACGACTTCCACATCCTGCCCTCGGGCCTCGTGAACCCGGGCTGCGTCAACCTCATCGGTAGCGGCTGCGTCGTGCACGTGCCGAGCTTCTTCAAGGAGCTCGAGGCGCTGGACGCAAAGGGCCTCCACACGGATGGCAGGATATACATCAGCGACCGCGCCCAGGTCGTCTTCGACATGCACCAGCTGGTCGACGGGCTCGAGGAGGTCGAGCTCGGCGGCGGGCTCATCGGCACCACCAAGAAGGGCATCGGCCCATCCTACAGCACCAAGATGACCCGCAGCGGCATGCGCATGTGCGACATCTTCAACGAGGACAAGTTCGAGGCGGGCATGCGGCGGCTGGCCGACGGCTACAAGAAGCGCTTCGGCGACCTGCTGCAGTACGACGTCGAGGAGGAGATCAAGCGATACAAGGTGCGCCTGCCGTGCTGTCGACGCCCCTCGTTCCAATTTGACTGACCATCCCAGGAATACCGCACCAAGCTCCAAGACTACGTCGTCGACCAGGTCCCGCTCCTCGCCTCGGCAAAGGAGAAGAAGACTCCCATCCTCGTCGAAGGCGCAAACGCCCTCATGCTCGACATCGACCACGGCACGTATCCCTTCGTGACCTCGTCCAACACCGGCCTCGGCGGCGTCATGACTGGGCTGACGCTCGGCTGGCGTTCCATCCGCGAGGTCATCGGCGTCGTAAAGGCCTACACCACGCGCGTGGGCTCGGGTCCGTTCCCCACGGAACAGCTCAGCGCCGACGGCGAGAAGCTGCAGCAGGTGGGCCACGAGGTCGGCGTCACCACCGGCCGGAAGCGGCGCTGCGGGTGGTTGGATCTTGTGGTTGTGAAGCACAGCCATGCGTGCAACGACTACACGGCCATCAACCTGACCAAGCTCGATGTCCTCGACGACTTCGACGAGCTCAAGGTTGCGACGAGCTATGCGTACAACGGGCAGACGCTAGATTATTTCCCTGCTGACACGGAGATCCTATCCAAGGTCGAGGTGCACTACGAGACGCTGCCGGGCTGGAAAACGGCGACTACGGGAATCAAGACGTGGGCCGACTTGCCCGAGAACGCGAGGAAGTACATTGAGTACATTGAAAAGTTCATTGATGTGCCGGTGAAGTGGATTGGCGTAGGCCCGGCGAGAGATCACATGATTTCCCGGTAGGGAATGTAGTTCGGAGGATGTCCTGGGGCGAATTACGCGAAGTGGTAGGGTTCTCATCAGGGCACTTCCCGCAATGGGAACTGAGAAGGTCGTCCTCGACCAATGCCCGGAATTGTACGCTCGTATGCGATAGAATATAGATGGATTATTTCCCGCACTTTCACGTAGGATTTTTGGGCTATAGCCAATCGACCCAAATGCTGCGAATGCACTTGACCTCTCACTCCAACTTGGGCTTGCTTTTCTCGACTTTGCACCCCCAGTGTGCAGGTATGACACCCAAGATGATTTCGGAGAAGACTATGTGTGTCAGTTCAAAGGCTTTTGCAAGCATCATCTTCGCTTACACCAATGGGTTCCCAATGCTATCTGAAGACTGATTGCACGAAGTGTCCAGTCTATAGCCCGTGGTATCCAACTACACGTGTCTTACCATTATTGTTACGCGCCCAAATATATACCAAGCGCATGCCCATATCGGCAGCACGCTGCCAGACAACGTGACCACTCCCAGTCCTGTAGGCCACACCGTATGTCAACACGAACAGGTATCCTCGCCAGAGGTTCAAGCCGAACCATCCCTCTCCCTCTTCCGTCCGTCACCGTGCTCCGGATGCGCCTTCCTATACTCCTGATACTTCTCCGCGTCCCAAGGATAAAACGTCTTCACAAACTCGACATCCTTCGGACTCGGCTTTGTATTCCTAGGAAACATCTTCTCGCTCCCAGGCACCTTGTTCCCATCCGCATCCCGCTCAATGGCGACAAGGACAGACGTACCGACATTCACTTGGTACCCCGCCTTGGAGAAAGAATACGAATCGTACAGCATGATGGAATCCACGTCGAAGCCGCCGGGGCCGTCAAACTTCGGCTTTGTGTTGACGTCCAGTCCGGCGCCTCTGACATACTCTGCCGAGGGAGCGAACCATTTCTCAGCGGTGAGTTGGTCCTCGCACAGAGCCTTAGAAGCAGTGGCGTAGTCCACTTTCGCTGCGACCCGGTAATGGTTGATGATGTCACTCATGCCCACGAGATTCGCACACCGGAACTCAACATGGTCGTCCCGGTCCCAGCGCTGGTGTTCGTGCGCCATGCCCACCGCTGCCACATCTCGCGTCAGTACTGCTGGCGTGATATGAACCGCGAAAAGAGACGTATCGACTCACCGTGCCCAACCTCATGCGCAATATCCCCCGGGCTTGCCCCATCACTCACCCTGATCCAATGGCGCCCAGGGCGCTCATACGGATCGCCCGTCCTGACATACCCAATCGTCGCCGACGCTGCGATGCCCCCGCTCTTCACCTCATCCACCCAATGCACCGCCAGCGTATCGCTCGGCCACTTGTCATGGTCCCAGTCACACTGAAAGTCGCTATCGGCCCTAGGCTGGTTCTCCGCCCCATACCGGTAGTTGGTACAGCAGAACCCCTCGTCCTTGGCGGGAAACCGGAATCCAAGAGCATGTCCGCTTATCGCGTCTGCGCCGCCATTGAGGGCTTCCGCCCATACACCTAGCGCGCCCCGGATCTTGCAGAAGCCACCTGTGTCGCCAATCTTCTCGTAGCTGCGCTGGTCGACGAAGCAGTAGGGGATAGTGCGTAGATAGCCGGTGTCGATGTGCCAGAGGGAGCTACGCATTGGCCAGGGGGAGACGCGGAGGTTCATGGAGTAGCCAGAGGACAGGTCTTAGGGTAGATTACGTTAGCGGAGGCTCTGCTTTCCAAGTTGATGTAAGAGCTTACACTCTGCGTAGCGCCTGGTGTGATTGGCATGGTTGGAGGTGCTGAGACTCGTGTTGCCGGTGGAAAAGTTGTGGGGTTGGTAGATAGGGGAGATGATCGCGGAAACGAGCTGTGTTGTGGCAGCACATCCAAGAATCTGAGTGAAGAGCTTCATGTTGTTGACATTATGGTAAGGGTTGTCAAGATATATTGCTTAACGTGGGTTAACGGGAGAGATCGAGATGATGGTGTACTTATTTAGCAAAATTCAAAAGGATGCTGGCGCACAGATCCATCGCCGAATCAACAGCCCACTGGTACCATCGTTAATGACGCTGTTTCTGAAGCGCAGTTGAAAATGCTTACGAGCTGTGGCCAGTTGGGCAATCAAAGTGCCACATTTGAAAGGGCGCCCAATAGTAAAATTATCATCCCAATCGCATGTTTGCTCGTAAGTCTCGTGTTATTTGGTCCCAGAATCAGGCGGCAATTTGCCTAGTTTGATCATGGGAAACATCAATGCTTGCATAGAGGAGATAGTCTTTCGGACTCCGCCAATTACTATATGTACGGACTCACTAGGCCATTGAAACACTGCCAGAAGCAGTGTCGGTACTGAGGCTATTTAGATAAAACTAGATGCATGCGTCTTAAGATTGTTTATTGCTGTACGAAAAGCATTTACTATCCTCGGTGATGCTATCGGAGTAGCTCTGATTTTGCAGCGCTGACAATTTCTCTTTATCGCCATCTTCAACAGCTACGTGGAAAAGAACCTTACATGTGGATATCCATGGTCAAGAATCATCTACACTTGTTCATGCTAGATTCTAATGGAGAGACTTTTGTTGCACTAGTGGGTAATTTCCAAATCCTCGTATATCTACTCTCCTGGCGGTAAAGACTTGACATCGTCAGCACTCTAGTTGAGCACTAGATTGGACAATCCAACATCAATTCCATTCCAAAAGGATCGGCTAGTACATCATCGGGCCCTGCCCAAACTGGCCTCCATCCGACAGAAGCACATTCCCATTCACATATGCGCCCGCCTTCGACGTGAGGAACAAGATAGCCCCAGCGATGTCCTACAACAGCATTAGCCACGACACTGCACCAAAGCATGCTACCGAGTCCCGTCTCACCTGTGCACTCCCGCTCCTTGTCATCGCATGCGTGTCTTTCGGCAGACTGCCCGGTACACTCCAATCCTCCCCATTCGAAGCAAACTGTACGCACCAGTCAGCGCTATCCCGCTTCCCGATCCACACATGGCCAACTCACCTCCGTCATCTCCGTGATATAGAACCCCGGCGCAATCGAATTAACCCTGATGCCCATCTTGGCGAACCCTGTGCTCAACTTCTTCGTCAACGCCACCACCGCCGCCTTCCCCGCGCCATACAAATAGCTCACATCCTCGCCGCGCGACAATCCCGCCATACTGCTCACCGTAATGAACTGGCTCTGGATGAAATCCCTGCGGCCGCGGCTGGCCTCGTGCGTGTTCCCCGCGTCGAGCAGCGAGAGGAAGGCAACAAAGGTGTGGAACACGCCCATGACGTTGACGTCCATGGTTTTCTGGTTCGCCTCTTCAGGGAGCGCCCAGAATTCGGCTTGAATCGAGGCAATTGAGGCGTCTGCTGCGCGGGGCGGGAGAGACGTCACGGGGCCGATGAGGCCGGCGTTTGCGACCACGGCGTTGACGAAGGGGGTTTGGGTAGCGATGGTGGCTGCGGCGGCTTTGAGGTCCTCTTTTTTGGCGACGTCACACTGGACCGGGATCACGTTCCCGTTGACCTGGGATGGTTAGAAACAGAGGATGAGGGCGAGACAGTGGGTGACGTGCAGCTTTCTTTGCCGTTCGCTCGAGCGCCTCGGGGCGTCGGCCCAGGATGAAGACTTTGGAGGCGCCATTGCGGTCGAGGGCGAGGGCCATCCATTCGCCGAGGCCGCTGCCGCCGCCGGTGATTACGAAGACCATGTCATTGACGTTGAAGAGATCGTGCAAGCCGAGGTCAGCCATATTGATGGGAGATTGGGAGGGTCCTGGATGTTGGCCGTGTTTGAAAGAGCTTGAGTACACTGTAGACGGGGTGGTGTCGGACGTGAAATATACATCTCTTGTGCGTGCTTGACCGACGCTTCAGGGTTGGGGGTCATGACTGATGGCTTCCGCGGAAGCTTAGGAATCGGTCGAAGGTTTCATAAGCAGCGACGCAATAAACGACCTTTCGCAAAATGAAAGTTTTGATGTTTGATATTTGGTTTGCAAGCACTGTTTTAGAATGTAGTTAGAACTTCGTGAGACTTTAATGTCTCCATTCAATATGGTAAGTAACCATTGGGCCGTTGAACCCGGAAATCCGGCCTCCTTTGCCGTGGGAACGCAAATCGTAGCTCATAATCATGAATCTTTGCATATTAGGTTGCTTTCATGCTGATGATGCGCAAGACTGGGGGCTGCACTAGCGGCGGAGTGAAGCGATGGATTCTTAGAAATACAACTGCGCCAAGATCGTGCTGTGCTGCATCCTTGTAAATTCTCGTGGAATGAAAGCATCCGACCTTTCTCGCCGTCCACCGATTCCCATGACCAAGAAGGTGTGCATGGAACGATGGGGCGTGTTATGTCCGCGCGACTAGAACACCACATAAAACCTCAGGCTGGCTTCATCACTTGCATGAGGTCGTCAATCGCGTAAGCGGTTTGTGTCCTGTTCTACTCCAGTATTTCTATAATGCTAGGTAACCAATCTTCCGTGCGGAACAAGAGAACGTCGCCCAGAGACTGTCTAACATAACAAAATTCGGATCGTACTCGATGGTGAGTTTACTTCCTCCTCCCACACTCTCTACAAATCGAATACGTATCTCAGGACCTATGACAGGATCTACATGGTCAATAGTATGAGCGGGCTCGTCCAAAGTTGACGTCAGAGAGAGTATTTGGCAAATCTCCCAACTTGGACAGCTCAAAGATACGATGATGTGCTACCTCTGCCCTGAAAATGGGAAGGCTGCGCGACTGAGGAGGTCAAAGGTCCACTGAAATAGAACACAACAACGCGTCAGGCCTTGCAAAATAGCATCAATAGTGCGTAAGCGAGCGGGCGATTAGTATAGATTTTGAAGGTCGGATGCCGCATTGGGATCCTGGAAGTCTATGTGTCGTGAAATAGCTCTGGCCAGCGCATGGTCCCGTTCACGACAATTGCATAACAAAAGAAAGCTCTCGCAAGGCCCACAGCTATGAGCCTCGACCTTTCCGGGTTCGGGGCATGTTCTTTGGAGAAAGCCTCGAAGAATAACAAAACTCTTGCCAAATCTGGGCCTTCGCGATTACCGTCCAGCGTCGCTAGGCAAAGCGAGTTATTGTGGGTGTACCATTGAAGGTGGTTCATCTATGAAAGCAGGTTCATGATTGACCGTGTTACCTATTCCGCGCAACGCTGAAGCAATATCCGGAGAGTGACTTAGACGAAATGCAAGGTGCTGAAAGATGATAAGGCATGGCAGCAGAAGATACGGGAGGGTGATGAGTTAGTGCAACGGGTATGCGTCGTATGGAGAGGAGGGAAGATAGGTCGCGAGGCGAGGGCAGGTGCGTTGCAGATAAATATGACAATGATAGACAAGCAGGAACGATCTGTTAGAGCATGTGCAGTTGGCAGAAGGGAAGCGCAATCAAGAACTGCTCACATTGGGTATAAAACTCTCGTCTCATCCAGACCACTCACTTCGCTACTTTGAAGCGCCGCAAACCCCGCACCGACCTACATCGCCGGCGTTGACATACTGGCTGCCTTTACACGCGGTACTTTTACAGCTCCATTGATGTGGATCCATATGAGGGTTCAGAACGTGGGCGCACGCCATGCACGTGAAAGAGCCAATTTCGTTTTCAAGCGAGCACACCGTGCACGTGGTGGTCGCGAGCGCAGGGCGACGTTCCGGAGATTGTGCCGGGCGACGCTTGTATATCTCGTCGATGTGGATGACCTGCGCGGACGACTTTGTGTTGGTGGAGTTGCTTAAGGCGGCGTTTGATTTGGCAGGCAACGGCTTTGGGGTTTCTGTGGAATGTACCGAGGAGCGAGAATCCTTCGCTGCGGTGAATGATGAGTCTGTAGACGGCTTAAGCTTTGGCTTCGGCTGGTTCAAACCTTGCAGCTCGTCCATCTCGCGCTGGGAATTGCCGTCTTTTGTGTCTTCGTCCTCGCAGATCTTGACGAGGGCGCGGCCCTTGTCATCGGTCATCTCTTTACCGTCCACGTCGATGGCCGCACCGCCCTCGACAAACTCAATCTCGTCGTCTTCTGTCTCGCTATCCGAGGGAGTCTCTTCGTTCTTCACTTCGACTGGCTCCTTCTTGGCTGTATCGAATCGCGCCAGTGCTGCCGCAGCGCGAAGTTCTCGACCGCGGGCACTACCGGCCACTCGAGGCTTGCCTTTCTTCGCAACGCCACCTTCGAGCTTGACCTTGGTGTCCTCATCCGACCCCAAAGATTGGCCGCCTGCGCCAAACTTCTTCAAGATCCGGCGCTGCTTACGCTCCGCATACGTCAAAGTCTGCTTGGTGTCGCCGCCGCGTCGTCTCTTCTTAGAGGAACGCCGACCGTATGTGCCGCCGCAGACGTGCTCGGGCATGTCGCTGGGGTCCCTATCCTCCTGCTGCAAGGACCCCGTGTCCAGATTCCTGCCGCGTCCCCACATGCCCTCGCCCTTGTATCCCTTCGCCCACAGCGCCCTCAGATCCTCCGCGTAGGCGTTCCGCACCTTCCAGAAAGCGGGCGAATGGTTCATCTGCTTGCAGTGTGCAAGCTCGTGGACCATGACCATCTCGATCATCCGCTGCGGTAGCCACATGCCGGTCCGATCGCGGAGGACGAGTTGTATGACCTCGCCGGCGTTGAAGTTGCGGCCGACGAACTCGCGGTTGAAGGGAAACTCCTCGAGAGCTTGGACAAGGACCATGTTCGACTTCATGAATGGGTAGCACACGGCAGCGACCCGGCTGAGGATTTCCTCGGCAGTCTTTGCGGTCGGTCCAGGTAACGGCCGAATGAAGTTAATGTGCGCATTTGGGCGCTGAGTGCGCTCATTGATGCGCTCGAAACCGAGGGGCATGGTGAAGGTTTGCGCATACGCAGGCCCGTAGCTTTATGTGCGCGGTCGGTGTTTCGGCGAGTGTTACAGAGGTTCCATGCGAGCCTCGGGAGGCGCTGTTAGGCGTGCGTGCAATTGCACTTTCTCAACGAGCGTGGTTTGGTAGTGATAGCGCGCTGAGACGAGGTCAGGCACTTGTGCAGGGTGGAGGTGGGGACAGGCGTCGAGGGTAAGATTCCTATCAAGGGATACGCGAGGGTAGGAGCCAGGGCAAAAGAGCTGTTGAAGCGAGTGAAGATGTGAACTGAGCAGGCGCGATTGCTGATGGCGGTGGGGGCGCGCTCGGACTTAGCGCGGGTTTAAGCGTCTGGGGCTGGTGCGTCGCGCACGCAGGGTCACTCCTTCCGCGCGCACTGGCTTCCTTCACCCTCACACATCACCTCACCTCATGCGCTGTATACTACATTGTTCATCAGGTGAGTACTAGGCACGCCAGGCCAAAACACAAAATTGAAGTAAATCATTCCGAACAGTGGGCGTGTAACATCCTAGGCATGATCAGAAACGCCGTCTCCAGGAATGTTTTCCACTCCATGAATCCCATCATCATGAAGGCACAATCCACCATCAGCATCTGCTCATGGCAAACCTCATGCCAGTCTACGTGCCAAATCGCCATCAATATCTCAGTCCAACCCCAGCTTCCATCTAAGCCTAGCTAGGTGGTGCCGGATCCTCCCACGAACCGCAGGAGATAGACTTGACCGGGAATTTGAACCCGTCAGGGCCGATGACGCCAGGGCACGGATCGAAGACCTGGAAGTTGCCCTTGCAGTTGGGAAGCCTGCCAGCCGTTAGCGTTTGCTCTACCCGAATCACTCCAGAGAAGGTGTAACTTACTCCCACATGGCGCAGTAGCACTCGCCTACCAGCACGCCGATGACCTCCTTGTGCTGGTCAATGCAGTGGACGTTGTTGAAGTAGGACTGGGTGCGGTCGGCGTAGGTGATAAGGATGCACGACAGCGATTTGCAGCCGCGAGGTGCAAGGAGAGGTGACGCGGGCGAGGTGTCCACGTAGTTGTCGAGTGGGGCGGCGGTAGTGAAGGCCGCGATGGTGAGGGCCGTGAGGACAGCGAAGAAGCGCATATTGAGTATGCTGGAGAATTTGTGTATTATGTGGTTTTGTTGGTCTGTTCAAATTTGTTGTCTGACCGAACGTAGCTGCGGGTGTATCGAGAGTGGTGGCGGTCTCTGAGCATCCGGAGGCGGGCTTATGTAGACTGAGAGCAGAGTGTTAATTTGCTAGCGTCGAGCTCGCGCGACCAAAGCGTCAAGTTCAGTCGGGTAAGATCGCTGGCCAAACTAAAAGGTGAGTGCGAGGGTGTCGAAATGGTGATGAGCTCGGGAGCACCGCGGCGAGCTTATGTAGGGAGGGCTTGCGAATGCTGGACTACTAACACCTCGCTCGTGAGACCGGAGCGTCAGTCCCAGAGGCTAATGCTCTGATTACGACCCTGCAGTTTCATCCAGAGCCGACAGTTGTTGATCGTGGAACAGGAGATCTCACGATAGCGTTGGACATATGAGCGGAGGTTGATATTTGGTACGAGCCTCCACCAACCAAGCTCTTCGGCCTATGTACTAGCTTTCAGGTCACCCAGGAGCCTCGACGCACGTTTATCGCTCAGCTCCCGATTCCCCACCGGAATACCCAGCTCTCTTCTCCCAACTACCCAGTGCTGTTCGTATATTGTAGACCCGACCGTGCCAGAACCGGTGGTAGATCAGTGTTGGCCAGATCTGAGCAGCGTGTCAAGCCCGCAAGCACATAGTCACTGCCACACGTCAGCTGCCTTGCACACATTATCAGCCATGCCACCAAGACTCACTTAGTTCACATTCCACGGTGGTATCTACGCGAGCCGCGTGCAATAACACCTTGGTATCAAATTTTCCACAATCTCATTGTCGTCAGCGAAGTCCTAGCAGAACCCATTTTGGCGCTAGACCAGGATTTCAAAAGAGAATTTATATCTGCCCCAATAAGCAGTCTGTGAAATGACTAGTGAAGCCTGGCATTCAAATGTCGCACTGTTTCGTAGGGTCATCTCGGATTCCGTAGCTGATTGCTCCACGCCGCCAAGACCCCCATAGCGAATCAGAATACCAAAATCAACAAATATATCTGATGGCGCGCGCCGTAAACCGACCAGGGTTTTGAGTAGCAACACAGTCTGTGTGAGACTACCATGCGTTCAAGCCGGACTGATCCCACTTCCCTGGCAGCCACGCCCAGGTTACGCTACTATTTCACAATCATAGCCGAATACATGCCCATAGGGACCAGGATGAAGTATTACACTTCGAATTTGGAAATGAATTGTTAGAATGAGTATCGTTATTGAAAATCAGGACAGGAGGTAGAAACACGGCAAGGAATGTCGGCAGTGGACGAAGCGCAGCGGGTCAAGGGGGATAGTAAGAAACTTGATGGGGTATATGATAGTTTAGGGCGTAGACCGCCAGTGGTGTTCGAATGCAGCATCCATTGATCAACAAAACAGCACTGATTAAGGCGGACTTTACGGAAAAACGCGCAAAACTTGATGTACTCTCTCTCTCTCTTTCTCGTCCACTCGAATTTTGTCATCTCTACTGTTTCCATAGTCTTCCTCTTGCACGGTATCGACGCCGCAGAGTACAATCCGATCTCCCAAACCCCTCCGACCCCGCAACTGCAGCCATTACAATTCACTCTGAGAAAAATCGCCGAACCGCTGAAACATAATCTCTCTTAACGGTTCAGACGCTCGTTGTGGGGCATTTCGTGCGCATATGCTAGGCAGCAATATGGTGCTGATGTTTTGGCTTCGCGGGTGGTGGAGACATTGGGCAGGCGAAGCTGGGAGGGTATCTTCTCAGCAATTCAAGAATATTGTTTGAGCATTTGCCGAGAGTCAGGGATAGTTGGGACGTTGACAATACAGGGATATGTTGAATCGTAGTACATCGAAAAGCTCTCGCCCCGCCAAGCCATCCCTGTTGCCTATACGGGAAAATAGATTATGCGAAAGCCGCTGTAAGAGCGTTAATGACAGAAAAGATTCCCAGTAGGAAGCTCTTGGTTGAGCCTGGTGAAATCCGTATCAATTGTACTAGACTATGCAGGCGCAAACTTCGAACAGACAGAAAAAGGTTGTATTGCACACCCAAGACCATAATCGCATAACACGTGGTATCGTAGCCCCATAACCCCCTTTTTCGAGACACCCGAACTCCAACATACTAGTGCCCATCCTTTCCCCTCCTCAGCATCTTACTTAGTCGTCTTCTTCGGCAACGTCTTCGTGCAATCCTTCAATCCCTTCAACTCCGCGCTCGTCACCCCCAACAAACTCATCCTAATATACGCCTTCGCATAATCCTCATTCCAATGCGGCTGATCCCCTACAAAGCTCAACCACTCATCGTTGATCTTCGGATGCACGCTCAACTTCTTGTCGCTGGGGAGCACAAAGATATCCGGGTTTTGCGGCTCTTGCAGGGTGTCGTTGTAGAACTCGACGTCCCATACGCCGGGGGTCGTGTCGAGGGGCTTGCCCGCCTGAGAGGTGTCGACAAAGCGCTGTTTGGCTGCGGCGTGGGCTCCGACGAGGGCAGCGAGGTCGTGCGCGGAGAAGCCTTTCCGCTCGAACAGCGCGATGAGGTTATCTGGACTATCATGTACGTCGGGTAGCTTGCCCGTTGGCGCAGGGCCTGTGGCGTCTTTGCGGCCGACCCAGGTGCGGATGCGCGGGCCCTTGGGGCAGGAGATGGTCGCGTGGTTATGAGCGTACTGCGCGAGGTCTGCGTAGCCGACTTTGAAAAGAGCCTGGACTTCGCGGAGGAGGAGGCGAACGGATTGAAGGCCATTGTTCTCCGGGCGGTCGATCTCGCCGAAGTCCATCATCAGGGAGCCGTCGGCGCCGCCCGTCGTGGTGTCTTTGTCCCAGGCGCCGGCGTCGTGGAAACCGAATCGGATGGCGGCGCGGGCGGCGTCGTTACATTCACCATTAGTTTCCTTGAAACGCTTGGTGAGTTCGGCAGAGACATCCCACCCTTGATTCAGCTGTTAGGAGAGATGAGCAAAAGTTTGGGGGTCTGTACGTACAAACACAGCATTTATCGACAGCTGATAAGCAGATCAGTGGCTTGCTTGAGATATCACCGTCCGCCACACCAGACTTGACACCAGTCAAAATATCTTTGATGGACTGCCGGATTGCGTCGAGTGTGCCCGTTAGCAAGCCATCAATGAGGCCTGGTGATGCTTCCCGTGTCTCAAGAGGTGTAGCGAAGGCTGGGGACGCCAAGGAAAGGAGAGGCAGAACCAGCAACGCCTTGTGGAACATTGTGCCTGAATAACGGAAGAGTAAAGGCGAGCGTACAAGGAGGGAGTCAACCTATGTAAAGAGGGTTGCTGACTGCTGCTGTGGACATGACAGGAAGTGCACCTTCTTTATATATCACGAAGATAATACCCATCCTGCAACTAGTATTTCGATAACATTGCCTTAGACCGAGGGATCAACATGGCTACGAGAATGGTGCAGAGCTGAGGCCTGGCCTGGGTATGAACAGTCTAAGAATAGGCTGTGGTCTTTACAAGGCTGGTAGCAATCGTCCAGGATCTAAGCCATACTTTACGAGGCGACATGAGCCGATGAAGCAAAGTCTACAGCCCAAGACCCGGCGGCAAAGGACTGCCCGCAGTCGGCGTTGTGTCCGGCAATGCCAAGCTTTCTCTGGCAGTAGAGTTCAGCAGATTAGAGTGTCGGACGTTGAGCTTGGCGAGAGCCTCGAACCGGATTGTCGCTTCTATGATTCGGATATGGTGCTGACGGTCTCGTATATTTCCTTCTGCACACACCAACAGTACAGGCAGCAGAGTACCCACATCGATCTTCCACTGGCCAGGTGGGCCGGTGTGCGTTGGCAGAACAGAGCCGAAAACTATCTTCTTTTCGCGTCGGCGAGCTCGCCACCAGGCTCCCAAAGCAGTCTTTGATCAAGATGATCGGCGCGAGTTTAGCATATCGCACACTGCACTCGCGTAGTGAACTGTATCCCGACGCTGTTTTCTCACCGTTTATTCACGGAGGGTCGAACCTTTGAGCTCAATCCAAATCCAAATGGTGTGACAGCAGCTGTAGGGCTGAGAAGGCACTGAGTTAGTGCCCACAAAGCATGCAACAAGTCGTCTCTGACTGCAGTTGAAGCTGTGCGCATAGAATGCTGTGATCCTGAGACTGACAGTGTTGACCGCAATCTGTCTCACAAGAAGGCGTTAGACACTCGGCTGACGGTGTTGCGTGGAGACCAGTGAGTGGTCGAAGTCACGCGGTGTACGCGCTAAAGTACGCCGTACCGTGGAGAGCCGACCAAGCCGGTCTTTCGTATTGGAGCGCCACAAGCCACCATCGAAGCGACGTAATCCCAAATGCATCCTACAAGACTGGAGAATAACGAAGTCCGTCCTCAACGCCGAGTCAATATGAGAATGCAGGAGAGTACGTAAGTTGTGTGTTGGCTCTGCTCAAACAGTGTCTCGCTCTACGGGCTTGGCATCAGCCACCACCTGAGCCGCAGTTGATGGGATCCGACCCAAAATCCAGCATGGCGGGTTCACTGCCAAGTCTCATCCGCAGGTACGGGGTCGTGTCGCACGCTTTCCTCAAAGCCGCTTCAAGCAATAAATCTTCGCAGGAAAGATGCAGGGCGGAGGAGTAGCTGACAATCAGAAACATGCGGATTGGGTGGATTCAGGCGCGATAGCAGCCAGCCTAAAGTTAGGCTCTGGGGGAAAAGCATAGAGCGGAGCGGAGGCTTGGCGATATGCCTGATAGCTGAAGGCGTCAGGTCTTGTGATGCGTCCATGTAGCATCTCGCCACATCATGATCTCTTTCTGCTGTGTGCGTCTCCGCCTCTTCGACGCATCAATGTCAGACTCATGGTAAGCTAGTTGTAGTTCGCGCTGGTTTCCGCGTGGCGGAGGAATCGATAAATGCAGTGTCTAGCTGCAGGTCCGCGCCCAAAGCGGATGAGTGGGTCTCCCCCAAAAGGACATTCGGACGCAAGTGGGAAAGATGGCAAAAGTTGCGATGCCGCGCACGGTGCACTTCCGAGGGCTTTGTTGTACTGGGAAGCCCTGCATAGGGCGGATGTTGCCTGCGTGTAATGCGACCCTGGAACCGATTCTGCGCATGGTCTGATCAAGCCACCGGATCACACAAAACAATAGTATCTCAGGCGGTGGCCGCATTGGTAACCTGTCAAAATGCAAGACATTCGAATCCTGTAGAGTTGAGAATTTCTCAAAATCGACAGAGAGGTGTGGGTGGAGACACAAGACTTGTTGGTCGAGATCCGGCTGCGCCCCAAAGGCCCCTGCGGATGAGCTGCAGCAACACGGGCTGGCCCGAAATCCTTTGCCGAATGCTATCCATGTGGTATTCGGGAGCAACGGACATCGGGACAACATACGAGTCAGCTTGTGCAACCACATCTTGGTATTCGCTACATTGGTATGAGCAAACAGTGATTGGACACAGACGAAGGCTGCATAACATGCACGTATCGTTCGAGAGTTCCGAGAACACGGACTTGCAGGACCACATTGGGACTAGGAGCGTTAGCATGAAGAGTCAAAAGAATCAATTGGTATAAGTTAGCCTAGCCTGGTCTCCCCGCAAGAATGAGCTGAGAATCTGGCACCTATTGCAATCTCGGTGCATCCGATATCCACATTGTAGCAAGTGTTCCCCCAAACATCGAGCACATCCGCCGTTCCGACTTTTCGCAACTGTACTGGCATGCATGCAAATGGTATCATCGCTTAACAGCTTATTTCTTCCGCGCGTCGACCTTCTCCTCGAGCGTCTTCACGTAGCTCTCTATCCGCTGCACAGCCGACTGCAGAGCCTGTAGACGCATTAGAACTCGCCATCTAGATGTATCGTGCTGCGGGCCCGCGAATGGGGTGACGGCACGCGAGGTAGCTGGGCTAACGTACGTAGATGTCCTCGGTCAATAGCTCGTTCGCAACTCGGTATTCGTCGATGACATAGTAGTACATGCCGGCGCCGGCGGTGGTCGCTCCGAGAAGGAATCCAAACAGTCTGATTTGCCAGTCAGTACAGTTGCATGCTAAGACGTTGCTGGTTCGCAAAGGAGCTTCGTCTTGTTCGGCCAGAAAGCATCTCCTGCCGAAGCGTGACTCACCCTCCACGGAAGGCGCCGACGGGCTTCTTGACCGGGGCAGGCGCGACCACCTCCTGCCTCAGCGCATTGCTTGTCTGGAAGCCGCGGACCGGCACGCGCTGAATGCTGCGGGCAGCTGTCCGGCCTGCCGGAATAAGGAATCGTGATGCCATTCGTGTCAATGGCTCCCGCGTGAGTATGGGCTGGCTGCTTTTCGAGAGCGTGTAATCTGCGATATGCGCAGTCGTTTGTGGGATGTAGTGGGCGCGCGATGGGCAGGTGACGTTGATTGTTGTTTGTGACCTGAGCTCCGCACTTTCGAGCTTCCCCATTTGCCAAGCTCCGCTAGCCGTCCTGGGTATGCTACCCACTCCTCGTCCTCCTACCTTCGCAGTCATCGCCAGGGCCACGTACACGCATTACCTCCAGAGCTCCTCACAACAGAGCTCAATAATGTTAACATTTGCCGCCGCCACGATGCGGATAACATTCATGCGTCACCGTGGAGGCCTGAATCCCAGCATCTTGTTGAAACATGGAAGGAGCGACACAGCCTCAACTGGGCAGCAGTCATGAACAGCTTTTGCCCAGTGCATGGCCAACCAACCGACCATGCCATCTTCGCGAGATATCCTGTTGCCTACCGAGCTGACAGACTTCTTTTTCGCCGAGGGCGATGAGAGCGAGCACTTCCCCGCCATCTTTCTGTACACCATCTGGCCCATTCTGCTGGTTCTCATCTACCCTACTCTTTTCATTGTCTTCCTTATCGAGGGAATCGTGGAGCTTGTTTTTGTGTGTTGGCTGAAGACAAGAGGACTATTGGATCTTCACCCACTGTCCACAGAGGGGACACCCTTGCTGGCCTCGGAAGACCGAGCGGAAGTCGCATCCCGCCGAAACACTGTCGCAACTCGATATCCTGCCGTTGATGTTGCAGCGATCGATCTTTCTGAACTGAAGCATGGAGCTCAAATCTCGTCGCTTCCCGTCCGCTTGGTCGAGATGCCCATGGAAGACCCATCTCACATTGCAGTTGTGAGTTGGCGCTGGGACTTCTCCCAGCCAAATACCCTCTCGTCTGGTCTATCTCTCAATGTCGCACAAGCCATCAAATATGCCAAAGCCCACGGTATTCACTTCCTATTCATCGACATTATCTCCTTGGACCAAAATCTCTCGCCCGAGGAGCTTATCCCAGAGGTTGCGCGCTTCAGCACATTGTACGAGACTATACCCGTCATTGCAGCGTATGATGACACGCGCTTGGACTTTGAGTACATCATGATTCGACCATGGATCTTCAGTGAGATCAAAAAGATGATGCGCAACCCGCACAAGATCGTCTACGTGGGGCACCTCCGCCAGGGCACTTACATATGCAAGAGCGTCCTCCACTGGTGGCTAGGTCGCGTGCCACGTCATCGTATGGCAGATACCAGATTCTTGAACCAGTTGCGGAAAGCTTGGTTCGCGGACTATGTGCCTCCCGTGCTAGCGCTGCTGAATGGGCACAATAACATGACGGACATTCACGACTTCAAGTTCATCATTCCGCCGCTAGCAGAAGCCTTTACCGCTGCAGAGAAACTGCCACCGAATGACTACCTCTTGACGATAGCTTTGCTACTGTCTAATTCCCAGTGGGGAGGCATTCGAGAATATGACGTGGAAGGTGCCTTTCTGGGCTTACCGTACACCAAATACCAGGTGCGGTCCTTCGTAAGCAACAAAGAGAGGGCAATGACAAGCGCTGACAATTATACCGTCAAGCACATCGAGCATACGGAGATGCATGAGATCCGCTTGGGCGATGAAAAGATTGCTACGTTTTCGTATCGTCACGATCACTGGAAGGACACGCTGGTCCCGCGATACACAGTCACTGTGGACTTACATATAAGACGACGGCTACTTGGGATGCTCGAGCTGGACACAGATGACGCACGGTACGCCATTAGCGATGATGATATGGTGGGATATTTCCTAGGGTCGACTCTGAGCGAAAGCCAAAACATCGAAGTAGTTGAACAGTGAGTTTGGTCTGTTGAACTGCTCTCTTCAAGCATCGGTGTCGGTGTTAAGGTCCAAATTTGAGACCAATTATCCATCCACGCAAGATCTCGTGGAAGCTGCACTTTGAGCGGCTTTGTATTGTGAAATGACAACCCAGACAGGGGGAGAAACTTGGTTGCTGTCGCTGAATCCTCAGAAAACTAACATGACTCCGAGCACACAAAATTAACACTCCACGCTCTTCATCTCAAGGCAGCTCATTGCACCACTGCAGTCTCAGCCGCAATGTGCCAAGACCCGTACCAAAGAGTAAATTGCCTGAAGGCAGACCATCAACCTACCGAGCCACCACTCCTCTTCAACCTCTGAGGAAGTGCGGTAGCCTTTTGCTAGCTAGACAGTTAAAGGCCGTAAGCTTCTCCCGTAATTTCCGGGTTCTTATCCAGGCACTCATTATGCCACTCGACAAGAAGGAGCGCCAGTGTCATCGCCATCGTTGAAGCGGACACGCTTGTAACACCCGGAAGCAGCGCCAGTAATATTGCCTTCATTAGAGGGCAGCCCGTCTGAGGGTCTTAGAAGTCAAATTAGCCCTACTCTCGCCTTTCCCAAGAGGCTAACGTACCGCCACGGCCTGAACCGCTGTCGCCCGCTTCCTTCTCAACATCCAAAATCGGCAACGGTGAAGACTCCAGAAGCGCCTCGAAATTATCCCAGACGTGCTCCTGAGAGCGAGTGCAGATACCTTAGTGTTCGACGTCGTCGGCGAAGTGGGCTTCTTCAGCTGTGTGCGCATCGAGGCCCTCGTTGGGGCTTCGTTTGGTACAAATGTCACGACTCGACCGTCGGGAAGTACGAATATGCTGCCTCGATGGTAAAGTGTGGGAAGATTGACGCAGTATTCAGATACACGGGCGGGAGCTGGATGCAGGCGTTGGCGCCAAGAACACGTGTGAGATACTGTGTCTGAGGAGTTGACATCTTGCTCGAGGGTGGTTGTTGTTGTTGTTGTCGTCGTCGTCGTCGTTGAAGTTGCCAGAGTAGCATACGCTTGAGGTTCATCTCATATACTGCGAGCTACGAGGCACGGATCGGAGCACGTCAACTGTAGCGCTTTGGGCTCCATATGAAGCTGTGACCTTGATGCAGAAGCTTGATCAATTCAGGCGCAAACTGTCCCAGTATTCACGCCTTGACCAAAACGTACAGTCACCGCGAACAACGGTTTTGCGTCCGAGCTTTGGTCCGAGTGACAGTGCAACTAATCGGAGGCAGAAAATCGACAAAGAATTTAGGTACCATCACGAGGCTTGAAGCATAAATACTCACATCATCATAATCATCGCACAAGCACGTTTGTACAATTCCATAGTCGTCTTTCACATTTTGTACCCTGACCGGGGGACAGGAGCTCAGCATACTTCCTATACAGCATACATTCCCGGTCTCAACCGCGGATGCTCTGTGAGCAGACTCATACTCCCTCTTATGTGTATTGACACAACTTCTCGAACATATTTCGTCGCCACGTTTCTCTCAGCCTTCGGCCTTGTCATCAAGCAACGGGCCTTTCTTTCGCCCAATATCAGACTGCTCATCGTCCACCATCTCAGACCGTCTTACTCGGATCCACTACCCCGCGCCTCTTCCCAGCCTCTCCCATCTTCTATTCATCTCCTGCGTCATCATCCGGCTCGTACTCCGAGCGCTCTTCTGACTCAGACGCAGGCCCAGTCTCAGTCTCCGTCTCTGGTTCCAAAGAGCCCTCGAACTCGGCGTCCAAATCGGAGCCGTTGTTTTCAGCATCGGGGCGGCGCTCAGGGCTGGGATTGCTGGACCGAAGCGCCCTAGCCTCGGCCTGCTGGCGCTTGAACCGCTTGAGCCGCACGATATTAGACTCCTGCTTCCGGCGAACTGGGACAACGACGGGCTCGGAGTCGGTGGTGTCGGGGTGGGACGCCCTGTCGGATCGGACGGGCTGCTTGGCCCTACGGGTGGGCGCGACGATCGTGGGAGTGGATAACATCGACGAAGGGGGAGAAGATAGCGACGAAGTTGAAGAAGAGTCGTCGGCCAAGTTCTTGCGTGACGCATTCTTGCGAGCTGCGTGCTTTTTGCTGGCGGTCTTGCGGTTTGGCGCGATGACCGTGGCGGAAGACGATGAGGATGAGGTGTGAGCTTCGTAACTGGACGCGCTGGCCTCGTCAATCTCGTCCTCCTCGTTTCCGCCCTTGTAACCCGCGTCCTCATCGGTTGCGCCCTCATCGGTTGTGTCCTCTTCGGAGTTCAGCAACTGGTCGTAGTAACGCACGTTCCTGTCATGCGCCGTCTCGTCACCGACCGAGTTCTCCTCTTCAGCACCAATCGTGCTCCCACCACTCAAGACAGTGCTGGGCGAACCATAATGCGTTCCACCGCTCTCAGTAGCGATGCTCTGGTCTTCGAAAGCTGGATATGGAGCGTTCAGCTCCCCGCGTGGAACCGACGTACGCCACTGAAGGACACGTTGATCCGAGAAAGGGACATCGGTGCAGTCCTCAATGTCCGCATCAACATCGCCGTCCAAGTTTCCCACGTCCATCATCTCTGAATTTACGTCTGGAACCTCAGAATCCGACGCACGGGTGCTGAAATTGGAATCAGTGACGCCGTGCTGCCGGGCGACCTGCTCGTTGACCAGCGGGACGGGCTGCGCAGTGGGGTACAGCTGTGCTCCCTGGGGGCTGTACGTGATTTGGCGCCCATCTGGGAGGGTGATAGTGCCGCCTCCAATCTCAAAGTGGATTGTGATTGCCGGCGTGCCATCATTTGAGGGAGGGAGTTGGATGGAGGCGCCCATGCCGGGGATACGCGTCAGCATGGGGTAGCTCGGAGTTGCAGGAGCGGCTGAAGGACCAGCGGCAGACATTCTGGCCGTGAGTTTGTATTTGCAAAAAATTTGGGTTCGGTGTGGGCCTTGGATTTGGTAAGGTGACGGTTCACGCTGCAGTTGCGGTTGTGTGCGTGTGTTCTGTCAGTTGTGGTGGGGCTTTATGCTCTGGGGAAGTCTATTTTATATATATTTAGCAAGTGGTAAATTTCATTGAATCGCCCTGACCATGTCCAGGTTCGAAGGTATGTGGTGATCATGTGGCTGCACTATGCTCAATTATGGTCAAGGGGAGCCTTTCCATGTATATCTATCTAGATGGCCAGTAAGGAACATCAGAATGAGATGAGGATAGATAGTTAACTTACAGAAGACATGATACTATAGAATATCTGGGGGCGAGTTTAAATATTTCGAAACCTCCCACCAACCCGGCCCCCAGTATCTGGTGCTGAGTTAACTGACAAAATATTTAGACATTGTGCATGGCATGATGGATACGCTTTCAACGCAGCGGGGCAGCAGAAGATCTACAACGACGCTCCCTAATATATATCAGTGCAGAACGATTGATGCATGAGCTTCAGCGGCTAGGACAACTTGATGTACAAATCAAGGCTGGGTCAACCGCTCTCGCAATTCGGATGCACACAAGTTTCCATGGCGCGCCTTTGCGCATGTCTTCCAACTTTTAGACACGTATACCAAAAAAAGCTCTTGATAACTAGTTTTGGAGGAGGCTAAATCAAGTTTCAAATCAGTTTGCGCATGTCTATACTACGTTATCGAAAGCATCAATCATACTACATCCACTCCACTCGCCCTAGCCATCCCATACCTCGACTCCTCGCCCCTTCCAGCATTTACTCCTCTCCTAAGCCCTGGCTGCACACTCTTCTGCGTGACCAAGCTCTTCCTCTTCAACGCGTCCCTGATCTCGTCCACACTGCTCTCACTCCATGCTTCATAGCCGCTCCTACTAAGCGGATGCATGAGCTGATTCTTATCACTCTTCACAAATGTATCCGCGTCTTTGGGCGCCATAGCAGCAATGATGTCAATGTCAACAGCGAGCTGCGCGCAGAAGTCGTCGAGCGGCAGGTCATTTACGTCGTGGCCGAACGGGTTCTCGATCTCGCGGCCAATGGAGGCAAAGCCCAGGATCATGTATGCTGCCACTGTTTGCATAGTCAGTGCGTTTTCTTAACTATATTTACGAGATTGTATCCTTAGGTAGGCTTACGTAAAGTGCCTGGGATAGCGAGCATGCCAAGAGTGGAGTACAATTGGAAAGGCAGAATGAGGATGTATACCCAAGTTAACTGGGATATAGCTATGGCATAAGCGAGGGGTAGTGGAGTGTTGAGAATGCGGTCTGTATTGGCCTGTATATCGTTCAGAGCCAGAATTGCATTCACTAATGATTAAACCTGTAAGCCTCTGAAAAAGGGACTCTCAGTCGTGTAATGAACTTACAAGCTTGTGCCTGGTACCCATTCGCTCTAAAACAGCCACATGCAATGAGAGAATGGATATGAACACCCAAATGATTCAGAATCTCTAGGGGTAGATTGCCAAGTGGATATCTAGCGCGCTTGATTGTCTTTCTCGGGTTGGAGGTAAGCATTGGAATGGCGAGGTAGTCTCCCCAGGATTCCCAGAATGTCGGCGGGTCTTCGTCGCGATGGGTCTCGAGTTCCGTTGCTTCATTTGCGAAGGTGTCCAGATGGCCCACCAGGTCTTTCAGATCGCGGTAATGAGTGTATGGCTCGAACCGGAGGCGATGTTTGAGCGCCTGGGCAAAAGCCACTATCAGATTCAGGGCGGTCCTTTAATAGTTATCAGACCGGGACGCGATTATGATGGAGACCTAGGCACTTACACTTTTGACAGCAGGTCGTCCTTGGCGCTCTCTTCCCTCTCCACAGCATTAACCCAAATATTTCGCGCAAGATTCTGCGAAACCATAGTCAATTGCGTCCAAGCTCTTCTTCCCTCCATGTATCTTTCGTATGCCGTGGAACTGCGAAAAGACAAAGATAAGGCAACAATGAACCCAAGGACAGTGAGCAAAGTTGTCGCAATGCCCACTATATGATCACAAAAGGCTGTCAGTAAGAGCAAGTCCGCATCCTAGTGTTTGGCACTCACCATCGTGCACATGCCTTGAAAATAAGCATATGCCTGTGGTCCACGCTCCAACAAATAGTAAAGGAATAATGAGCTCTGGTAGGCAGCTTCCATGTATCATGAGAAGCATCGGCCATTTAGAGTGTTTGTCTAGCTCGCGAGGACCAAGCTGATAGAACATATCAGTAAATTCCACCACTACAGGAGAATAAGGCACGTACGAAGTAATCATCGAACACATGGCTGTTCGAAGTTCGATGCTTAGTTCTCTCCGACATCATAAACGATTCGGGTATGAAACTTGGCGTCCGGGTTCTCCTTTTTTCTTTGATCAGTGTCTCTTCAGCCGAAGATACACTGGCCCGCTCGTCATCCATCTGAAGCGAAGGTCGTGGAGAAGCCATGCTTAATGGTCAGTTCAACTTGTCGAAAGCAACATGTGCACGCGACCTGGGAATGAAGTATATCGGGATCGTGACCCAGTCTTATTGATGTTCGATGAGGCGGAAGGTACTGTGCCGCATCTACGCGCCATTCCGCTTTCTCGTAAGTGCTCACCCTTGCAACCGCCCTGCCAGGATGTTTGCTCAGCTCAGGCAAATTCTTTCTCCTCTTAGTGTCAGCAATAGATCCTTTTGCATGACCGGAATTAAACAAGAGTTTAGAGGTCGATGATGCTAGGGAGCTGGGAAGCTTCAGTCAACTGGTCAGGTACAGTCAGAGGCTGATTGGTCGGTGGGTTGACCCTGGGGCCAAAACGACCGATGGTGATTCGCTCTCCCTTTCTCGCGCGAGACGTTGCCAATGGTTCTGCTCTTTCAAATCTAAGAGACGCAATCAGGCAACTTTACGCCCACGTCAGTCAGCCTGCACATAATGCTGAGTCTAAGACTATTTAGGGCTGCTAGTCATGCAGCCCCCAGTCAACTGTAACGTGCAGCAATTTCGCACGGAAGCATAGACGATTACTAGATAAGAGAGTACTCAGCTTGGCATTCGGACAATTTTTCAATTCCCTTTTTGTATCCAAATCCGTAAGCTTCAAGAGCTTCAATATATTGGATAGAAGACCCGACAAAATGTGTATATCAGTAAGATCTTAACAGTGAGCATAGTAACCTCAAGGATGGATCTAGCCGTGGATGGTTAGCAAAAACCTTTCTAGGGCGACGACACTTGTCTCATACCAATTTCAAGCTAAAAGAAAAACCCACTTTAATAACAGCAGTAGGCATCCAACGATTTACTAGAAGAACAAGATGATAATGTCTTGTCTCGATCCCGGCAACGATGTACTCAAGATACAGTACTATGTAAAGCACTCCCGAGGAGCTCAGCTCAGTATGAAAAGCAACTCCAGGTAACGCGCCGGAAAGCTCTTCCTGCAACAATTCGAAAAGCAGAAGGTATATCATGCAAAGATACTGACCCACGAAATTTCTGGGAAAGCAAGAAGCAACACAGTGACCCACGATCTCCCCACCTCCCCTCCCCTCCCTCCCCTCAATCCTCGTCTAACTTATCAATAAGAATAGCATCATCCTCCATCGTGCCTCCCTATCTACCGCCATGCACGCTCTATGGAGACCCGTTCTCGTCCCAATCTACGCAACGGTCGGGATCATGTGTTTGGGGCATTATTCGAGATTGGCGAGGATAATGATTGTTCGATGCGAGGGTTTCACTGCTTTGGTACCAGAGGTACGCGGAAGGTGGTGGTATTGATGCCGGCGGATCGTTGTAACTGCAGGGGTGTCGACTGGGTATCGCACTTAAGAAATTGGCTTGTTGGGTGTGTTTCGCGGGGCGGAATCGCTGTTTGGTTGAACTTCACCGAGTGAGGGTTTGCGTAAGAGTTTATATACCCAGAATTGTGTGAGAGGAGAGGCGTGCCATAGGCCGGGGCTGATGAAGGGTAGACGTTTCCTAGGGGGTGAGGTTGTTTGTGGATGCAGGGGCTTGGGAGTATACATATGGATTCTAAAAGAAACCAGGGGGGAAATTGGATGGCTGCTGGCCAGAGATCATCGGAGGGGGCTCTTAGAGGCGGTACAAGCATCCTTCTAGCACGAGCCATCGCCTCGAGAGGACCTACTTGGTAGTCCCCATATGTGCTTGTATGCACGTCACGGCACGTACTTTCTGCAGGGCCAAGCATTTTCCTTACAGAGATCGGAGTACGAGGAGTCCACCTTCGTGGAAACTACAGATACATTTTTCTCCATCCCAAGACCAAATGCATCATTCGGAGAGGCGAGTGTATCGAGTCTGGCCACGTCACGTCCGCTCAGGGCGTTAGTCTCCTCGCCTCCGTGTTGCTGGAAAACATTCTTTGGGGCAACTTCTTCTTGCTTCATCCGCGAAGGTCGAGAATTGCTGGCCGCAGTATGACTAACCTGTGCTGTATGTGGTGCTGCACTTGGTGGCACTCCCTCAGGCACCCATTTGTAAGGCTCATCACCTACAGTGAAGGCTCCACCACTAGCCGGGTAGAAGAACAGGATGTTTTCCTTGGTCAAAAGGACGCACGCAGGCTTAAACTCTGCCTCGTAGGACTGATTGAGGTCAGGTCGATTTGCCATAGTGTAACCACTGAAGCACGAAGGGCTAGGCTTGTGATATTTCAAGTGATTGCCACAAGAGGGCGTATATGAAGGCATGGGTCAGGGTCAGGGTCAAGATCAAGAGGGTCATAATAGGCACGAGGATTCATTCACGCCCGGGCGCCTGGAAAGGGGACATGGCCCCTTGCATGTAGCATAGGAACGTAGGTCTCCTGCATTCGTGATACAAGATCGTGAGGCATTCAACCTTTCTTACTATTCTCTTGAACAAACCTTTCGTAGACCCCCTGCTACCACTCGAAGCAAGGATTCGGTAGCGAGGACATAAAGTCTGTGATCAAATGCTTCCACATCTTAGCCTTTCGAATCATGCTCAGTTCATTCTACCCAATGTTTGTCCTGACAACTTCACTTTCGCAATGCAGCATTTTCCTATTGGAGTAAAGCTTAACGCTATCGGAGTGTCCTTTAAATCCACACAAATAAGTTCAGTAACAGAAGCTTTCACTTTCTCAATCCCTCAAGGAATTCTAAGAATACCCTCTGACAGCTCTCCGCCCCTGTCACATATATCTCATGCCCCACCGCATCTACAACCTCCAGCCTCGCCGCCTCAATACTCTTCGCCAACCCCTCCTGCTCCTCCACACTCGTAGCCGCACTGTTCTGCGGTGCCAAAATCAACGTTGGCACTTTGATATCTTTCAAGTATGGCCGCGCATCCAGGGCCATCAGAAACTCCGCGTACTGTGCGAGCCCCTCACCGTCACTGAGTTCAATACGGGAGAGATACCATGGCAGATAAGCGGGATCTGAGATAGGGATCGTGCCGGGGATCTTGGAGAGCGCTTCTGTCCAACCACGGGCGCCGAGAGTGCGGCAGGCGGTGGGCCAGTCTGCGTGGTCGAAAGCGAAGAGGGAGAGGGCGGGAGGTGGGAGATGAGTTGGGGTGGAGCAGACTGTGAGGGAGTGGAGGCGCTCTGGATGTCTTGCGTTGGTTAACTCAGTTGCCAAAACGCGTGGTGAGAAAGGGAGTGGTATACTTCGCTGCTAGTATCTCGCCGAGCATTCCGCCAGTGCTCTCGCCGAGGAAATGCACTTTTCGAATACATAGCTGGTCCAACGTGTCCACTATCTCGTGGATTACCGTGTCTAGATTAATGATGTAGTTGTCACCTTTCTTCGCGTAGCTGGAGCGCCCGTGGCCCCGGAGATCTCGCCGGATGACGTGGTACTGTCGTGAAAGCACTGGAATCCAGTGGTACCAAAATTCGGCGTGTCTGCCAAATCCGTGCTGTATTAGTATGGTTTCCGCGGGTTTCCATGGATCAACGAAAGAATCGCGGATGTAGTGCGTTAGTTGGTCGCTTGGATGGCGGACGAAGGTGTAGCCTCCAGCGTCGCGTTCGAGTGGCATGCTAGGCACAAGAGTCGAGGCTGTTCGTGTGCATGCGAAACAATGGCATTTGTGGTTGTATCCTCTGGCGAGTTTGCAGTCTGAAATCGTAGACTGTTGTTTACCAAAGCGTACTAGGAGGATGTAGATTGTGGGGCTGCCGGTGACATTGCGGGGAAGTGGAGAGGGGTTCCCCAATCATCATCCTGAAATAAACTACATCGAAAGAGCATATCGACATACAGCTTCAAGCTGTATGATTCATATTTCACGAATAGTCAATGATGGGCTCGTTGCTCTTGCAGGCTGCGCTCTTTGTGTCTGCGCTAGTGCTGCTGTTTTTGACAGTGTACTTCTACCTGGTTCCCAACTTCATCAAGGTAAGCTTTCCGTTTTACTCGCAATTGTACCTGCTTTTATTGCATTTACCGTTGGCATGCTGAAGTATAGTATAGGATTCGAGAAGACGAAAGTTACCCCCGGGACCACCAGGACTTCCTTTCATTGGCCATCTCCTTGACTTCGCAGATAGCGAAGCTGTACGCGATAAAGTCACTGCGTGGCACAAGCAGTATGCATTGAACCGATCCCGACGATGTTATGCCAAAATTCCATCTGAGACACTCGCAAGCATCGGTGCAAGGGATACAAACTGACTCTGGCCTAGATATGGCTCTATCTTCTACACCAAGCTCGGTGGCACCGACTACATCTGGCTATCAACACCAAAAGCGGTAAAAGACCTCATGGACAAAAAGTCTTCCATCTACTCCTCGCGAGCTCCCTTTCCTCTAGCCCAGGACGTCATGAGCGCCGGTCGCCGGCAGCTCTTCATGCCGTATGGCCCGCGCTGGCGCTCTATTCGCAAACACTCACATGCCCTGTTGAACCTTAACACATCCGTCAAATACCAGCCTGTACAAGACTTTGAGTCGAAACAGCTGCTCGTCGATTTCCTCACCAGCCCAAAGGACTTTTACATGATGAACAGACGCTACTCGGCGTCCGTCATCATGCTGGTAACCTACGGCTACCGTATTCCCTCCTGGGAAGACCCGCTGATCAAGAAGATATACACTGTACTGGATAACTTTACTGAGATGACTGCGCCTGGCGCCTACGCAATTGACAGCTTTCCTTCTCTGACCTTCGTCCCCGAGCGCCTGCTGGGAAACTGGCGCACCCACGGACGCCGCGCGTTCGAGCACGACAGTAAAGTGTACATGGATCTATGGAACAGACTGAAGCGGGAGACAGATGCCGGCGAGGCTAAGGACTGCTTTACCAAGACCTTCTATTTGAATGATCCTGCGAAGAGCGGGATCGATGATCTAGCTGCGGCGTATACGTGTGGAGGGTTGATAGAAGCGGGGTCCGAGACGACGGCTACGACGCTGAACAACTTCATGCTATGTATGACACTATTCCAGGACGCGCAGAGGAAGGCGCAGGAAGAGCTCGATCGTGTGGTCGGAAGCGGAAGACTGCCGGACTGGGGCGACGAGAAAGATCTGCCGTATGTGCGAAGTTTGATCAAGGAGGTACTGAGGTGGCGGCCGGTGAACAAATTCGGCATGACACATGCAACGAGCGAGGATGATTGGTACGACGGATACTTTGTGCCGAAGGGGGCGGTGGCTGTACTGAACTGGTGGTAAGTCGATGTCTGTTCCTGCAGTTCGGTGCTTAGTCGAAACCAGGGCCATCCATCGCGACCCAGATCTATGGGAGAACCCGGATCATTTTGACCCATCGCGATATCTGGATAAACCGCTTTCCGCTGCAGACTATATCAACGCGACCGATCCCTACGAGCGCGATCATTTTACGTACGGGGCCGGGAGACGCGTGTGCCCAGGTGTGCATGTGGCCGAGCGCTCTCTCTTCATCAATATCTCCAGGGTCCTTTGGGGGTTCAATATCGTGAAGAAGAAAGGCCCGGATGGAAAAGTGATCGAGCCGACACAAGAGATGGTCAAAGGCTTCTTCTCCGTGCCAATCCCGTTTGAGTGCGAGATCCTGCCAAGGAGTGAAGAGCATGCAAAGGTCATGCAGGAAGAATTTGCTAAAGCCGAGAAAGAAGGTATAAACTTTTAAATGGATTCAGGCTCGATGTAACTGAGATGTTTCAAAGCTTCGCTTTAGGCTTAGATTCGTTGTTATATTTGTTGATGACTTCCTCGGCAACCCGGAATGCTTCCAAGGAGGCCGGCTGTTTGGAGTCAATTCAAAAAATTCTTCCATTTTCGTGGAGCAAAACTCACAAGTCCACAATATACCCCAACCTGCAGCAATGCCTCCCTAATCTCCACCTCGCTCAGCCCATTGTTCAATGCACCACGGACATGGACCCCGAACTCGGTGCTTCTGTTCAAGGCACACAGCATACCCAGATTCAGCAAGCTTCTCTGCTTACGAGTGAGCCCAGGACGGCTCCATATCCAGCCCCAGCCAATCTCAGTCAACGAGCTCTGCAATGGCTTGGAGAAATCGGACGAGAAGCGCTTGAGAGCGGCATCGACGTAATCGCTTCCGGCAACCTCCCGGCGGATCTCGATGCCCGCATCAAAAAGTATTTTGTGCGCTTGTTCAATCTCCTTGGCGGTTGGCATGATGTGGGAATGGTTGGCAGTGATTGTATTGGAGGATTGAGGTAGGGGTGGGGATGAGATGGGGTAGGTCGTGAGTTTGATTACCCCGCATCTTTCTAGGTTTCGAGGGGTTTAGTGCGGGGCCGGCGCTGTTATTCCGCGGTGCAATTGTGCCTGAACGATGTGGGGTCATTTCTTCTCCACAACTACCGTGCATAATTGTATACTGTCTGGACGTGAAGATGCAATTGATGCACCTCAAACGAACTCCAGGTTCTCCAGCTGATCCTCCTGGTTGATCCGCATCGCGATTGGACCTATTAACGACGACGCCAGACATACGAACATACCATGTCCAAGCCAGTCGCAGTAGTGACGGGCGCAGGCTCAGGTATTGGCCTGACTGTAGCAACGCACCTCCACAGCAAAGGCTATCGTGTTGTCATTGCCGAGTTGAATCCTAAAACCGGCGCAGAAGCAGCCAAAAAGCTCGGCGACAACGCAACTTTCATTCAAGTGGATGTCGCCTCCTACCCATCACAAGCGCGCCTCTTTAAGCAAGCTTATGAATGGGGTGGCAACAGACTCGACTTCTTCCATGCAAATGCAGGCATCGATGACAGGCAAATGTTGTATGACGGAATGGAGAAAGAGGAGGTGGATGCAGAGGGCTTGGTCAAGCCGCTGAACACGAAGAGCATGCAGGTCAATCTTGAAGCGGTCATTCAGGGCCTGTGGCTGTTCAAGTACTACGTTCGGCGAAGCAAAGAAGCAGGTGGAGGAAAGGGGAAATTCGTGGCGACGAGTTCGGCAGCTGGGCTATAGTAAGCCATCCGACAACTTGCATATGGCAATACGCTCACCTTCGCAGTGTTATGACTCAGAACCCGCAATATACCGCCTCAAAGTACGGCGTTGTCGGTTTCGTACGAGCAGCTGGACCCATTCTGGTTAAGGAAGGCATCACCGTCAACGCCATCTGCCCTGCCTTCATCCCCACAGGTCTCTGCCCGCCTGAGATCTTGCCGCTTTGGCCAAAAGAGCACATCACGCCTCTGTCGACCGTAATCAAAGCCATCGAGGCGATACTGGCCGACGACAGCCTTACAGCCGAAACGATCGAGCTGTCACAAGAGAACATATACTTTAGAAAACCCGTAGACTGGGCGAACGAGAGTCAAAGATGGGTAGGGGAGGAGAGCCAGAGTATCTGGGATCTTGGGTACCAGAAGGTGCCGGAGCGGCCAACCTTTTAAAGATGTAATGTATCCTTTGTGAGGGTTATATGTTCTAGCTTCTCTACTTCCCGGCAAGGAAGTCGTCCCACGCGGCACTCAGTCGATCTAAGTTCACTTTTCCCTCTTCTGCAAGCCTGAATAACGTGTTCCTCCTATCATCATCCCACCCAGTGCGCCCAACCGTACGCTCCACCTCCCCACCTCCAAAAACCTTCACATTCGGAGTGACGCCATTGAATTGGTGCCATGGCATGTTTCCGTTTGCAAAAGCTATAAAACCCTTCGCCAAAGCCCTCGCAACATCCCTCCCCGGCACTCCCATCTTTTCATCGTAGTTTTGGAACAGGAAAGCCGCATCGAGCATATGCGTCGCCATTCCTTTGAACTGTCCCTCCCACGGATTCCCTTCGTTGAAATGGTACACATATTTCTTCCCAGGCCAAGCACATGCGTAATCACGGGTGGGAGCGGTGTATAAGATGTCTGTTGCGAGATCAATGGCACGCTGCAGTGCGACGTCGTCCGATATACTGGATGTGATGCCGTATGCTTCTAGTACGGCGGTAGCTGAATCAGCGCCCAAACTAGAAGAGAAATAGGGGTACAGCTTGGATCCTAGATTCTGCTTCTGGGAAGCGAGACCCATGAAGAAGGTAACGTTGCCCTGTGAACGCAGTTAGTGTATTTTAGAACGAGGAGGGCAGCTTACAGGCGCACATCATGCTGACAGTCCCCTATCATCAGTTCTTCGCACCAAATCGTACCCGGAGAATCTATCCCGCCAGTAAGTTTTTCGAAAGTGATAGCTTCAGGCAGGATATCTCCATCCAAAAATGGTGCAACTTTCGCGGTCATCGGCGTCTTTTCCACCAGCTCCTCCGGCAAGATCGTGAGAAGGCGCTGAATGCGTTGTGCTACAGTCGCGGTTTGGAGTCCCAGAGCTCTGATAATGCACTGATATGTCGCCTCTGCCGTGGAAGCAGACAGTGGCTTGAGCATCATCGGAGTTCCGCTCATGGCAATGGCACGCTTGAAAAGTGGCTCCGTCGAGAAAAGCTGCGTCAGAACCGCGACTGCTTTTTGTCAGTCTAAAAATCGATTGGGGGTTGAAAAAGCATGAGAAGGTATACCTGAGCCAGCGCTAACCCCAAAAGCAGTAACGTTTTCCGCATCGCCTCCGAACGCTTCAATGTGCGACTTCACCCATTGGAAGGCGCACTTCTGGTCTCGCAGTGCGTTGTTTCCCGGATATCCGGCGGATCTGAGTTCCGAGGAAGTAATATTACCTAGGACGGCTAAGCGGTAGCTGAATTTTCGATCAGTGGGTTTGTACGGGACGAGTATTTGATTCCAGGACATACTTGATGCTAACAACAATCACGGGCGTTCCCAGCTCAACGGACAGTGCTACCAAGCGACTGGGGTCGAAGTACGGCGCATAATTGCTGCCCATCATGTATCCACCACCATGAATGAACACCATGACTGGGAGCTTTCGTGTTTTTGCCGGGCCGATTGAGGACGGAACCGTGATGTTGAGATTCAGACACTCGGTACCCGACATCCTGGGCGAAGGTGTTACGTCGATAACGGCCTGGATGAGGAATTGTTGCTCGAAGATGGAGGCGTCGAGGGCGGGAGCACGCGGACTATAAGCATCAGCCTCCATGTTAAACATACACCTGATTTGCGAAGACAAAGAAAGGGAGTACTCGATTGAGCTCGAAGTAACTTGGTGAGTGGTGTGAGCTTACCCATAATCGGTAGCATTGACGAGTTCCTCATAGGCATCCACAATCTCCGGACAACTGAGCTGGTCCTTCAAAGTAGCATACGGGATGCCCAGATACTGGATCACGCCGTCTGCATGTTTTCCTTTGAAGGAGCCAAAAGATGTAGATAGGATTGACATGATAAGGAAATGGACGGATCGCGTCAAGAGACTGTTTGCAAAGAAATTCGTGACTGTCATTGATGAGGCAAAGTCTCTTTTTATACATGCAGATATGCCTGCTCGTTATCCTGGAGGCCGGGTGGGACCACGAGTTGAAGTAGCTAATCCCCGTCCGCATGTACCCACTCCACGGTCACCCAAAACAGCTCAACGCGCGATATTGCTACGCCATTCAAGGCTAAGTAGTTATGATAGTATTAAGACTATACGTTTGAAGTGGAGTGGAGATGTCGAAGTGTGGATACCAGGATGCGCTAGCCTAAAGAAGCTAGCTTATCTCGCGGGATGGCCTGTTTTGGGATGAGGTGGAGGTTGCGCAATGGAAGGAGGATGTGCTGGTTGATAGATTGTGCTAGTCCCTTGTGCACTTGCTGTAAATTACCTGCCGACCGACCTCATATTCCCCATGGATCCGAGCGCGCACGCGGGGCGTTTTTACCAAGAAATTTGTTCCAACAGGACAAATTTAGCATCGACATATTAAGGTTGCTAGCACGGAGCAATTATCGGCACAGGTCTAGGAGGACATTTAAAGGAGGCAACATTGGAGTCAGCAGCGTGACAATGACTGCGGGCTCATTCGAAACTTGAGTTCGCATTCGCCGGTTGGGGCGGAATCGTGGTGGGGACGTAGTCCTCTACACCACCATTTTAGAACGCTTGGCAATTCCTTAGGTTCTTAAAAGGCTTTCCTTACCGGTAGAATCGCGCTGCTGTTAGGAGTATCGCAATGCTTATTGATCGAGGGTCCATTAAGTGGCTCGCCCGGTTTTGATGACGACTAGGCAGTCTCTGATCTCTCAATGAACACTGTACGGGGTAACGAAGATGTTCGATGTCGCATTCGGAAGGTTACAAAGGAATTTTATATTGGCCCTTCATAAACTCTATTTACTTCACAAGTGTAGTAACATCACTATAACGGAAGGTGAGTGGAAAGATCAGCAAATTACCGGCTGAGTAGACACTGAAAAAGAACCCCCTCCTTAAGCCATGTCCAAAACCTTCGAGTGAGACTATGGAGGGCAAATAATGCAACCCGGATTATCTTTGTAGGGCCGTGGTAGTCATTACAAGACTCTAAAAACCAAAACACCTGCATTGACGCTCATTGAGCCATTTCAATAAGCACACTTATTATTGAAAGCCGTGATCATGAGTGACTGTTCGCTCGGACCCATATTTCGTAGAAGTCGTTCCAAAGGCCAGGCAGACGTGTGACCCTGATCTTTCAAGGTGGAAGGCCTGCTCAAGCCCCGGCAGCGTGTTCCTGGGACGCGGTGAAGGTCTGGAATTGTCGATCGAAAATCTCGTCGAGACGTGCAGTGACCTCACCTCTGTCGGTGATGTGTCACCCAGTCAGTCGAAATTCATGATCCCAAATCTCCATATGGCACTTGGCTCACTATGAGCTATTTAGTTTGCTTATCAACAGCCAAAGCTAGTCGTAACGTCCATAAAATACATTGATCTACTCTTTCCGAGGAGTCCGATCAGTGATATGTGCAGACTGGCGCCGGAAGAAGCGTACCAGCTGCGTCTTAAGAGAAGGATGCGAGATGTATCATAGCCGATGCAGCGGTCTTTTGAAAGTGACACATCATAGGCAGAATAGAGGTGCTCTTATAATATGCACATGTCCAAATGCGGCCCAAAGCAATACCCCAATAGGTAGATTCAGGTCGAAGGTGACCATGAAATGGCCTTGGAATAGTTAAATGCATATGCAGAGGCTTGTTCCTGATTCCATTCCTGTTTACGCTTGTTTTAAACTGTAACGGCGAACGTGAGTACGCCAAGCATGGCAATCGTATAATCTACCGATCATATTTACATGGCAAGTGATTTGGATACTTACCCACAAGATATTCATTGTGATAATGTGATTGAAAATAATCCACAGAATCATAGAAAAGGAGTATGCGCACAAAGTTTCCTCAGTGGCTCTGTCCATGCATTGGCCTCACGATGGGCGTGACAGGAGAAGAAAGCTTTTCGGATGCACACACCACCATCGCTTTCTTTACACAATGAGAATATCCAACACGGCGGAGCTGAGACTTCAGCCACCGGTGTGCCGCAAAGCCCACGCAAATCCACAATCTAACCAAGCAGCTCACCGGACATTATCGCTCAAGGGTCTCTATGCCCTTTCACCGCCTCCCCATAGAGGTGATCCAATTGCATCCAGTCATACTTTCATAGTCACTTTCCCCATCCGGAGAGTGTGCTAGCCAAATCGCCGCGAACCCCTCCTGGCCAATCCTGGCGGCCGGTTCCGTATTACTCAGTGTGCGTCATCCCACGTGGCGCAGCGGCTGACGGGTTGTCTCGCATAGGACTTCCACTTGAACTCTGGTGAGCAAAGCTGAATGGTGAGTGGGGGTTGGAAGGGGTGTTTTCTCTTTGGAAGATGTCATGGCAGGTATGACAGAGAAAATTGAGCGAACTGAATGGGTTTGCATGAGGCAGGCCTTGGGCACCTTGTACCTCCACAAGCGCCGGTATTGAGCCTCGTGGAACAAGATATAAGTGTGATTGTGCGAGGAACTGGAAGACTAGACCACGGCACGTAAGACGCGGCTGCAAATCATAAAGTTAAAATTTGAATATGGGTGGCACCTTGGGGAAAGAATATCTGTTTGGGACAGGCTGTCTGACCTGATCGATGACTTACTGTTGGACATCTGCAGCCCTCGCTGCAGGCCCAGCCTACTGGCCATGTCGGTGACGCAAAACAGATCTAAGTCAGATTTTGTTCTCCATAGATCGCCAGGACGGGACGCGAAAATGTCGCACATACATCTTACATACACCGCAACGGGGCGACTTGCCAAACCGCGGCACGGAGACACACACCGCATTTCTGTTGTCCTTCCAAGTAGCCGTGAACTCAGCTGAACTTTGGGTCGAACCCGCTCGCACCAACGCGCCCTACGCACTCGAGCCATCGAGGTTTAGCCAAATCTACACGACATCGCCGTCCAAGATGCCCCTCCTGGCCCCCAGCACCACATGGCCAGCAAGGAGTCCACGCGACAACCCCGTCATCCCCGTACGATTCCCGTCATCCGATTCGCCAGATACCCATGGTACGTCCCAATTAGTAAATCACTCGAAGTCCGTAGTGTAGCCCTTGCGGTGCGCAGTGACCCCCAACACGTTGGTGAAACAGCAGCGTAGGTGAGCATGTTGTGTAGGGGCCAGACAGGGTCAGCACGAGGGGCCTCGCTACCCGGCGTCTGGACTACTGCACGTGGCGCCGGGGATGCGCTGGTGGATCGACTCGGAGGTCCGAACATAGGTTCGGTGTACGTCGGCGTGCTGCTAAGTCAACACTTGCATTTGCGAGTTTGTATTCAATCTCGATAAATCGGTGGCTGCGAGCGGTGGGGTGTGTGAATGAGTGAGTGGGTAGCGAAGCCGATCTCCCGCGCGAGAGATCTTGCAATCGAATTGATCGGAGCGGATGTACATCTATCGGTCCGCCCCGGCTGCTTGTACGGAGTACGTATCCGTCGTGATGAATACCTGTTGCAGCCTAAGCTCCCGACAGATTTCAGTAAGAATTAGCCGTTGCTGGCCCCCGAGCTAGCATCTGAAGCCGTGGAGCCGCCAACGGCTCACCCGATGCGGCTGAGAAGCGCTAACATCCCGTCTATCGAATCGTCGTTGCATGCATGTATCTGCCGTATGTGTGTAGCTTGCCCTTTTCTGGCAACGATTGCGGCTGAAACCCGTGACCTATTGCGCCATGCAGGCAGGCAGACAGGGAACGATACAGTACCATTCTTCTAGAAAGGAAGATGCTCACGCCGACCCCACGCATGAGACACGAGGCTGTCCACCAACGCACGCTAATTGCGTGAACCTGCACGCTACCACCACTCACGACTCTCAGTCCACCAATCCACCCTCTCCGAGGTGTTCTGGAAATCTCTTCGCTCCGCGTCACCAACGACTCGGCGCCGCAGACCACCCCAATGCGGCAGCTGTGTAGGCGGGGGTTCTAGGCATCCCGTGCCGAGACGGCGTCTAGCGAGCGCGCAACCTCGGGATGCAGCTGCAGGTACAGCACAACGGGGCAACGGGGCTCGTTCGCACGATGTCAGCGCTCGCGTGGCGTGGGGCCGCATCGAGCGAGAGGGTTTCTCTTGCAGGCATCGCGGCGTTGCGGGAGGATTACAGGCGTCCGCGTCTCACCGCACATGGCGGGGTGTGTCCTTGCGCGTACCTGGCTGTCTAGCTCTCGGTGGGTGGGATAGTAGCAGGTATGTGCGTACGAGGCCTCACGGATAGGCTCGAGACGAAAGGATTCATATAGGCGAGGTGCTAGTATGGGCGCGCCTTGTATGTGTAACAGACAGAGCACGACGGTTAACTACGTCGGGAGCCAGCGGGTACTAAACGGCGCGGTCCTATCTCTGACTGTAAGAACCGTTGCTTGCCTCGATCCCCACATGCGGCGCCACCCGTAAGCCAGACCAGACTATCCTCGACTTCGATTCCTCTCCTACAGGTGCCAGACTGCCACCGAACTATGGATCCGAACAAGCACTCCCAGAATGCGGCGAACTGGCACAATGCATATTCAAGATCGACGAACTCGCCGTCAACGCCAGGCGGGACATCACAGCAATACCAGACTATAAGGCCACGGCCGCAGTCGCAACCTCAGGGACAAGCAGGCCAGCCCACTGCTACTGTGACTCAATTCCACCACTACCAACCCCCGGGGCAGCCGCAACAACCACCCACAGCAAGATATCCCATCACGGCTCCGTTCCAGGTACCACGGGTGCCGCATCCATGGCCATATGCGGGAGCGAACCGGGAGCAGTTGGGTGCAAAGGCGGGATTGACGCAAGAGCAGGGGAAAGGACAAGGCAAAGGATCGTAGGATAAGTATCTTTGGTGGAAAGATTCACGGATGTGGTGAGGTTGCTTCACGGTTGCTGCTCGTAACGGGGAGGCATATCTATGTTCTGGGCGATCGATAGCGCGGACCAACTTTCGGTCTACAGGGGACCGAATGGTCGGTACGGTCCCGAACAGCCGGCTAGATCTCACAACATGACTTGTACGCATAGATCTGAGGGGAAGACTTTGTATGATAGACAAGACGGCATTGGAGTTTCGAGGTTTAGGGGGATGGCAAGAAATTGGTTGCACGGAGCTCTCGCACTCTGACCAATGGTAAACGCATGGGAGTTGGTTGTTCGTATTACGCCAATGTATGTCATCGTCGATTGCTGGTCGAGAGTTTGCATGCAACACAAAGCCTTGCATCATGATGCATCAGAGGCGTATCGTAGTGGTTGGCGCTAAGCTTACCGCAGAGGAACCTTACCCTTTGCACGACTCTTCTGCTCGTCGTCCGCGTCCGGTGGAAATTGTACACCCATCAGGCCCATCAGGTTCCCTGCAGGCCCTGCCATGCCAACTTGGCCCTTGAACGCCTTGAGCATATTCTCTGCTAGGTTGTAGTCATCGTCCAAGACGTCGTCATCACTGTCCTCTTCGTCTACGTCTTTCTCCGGTGGCTGTTCGACCTTCGCTTTACCCTTGCCTTTTGCTGACGTGATCTGTTGGATCGCTTGGCTCTTGGCACCCTGGCTCATCGAGCCCCGCTCAGGATCTAGGCTTAATGCGCCATGACCGAATAGTTCGGCCTCCATCATGTCTGAGAGTTTCTTGATCTCATCGTCTTCTTCGCGATCCGCCTCCTCCGCGAGAGCTAGCTCGCGGGCGTCGTCAGTAAGAATGGCTTTTTCAGCCGCTGATAGCGTCATGAACTTCTCGTAAGCTTTCTCGTACTCTGCGTATTCAGCATCCGCTTCCTCGTCCTCGTCCTCGTCCTCCTTTTCTTCGTCTACGCCCGTTGGGTTGGATGATGAGTCAGAATCCTCAGGGTCGTCCCAGGCGCGCCCCTCGGCGTCGGAGTCATTGTCCATGTCCATGGGGTCAAGACCGTGGGCGCCATCAATACCGGCTTCATCGTCCGCCAAGAATGCGTTGAAACGTTCCACCATCTTCTTCAAGTTTTGCTGGGCATCTTTGTCCCCAAAGCCTTCCTTTCCACCCTTGCCGGCTAGCTCGCGCTCGAACTCGGCGAAGTCGATGTTCAACCAAGCTTCGTCATCCTCGCGCTTGGGCCATGCCGCAATCTCAGCATCAGCTGGTAAAACGTCGTCGCCTGTGACCAGATCCTCCAGGAGTAGTTTGATCTCCCTGACTGCCGGCTTGTCCGCATAGATTTCGTGCTGGAGGAGCATTTCAAGGCCTGCTACGAGTTTCACAGCGATCTCGGCCTTCTCGGGCGCCTTGCCTTGTTTCTGGAGTTCTTTCAGGGCGGCATCATGAGCAGTGGGTGGGTCCCAGTTTTGGCCGAGGAGCTGCGCATATAAAACTTTTGTGAACCTAGTGCTGACCTCGACAAAATCTTCTGGAAAAAAATTGAGTGTCTTTTTCGATTTTTCAGGCTGTAACAGGCGTAGTACAACCGGGTCTCGTAGATAGAATGCCTCGACCGCAGGTGAGATGTACGCAGGGTTCAGGTGCAAGATGTGGGCCACCTTTCGAGGCAATTGCAGAGTCGCATGGTGCTGATTTGTGGATATCGCGTCTGGATAGCCGTTGAGGCGATGGAAGGCCTCCTTCTCTATCTTGGGATAGTGCTGGGGCCGCGCCGGGGTTTCTCGGATAATTAACAGCGCCTCGGACATGTCCAAAGGCGCCGGCGTCTGGTCCTTTGAGAGCGGTGTAACAAGAAGACGATGGTTGTTGATCCAGATCCTGTTCTCCGCAACTTCTGGGTTCAGCCAGTTTGGCAGAGCATTAGCAGCCTCGATCAACAGGAACTCGCCGTCTGAGTCGTAGATTCTGATCCAGGCGTCTTTGAACTCCTTACTTAGCTCTCGTAGCAGGTACACGATCAGCCACTCGTCAGCAACACTATCGCCATAGTTTGTCGTGCCTTTTAGAAGCCATCGCGCGTTTTCTCGCACAAGATCAAGCTTGACGGGGTCGCGTTGCCAGATGTACTCTTTCAAGAACTTCTTCTCTAGAGCAGTTAGTGCGCGCTTGAATGCTTGTAGACGCTCCCGGGTCTGCAAGTCGGAGAGCCTGGAGTCGATGACGAAGACCATGTATTCTACAACATCGTCGGGCAGCCGCTTCGGGAAGCCGTCGAAGCCTTCGCCGAACCACCTGAAGTCGTCCTGTGGGGCTGCCATGCTAGTCACGCAAGTCCTACTTTGCGCGGACTGGATGGCGGCGATGTTGGCTGCGGTGGTTGAGACGAGACGGGGTTTACAAAAATCTCGAGCGTGGCTCGCTGAGGCGGCAGTGGCGCGCGACTTGGCAGCCGCGTCCCAGGACTCAGTCGCGCCAGCCTATCTCGGTCTAGCGCAGAGGGGTGGCACGGGCCACAGCCGACGTGTTGCTGTGTTTGTTTACATCGAACGAGGCCGTGGTGAGTCTTCATCCCGCACAGCCTGCGCGCCGCGTGCCCTCCCGTCCTTTTGCTCATGAACCCGCAGGAGCATTTCTAGCATGGCGCACTTCCTCGAAACCCCGCGCACCGAGCGCGGTGACGCGACGCGCATGAGCCAGACGGGCGTCGACTTCACCGAGCTCGAATCGTTCCAGGCTCCTGCCGGCCGCGACAACCTCTTCAAACAACCGAATGGCGCCCGCACGCCGCGCAATCCCCTCGCGGCGCTGCGGAACCCCGCCGGAAAGGCCGAGTTCACACCGCTCATGAAGAGCGCAACCGCCAACCGAACGCGACAAGTCAATGGCCTGCTCAAGGGCGGCATCGCTACACCCGCGGCCCTGAAGAAGGGATTCGAGCTTGGCGGCACTCCCCTGCCCGAAGCGAGCACCATGAACGTACTTTCCAGTTCTTTCAGCGAGTCTGTCAGCCAGACCCCGGTCCCACACGCCGACTCAAGCGATGTGAGCACGCCGATGGCGCTGCGAAAGCGACCCGAAGGCGAGTTCGACGATGGCAAAGGCCTCACACTCCGGGAGCAAGAAGCTGTAAGTTTGCACCAGAGCCGCTCGTACTGCGGGCAAATCTCCCGTCACTGGCAGGGGAACTGACGACGGCCAGCGTCTCGAGCAAATTGACAAGGAGAACTTTGGTCTCAAGCTCAAGATCCACTTCTTGGAAGAGGGGCTGAAGAAAATGGGACCCGACTTCAACCGACAAACAATGGAAGAGAACGTGAACCTTAAAACAGACAAGGTTCAAATGGCGCGCGACATCCAGAAGCACATGAAGGCCCTGAAAAATTCGGAAAAGGACCTGGAATCATGCAGACAGCAGCTAAAGGAATACGCCGAGAAAGTCAAGCGACGACACGCCGACGAAGGCATGCAAGAAGAATTAGACGAATTACGACGGATCGCCGAACAGCGCGCTGCCGAGATTGAACAGCTGGAGGACAGATTGGAGGAGGCGCGCGGCGACCAGGAAGAGCTCGAAAAGGTCACATCCGAGCTGGAAAACGCACAGGCTGACCTTGCAGACCGGGACCGCCAGCTGGATGAATACGAAGACAAGATCGAGAAGCTAGAGGTGCAGGCCCGGACAAAAGGTGCTGATGACGAGGCAATGCAGGAAAAAGATCGACAATTGCAGGAGCAAGCACGCAAGATCGAAGATCTCGAAGAGCAGTTGCGCTCCCTTGAGCAGTCCGGTGGACCACAGGCGGAGGAGAAGCAACGCCAGCTCGAGGAGCAAGCGGAGCGAATCGAAGACTTGGAGGAGGAAGTAAAGACGGTGACGCGCACCAAAGACGCCGAGCTCGACACGCTGCAGGATAAGCTCGACTCTGCATCTGAAGATAAAGACCAAGAATTGCGCGAGCTCGAGCAGCAGTTGGACGACGTTGAGAAGCAGCTAGGCGAGATGGAGGACGAGAAGCGGCACGCAGTGTCCCAGCTTGAGGATCGCATACGTAGTCTCGAACGCGAGAAGGACGTCGAGACTAAGGCATTACGTCGACAGCTGGAGAATGTCAAGAGCGAAAAGCAAACCGAACTGGACGCGTTGCATGAGAGACTGCAGGTCGCTGAATCACAGGGAGACAGTCAAGTCCAGCTCGCACAGCAAGCTGCTCGCGACGCACATCAGAAAGTGCTTGATGTCACACGCGAGAAGAATGTGGAGATCCAGCTTCTCCAGGCCCGCGTCGACGATGCTGAGACCAAAGCCGATCAGCTTGATGGCTATCGCAAGCAGCTACAAGATGCGATGCAGAAAGCTACGCGCCTTCAACAGGAGTCTACATCGTACGAGCAGCAAGTGCAGCAGCTTCGTCAAGCGATTGCTCAGAAAGACCGAGATCTAGACAACCTCGAAAAGATTCGCAGGGAACGCGACGATGCCACTCAAGAGATCAACGGCCTTCGCTCAAACTTGAGCAGCAAGGACACCCAGGTTGAAGCATTGCAGAAAGCCACGCGCGAACGCGATGCCCTCTCACGACAACTGACCGATCTTCGACGCGAGCTTGACAATGTAACCCAAAACGCTGCTCAACTACGTACGGCCATGTCAGGCAAGGATAGCCAGATTGAAGCTTTGCAAAAGGTTACCCGCGAACGTGATGCTCTGTTACGCGACCTCGCAACTCTGCAAAGCTCGCTCCAGTCTAGCGAGCGCAACGCACAGAACCTCCAGAGGAAGATCGAGGCACATGAATCCACACTCCAGGAGCATAAGCAGCTGCGAAGTGAGTTGAGCGAACGCCTACGCGATCTGGAAACTGCACGACGGACAGTATCTGAACGCGACGCAGAGCTAGATGCTCTGCGAAACCATGCCGATGAACCTGGTACTCAGCTCGATGCGATGCAGGGCCTCGTACGTGAACGGGATGACGAACTCGAAGATTTGCGAGCGGAGATGAACACTCGCAAGGGTGAGGTGGAAGCCCTGCAACGACTGGCTGACGAGAGACTGGAAGCTCTGCAGTCGCTCAAGGGCCAGATGGAGCAGGAAAAGCAAGACTTGGACGACGAGATTGATGTGCTTCAAGAACAAGTAGACGAAGTCAACGACGAGAAGAATTCTCTGGAGGACAAGATATCGGTGCTGGAGTCTATGCTCCGCGACAAGGAACGTGAGCAGATCTCCCTCCAAAACGAAGCGCGAGCTGCTCAGCGCGAGCAAGGGAGTGCCATGGATGACAAGATCCGCAACCTTGAGTCTACTATCCGAGAGAAAGACGCCCAACACCGCAAGCTGCATAACGAGTTCAAGGCCTCGCAACGCGACCAAAAGTCTGTTTTCGAGCAACAGCTCCGAGACCTGCAAAGTGAGCTCCGTGATCTGCAGTCGCAGCTTCGCGAGAAGGAAAGTCAACACCGCCTCCTACAGGCTTCCACCAAAGCAGTCCAGCAGAAGGCGACGAACGAAGCGATGGACCTGGAGGCCCAGACGCAGGCTCTTGAGAAGCGCCACGTCAAAGAGATCAATGGTCTTGCGAAGCAAATTCAGTTCCTGCGCGCACGTTGTGTCCGCGCAGAAGGCTTCCGCGAATCACTCGGATATCAGAAACGGTTCTTCCTCATGATGATCGAGGTGTATAACCAATGGCATGTCCCGCACCTTCATTCACATGATGCATCTCGCTAACCTTGCCAACAGTAACCAAGAAGACCTCCACCTCATCTCCGAGATGGGCATTACGCCAGACGTCTCAATCCACTCAAAGAAGCCGACGCTCAAGGCAGCTGGTCTCGCCGTCATGGCCGCGATTCGCATGAAGAAGCTAGCCGATGGGTGGGCGGCTAATCGGAAGGTACACGCGCAGCTTGTGAAGACGCTCGAGGGAATGAGGAGGCGCAGTGGGAAGACGAGCACGCCCGGGCGGCAGCAGTTGAGCTTTGCAAGGTAGATGCTCAGGATGAGGGGGAGGGCAGTGCTTTGGGGAGGTGTTGGTCTTGATGCAGCGTATTGTTATGCATGGATTGGCGTAGAGTGCTTTCACTGGGGGTTGTTCTACTTGGGAATGGAATTGTGGTGACACGCATGTTCAGTGTTCAAAATCGTGCATCGTGTGTGAGTGACTCGCGGTCGCTCCTTCCTCTCCCTACCGCAGAAGAAGTGAGAGCGCCCAGACGCATCGAGCAGCGTCTTCGGGTAGTCAGGATAGGGAAAGAGCGTTCTTCGTATGATGAGCCGGTGCCGTCACTGACATCTGCAGATTTTAACGTTCACAATGACACTCAACAGGCAGACATTTACGAGCATTACTTTCGTCACCATTTCAACGTTTGGAGGGGTGGTTGTGGAAGCGTTTTGCAGTGTGGCTACTTGCTCAGACTTTCGATCACGCACACAACTTACTCGACATGTCCAACATGCGTGGTGAGGGGTACTTCTGGACAAAGCAGGAGCAGGGTAGGTTGTTGAGCGTGCGTGAAAGACACCGCTGGCTGGAAGTGGCCGAAAGACCGGGGCCGCATATGGCTGTGGGCAAGCTTCAATCCCGCAAGAAGTGTCTCGATTCGGGCAAGGACTTCACCACTTATGATTGGCCTTATGGCTACGAGGATCATCTTATTGCAGGAATGAAGTCACATAAGCCTACAGTCGATATCGCCAACGAATTGGATGTGCCGATAGGCCTCATCAAACAGCGCATCGAACAGCGTATGGCCCTCCACAACGCCACCGAAAAGAAAGCTGCGGATGCCGAATCCCCCCCAACAAAAAAGCGTAGATGTCTCCACCATGCTACGTCAGACGTGTTACTGGACACAAGAGCAACAAGAGAGGCCGCTTTTTCTGCATGATGTTGCGGGCGCATTCCCCTTTACCTCACTGGGATGAAGGAAGAGCAATTCTGCTACTCCAAATTGTTCGGGCGTTACCAATCCCGCTTGGTATCTCCGATGCATCAGGCGGCACTGGTCTGGCTCTACAAGGAAGGACTTTCGGAGTATGTCGCCGTTGGGGCAAGCGCTTCTAAGTAGTTTCCGTGACCCTGCTCATAAGTGTACGAGGACAGACGTGCTTCAATTCAAGTTTGGTGATCGGTACTGCAAAACCAATGACCCAAAGCCATCGAAGAATACACAGCTGCTGGGAAATTGCGTATGGAGAATTCAGCAGTCAGGTAGTGTCCCGGGCAGGTCGCTGCCTTTTGGCGGCAGCCAGATCTTTCGGGCTTAAAGTTGCATTCAGCTCAAGGCCGGTATTTCCCGTCTTTGAGGTTGTCAGTACAATCAGAAGTCTGTCAAATATGCTGTGCGCATCAAATTCATCATGCAGTGTCTGCTCGTGAAATAGTCCAAAGTACATTCGGCCGTTGTGTAAGCGTCCTCCATCTTCCGACTAATCTTTACTTTCCTGCTCTAGGGGGAGCTGAATATGCGAATACCGCACTCTAATCACAAAAAAAAAAAAAAAAAATATCTGGGCTCTGAAGTACATCTGAAGACGTTGTGGTGGTCCATTGAACAGCCGAGGCACACCGCAACTCGATCACGCCACACCGAATGTGGCGAGATACTTCAACATCACGCTAATAGTCTCGCGCACCTCTCGCGTGGAACTTAGCAATCAGTATATCCGAACATACCTCGTATATCCCGTGACTCTCGGTCGTGTACATATAAGAAGTTTTAATGTCGACGGCAGAGTTCATCAGCACGCGCATACATTGCGAACAACGTACATACAATCACAACCACTGTTCAATCTCCAAGAACACACACCGCACGAGGAGACGATCAAATACCAACAAATGAACGCCATACAACTCTCCCACCACGCCGGATCTTGCATCGGACACTGCCGCGCGCAGCGCCACGAGATGGACGTGTCCTGCCACGATGATGGAGTGGTTGAAGCTTCCACAAGTCATATTGAGCATGTGCAGGTAGAGCAGAAGGAGAAATTTGTGCTGCCGATAGCGCTGGAAGAGAGGTGGGAAGGGACATGCCATGTGCCGCTGCAGATGGATAGTAGGATAGGTAGGTGATGGGTGCGTGTCGGATATGGGATGGTGCTGATTTGTAGCAGATTCGAAATGAATGGGGATTTGGAAAGGAATGGGCTTGATGATTATGAGAGGGGAGGTTGAAGAGCGACGCGTCATATTTGTTGTACTTTTATCTTCTGGTGCATTGATGTAATATGCCCGCAAACGCCATACCCCACGAACGAGGAATTAAGCATGCGAGAGCGTTAGCTAGAATAATGCTGAATCTTCAATAGGCTATTGGAGTCTCTGCTATAGGCCGAACTGTTCGAAGCTGCGATGTTCTTATGCCGAAACGTTTGCACCAGCTCCACACACCAGTCAAGAAATGCCTGCAGTCGTCCATGGCCTGTCAATCTGCTTTGCTAGATGTGATCCGCAGCGATCAAATATCGAATGGTTTCGCTTTGGTTTTGAACATGTTCATGACCCCCAAGCTCTCATCAGAGCCTCGGTCTTGGTATAAAAAACAGCGTGCTCATTTGTGCAAGCGTAGGCCAGCATTGCGACGGGCAGTCTAGCCACACGCACTGACTCCAGCCGCGTAAACATGACCGGGTGCCGGGTTGTGGCGTGAGTGGGGTCGGACGGGACGAGTGGCTGGAGGTACCTGATCTGGTAATAATGCCTCGAAGATCATACAAGAGGTACCGTCACTTTCAAGCACGTCAGACAGCGTCAAAAATTACTGAATTTTTGCCAGTCATGTGAGACTGGTAGGAAGAGGATGGTGCACTGGTCGGCCTCGCCATATTACACGCATTGCTCCTTATATCCACCACTTCCAGCGACGATGGGGAATGTCTTCGAAGGCTCGCAGCCACACAAACAACGAGTTCGTTCTGCATGAGATACGCCTCAATGCGCTGGACGTGTGGAGTGGGGGCTGCCGACAGCGCTTGCCGTCCACTCCTGCGGGACTTCCCAAGACCCAAGCGGCTTGTCCGTCCTTGACCTCTCTCAGCAGTCGCGGAGTTGTTCTTCACGCTTGACGGTGTCTCGGGAACTGTTTGAGGGCGCCGATGCCATTGCAGCGCAGCCGTCGCATAGCCAAGCATAAAACCCTACCGAGACGCGAGCACAGACCGCCCCGTTTTGCACGTGACGGGCTGTGGAACTCACAGTCCAGATGGCGGATCTACCCCCTGCAGCGAACCGCCGCCGCGTCCACCAATGACTCGCGAGCCCATGTGCCCGCGTCGTGGAGCTCCACGACGGTCAAAATCCCCTCTGCTCGCAGGCTGGTTCCACAACGTCGGTTGACTTTTCTTCTCCACCGCCGATATAGCGCATACGACTACGTGGACTCGACGAGAGAGGATTGTGCTGCTGGAACGACCACTCTGCTTGGCAGCGCTGTAGGTCTAGTGTCGTGCTACGATACGACTCCACATGGCCGCCATGCACGAGAAGAAACTCTCGGTCATGTCCAATGGCAGCGAGGACTTCTCCGTGCAGCGCCAGAGCATGCTCCTCCGCGAGCTCGAGATGCTGCTAGATCTGAACCCCCGGGAACTGAGCTCCAACCTGCTGGCGCTGCCCCGAGAATTGCGGAACCGGATATACGACTTTGCGCTCCCGGAAATCACGAATGGGCACCGCCCCGAGCTGCACACCTGTCTGTGGGGAGCAGACATGGTGCACGAACCGTGGCGACACGACATCTTCGGGTACGGGTACGGCGTCCCCAAGAAGCACAGGTTTCATCCGCACCTGCAGATGATCAACCGCCAGCTGCGCACCGAGATGCTGGCGCGGTACTTCCGCCGCAGCAAGCTCACGCTGCACGCGGAGCTGCGCAACTCGCAGAACAACAACGGCCACTTCGAGCACAGCCCCCACATCCTGCGGCTGCCCATGCTCAAATTCGTCACGCACATCCGGTTCTACGTGGAGTGGAATTACACGGTGCTCTCCAAGAACGATCGCATCGACGACCAGATCCGCATCGCGAAGGACCTTATGGCGACCATGGACACGCTGCTGACCTCCCTCGAAGCCGTCGAGAACATCGAGTTATCCGTACTCTTCTTCTGGAAACTGCGCTCGGGGAAGCACTACATGCTGTCCATGCAGGACCTGTTCGACCTCGAGGACGTGTTCAAACGCCACGCAGAGTCGCGCTGGCTGCGCATCCTGCGCTCCAACAACTCCACCGTGACGTCGCCCAACCCTTCTGCGGGGGTAGGGTACAAGTTGTCGTCCGAGGACAAGGGGACGGACCAGTCAGGCGGAATGGAGATCTTCGTGAGCCAGGATCTGGAAGAGGCGATGCGGAGCAAGCGCAAGAGCATGATTGACTTTTACGGGAACTATGGAATTTCAGATCCGCTGCCGCATCCGGCGTATGAGCATGGGAAGATGATATGAGGGAGATGGGACGGAGCGGCGCAGCAGGCGACGGTGGATCGAGTGTGGGTGGCTTGGACGATTGGACAAGTTTCGGGGGGGGGGGGTATTACGGCGAGAAGCCTTTGTGCCGTCTGCAAAACGAGACCAAGGACAAGTCCTGTCATGAGGCGCGCTTGGCCGCTTTTCTTTGGCGCTTCAATCGTCTTCAACTGCACGAGAATGCGACGCTGCAGAGGTCGTGCATGCGCCCCGAATGCCAGACTCGTTCAACCATGGAATGTCCAAAGTACCACCACCAACAAACTGAAAGACGACGCCTGGGGTCCTCGATCAGGATACACGAACCCGCCGAGAGCATCACGAGAGAAAAGATCTTAGCATCATAATGAACACACAGCACCAACACAGGGGGCATCATGTGGCGCGGAGGCTTCGTTCCGGTCACAATGCCTATATGACTAGCTAGGCTAGATGCCATGGGAGAAGTTGGGGGAGTGGTTGATCGGCGTCACATCGTCATATATAGCAACACGGGAAGGCAAACGTTGAGGCGGGACCAGAAGCAACAAGCAAGGCTGCAATGCAGGAATCTTGAATAGCATGGGGGAACACAAGGGAGATGAGATAGAGAAATCCCACAAAGCTGAAGGCAGTGATCATTTGAATTTTGCTTATGGGTTGGTGGTAAGTCGTGAGCGAGCTGGGTGCAGCTTCCGGCGTGGAATCCGACCCACTCCCACCCTTGTCCCGCTGTCTCTCCCTCACAAACCTCGCGCCAAATCTTCCTCTCTCGCCGCCCCCATACCACAGTACGCACTTCAGCCTATCCTGCTGCGTTCATTCCTGCTTTGCCCACTTCCACTCCCCACACTCAAAGTTTGCATAGCACCGAAACTCATTGCTCAGCCCCTTCGCATGCCTTACCTCAAAGTCCGTCGTGCGCACGCCGACCTTGGCGTACAGCTTCGTGATGAGCGACTCCATGCGCTCGCCCGTGCAGGCGATGAGCTTGACGCCTGCGGAGCCGGGGATCCAGGAGCGAGAGAGCCAGCGGACGGTCAGGGCGGCTGGTAATCGATCAGTGTCACTCCTTCATAGATCTCGCTGGGGAATTGACACTGGCGGGAGAAGGGTACCTTTTGTCTGGCAGTCCTCGCTCAAGAACGGAGGATCCACGATGATGGCGTCGAAGCTACCTTTCAGCTCGGCGGGCAGCTTGAGCGGCGCTTCGAAGTCGTAGGGCACAAATTCTTTGAAGACATTGAAGCGCGTGTCATACTCGAGGAGGGTCAGGTGGGGCTTTGCCGTGTATGCGGCTGATGTCTGGTTTTCTTAGCCTGCTAGCAATGAAAAGAAGGGATGGGTGGGGAGTTGTACGAGCAGGTTCTTTAGCTGAATGAACGTACTCGGCGCCGACACGACCGCTATCCGCGTATCGTCCGTAGCACCATCGAGCAGTTGTCGTGCAAGCGTCGTCGCCGTCTCGTCGCTGTACTGCTCCCAAATCAATAAGCACACACCCACACATGTACTGCTAGATGAGACCCCCACGCACCCAGAACTGACTCGCATTCCAGTCTTCCGTAAACGCCTCCATGCTCAGCTTCCCCGCAAACTCGTCCTCAGCCTGCGTCTTCAAGTCCTCAAACTGCTTCGCGCGCGCATCGCGCTCGCCGTAAAACTCTTTCAGCGCGTCGAGCGCGCCGGAGGAGAGCTGTCTTTCCTTGAGCTGCTTAGTTGCGCGCCTCTCTTTTGCTCTCTTCTCAAACAAAGGATGGAAGGGCGGGGGGACCTACATCGGGCCGTCATCGTCTGAGTCTGCCATGTCGCTGCGCCAGTGTATACACACGTGCTGAGAGGACGGAAATGCGGGGTGCCCGAAACGCGATAGCCCGCGCCCACGAAAGTGCCCCTCGGTGGGCTGCTTATCGATAAGGACGTGCGAACCTCGGCCGGGGCGGAGGGTGCAGCGGGTGAGACAAACATGCGCCTGCCATGGCGATTGCGTGCTCACTCCTCGCTGCACCGCCTGTCCTCCACGATGGTAGAGCCGCTCGCCGACCTCCCGAAAGTCGAGAAGCTGAGTAGCCGCGTGATTCGCGTGCTGGGCGGGAATCCGAGCAAGGTACGTTCGTTGGTGCGCATGGTAGGCTGGGCCACGCTGACAGGGCACAGTTCACGCTGCAAGGTGCGTGATAGTTTACTTCTCTCCAGCGTGGGGTACAAATTTAAACGAAAGGTTTTATGTAGGCACGAACACATACATCGTCGGCTCGGGCGCGCGCCGCATTCTCATCGACACCGGCGAGGGCAAGCCCGAATGGCTCGCGAGCCTCAAGCGCGTGCTCGCCGATGAACGCATCACACTCTCGCACGCGTTGATCTCCCACTGGCATCACGACCACACGCAGGGCGTGCCCGACCTCCTCGCCGTCTCCCCCTCCACCGCCGTCCACAAGCGCGACCCCCAGCCCGGCTGGCACGACATCACCGATGGGCAAACCTTCACCGCCGACGGTGCCACGCTGCGCGCGTACTTCTGCCCCGGCCACACGAACGACCACATGGCCTTCGTGCTCGAGGAGGAAGACGCCATGTTCACGGCGGACAACGTGCTGGGGCAGGGCACCGCCGTGTTCGAGGATCTCGCCGTCTACATGACCTCCCTAGAAGGGATGGCTACACAGTTCACGGGGCGCGCGTATCCTGGACACGGGCCGGTCATCTCCGACGGCCCAGCAAAGGTGCGCGAGTACATTGCGCACCGGCGGCAGCGCGAGAAGCAGGTGCTGGATGTACTTGGGTCTGAGGCGCGCGAGGGCGGGTGGACGGCGATGGAGATTGTAAAGGTCATCTACAAGAACTATCCCGAGAGCTTGTGGGAGCCTGCGAAGGCGGGGGTATTGCAGATCCTAAGGAAGTTGGAGGGGGAGGGGAAGGTGGTGAGGGAGGGGGAGGGGTGGAAGGTTGGCGGGTCGGGGAAGGCGGCGTTGTAGTTTGGGGAGGGCTGAGGCCCCACATAGACTTATGACCAATGCATGAGATAGAGCTAGCTGCCCCGCTTCATCTGTGACGCACACCAGCGATGACCAGTCCAACCCTCATTGTTCCTTTTGCTATAACCTATATATTTTATAAAATTTCGAACAATGACATCAGATCATACGAAAAACCACCTCGAATTCGTAGGATCTTCGTGACGTCGCGGTGTCAGAGTGGTTAATGAGTTAGACTTGAATTATCCAATTCAGCTATCTAATGCCTTCGGGCGCGCAAGTTCGAATCTTGTCCGCGACGATTTGTCTTTTTGCGATACGGTGCCCCCCTCTCAGGTGCTTCCTTCCTCTTGCAACGATTTTTTTTTGCATCACACGTCTGCATGCAACATTTGCTGGCGCACGCACACGTTAACGTAGCCTGCCTGTATCACGCGTACTGCTTCGATGAGCCAGGGGGTCGCCACTCCTGGTTCTTACTTTTGCTCCTTTTCTCCATGCATTGCGCCCTCTACTCGAGTTGCACCCACTGAACTCCCGGCGCTACCCAAACCTGCATCCTAACATTCCCCGCCGGCGACTTTTCAAGATCCCGGTCGGCACAAGTACTGTATCCTCGACACAGCCAGCCGAACCACCGAGATGTCGGTCTTCGGCCGTCGGCCGTCGGAGACTTGGCCAGTAAGCGCGAATTATACCTGGCGCGTCGCGAAGACCATATGTGTGTACCAGTGCGTGCGAGCAAGCAGGCGGGTGGTCGCCGCAAGGCCAGGCACCAGACTTGACGCTCTCACACATGAAGACCACTTCACGCATGGAGTTAAATGGCGTGACTAGTTGCATATTGGTGGTAGTAGTATTGGTATTGATTGGTATTGCAGAACTGCACATGTTGAATTTGGCAGCTGGCTATCTAGCACCTCGCACAAGGCGTATCCAACGCCCCATCCCCAATCAAATGCGGGGAGGGAGTATCAGCAATCGCTCATTTCATTCCGTCATTTCAATCCATCCCAATCAGCCAGCCCAAACCAAAGTCTCATGTTGAACTTTTCGTAACACCGTGATCTAAACGCCAAGAAAAAAAAAAGTGTGAATTATAAGTAGTCATACAAATGCAGAAAGGTCGTCGCTTAGATGGGGAGCGGGAAGGTGACGGCCCAGGCGGCAATCTCCTTCTTGAGGCTGTTGATCTCGTCGACGGAGCCGGACGCGACCTTGGCCTTGAAGTCCTTGAGCTTGTTGGCCTCTTTGGGGAGCTCGCCCTGGATCTTCTGCGTGAGCTTGATGACGGTGTCGACGTAGCCGGCGATGCGCCTGAAGTCCTCCTCGCCGAGACCGCGCGAGGTCATGGCCGGGGCACCGATGCGGATACCCATGGGGGTGAGAGCGGACTGGTCGCCGGGGGTTGTGTTCTTGTTGCAGGTAATGTTGACCTGCTCGAGGACAGCCTCGACACGGGCGCCATCGAGCTTGATGGGCTTGAGGTCGATCAGCACCATGTGGTTGTCGGTGCCACCGGTGACGAGCGTGTAGCCGAGCTCCTTGAAGGCAACCTCGAGTGCCTTCGCGTTGTTGATGACCTGCTTCTGGTAGGCCTTGAACTCGTCGGTCTGGGCCTGCTTGAGGGCCACGGCGAGGGCGGTGATGGTGTGGTTGTGGGGTCCACCCTGGTGGCCGGGGAAGACGGAGAAGTTGATGGGGCCCTCAAGGTCGTAGAGGGTCTCCTTGCCGGTCTTTGCGTCGGTCTTGCGCACGCCCTTGCGGAAGAAGATCATGGCACCGCGGGGGCCACGGAGTGACTTGTGGGTGGTGGTGGTGACGATGTCGCAGTAGGGGAAGGGAGACTTGTTCACACCGGCGGCAATCAGACCGGAGATGTGCGCCATGTCCATGAGGAGGTAGGCACCGACCTTGTCGGCAATCTCGCGCATGCGGGCGTAGTCGATCTCGCGGCAGTAGGCAGAGGTTCCGGCGACGAGCACCTTGGGGCGGTACATGAGGGCATTCTGCTCGAGCTGGTCGTAGTCGATGAGGCCAGTCTTGAGGTCAACGCGGTAGGGGAAGGTCTCGAAGTAGGTGGAGACAGCCGAGATCCTGGACGTGGTCAGCATGGTACTCGCAATTGCTCGCAAAGGAGTCAGCTTACTTCCTCTGGGGGGTCTGGTAACCGTGAGACAAGTGACCGCCGTGGGGCAGGTCCAAGCCCATGAGCCTGTCGTGAGGCCTCATGATGGCCTGGTACGCCTGCAGGTTGGCTGGGCTGCCGCTCAAGCACTGCACGTTCACACCCCACTTCTCCGAGTCGAGACCGAACGCCTCCAGAGCACGCTTCTGGCAAAGCAGCTCAATCTCGTCAATGTGCTGGTTGCCACCGTAGTAGCGGGCTCCGGGGTAACCCTCAGAGTACTTGTTGGACATGGCCGAGCCAAGGGCATCAAAGACGGCGCGGGAAGTGACATTCTCGGAGGCGATGAGCAGGATGGACTCGCGCTGGCGCTGGAACTCTTTTTTCTGCGCCAATCAGTATTTGCAAAGACAATGGGAGACTATGAGACGTACCATAATCTCATCGACGGCAGGGTCCAGCTCGACCAAGTTCTTGTGCATCAACTGTCGTGAGTCAGTATGCTTTGTCCTCGCAGGCGATTGTGCGGGGCGGGGCACATACGTCCTTGTGGGACTCGGAGAGGGCGTAGGTAGCCATGATGAGCGAATTGGTTGGGACGAAAGAAACTGGGTATCAAGCGTAAGACGAAAGGATGCTGGAGAAGTCTGCGTCAGGTTCCAGCGGAGGGTTTGCTATTTGAACGCATGCACCAGCGCGAGACCAACTGGACTTTTTTGCGAGGGGCAGTCGCGCTAGGCGACATGCGGCATGGCGTGCACTAGTGTACCCCGACACTCGGAGCCCGACCCGGGCCTCCGACTGTCTACCCTCGAAGAACAGCCGGTGTAGAGTATGCATTCCCGTCTGACATCGGTACAGCGGTAAGGAACATTAGGAGCGGCAGGAAGGTGGACGGCATGTACGCAAGAAGACGCTCGTTCCCTGGGCCACGCTCTCGACGGAAAGCGAGTGTTTCTACAAAAAAGGAAAGTAGAACCATTGCCATCACACCACTTAACTTCGCACCAACACGGTCTAAAGCAGCTAAGAGCTTGGTAAGAGGGATTCGACTTTTTCAGTCTTCATTCATTCATTCTACATAAATACAGTCCATTTGGGCGCTCCCACTTCGATACTCGTCTCGTCCATCAATTGCTCTCCATGCCAAAGGTTCACCAACGCCGAATATGCCAAAAATGCCATCTGAGCAGCATGCTGCTGCCGCATCGCGAAAGGGTATGTAACTCGTCTGAATCGAAGCGTCGTCGGCAAAATTGCTGCGCGCCAAATATCCACAATGCTTTCAGCAACTCTCATTTCGTACCGTATCGTATTATCCTCCAGGAAGTGAATGCGCACATGTGAATGCAGGCGCTTAGTCGTCGGTCAGGCGGTCCAGCACAGCGATGCTCAGTATCATGACCAGCAGCCCGATGGTTACGATGATCAGCAAGACGAAGCCGAACCAACCGAGCACCATGGCGCTTGTTCCGACGCCTGCCTTCACACTGCCATTTCCTAGATCTTGCGCTATTGTTGCCGCTGCGACGGACGCAGTGTGCTGCCATAGGACGGAAACGAGTACGAATATGGATGCGATGAAGATGAGGGCGAGGGCGACTTGGGATACCGGTCTTGACGGGAAAGGCTTGATGTCGACCTCGGATCCAGTCTCCCGGTCGCGCTCCTCGTGCCAGCCTGGGAATGTTGCGAGCAGGACAAAGCAGAAGAACGCAAGAATGATGGCGACGATGAGCAGGTAGGGGAAGACGACGGCGTCTTTGAACGTCGACGCGACCCAGACAAGGTTCAGCGGGTCCTGGTCCACCGACACGCCTTGCACTAGCGCCGTAGCGTTGTTGGAGCAGATGTAGTCGCCGCCGTCTTTGTTGATGCAAATACCAAAGTAGCCGACGCGCACGACGAGCTGAGCGTTGCCGACAATGTTTGCGATGGCTGCGGTGACACCGGGGTCAACTTGTTCAGTGGAGTAGGTGGGTGTGTACTTTTCGTACCACATGGAGACGAGAAAGATGCCTGGTATTAAGGGTGATGTGGAGGAGCATCCTGCCAGTAGTAATGCTGTGCACTGTCAGTTACTATACGCGCGCTGTCTGATGTGCAACACTCACATAGTAGAATTACAGCGATGGCTATCAAGATCATAAGCACGTGGTGGTAGCCCAGGAACGGTATGAGCCCTGCGGAATGTTAGCTACGACTTTTCGCGAAAGGGGACAACAAACTGAACGCACGTTGCATGCTAACTGCGAACCGCATGTTCGCCATGTTGTGCTAATTCTCCTTCTGTGTCGTCTGCTCTGGAATGCGATCCGATCTCCTGCCGCCCCAGGGGGCCGGAGCGCGCGTGCGGTGGGACGCAGTCAGAGCCTGCGTGGTGTCTCTGCAAAGAATGAGGAACGAGCGAGGAAGTTGTCTCGATCCTGGGAATGTAGTCGGGTGCGGTATGCAGAAACGTGGGTCTCGCGATAGCGTGCGCGTGGTGGGTAGCTCTGGAAGCTCCGCTCGGAATCTCAACTGCGACCAACGACTGTCAGAATGCCTCCTGTCGCGAGAGGGGATACTCGGGGAGAGAGTAGGAGAGAATGTTTAGCTTAGGATGTGTTCCAGCCTTTGTTCCAGCCCGAATACTTTTGCTGCGTGAAATTCGTGAGGTTGGGATACTTGGTGTGGCTGGGCGAGATGCCAGCCTCCTCGAATTGTAAACACTGGCGCCGGGGCAACGACCAACGAGAGAACGTCATCGTCCCCAGCCTTCGCCCGCCAACCAATCGCCGCGCGCCGCGAATTAATCTGAGCCCTATATTCCTGGGATCCGCGTGTAGTCGCGCATCGGTACCTGCGTCTCCGCGAGCTTGATTTCGGTGTGGAGCTCGTTTTCGTCGCCTTCGCAATCTCTCCCAGCCTCCTCCTTCTGCGCTGCAACGTGGCGGTCGCGAGACGCAATATCAGGCCGGCCAGACCGCCTGTCGTTCAATGTCACTTGGGGACCTGCGTCCGTCCGCTCAGGTCTTGCCTTGCTCCGAGGTTGTTGTTCCGTACTTTCGTGTGTCTACGACTCCCGCTTCTCAGCAGAACCTACTAGGTTTGCAGCCCGTCCCTCATCGACACAGCAACGGACACGAAGCGATGCGATCGTTATTGATCCCTAGGGCAGTTCCCTTGGACAAACATGGGATGCTATACTGGAGTGCACCGCGGCGTTAATGTGTAGTTCCGAAGTCTAACCCATCACGAACACATTCTCATCCTTGCTGAGCGACATCACTTTTGCGATAACATGCTACAAACCCAGCCATCCAAATCTTTCACGTTATTTCAGAGCTCCCATACCTGGGTCAGCAAGTGCTTTACTGTGCTCGATGCTTCCGTCCCGTAGACTATCATCCTCCTGCAGCGGAAGGGCCCTCGTGCCCGACCCTGATCCAGCCTCCCCTACTGTACGCCGTGCCGTGGCTGCACAGTAGTGCAACGATGTTCTTCGATCGTTCTCGCTGTCACATTGTGTACTGTAATAGTCGCCTTTCTATTGAGTCGTCCATGATTATCCACAGCACACGCACAATTACGATAACCCTACGTCACGATGAGCTGAACGCATACTGTACGCAGAAGTCCTTGCGCCGGCAGTTGCACGCAGAGATTCGCAGTACAGATTCTGCACCACGTAAGATCGAGTTTGCCTCAATTTCATATGCGCGGGTGGCCGAACCCTGATTTGACAGGCTGAGCTTGCCCGCATCCGTCGATAGCGGCTACCAACGGTATGACGTAGCGCTTCGATGCTCAAACAACACCAGCAAGAAACAGCAGCATCGCTCCAAGTTCGTATACAAAGCCGCCAATTAGAGCGACAAAGGCCTCTAGATCGAGATCCTCAGTACGCATGTCCACGTCTCAGCCAGTCGCTCGTCTTCGTTGTGACGTTCATCGATCGCCTTCAGTCATGCGCACCTTCTGAAAGGGTGTTTGTTCCAGACTGTCAGTTGCACTGAAATCGCTGGAAGCAACAAGCATGACGTACCTGCTGTTCAAGGGCTGTGGCCCATGAGCCCGAGGTGTACTTAAACACTCACGTCTTCCTCCATTTCCAGCTCTCCATCAGCACCTGCAATCAGCTCCTACACCTACAAAGCCACTTCCACACGAAACCAACCACCCACTCAAAATACACCAACATGTCTGACGCCGGCCGCAAGGATTTCCACACCAAGCTCGGTGAGGGTCTTACTCCCGACTCTACCAAGTCCACCCAACAGAAGATGAAGGAGACCGTGACCGACACCGGTGACAAGTTCGCCCGGTAAGCTACTCAATACTCTGTCTTCAAGAAGTCATGCTAACAACATCTACAGCGGCGTCCAGCCCGACCACGAGAAGTCTCTCGGTCAGGAGGCCACCGACAAGGTCGGCCGCAGCCACGACCGCACCGCCCACGGCTCTTCCGGCGGCTCCATCCTCGACAAGGGCAAGCACGCTCTTGGCCTCGACAAGCACTAGATGCTATGACTGTATGATGATACGATAGGGACGTCGGGGGCTGTTGGCGACGACCTAGGTTTATGAAGTAGAATGATACCAAGCCCATTGGCTAGCTGGAAATGATAATGGAACAATTCTAAACGCTCTATCAACTTTTGTGCTCTGTGACGATTTTAATGAGGTTTCGTACATGAGAGTAGCGGGCGTTCCTGGAGTTAGTGCGGTGTACCCGACACGGGGGGATTGAGGCGCAAGCACGCCATAGAGCTTGTTTCGACTTCGCCTCCACGTCTTCTTGGAAGAAATGTCACTCACAACCATTATCTGGGTACGTTCAACTCTCACTACGTGTACACGGTCACTGGAACGGCCATGACTACGTCCAAACCCTTCACCCTAGAACCAGCTCCGTATCAACACTTTGCGCGCAACTACACCATGCACCAGCAACCTTAGAGTGTCGCATGCGGGAGCATGATTTCTCCGTTCGCTATGGTAAAGTCCATCTTTTATTCCCCTCAGACCAGACCACAAGAGTCTTCCCACTGCACTCGGCCCCTTCCACCGGCTAATCCCCAGCTTTTAGTCACCCCAACGAGACCACAAAGTAACCGTGGACATGACACCGCCGCAGCATCTTCCGCTCCCCGATACAGCAATCCTCCCTCCCAGACGCGGGGCCGTCGAAGGAGCCTGGCGCAGCCGTTGCGTATACATGTCCCCTCACTCCTTCACCTGGCGCTCCATGAATTCTCCACGAACGGCACGCATAGGCGACTATGGATGTTGTGTAGATCGCGTTCCTCCACCAATGCTCGTGCAAAGCTTGGTTTACTCCGCATAAACGGTACGAGCTGTTCAATCCTTCGCTTCGTTTCTCCACAGGCGGGTGCGGGTGGCTCCCGTGCGAGAGCGGAGGCGCTTGGAGCGAATTACTAGAGGTGGTAAGGTTAACGCCGGGTATAATTGCTGCGAGCTAGTTCAAGCACAGCATATACACTAGAAGTGGTGGACGTCTTTGGTAAAGAAGCCAGAATGGCTAGCCAAATGCCTACTACTTCCCAATGCATAGGAATACGCTAGTAACCACGAGGCAGACGATTGGTGCGTCTGGCGTATGCTGAGGTCTCTCTTGATGTAGGAATCTGGTATAGTAGACGTTTACGCAGGTGGTGTCTCGCGTTAGAACCCCCCGAGCTGGCTCCCTAGATGCTTCAGGAGGGGAAGTACCTGTGGTATCGCGCGAGAATGGAGTATAAAAGACTCTTCGATTCCGCCATTTTGAGTCACTCTTTCGTCAGCACCTCTCACAAGCATCCAAGAACTACTTCATTCATCCGAACTATACTCCAGTGAGTATAAACTGCTTCCCATCCACCGTGCCTTCCTCTCTCTCTCTGGAATTCCTTCAGCTAACCTTTGAACCGCAGCTCCGACACCTCTCAAGATGCAGTTCATCACCCTCCTCGCAACCGCGCTCTTCGCCGCCGCCGTATCCGCCTCTCCCGTCGCCAATGCAGAGGTGAACCCGGACGTCCTAACTATCATTGCCAGGGACTTGGCCGCACGCCAGTCGTACTGCACCCCGTGCAAGAATGGCGGACAGAGCTGCTGCAGCTTGACGGCGTGCTCTGTGTACAGCTGCTAGAGAGAGAGAGAGAGAGAGAGAGAGAGAGAGAGAGAGAGAGGAAGAGAGAGGAGGATGTTATTGAGGGATTGGAAGTCACGAGAACCGGGGGGATGTTACTTGGGAAGATGATCTGGACTGGACGCTCAGAACTCCGCTAGAACAATGGGCATGTAACGAATTCAGTGATCGAAATTTTCTTAAACAATTCCAGCTGAGGATAATTGCGCACTGTCATGGTGATATTGAAGTTTATTTGTAGCCCGGTTATGAACACCATTCAGCGGGACATTGGAGCTCTCGTACATTGTGGGAGCTGGCGCTGACGCATATACACATACAGCAATCCGTTCACATGCGTTGATTATATCAAACTGAGCATGGCCGACGAACAAGAAGGCCTGGAGATGTACTAAGTTCCATCCCCGCCTCTGTTGTTTGGGGGCAGTACGAGGCCTGCTTGCATGATCATTACTAGTAAGATCAGCTAGCTTGCATACCTAGCGCCTGCCGCCAGCCAACCATGCTTCTCCCAACAACAGCATTGCCCAAACTCCACCATGTCGCTCATCAGCTCAGCTGCCAAGCGCATTCAACTCGCGTAAGCATTCTCATTGCCTAACTTCTGTTATACCCAATGTTTTTCGTTGCAGCGCGATGCGCAATACATCTGAGATCGGTCAGCAAACGGCCCCCAAACTATGACCGCCATCTGCACGACGCTAGCATCGCCGAGACCTTGTTAGCTGCATTAGAACATGCCCAAATGCCAGAAGCAATGGGGCCCGGCTGCAGCCAACTGGCATCGGGCGAATGCTGCAAGATTAGCAGCTTTCGCCGGGATATACAAGAGTGGATCAGCCCCCAAATGCTCGCTTCAAGTGCCTTTGACATAGTGTACACGGCCAGGTCAAGCTTCAACACTCTCAGGTTTTCAACATCACAGCGGCACGACACGCACCAGTGTCACAGGCTGTGGACGACAGAACCGCGTTATTTTTAACGCAGAGCTCCAACCTAGCCAACAGCGTCCAACCATGACAGAGAAAACGGACGTCAAACGCATCAAGGAAGAATTGGACAAAGACACTAGAGATGTATCGGACCTCTGGAACGATGCGCTACGGAACTACAAAGGCATCGTCGGCGAGGGCCTTGTGCCAACGTACACCAGTGTGGATGAGATGATCAAGGCTGGTACAGAGCAGATGAACGCCTTCCACAAGTTTCGCCACGACAGCCAGAAAGTGGACAAGCTGCGCACTTTATTCGCATCGAATTTGGATTACATCGAGAAGGGTGCGCAGCAGATTATCGCTGCTGCGACACCAGCATTTCCTCCAGCTGCAGCGATCGGAACAGCCCTGACCTACATGCTTTCGGTACGCTCAATCTTTACCCCGTACTAAGACCTTCAATATTGACGTCGGACCAGGCCTGCAGACAAGTCTCAGCCGACTACGATGTCGTGACAGCGTTCTTCGAAGACATGAATGCCTTCCTTCAACGCATCACAATCCTTGAGTCAAGGCTCCCAAGTTATCCGGCGTATCGTAACTGCTTGATGGACGTTTTCACTTCTGTTTTGGAGATGTGCGGGTTTGCGACCAAGTACATCCAGCTTAAGCGCTTCAAGAAATGGATACTGAATATGATTCGCGGAGAAGACAGCGAACTTGCAGGCGCCCGCAAGAAGATGGATACGAGAATTTCTCGCTTACAATCCGCTACCGAGTATGCTATACTTGGTAATACGGAGAAATTGCAGACGATGAGCGCGGAGTTGAAGGAGAACGAAGAAATGCAGACCCGGATGCTCGAAGAGCAAAGCAAGATGCTGACGACAGTCATTGAAAGCCAGGAAAATGTGCGTAATGACCTCAAGGACATCCGTAAGCTTTTGAGCGTCTTCCAGGAACAGCGCAAGGAGGAATCGCACGGCGGAAAGCAGAAGAGCGCGATGGGAAAGCCGCCAACCTCGAGCCGTGTCAGAAGTTTCTTCTGGGACCTCATCGACCCTGAACATGAACATCGCAATCTCAAGGAAACCCTCATACCGGAAATGTCGACATGGATCTTTGGAGAAGAAGAGTGGACCTATTGGCTAGCGCAAGACAAAAAAAAGGAAACATCGAAACTGCTCTACATCGCTGGCGCTCCAGGCACTGGCAAGAGCCATCTTGCGCTTACCGCTCATGAACGATTAGTGCAACTGGCGGAACAGGACCCTGCTCGGCACACTTGTGTTGTGCATTTCTATTTCCGAGAAACTAGAAACGAGACACGGTGCTTCTATTACGCGGTTAATTGGCTCGTTATTCAAATGGCCGAACGCAATGCCCATTTATGCGAGAAGATCAATGTGGAGCTTTCCCGAGAGGATAAAGACATTGATGTTGACGACTGGAAAGATATCTGGAAAAAGGTAATCGCACCCCTGTTTGAAAGTTCGTCGCCGTTTCGGCTGCAGATTGTATTCGATGGATTGGACGAGCTAGCTCCTGATGGCGTGCAACGTCCTGCGGGGCTTGAGTTCTTGAAGACAATCGCCGAGTCGGAGTTGAATATTAGTGTGCTCTGCACAACGCGTTCGAACTCACCAACCTCTACGTTTCCCAAGGAAATGGATGACCTTGGCAGCAAGAGCATAGAAGTCACGAAAGAGAAGCAAATGCCCGACTACAAAACTCTGATCTGGCATCACCTCGACAACGACACTGAACTGAAGAAGCTGAGCCAGTACATGAGACAGAGAGTATCTAGCACACTGGAGGAAAAGGCCGATTGCCTCCTTTATGCGGAGCACGTACTGAGAAGGTTCAACAACTTGAGCCGCGAGCCGCTGATTCTTCGACACCTGGAGCAAGAGATGCCGGCAAACCTCGAGCAGCTATACAGCATCATGTTGTCTGACCTGTTGCGCAAGACGAGCAACGAGCAAAAGCAAGCCTTGAAGAGCCTGTTCTGCTGGATCGCCTTCGCTGTGCGTCCGATCACCCTTTCGGAAGCACTGGCGATTGTGGAACTGCTTCCAGGAGACCTCGACCTTGAAGAAGAGCTGCAAAGCCCCCAACTCGGCCGTTTCCTGCGAATTGCGGACCGCATAGAAGAGGTTGACCTGTCTTCTCCCTCCGATTCTGAACTGGACGACTTGAAGGTTCAAGGTAATCGTCACGAGAGTGCTTACGATGATTGGAACCTTCCTCTAAAGTTCCAGGAACGCTCCATGCGCGATTACTTCAGGGTCGCCAAGTTTGATGAAGACCCAGGCAGCTTACGTACGACTGGCTTCGAGGCGCATCGGCAGATATTCGTTACCCTTTCTCAGATTCTCCGCAAAAAGGCTGGCACGGATGTTAGTGACAGGCTGCGTGGATTTGCAGGGTATGCCTGGCTCATACATCTCGGTTGGGTGTGGTGGTACAACAAACTAGGACGCCCGACTGAAGAGCAGAAGATCGAACTTTTGGAGGCTATGGGGGCGGTGTTCAATGGTGAAGATGAAGTGGCTGCGAGCATCGAGAAGCAAGATTTATACTACGAATTTCTCGGTACAGAAGGCCTGGAAACTAAAGTCAAATACTTTGTTGGAATAGCTAGCGAACTGGGAGAAGGCAAACTGAACGAAAGCACGAGTGCATGGGTCAAAGACACATCGTCCAACTGGCAGAAAGCCTTCATCAACTTGGCCAAAGCCCACATCCGGAGGTGGCTCTCTGCTACGGATCTGAGGTCTGCTAATCAATCTTACGGTTTTGCAAGGAGTGCGTTGGGAAGGGTGAGCATCTCAAAAGCATCATCAGTTTCAGTACTATGTTTGCCCCTACAAGGGCAGCTACTAACGTTTCAACAGACTGACCTCCACAAAATGCTTCGTGACATAGACTACGACGAGGATACTGACGAAGAGACGTTTGAATCGGAAGAAATTCTGGCCATTTCCAAAGCGTTCCCAGATGTTGCAGACGACAATGCCTCGTACGCAATAGCGTTGCTGCTATACGATTCCGGATACTACGCAGACGCTCTTTCGAAAGCTCAGAACGCCGTGGAAGTCGCATCATCGGATCCGACCAAGAGATTCGAGGCGACCGATCTCCTCGCGAACATCTTGTACTGGCAAGAGAATTACGAGGATGCCTACAGCACGATCAAATCCGGCCTTTCCGATACAACAAACATACCTCCCGCACTGGTCCGCCGCTCCCTTGTCACACGTGCTAAGATCGAATCTGAGCAGTCCCTGATAGAGGAGGCTGTAGCAAGCTATGAAGCGGCACGACGCACACTACCAGACACGCCCATGCTGGGCCAGGATCTGCAGGACCAACTTGGCTCTCTGATCTCGAACAAGTTCGATGATCCTGCTGCCATCGTCAATGCAGTGAGGAGCTGGACCCCTCTTGAGCGACTGGCGTGGGCTACGTGGAAGTACGACGACAACGACGACCAGGATCAAGCCTTCCAGCACCAAGCCTTCCAGCGGGCGTGCGGGCGTGCCAACGAGACCGACTTTATGGTCGAGACCTATAAGGAAATCATCGACCTACTCGACGCTGTGGAGGCTGGCGCACCGATGCGATTGGAGCTGGCGTACGCACAATGGAGAGTGCGCGGCGACCTGTCCGCAGCAAAGCAACTCGCCGACGAGATCCTGGAGACAGAGTCCGACGGATCGACGTATCGCTTCACGGGGCGAGACTCGGCCTGGACCATGGTGGCAACAATCGACTTCATCAGCGACTTCCTCTACGAGCAGTTCCGCACCAGCGGCGACCCGGAGCGCAAAGCAGCCATCATCGCCGAGATGAAGGGCGTCACCAGCCGGCCGCTTGCCCGGTCAGTCTCGAGCTGGAAGTCGATGGAGAACCACCACCGGCTCGTGCTGGCGCGCATGGTCAAGAAGATGGGGCCAATGGTCGAGTATCAGGAGATTCTTCAGCAGGTGTTCGACGTCTGCTATGATTGTCTGACTGACAACGTTGGGTGGAACGACTCGGACAATTTACACCACATGGCCATGGTGCTGGATGTCATGGGTGGGTTTGAGAAGGAAGCCAGGACGCTGATATCCGCCGTCTTCTCGGTCGTGGACAAGTCACTTGATGCAGAAGAGGGAGGTGACGGAGCTGAAGGCCAGGCCGAGGCCAAGACGGGGGCACAAAAAGACGGGGAAGATGGCGACGGTGACGGCGACAGCGCCGACGAGGGCGACGAGGGTGACGACGATGACGACGACGACGACGCCGCATCCACCACTTCGACCCTCCCCACCAACGAAGGCGACCTCGACGGCGAGATGTATTACACGTGCTGCGGCGCGTGCACCGACCGCACCTCGTACCACGCCTGGAAAGGCCGCACGCTGTACTTCTGCACCATCTGCGCCGACACCTGCCTCTGCGCGCCGTGCTACGAGCAGCGCCAGGCGTACAACGACGGCACCTCGTCAGTCCACGCCGCGGTCGGAGGGGCATACTGCGGGCGAAACCACCGCTATCTGAAGGGGCCGGTCGAGGGCTGGAAGGGCGTCACGGACGGCGCCGTCATGCTGGAGGGGGAAGACGGGGTCGACTTCAAGGCGTGGCTGCGGGTGCTGAAGGAGGAGAAGTGGAAGCGCGCGTGGGACGCGTTCTGGCTGGCCGAGGCATAGGGCGAAAACGGGGCGAGGTGCTCGTTGGAGATTGTGCCGGCATGGCCCATCGAGATGGTGCAGGCAGTGGAAGGATGCGGGGGAGGTAGGCAGAGACGGAACGGGGCGAGAAACACCACAAAGGGCTCCGGTGCGCCGCTTCGTCGTCGATGCGGCGACGCAGAGGGGCGCGCACGTCCACGGCTTGCGCTTGCGTCGTAGTGTGATGGCACGGGTAGTGGTGCTGGTACGGGGCGAGCCTGATAGCTGCGAGTAGATTGTGTGATATGATACAGATGCAATGCAATGCCGAGGGGCAGTGCGCAGAACGCCGGCTCGAGAAACGTCTCCTATGTACAAAAGTGTGCTGGCTGCCTCCTTTTCCGCCGCGACCTAGACGGCGGAAAACACGGCCGTGCAGCCCCGCCCGCACGCGACGCGCTGCTCCATCTCGACGGTCCGCCCGTTGACCTTGACCTTGTTCCGCGGCGTGATCTGGAACCTGTGCATCTCGCGCTCCCTCTTCTCGCCAAACGCGCCCAGCGCCTTCTCGCGCTCGACCTCGGCCGCCTGGTCCAGCGGCTGGATGTACGTCGGGTTCGGCGCGTTGGCGCGCTTCCCCGTGCCGAGCTGGTAGAACTCGTTGTTGCCCCAGAAGAGGATGTCGCGGCCCCAGTTTGTGTCGTTTTCGGTCAGTCTGGAAGACGCGCGGCGGGTGTTGGCGGGGACGGCGACGGAGGCGACGTTGTCCATGACGGCGGCGGCGTGGGCGGCGCCGACGGACATGTAGGCGAGGCGGATGGGTATCACGGTGGAGGTGGGCTCGTCGTATTCGTAGAGGCTGGAGAAGGCGGGGAGCTTGGTGGGTGTGGACTGCAGGTGCGTCCAGCGGCCGTTGCCGAGCTGGCCGGTGAGTCCGAAGCCGAAGCCCCAGACGTCGGCTTGGATGCGGGAGGCGCTGGGGGAGGCGCCGGCGACGGGCTTGGTGGCTTCGATGGTGAGGAAGGAGGTGTTGCCGCCGGCGAAGACGTTGGTCACCGAGGCTTGCTGGGCGGTGCCGGCGTAGAGGCGCTGGGTGGGGAGGAGGGAGGGTGCGTCGATGAAGGTGGCTTCGGGGTTGAAGTCGAAGCCGAGTTGGCCGGAGGAGTTCTGTGGAAATGAGCATGGGGGATGAGGGGAGAGGTGGAACGATGGCACTTACGTCGCCAAAGCCAAAGGCTCGGCCCGCCGCGTCGCTGACCAGGCTGTGAAAGTCTCCAGTTGCAATGTGTTGCACGGGAAAGCCTTTGAGGGTCGTGATCTCGTGGGGCATGTCGAAGGCACCGTCCGGGCGCGACTCCCAGGTGAGACCTGGGATACCAAGCTGGCCTTTACGGGGGTAGTCTTGGGTTCCGGAGGCAAAGGAGAAGACGCGTCCGGCAGAGGTGAGCAACAGCGCGTGCTCCAGGCCCGACGAAACTTGGGTGACGCGCTCGCTCCAACCTAGGTTCTGCGGTGTGCGCAGGCGGTAGGAAATGTCGCTGGAGGACCCCCAGAACGGGAGCCAGGATGTGGAGGCGGGCTTGGGGCCCGTCTTTTGCTCTTGCTGCGAAACGGGGATCGAGTATACATGGCCCGACTTGGAGAGTGCTATGATGCGGTCGCGCGAGATGGAGAGGGAAGTCAGGTTCTTTCCTCTCAGCGTGGGTGTTGGCTGTGTGGTCTCCTTGGAGAACGCAGTTCCCCACTGCAGGAGGTCGCCCCTCTCGTCGATGGCGGCGCCAAAGGCCTTGTCCAGCTTGATGTCCCTGAGCAGCTTCCCGTCGAAGAAGGGTATCCGCCGGGGCGTCTTGACGAAGGACTCGTTCGAGTCGGGCGCGACCACCCTGCCGGCATTGGAGCCCCACGCGTAGACTCCGGGGTTCTCCCAGCTCTTCTGGACCTGCAGGTGCTGCGAGCTGATGATGGTCCTGTTCTCTTCGGCCGACGCCGGCTTCCGGCGGGGCTTCTCAAAGGTCAGCTCGTGCTGTTCGCGGGGCGGCTCCTCGGCGTGGACGTCGCGCAGGAAGGGCTCTCCGTTGTACCACTGCCACGCGGTGGCCGTGGCCGCGAGGGCGGTGACGGCGACGAGGGAGCGGACAAAGCGCTGCTGGCGGCGCTGGGCGTACGGGTGGGGGAGGGCGCGCACTCGGCTCTGGCTGGCGCCTCTGGTGACGATGGCCCTGCTGGTGCGCGGGGCGTGGGCAGCTCGAGCCGTCGCGCGCGAGAGGCCCCTGGTGCTGAGCATCGTGTGGCGGATGGTGTCGAGCGTCGGCGGGGGTCGCATTGGGTGCGGGCGGTCAGACAGGCGGCATGGCGGAGCGACTGCGCGTGGTGCTGGGGGGATTGGCGTCGCGCTGGCTGGACGGCGGCGACGGCTGCGATGCGGCGAAGCCAGCGGCGATTTCGGAAGTCGACAACGTCACCATTGGCGAGCTCGACGTCGCGGCTCGGGAGCGGGCAGGCCGGGGCGCGCGGATGGGGAGCAGGCGACCCCACGCCCCGCCCACGACGGCAAGCGACAAGCGCCAGGCGACGGGCGAGGCGCGCGTAGCTTAGCTGCGAGCGCCCGTCCGTCACCACCCACGGCCGCCCTTCGCTCGCGCGCTCATCCCTCGCCCTCGACCATGTACGAAGACGCGGCGTGGTACTCGTCGTTTGTGCCGCGCGCCGTCAAGCCCGCCGAGCAGACGACGCACCGCCGCCGCGAGTCGTCGCGCCTGGAGCAGCCCCCCGTAAGCCCACCTTCCGCTGCTGGCCATGTCCACGCCGACGTGTATTGATTGTTTGACTGCAGGAGGGCCCCGCTGACGTCGAGCGCGCAGAAGCCATCGCCGCGTCCCGTCGCGACGCCGCCGCGCCCCTCAATGGCCCGCCGCCCGCCACCGTGGCCCGCCGCGCAAAGTCGTACAGCGACTTCTACGGCGCCGTGCGCGCCCACCTGAGGAAGGACAAGGGCAGCGGGCGCCCCAGGTCCCGAGCGAACATCAGCAACGAGCTGGCCTTCGCCCAGTGGTGCGTGGCCCCACCGCACCCCCAGCCCCATGCTCACCGCGCAGGTACAACGGCGTCCACGACGAGCTGCTCGACGCCAGCCACGACGAGTACAAGCTGTACCAGGACCAGCTGCACCTCACCCGCGCCCACCTCGACACCATCGTCGCCGACACCACCCACGCCCTCGCCACCCTCGCGTCGCTCACCGCCTCCTTCCAGGCCGTCGACGCCCAGACCACGGCCTTCCGCACGCAATGCGAGGGCCTGATCGACGACCAGAAGCGCATCACCACGCTGGCAGAGGACATGGAGCAGAATCTGCGCTACTACCTGTATCTCGAGCCCATGACCAAGCGCCTCAATGCCCCGGGCGCCGCCGCCATCGTGCGCGGCAGCGACTTCACCGACATGCTGGCCAACCTGGACAGCTGCCTCGACTACATGCACGCCCATCCCAAGCACCGCGAGTCGGCCACCTACCGCTCCAGGTACCGCCTGCTCCTCACCCGCGCCCTGACCCTGATCCGCGTGCACTTTACCAATGCGCTGCGCGAGATCGCCGCAGACGTAGCCAAGCGCATAGCTGACCGGCAGCTGAACGACACCACGTCCTCGGCCCTGCTCTATGCAAAGTTCCGGGTCGGCGCACCCGAGCTCAAGCAGATGGGGCTCGAGATCCAGAAGCGCGCCGTGCTCCCCGCGGGTGCAGAGCCCGGCGCCGAGGCCGAGTACCAGAGCTTGATGAACGAACTGTACCAGAGCTACTCGGCAACCCGCGGTCGCCTGATCCTGCCCATGGTCACCAAGAAAATCGGAGAAATCGCGCAAGCACCGAGCTCCGCCAACGATCTGGTCGCCTTCGCCCGTAGCAGCATCAGCTACATGCGCCGGATATGTTCCGACGAGTCCGACCTCTGGGCCGAGTGGTTCGACGGCGACCGCGGCATGTACGACTATCTCGAGGCCATGTGCGAGCCCATGTACGACCATCTGCGCCCGCGTACCATTCACGAAACCCAGATCCTGAAGCTATGTGAACTGTCCACCTTCATCCAGACGCAATACATGGAAGACGACGACGACGACGAGTCACCCCTCGAGGCGCCCAGACTCGACTTCCAGAATCTCGTGCAGCCGGCATTGCACGATGCCCAGAACCGACTTGTGTTCCTGTCCCTTGCCGTTCTCCGCGACGACATCGAGCGTTACAAGCCGAAACCAGAGGACCTGCAATACCCTCTCAAGAACAAGAAGCAAGCGCTGTCAGGCTCCAAGTCTGGTCAACCAGCCCTCTCGGGCAAAAAGGAACCCAAGACCGATCTTCCACCGACCCCCCAGATGCCAAAGACGCCCACGGTGGTCGAGGAGGATGATTTCGATGCCAAGTACAGCTTCAACACCGAGGCCGCCTTCAAAGACTGGTATCCCACGCTGAGGAAGGCTATCTGGCTGCTCAGCAAAATCTACCGACTGGTACATGTAAGCTTGCACGTCCGGCACACATGGACTCTGCTAATCTTGTCAGTCCTCCGTCTTCGACGACCTCGCCCACCGCATCGTCCACAGCACCACGGTCTCCCTCCGTCATGCTTCAACCCTCATCTCCAAATCCGCCTCCCCCACCGACGCCGCCCTCTTTCTCATCTCCCACCTCCTCCTTCTCAAGCAGCAAATCGTCGCCTTCGACATCGAATTCGTCACCCCCGAGACCGATCTCCAGTACGACGTCTCCACAATCACAAACACCTTCTGGGAACTCCGCTCGCGCGGCAACCTCTTCAACCCGCGCGAGCTCGTCGGCCTGCTCATCCCCAAGGTCGTCGAAAACATGCTCGACGCCAAAGCCGAGGTCGACACCGTCCTCCGCCAGGCCATCAACGACTTCACGGGCCAGTTCGTGAACCGCATCACCGAGCCCATCAAGTCCAAGGACGGGACATCCGTCATCAAAGTCCCGCCCGCCGAAGCCGCGCCCCGCACGACCAAGATCCGGAACAACGTCGAGCACGAGACGCCCTTCCTGCGCGGAAAGCTCGAGGAGTACATCACGGACCACCGCACGCGCGAGATGCTGGTCGCCGCGGTGCTGGAGGCTGTGGGGCAGACGTACGAGGACTGGTTCGACACGGCGTACACGCCTAGCTTGAACGGCGCGGGGCGCAGCGCCAAGGGCAAGGGGCCCGCGGATGGGGTGTGGGATCCTGACGTGTTTTCCGAGTGGTGCGGGGGCGTGTTCAGGGTGGGGACGCAAGGGCTGGGGATTCTCGGGGCTGGCGAGGACGAGTATGAAGGGCGTGGGGGCGAGAGCGATGATGACAGCATGCGGGCTGTCAGCGAGCGGACGGGCACGGAGAGGACGGGTGGCACGGGCATCAGGATCAGGATGTAATCAGGACAGGAGCTCTTTCGTCGTGCACAGCACCAAGGCAATATGGCGTGCCCCAGATGCCCGGCTATTCACCACGTGCAGAGCCTGATTACTGCGCCTCCGCCAGCACTGTATTTGGAGTGCTGCAACGTCAAGACGAAGTATGATTGGATGAAAATAACATGCTTTACTCCATGGGATAGATGCCACAACGAGAGCAATCCATACATCTTGACAGCTTGAGCAGGCGTGCACGTAGAAGAGACAGGCAAAGGGTAGGTGCGAAAGAGAATAGACCGGAGGGTATACATGGAGAGGGGTTACACGGCAAGTCGGTACATTACCAAAGCGGCAGAGAAAGACGGGAGATGCACGCTCGGCGAACAGGGGGATAGGCGGTGCAGTCGGGAGGGGTGCGGTTTGTGGAAGAATCAGTGCGTTGAACGAGATGCAGTGGAATGGAAGGAAAGGGAACGGGGTTCCTGGTGCTGGATGTGATACTGCGTGTGGTAGGGGCGCTATGTCGACCCCTGTCTGGTGTAGTGCGCCCGCTGCGTATGTGCGACACGACGTGCCCCGTCCACACCGCTGGGCTGGGCGGCTGCTAGGAGGAGAGAGGATTGGGGCGGGAAGAGATGGAATAGAGCAGGAGGGTGACGTCGAGTGTTGCCCCTCAGCCCGGCGCACCGTCAAGCCCGCCTGAACCCATCCTCGACGACCTACCCCGTCCACACCGCCGGGCCAGGCGGCTGATAGCTATCCGGCGCGCTCGCAATCTTGCTCAGATCCACGAGGATCCCTGCTCCGTCGTCAGCCTTCTCCCCCGTCACTGCCAGCGCAAACGTACCTGGATCGCTCGCCTTGTACGCCCCCGGAAACGCCGCCAGCGGCCCCGGACTCCCGCTTCCCCCGCCCGTGATCGTGATCTGCGAGCACGCGAGGTAGAACTGCGCGCCGCCGGACCGCATCGCCATGTGCAGCGCAATGTGCTCCACGCGGAGGAGGTAGTCGCCCGCGGGGACGGCGGCGGGGATGGTGGTGTTTGCGGTTTTGTACTCGTCTGCGGCAGGTCCGCGTTAACGTACACCCACGACACGGCGCGGAGCGTGGTGCTAGGACGCCAATTGCCAACGGCAAGGAATCGTCGTGCGTGAAGGGGAACACGGGGAGTTGGGGACAAGGAAAACATGGAGGAAGCCGAGGGCTGGGGAAAACGCACTCTGCGCCGGCCACGTCATCTGCTTCTGCGCATCGACCTGCGGCTTCGTCGTGCTGATCTTGAACCACACGGCGCCGCTCCCGTCCCAGGTCTTCACGCTCGCCCCCGCCGGCACCCGCGCGAGATAGTACTGCGTCGGCCCCGGGTGGTTCACCTGCTGGCTGCTCACGTAGTGGATCGTCGCGCCAGCAGGCACCGTCGCCACGCTGCCCGCGTTGGCCGACTGGTAGCAGCGAATGTCGGCCGAGGCCGGGTTCTCGATGCCCGTTTTCGAGTCTGCGTTCTTGGTGCGCCGGGTCGTCGTCCAGTCGGCGGTGTCGGGCTTGCCGTTGATGACGAGGCGGGGGAACGTGTCTAGGGAGAGGGGATGTTAGGTAGGCGTGGGGTGGGAGGAGCATTGGGAACGCACAGTGGGCCTCGACGGCTGTTGCGGCGAGGACGAGGGCGTGCAGGAACCGCATTTTGGAGGGCCGTTGTGTGTCTGTGTGTATGGGTGGGACACGAGAGACGCGGGAGGACGCTCAGAGAGAGGCCTCGCTGGCTGTCCTATATGTGCGCATCTACGCCGTCAAGGCATGCTCACATGCCCGCATCTAGCAATATATCGAGGTATGGAGATTGTTCTGGCATCCTGGCGTCCAGTAGAAAAAGGCTGGTAAAGCAATCTGGGCCAATTGCACTCCTTCTTGACATTGCAGCACTCGAGATAGAGTGTTGGCTGAGACGGTATTTAGGCTGCAGAGGTGAACTGCCGAGAATCTGGGGAACACCACGCTGCTTTCGCGTTGTACATCGCTCGGTAGTTTAGTAGCTGGTAGCGACCCGATCCTGGCGCTGGTCAAGGTGAGATCGTCACTCGCGGTTTTATGTATGCGTTAAGGTGTGGTTGAATAGGAGAATCCCGCACGCTCCTGGGAGTGTTTTCCTTCCACTTTCTCAATGTTAGGAAGATCTTACAGTACCGCTTAGAGTTGCAGAAACAGTGTATCTATGCCTATCTACCCTTGCATAGGCTGGTAGGCCCGCAAGTCTTATTGCTTGCTCTAGGGATCAATTTTTGGTGACTCTTTTTTACGGTGCAGCGAGGTTGCAGACACGTGTAGGATGATGGAAGAGAGAAGAATGCATGGTGGTAAAAATAGAACCTAGGTATATGTTACGATGCCTAGGGTAAGCAGGGCTAGACAGTACGAGGAACAGAGCTGGACCAGAGTTATACTCGGCGACCGTAAACCTGTACATACCGATGCCCAGGTGCATGCGAATGGCGCCATGCCATCCACAACCGGTCTTCGTAGTATGACTAGGTGCTATACCGCTGGCAGGTCCGTGAGGCATTGCTAGCATGGGTGGGAGAACCGTACGCATGACTCAACTAGACCCTAGCATAATTCATAGGGCTCAAAACAGGGCTGGCGTGGCACATCGGATTGGCCAGCCAAGCCCACACTAGCAGGCCTATCCAATCGACGCGCACCTGGGGGCCAAGATGGAACCCTCTATCCGGTAGGATCGCCTCTACCTGAGTTAGGCAGCTCTCAATGGCTTCGAGAACAGTCACTTAAATTTGCGCTGCGCATTTGAGTTGTCGCCCGGCGAGGAGGGGATATATCTGCCGGTGCGCCCTCGGGTCGATCTTCATCGCAGCTTCCCTTTTCCATTTTATTTTGCCCTGCATTTGCAATTGCGTAACCACACTCGCTAGCACATTCGCTCGTTTGCAACCATAGTCATGAAGACCAGTACCGTCTGGGCATCCCTAGCCCTCGCCCACGCACCCACGGTCCTCTCCCAAGGCCTGCGACAGGCAACTGGCGGCCCCGCGCCCACCCTCACATCCACAAGCACCGCCCCAACCGCATCCTCAACATGCACCGCAAACCTCGTGACCACCCTCTGCGACTACCCCTCCCCTGAGCCCGGCACCGCCGTCGCTAGTTCCGGGAAAGCGAACTGCTGGGAATACTGCAACGCGCACCCGCCCTGCGACTTCGTCATCTTCGCCGCGGGCAACCCGTATACCGGCACCGGCACGTGCTGGCTGTATCCCGGCGAGAAATTCGATGAGACCAAGGGAGAGACGGGGTGCGATTACCTCTCTGTGTTCGACAAGCCCACCTGCGCAGGTGACGCTGCGACCCCGACGTCCGGCGCCTGCGAAGCTACCGCGTCGCCCTCCGCCATTGCCGAAGTTTGCGGGTACCCCGAGCCAGATGATAAGTGCTGGTCCACCTGCGCCGCGAGTTCGGGCGCCGTGGACTGTCTGAGCCAGTGCGCCGAGGACGACTGCGCGTTTGCGATCTTCTATACGGGTGAGGGTGGCGGGAGCCAGTATGGTTCGGGCACGTGCTGGAAGTACCCGAATGGGACGTACGACGCGAGCAAGGCGGGGACATGTGCGGGGAGGACGGAGCAGTATGTGTACGAGAACAAGTGTCCTAAGAAGGAGGCGGCTTCGTCGTCGTCTGCATCGTCGGCGCCTTCGGCTTCTGCATCGGAGAGCGGGAAGGCCAAGGAGACAGGAGCGGCGGGTGGGGATGATGCAAAGGCCGCAGAGGCGAAGCAGGGGCAGAATGGTACGGGTGAGGGGTCGGCTGCTGCGGGCGTGACCTTTAGCGGGATGCTGGCTGCGGGCGTGGTTGGCTTGATGTGGTGGGGTTTGTAACGACATGCTAGAACGCAAGATATAGACGCCATCCTAATACATAATGTTAATTTGGAGTCCATACTCACTCAGCAGTACAACTGCAGCGGATAGGCTTGTTCAATCACCAACTACAGAGACACGTTACAGAGACGTTTGATTAAGAAATCACGGCATCGATATGCATGTCAAAGTGTGCATTGAGAAAGTTGAATTCTCCATGGGAGAGTATGTAGGGAGCGGTCGGTCTCAAGCAAGCTCAGCTGACCCTGTGGAATTGTGAAACCCCAAAACTCCCGTTCCACGGAACATCCAGTCCAATGAAATAGCAGAAATAGTATTGTAGTGAGTGCCTACTTGGAATTGAGGGGAGACCTTGGACCTTGGTGCTATTAGAACTCAAAATATGGATACACATCGATGCAATTTGCTGAAGTTCACACGTCGTATTGGGACAATAGCCTCCAACATTTTCGATCTACTTCTTAGTTGCTCGACATGATCATAATGATAATATTGAGAGCGACTGGAGGTGAAGATATAAAGTGCCTAGGATTGTTGAGCCAAACGCAATCCTATTCGTTAGTTTTCGAGTTGGGAAAAAGGGACTTGCAAACCCCATTCTCGGCCAGTCCATCCGGATCCGCAGAGTCCCGACAACGTTCCCTAGACTGTTTCCGGCCACCATAAATCCCCACGCGCCGATGAAAACCCGCCCAAGAGATGGCAAAAGTCTTGAGTTTGAGCGAACATCGAGGATCGCCCGTAGGATGCGTCTCAAATCACAATTCCGAATGTCTCCCATATTGTAACGGCCGTACATACAGCCTTAGAAATAGAGCTCCAACCTGAAGCAGACCATCATCACAGTTGTGCCTAGAAATAAGCTTGCTCGAGCATCGAATTCGAGGAGGAGCGAGGAGCAAGAAGCCACCCAGTCTGGACTTTTGGCACTGATCCCACTCGGTGTCGTGCCTGGATCTTATTTCAACCTCCAGGTACGCCGACCCAGGTGTCGATGAGAGAATTGGCTGCGTCGCTGCCCGAGATCGCCCAAGGGTCTTCTTCCAAAACAGTCTGCAAATGAAGCGTTACCACAATGAATGATGGTTCAGAAAAGCAGCCCAATCCTCAGTTGCAGAGTCTACGGGGCGAATCAGGAAAAGATGCACAGGTGCGTCCTTCACATTGTTGCAAAGGCAATACATCCTTCCGCCACAAGACTGTCTTGCGCAAGGATATATCGACTGAAAGTATGGATGCTTATATTGTTTAGCCCATTCGAGCAATGCCCGAATGGCGGCGTTTCCAATCGCTGAGTCCTGGAAAATGGATTCGACTTTCCAGACGCTGATACCTCGTTTGAATTTTTTCGTGCCATCACCCCGCAGAAGTGGCATGTTCCGATGCTTGAGGAAGTAGTAGTCGTGTTCCAGCATATTGTAGTCAAGTTCCCCAAGAAAATGGATCCATTTTATGCTGTCGTGTACTATTTGGCGCAGATACGCGGGGTTCTTGATGTCATCGTGTCCCAAGGAATACTTGATAACCTTTTGATACCCACGAACGAAGGTGAGTGTCTCGCCTGTCACGCTGTAGAAAAAGCCCTCATTTTGAGACACAAGGTCGACCATCAACTCGGAGAATGGCGCGTGAACAAGTAGGGTCAGGCTTTTGACGTGTTTGATGTCAAACACATCAGTCACCACGTCTCTTAGCCCAATGTTGAATCTATGCCTAGTTGTTGGACTCCAAATTATTCCGCAACTCGTTTACCCAGTCCAGTCTCCCTTCTGCAAATATCTCCCCTGTTGCCGGCATCTTACTTCCGCCTTCAAGCAAAAGTGTCCGCACGATGACTTTCTCAGGCATTACATCTTGGTGATGATAGATGTGACTTGTGCATGTCTTGCAGAAAAAGCAATGCACAAACTTCCCTGTCCCATCATTAGCGCCAGCACACACCAGCCTAAGCGCTACTGTCTTGTTCTCACCGCTTGATCCCCTGTACTTGTATTCACCGACATTCTCATTACCCACAACGATGTTGAGCTCATCTCTCGGGATGATTTGGTTGCATGAGTACGGTCCGCCTCCAAGTTTCTGACATGTGGCGCAATGGCAGAGCACATGCTCTGCGCTTTCCAAGCGCGCTGTCCATCGTACTGTTTCACAGTGACAGCTTCCTCCCCACAAGCCCTCTTTTCCTTTCAAGAGTGGATGTTCCGCCTTAACCCCGAATAGCACGCCATCTCTGATATCCACAACCAACGAGTCCTCAATCAATGGTTTCGCATCCTTTGAGAATTGCACGTGCACTGGCTCCGCGGTCAAATAGTAGTCCAGGTCGTCCTGTGAAGCAAACTCTAAGATGAAGGCATGCGTCATGCCCTTTGAGAACGGCTCCCAGGACGTATTCTTTCCGGCGCGCAACGATTTGATGAGTGGTAAGCCACTTTGGGGGTGCAACGAACGAGTTTTGAGCGACATGAAGGATTTGAAGTGATCTTCCAGGTCGCTCCACGTAACGTCTGTGCGATATTTGAAAAGAACAATGTGCATGATGTTGTCGAGCGCCATTATTATTTCGTCGATGGTAGGGAAAGCTGTCTTGGTAGGCAAGAAGGAGATGGAGGAAGTCAACGGAGCAAGTAGATAAGAAGTAGAGCTTGTGCTAGACATGCGAAATTAATGAGTAGAACCAGTGCAAAGCGTTAAACGTTCCTGGTGGCTGTTATTTCAGGTCCAGTGCTAAAATGACCGAGTTAGGCAATGTGCGGAAATGGTTTCTACAACTGGCGCGGACGAGCGTAAAGAGTAAAATTCTCCGCGCAACCCCATCCTACTGGCACCCATTTCCCCACGGGGTGATTCGTCTGCCATTACTTTCCGGCTATACCTGTTTCCACTCTGAGGTTACCCGTGACTTGGAGTTGTTGAAGGCATTCTGCGGAGACTTTCTTTGTACGCTTCCTCACCACCTTGACGAATGCTCCATGGCCGATTCCATCGCACATTTCCTAGAATTCTGAAACCCACGTAGGACTCGGTGTAGTAAAGGAATAAGATCTTGTTTGGCTGACGATAGGTGGCTAGACGTACGGACTAATGAAAAGGACCGTCAGCGCCATCGTGCCACCCAACGAGGGCGCAGACTTCTCTTCCTAATCTTTTGCACGTCTCATCGCTCGATTCGAAGTCGAATCTACACTCGCTTGCATAACCGGCTTTCGGTTTCTGCAATTCACGTCCTTTCTCACAGCAGGGGGGCCAGCCACGCTTAGCGGAAGCTATGCCTTATGCACTTCAGATCCATTTTAAGCACCTAGCTTCTGCTTGTATCTCGCAGACGACCATGTGATCTACTGCGATATGATAACCTTACTCCATCGCTGGAAAGCTCACAAGGGTGTGGCAGGAGCAGGTGAGCCATCCTCCAGTTAGCGTGATCGAGCCATTCATTTGCTTGCGGTAAAGAGTGGTGGTTTCAAAGGATGCTTAGGTGGGCAGAAGCTGCTCGAAGTATCGTTGTAGAAAGCCTGCTTAGTGTGTTCTCTTCCTGATTTCTAGCTATCTCTGCAATATGAAATGGAGGTAGTCGAAAATATTCCATCCGTGAATCGAGGCATGTTGGTGCTCTAATATTACTAGAACTTGTCACTCTGAACTTCGCAGATCCACACCCCTCCCTTTCCAAAACCCATGGCTATGGTATCTCCTGACACTGCTGAATGAGATGGCTGATACTCTGCAGGCAACAACAGTAGATTCTCTGAATTGTATGTTATCCATGCGTTGTCTGCACTCAAGCCCACGCCTCGATACTGAGTGATCTCAAGTTCGGTACCAGTTGACGTTGGAGTCAAAATCGGCAAAGCACTAATGTTCATGACACCAATGTCAGTATATATGTGGCTGTCGCTAGAGTCGAATGAGATGCGATTGAGTGGGTTCTCAACTTTAGTCGTTGACAAACACTCGCCGTTGCTGATGTTCCATAATTTGATTGTTTTGTCGTACGATGCGGATGCTAGCTGGTTCGAGTCATGAGAGAAGGCCATCAAGTAAACGAAGCCACCGTGACCCTTGAGTATCGACACGAGCTCACCGCTGATGGTATCCCACACCTTAACGGTATTTTCCCAGGACGCGGACGCCACCTGCTTCGAGTCGTGCGAGAAGGCGACCGACTCGATGAATTTGCTGGAGTTCTCAGAAAGGCTGTTGTGGCTTTCAACGAAGTTGCTTTGGTTCTTAATTGTCGACAGACACTCGCCGCTATGGGCATCCCACACCTTGATCGTACCGTCGTAGGACGCGGACGCCAGCCGGGCTAAGTCCTGTGAGAAGGCCACCGAGCTGACGCAGGATCTATGGCCCTCAAGTGTTATTAAGCACTCACCGCTGCTAGCGTCCCACATCTTAACTGAGCTATCCCATGACGCAGACGCCAGCCGGGTAGAGTCATAGGAGAAGGCTACTGATTTTATGCCACCGCTGTGGCCCTCAAGTGTTAATAGGCACTCACAGCTGCTGGTGTCCCACACCTTAACCGTACTGTCGTCAGATGCCGAAGCCAGCCGGGTCGAGTCGTGGGAGAAGGTCACTGATGTCACATGGTCGCTGTGTCCCTCGATGAAATCGTTGTAGTCCTCCAGTGTTGAGGAGCGCTCGCCGCTGTTGGTGTCCCACACCTTAACTGTTTTGTCCCATGATGCGGATGCCAGCCGGGTTGAGTCACAGGAGAAGGCTACAGAGCAGACGGCGTCGCTATGGCCCTTGAGCGTTGATAGACATACACCACTGTACGCGTCCCACACCTTGATCGTACGGTCATAGGATGTGGATGCTAGCCAGGTTGAGTTGTGGGAAAAGGCCACCGAATCGACAAAACTGCTATGGCCCTCAAGCGTCAATAGGCACTCACCGCTGTGCATATCCCATACCTGAACTGTTTTGTCCCATGATGCGGACGCCAGCCGGGTTGAGTCATGGGATAAGGCCACCGATGAAACCCAAGAGCAGACGTCACTGTGACTCTTGAGCGTCAACAGGCACTCGCCGCTATGTGCTTCCCACACTTTGACTGTGCAGTCTCTTGAAGCGGATGCTAACCGGTTTGAGTCGTGGGAAAAGGCTACTGAGCAGACGGCGTCGCTATGGCCCTTAAGCGTTGATAGGCATTCACCACTGTAAGTGTTCCACACCTTCATCGTACCGTCTTGTGACGCGGATGCTAGCCGGTTTGAGTGGTGGGAAAAGGCTACCGATAGAACGATGTTGCTATGGCCCTTAAACGTTAATAGGCACTCACCACTGTACGCGTCCCATATTTTGACTGTTTTATCCCATGACCCAGACGCTAGCCGGTTTGAGTCGTGAGAGAAGGCCACCGACGATACAAAATGGCTATGGCCCTTGAGCGTTAATAGGTGCTCGCCGCTGCTAGCATCCCATATTCTAACTGTATGGTCATGAGATCCTGACGCTAGCCGGGTTGAATCGTGGGAAAAGGCCACCGAGTTGACATAAGAGCTGTGGCCCTCGAGCCTCAGCAGGCAGCTACTCCATTCCTTGCCTATAGCCGGCTTGAACACGATTCCGTTTAGCTCTTCATTTTGGAAGATGTTCCGTACAAGGCTGCGAGTTGGGCTGAATAAAAGCGCAGAAGCATAGACCTGTAGAGGACTGCTCTCTATGGCCGATTTGTGATACATAATGAATCGGCGTGCATCTTGAACTATCTCGGTTAAGGACACAGCCGTTACTTCCTAGTTTTTTAGTTAGTACTCGTTATTATCGATGAACTAGCAAGTAATTACATTACTCAAAGCCTCTAGTTTCGCCATCGAGAGTACACCTTTCGATACGCTCTTGCAAAGGCTTAAAGCTTCGAGCCAGTAAAGATACTTTTCTCTGAGAAAGCTGTCGATAGGACCCCCGCTCTGCAAGACATCACTACCATATCGTGAAGAGGTAGAACTCCATTCGTAAAGATGATCGACCCAGTAGACACACAAGTAGCGCAAGGCTACCAATGGATCAGGCTCCGGCGGCTGAACTTGCTCGATAGGATATCCCAACGCCTTTAGTTGGTATATGTCTCGTTGAAGATCTTTAGACATGATCTGCATAGATCTAGAAAGGATGCGCTCGTGGACCTCTCCCGCCCGGGATAGGAACACGCTGGAGCCAGCGCCATCCAACAGGAAATCCCTAGCCGACTGGTGAATGACGTACACATGGTTTCCTCGTATCGTAAGAAACGAACCACACATATTTACCATCGCCGTCGTCGTTTGCTCTACGCTAGACCCTTGATTGGGCAAGTCTGCTAGAACATAAAGCTCCTGCAGATGTAGCGGACGGTATGTCACGACGACGGTAGACAGAATCCGGCGGCACAGTTCTGGATTACGGCGCTTTAACTGCCTGATACGCTCCATCATCCGCCGATATACGTCTGTAAGCTCTGTCGGGACTTCGTCGAGGACCTGTAGGATTTCCCAGACCAATGCATCTTTGAGCTCTTTCATGACTAGAGACACCCAGAGGAAAGTGCCATTCGCCTTCTGTTGCATTTTCTCTTGAACAAATAATTGGAGTGCTCGGTCATGTTGAATTTGTTCCAATTCCATAAGGCGATGGTTGATGTAAGTGCTAACAGCACGGGATACTTGCTCAGTGTTTTCCTTCAGCTCAAGACATAGCCTCGCTCCAAAATTGTCGAGCAGAAGTCGCTGTTCAATACTGGTGTGGTTACGACTCGTTACTATCCACTTGACACGAGGCGATAGAGACGATTTCTGTATGAGAAAGGCTAGCAGCTTCTCTAGATCCTTAACGCATTCGTCAAGCGCATCAATAAGAAAGTACGTGTTATCCAGGCTCGAATCTTGCAGGATATCTGTGAAAATCTCACATAAGACAACCCAAGCATTGGCATCCTCAAAAATTGCTTTGCCTGTCTGGTCGTATTTCTTCCGTAGATGCGAGATAAGCGATGGCTGCTGGCTGACAAGCATGAACAGAAGACCCCGAAGTACAGCCGTTGCGCTGTTGATACGCAAGTCAGTTGCCTGGCAGAAGAAGTAGGAGAGTAAGGATGTCTTAACCGTCGACTTCCTCAGCTCGTTGATGATGCCACAGAGCAGCATAGTTTTGCCTTTTCCAGGGTCACCCTTGATCCACAGCAGCCGGCTTTGCGGGTCATTTCGCCAGTAGAGGAAATCTGGGTTTTGGAAGATCCAATTGTAGGATTCCTCTAGAAGTCCGCCTTTGGTCTCTTCGATACGCGTTTTATCACGCCGTGGATCGGTGACGTATAAGTCTCGTGTACACTCCTCTAGCTTCTTGATCTCGTCTTGGAGACGGCTAAATGCTCTACCTATTCCTTCGCCGTAAATTGGAGGCATGTAGACACCGAAAATACCCAGCAATGAGTACGCTTTATCTTCTTCACGCTTGGTTTCGCGGTGTTCGATCCATGACAAGCGATCATTGACGCTAAATTGCGACAGCAACTCTCCTTCAAGCGCAGCCTCTGGGATAGCAGTAATCTCGTGTATATGTTTCTTTAACGAATACATGTCGCCGAGGCGTTTGCGTTGCCGGGAGAAGAACTCGACAACACGAGGCGCAAGGAGCTCCTGGAGTGTCCAGCCCCGAGTGAACCATCGGCTTCTCCGAAAGGCAGCTTCCCACTCGCAGGCGTCGCCATTCACTTTCCGCTTAGCTGTCGAGACATCTGACAGATAGACGTAGCATCGGTCTGCGTTGCGGTACCAGCGAAACATGGAGTTGATGGCCTTGGACAGCTCAGCCTTGTCTTCTTGGTTAATGCAGCAACTGTCAATCCAGAAGTACTCCAAGCCATCTTGCCGGGCTTGGTCTGCGCAGAACCGAATCTTGTCATAGCCAGGTTTATCCGTGCCAGTGCCATTTATGAGATCATCAAAGGTGACTTCGTCGCCTTCCGCTCCCCAAGTATGTGATAGAATTGCATAGGGAGGTACTGCCTCGTTGCCAGGCAAAGCAATCATTGAATGGTATCCGTCAGAGTCGCTGCATTGTAAAAGACGCATCATTTCGCATCCGGCTAAGCAAAGTAGGATGGGGGAAAAGATCTCGGTCGATTTCGCTGGCGGCAGCCTAGCTAGAAACAGGAACACAGCAACTCAGTTGCCGTACTCGGCTGTCTAGCTTTTGAGTCAGGAAATGCGCAACAGTTGCTTGGAGTGGCTAACACACGAGGCGTTCGTGAAGGAGCGCAATGGTGCAATACTGCTTTTGCGTGTTGGTTTGTATGGCAAAGCTGCATCGGGCTGAGGCTGCGAAGTCGAATGCTTGCACAGCCCCAAGTGTGGCGGAGCGAGGCTAGGGCACTGGTGGAAGTCGAAGATGCGGTCTACATGAACGGCTTGATAGCGCTGGGGGGATGGCCGACCCGCTCATGCCCTGGCCTTGTGAGCTCTTCGGCGATAATCAGAGGAGTACTAACGTCGGTTCACTACGTAAAGCTAGGCGCTCGAGAGTGATCTAAGGCAGAATAGGTATAGCGTCCGCCAAGCGAGGCTAAGGCCCGTGCAGGGAGAAAGGGCGGAAGCTGATTCTGCAAGTGAGTGTATCCAACGTTGCATGCCCGCAATCGAGCAAATTTCATGCGCGAGAGCCTCAGCCCCTGTGGGCAGCGTCCCATCTGGGTTAGCGTAAATGAGTCATCCTCGCTCACGCACAGCCGCTCCATACACCATGTAGGAGTCATCGAGGTTCCCGGAGGCTCGTCACGATGTGGAGCGTGCACACTTTGAACGGATTGCATAAGACATATAAGAATATACGGGATCCTGCCCAACAATTTGATACCTACATCTTGTCTTCTATTCGTGCATTTGTTTTATGATACCCGTGGAAATCCATACCTTTTCATTCATCCATTCACATTCGCATTGACTTCTGTAGCAATGGCAGATTCCGACCAACAACCATACAGGCAAGAATCCATTGCCGCAAATTCCTACGACACCGCACTCTGCATCATCCCGCCTCAGCATTGGTGTGAGGAAATAGACAAGCTCAGGTCCTTGTACGATAGAGCATTCGAAAAGTGGCCTCCACATGTCAACCTCATATATCCTTTTGTTTCACCCGAGCGCCTCCTGGAAGCAAAAGAGAGGATTGAATCGCACCTCCACGGGAATATTGACTGGGCTGGCGCACGCACGGTAGCATTGGGTGGAGCAGGGCTATTCAAGCACCGCAAGGATATCACAGTTTTCCTTGGAACCAAGGACACCAACGAAGAAAGTGTCCTGCGATCGATCCGGTCCGCGGCGCTGCACGCGCTCGGAGCGAAAGTCAGCTCATCTGTCTTTCATCTCACCGTCGGGCAGGCACAGGACAACTCTGTTTCGGCTTGTCAATTTCTTTTGGACAAAGTAAACCGAATGCCAGCTTTTGAATTCGATGTTGGATCTCTAGCAATTCTTGTCCGAGAAAAGGGCACCGGCCGAGGAGCAGATACGGCCAGCCAAATGCGATTATGGGGCACCATTGATCTTCCAGGCTCGACTCAGGCAGCACCGACTCCCATGACAGAATTTTGGCATCCGGAATCCGATTCGACGAACGAAACGTCTTCTGATAAGGACATCGTCGGTGAAATTCCAACCTCCAACGACCGCCGAGTACAACCGGGGACTACATATGTATTCGACCAGAAAGCCCAGACCTGGACACCTTCCACGTCTTCAGCGGAAGTTAAGAAACCAGAGTCGTTGTCTGTGTCCACCTATAACGTTTTAATTGATTCTGAATATCCTCCGGCACGCGACAGAGACCCGCTTTTAGTAGACATCATTCTCGAGGAGTCCGCGCTTGCTGATGTTCTTGTCTTACAAGAGGTTTCTGACGAATTTCTATCACATGTTCTTGGGGTGCAAGAAGTTCGTGAGGCGTTCCCATACACTTCCCATGGACCGCCCACCCAGCCGGACATCGGTCCACTGCCCAGCCTTCGGAACATCGTCATGCTCAGCAAATGGCATTTCAGCTGGGACTTTGTGCCCTTCCAAAGACGCCACAAGGGCGCAATCGTGGCCTGTTTCCCTTCTATACTCACAAACGAGCCTTTGGATGCAACATCGTTAGTGGTTGCCGGGGTGCATTTGACCGCTGGGTTGACGGACGGCTCAGTCGCAGCGAAGAAGGTTCAGCTACAGAACGTGACAAACCATCTGAAACGGAACTACCCTTTCAACCCTTGGATCGTCGCGGGCGATTTCAATGTGCCAACATCTCGTCGCACGATTGACGAAGCTGTGAAGGAGAAGTCAATTTCCTTGGAGACCTCTCGCATTCTGGATTTGACCGAATCGAGCATGAGCGAAATAGGTCTCTTGGATGCATGGACGGTTGCAAGAGTGGAGGGTGTTGATGAGACGGCGGCACTGGATGCAGATGGTCTTTTTGAAGGCGAAGAGGGTGCTACATTCGACCCGCAGGCAAACCCTCTTGCTGCTTACATATCTGGTACTGCGGAAAACCGACCTCAACGTTACGATCGGATTTTCATACGCCCCCAAGACAAATTCATCCTAACGAGATTCAATCAGTTCGGTCGGCCTGCATTCGCCGATGGCACTACATCCATTGCAAGCGACCATTATGGAATTCGTGGCTGCTTCCAAGTTATTGCCGATGCGGTACATCCCAGTCTGGATGATCGAGAACTAATCCAGAAACGTATCGTGTACCACAAACACACGCCTCCCGAACTGTCTAGCACTACTAAATTGACCGGGACTCTCTCCAAACGCGCGATATTTCCCACTCACGAAGACGAAGAGCGCTACAAGCAGGCTTTTGGTCTCATTAAGGAAATACTCCTCGGAAATTCGGATGATTCTTCAAACATGCCCGAAATACCTATGGTAATTGTTCCGGTGGGGTCTTACGCACTCAACGTGTGGACACCGGAGTCCGACATTGACTGTCTCTGCATCGGATCCATCAGCTCGAAGACCTTCTTCCAGTTGGCTCGTCAACGTATACTAAAGGCAGATGGTAAGGGTGTACGTTTGCTACGAAAGGTGGAGGCGAACACTGGCACGATGTTGGAGTTGTTGATCAATGGAGTGAGCATGGATCTGCAGTACTGTCCAGCCGCAAACATCGTCCACAGGTAAGATGGTATCTTCGACGATTACCTCGGACTATTTACTGACAATCCTCGTAGGTGGTCTGATTTTGCCAATCTGTCCGCTACCGACCCGATATTCAATCTTCCCATCCTATCGCTTCGCAAGCTGAAACCCATCCGCGACCTCACTTATATTCAGCGCACCATCCCATCGATGGCCTCGTTCCGACTGGCCTACCATTTCATCAGGCGATGGGCGGTCGAGCGAGGTATCTATTCTGCTAAGTTCGGCTACTTCGGTGGCATCCATCTTATTCTGATGTTATCTTGGGTGTGCAAGCGTCTGGCTCACGACTCCGGATCCGTGAGTGCTGGCGACCTAATCCTCTCGTTCTTCCATCATTACGCAAACTTCGATTGGCAGAATGACATGGTGTATGATGCTTTCTTCCATAAGAGGAAGCCGCGTTATCAGCGCAGCGCACGAGAGGCGATGGTTATTCTGGGTTTCCATGCGCCGAACTCGAATATCGCGCACACGGCTACCGTACCCGGAATGCAGGTGCTGGTTAGTGAACTTCAGCAGGCAGACGATCGCCTGTCAAGGCCTGGTGTGACTTGGGAGACGTTCTTCGAGGTCGATATCATAGGACCGGAGCCTGTCGTAGGAGGCTTCCTCAGTTCTTTTGACAGCTACGTTAAGATTGACATCCAATACTGGGGCCGTGCATTGTCAAGGGGCAAAGGCTTGGTTGGATGGGTCGAGTCGCGGTGCATCAATCTCGTTGTAGACCTCCACAAGGCATTGCCTCAATTATCGTCGCGTATCTGGCCTGCGCGCTTTGCCGGCAAAGAGGCGAATGCCTCGGAGACGTATTACCACGGTTGTTACCTCATTGGCCTATCCCGGAGCAAGGACGACACGCTCAATCGGCAGGAAGAACGCGCTGAAGGGAAGGCCGCTTTGCAAAAGGTCTTCGATCGCTTCCTTACTCTTGTCCGCGCGGATGACAAGTATTACGACGAGAGCTCAGCCTGGATCGGTGTTTCCCTCGCCAAGCCAGCTGAAGTCAAAGATCTCCAACTTGATCGACGAGAGTGGGGTGACTACATGCCCGACATGGAGCCCGACTCGGACGATGAAGAGGAGTTCGACGAAAATGAGGATGACTTCGCACCTCAGACTGCGCGCAAGCTACCATTACGTCCTGCGCCTTCCGCAACCAGTACACCCGTCTCACCAAACAAACTCCGACCCGCCTCCGACATTCTGAACCGTCTTCGCTGGGACTCAAACCTTGATCCTAGCGACTACATTGTAGGCTACGAAGATCGCTTTCTGGGTGCCAAGGAGACAACGCTGGAGAAGTGGAAGACGGAGCAGACGGACGAGGAGTTCATACCTCAACACCGGATCTTGTACTTTAAGAAGAAGAGTGACGATGGTGGTGAGGTCGTATGGGAGCGTGCCACGCGGATCGATAAGATCTTTGGCAGTGGTTTGGGCAGTGGAGAGTGAAGTGCCCCACTGGCTCCAGTAGAATCAATATATCGAGTAATGACCCTGTGGATCTGATTCGAAATAATATGTCGTGCATTTAAACGTCCCTTGGAATCAACGAGCTCACTCCTTGTGCTGTGCGAGTGCCTGGATCACTCCTTCCGGTACCCGCTCGGTCCATGCTCTGCTCCCCATTTCCTAACCTTGGTGTCCATCTCCCACCGAATGAAAACCATCACCATGGCAGTGATCCACCCCAATACCGTGTTCGCCAGACCTTTCCAGAATCCACCTCTGATAGCCCCGCCCAGTACACTCGCCATTACCGCTCTGATGATTAAGCTTGTAGCAACCAATTCCTCTCCAGCCTCTAGCCCCCGAATTGCTCTCCGTGCACACTCCTCCGGCTCCAGGATCTGGTCGCCTTCTTCGAGAGACTTGGTCAGGTCAGATTTCACGGCATCTTCATCTGCGCAAGACTGCGTGTGCATGGTCGCTGGGAAGACTGTATGGATGCGCATCCGCGGCAATTCCGGGCGCGATGTAGCGTAGAGATTCATTTCTTGCGACAGCGAATCGGACAAAGAACGAATAGCCGCCTTGCTTGGCGCATACGGTGTGAAGCCCGCGAAAGAGTAAAATGAGACGAAGGAGCCGGTGAAGATGATGTGGCGTGCTGGCTGTGCTGGGCCCTTCGGTCCGCATTTATCTGTAATCGCGGGCTTGGGGTTATGTCGGAGCCATGCGTTCAGTGTCGCGTGAGCCATGTATACACACGAGAAGTAATTGCTGTCCATCATCGTCTGGAATTGCTCAATTGGGGTATCAGCAAAGAGGGTAGGATGTGCGCTCCCGCTGCAGCACCAGACGATATCCGGAGGATGGCCGTCGTTCCATTCTGTTGCTTCCGAGATGACGCGGGAGCATACTTTCGAGGTCGTTACATCTGCTTGGATAGAATGGAAGCGTTGAGTCTCTGAGTTGCGAGCACTTTGCTTTACAAAGAGTCACTACTGTGTCGAGTGTGTCTGGAAATAGATCTAAAGAGCTTACTGTGACGCTCCTGAGGGCAGTAGACAAGCTTTCTTGGCCACGTGCCACGATAATCAGGTTGGCTCCTTTGGCCGCTAGCTGCTGCGCCGCTGCGAGCCCGAGGCCTTTTGAGCCACCAGTAATGAGTACAGTCTATTGAATATCAACATCTATTGTGCTAGAGCTCTTGGCTGCTTACTCGGCCTTCCACAGGCAGCTCGTTCTTCGTAAGGAGCGCGCCCATTCTTGCGCGGTTGTGCGATGGCGCGAGCAGGCTGTAGGAGCGGTGGATCGCGCAAGTGAGAGGATCGAAGAAGTCTAATTGCCGTGCTTGCAGCGCGCTAAGAATATCTCGAGATGGCTGGTGATGGAAGTGGAGCGTTGTTGTGATGATGGATTTTGCGCTTGCATGGCCCCCACGCCTTATCGCACGAGGGCACAGCCGCCGCCATCCCTGCACCCAAACCATTTTTCCGGAAAAGTCCCACATGGGATCTAAAAATATCATCCTCGCGTCACCGCGACAGCCTTGCGCTCAGCGATCCGCGGATTGAGACATGGAAACAACATTCGCAGGTACTCAGCGCAATGATCTCCGACGCAAATGAATCGAAGTGGGATGAATATTAATGATGGATGGAATGTTGAGGAGGAAATGGAACAGGTGCGCGCTTGAAAAACGGTCCCCCGCTGGCGCGTCCCTCCCGCAAAAACCGGTGACTAGATCAACTTCAGTATAGCCTCGTAGAAGCAACCTGATTCCGCTGATGACCTTTCCCAAATAGTGCATACGGATGTGCTTGTACAATGATGACACTAGCACTCATCAGGCCTTGTACAGATGCCCCGCGATACTTCGCCTCGCGTGCTCATCCTTCTATGCGACCTTTACAACCCCGAAGACCAGTGTGGGCCACGCCTGCATATGTATAACATGTCTGTCCACAATGCAACCCTTGTTGCGACTTATTATCGCGCCGAAGGTCTCAATATCCGATAACCTTTCGAAGAGGAGAGCATCCATTTAGCGATATGCCTCCAGCTTATGCCCATGACCTCTTCCGTCGGGTCGAGCAGCAAAAGACTGCGGAGTCCAATGCTACCCTAGCTGTCAGTGGCCTCATCATCGCCCTCGCTGTCGTCTCTGTTGGTCTACGATTCTACACACGCATCTTCACGAAATCGGGACTGAAAGCGGATGATTGGTCGATTTTCGCCGCTGTGCTGTTCACATTAGCTACTGCTGCTGTGACTCTTGTTGGTACGTTTCTCATCATGTTCATTCATTATCTTCGATGAGCTAACGCCGATAAGCAAACAGTGTCGCACCGAACGGCGTCTGGGTCTCCGAAAACACCGACACCAGCTACGTCTACACCTCCCACGATATCCTCTACCTCAAGCTCGCCTTCGCAACATCGATCCTATACTTTACCATCGCCGGCACAACCAAGCTTGCGATTCTCCTCATGTACAATCGCATTTTTAACGTATCGAATGCTTTCCGCGCACAGCTCTACTTCGCCATCTTCCTCGTCGTTGGATGGTGGCTTGGTTGTACAGTCGCATCGTTCACCAACTGCATCCCTCTGGAGTGGAGCTGGATCAACAGCTTCGCGGACCCGCGATACTGCTTCGACTACAACATGTTTTGGATGGCAAGCGGCGCGTGCGAGATCGTGCTTGACGTTATCATTTTGGCGATGCCGGTGAGCGTCGTTGTGAGGATGAAGATGAGCTGGCAGAGGAAAGGGTTGGTGCTGGGTATTTTTGCTTTGGGTGCTTTGTGAGTATTGCAAAGAGAAAGAGACATGCGTCGACTAACATTTACGCAGCACCATCATCACTGGACTTGTAAGGGTAGTTCTGGGGTTCAAGAAAAACAGTCGCGTCCCGTCATACTCCAACACCGAAGTATGGACTACTGTGCACGCGGGCATGAGCATCGTCTGTGCCTCTTTGCCCATATTCCGTCCGCTTATGCGGCGCATTGCCAAGTCCGCTTTCGTGTCGAGGATATCGAGCGTGCTGTCCATACGGAAGCCGACAAGTACACGGGGAAGCACGACTGAAAAGAAGCATTCCCCAAGCTCGAGTGCGGACACAAGCATCGCGAGTTTCGTGCATAACGAAAGGGTGGCACCTGCGTTTGTCGCGACATCGTTCATCACGCGGCCAGAGCCTGCATTCGTGGAACCGGCATTCTGTCAACTACCGACTATACATGTAGAGGAGCGACATAACTCGCTGACTGCGCAGTGGGCGGGCTTCTTGGAAGAAAGCGCTAGAAAATCCAAAGAAGGAGATTCGATGGCGTGCGAGGAAGTTTAGACTACAATAAAAAAAAAATTCAAGATCCAATCTCTCATCATAGTGTCTCCATCAACCGTTTGCGCTAACCATAAAATGTTCGAAATTAGCACAGTCCGTCCATATCTCGAGATCGGGGGCACTGTAGCCGGACAGTAAGCCGTGAAGCAGTGTATGAAACTCAGATGTGCGCTCATATCGCTTTGTCAGAGTGAGCTTTCAGTCTTCATCGTACCCCGTTCACGTATGCTGTAATCAACGTGAAGATAAGCCGACAACGGGATAATAGAGCTCTGGAAAAATGGATGACAGCCGATAGCTTCCTAGGTACAATGTACTGTCAGTCCACAATCGTGAGGCTCCAAATGGATGGAAGGGTTACCGGTAGTTGATACACGCTACAGCACGTAACGTGTTGATTACTCATCGTCATCCTCGTCGTCGCCGTCATCAGAAAGCTCGTCCTCATCATGTTCTAGATCCATGTCTGCCTCACCATCCCTAAGCCGCTCATCGTTCTCGGCTATAACAATCTCGATAGCGCCTTCTCGAAGAACTTGGACCGAGCAGTGATGAGGTCGTGGAAGACACCTACTGTCCTAGAGGACTCGTCCTTGACTACGATGAACTGGATAGAAGGGTCCGTCATCCAGCTTTCAACCGTCAGCAGCAGGAATGAAGCCAAACAATGTGTCGCATACTTCGGAGACTAGTTGGAGCGGACGAAGACGTTAGGCTTGTTGTGGGAAGGGCTTCTCTGGAGCTATATCAACAGGGATTCAATCGGGCGTCAATAGACGTATTATGTCGGGGGGACTCCTTGCTATGTCACCATTCTATACTGAACCGAAGGAATAACTTGGGAGACAGTTTGCGCAAGGAAAAGCTGTCGGAACATTTGTATACCGAACGGAACAAGTGTCTGCACAGCCCTGTATTGTCGAGATTTACTGCGAGTGGTGTGACAAGCTATCGTGCCAGGTGTTGCGAGTAGGGTCTTTATATACTAAGAGATAGTAACGAACAAGTCGAGTCCCACACGGACCAAGCGTCGAAGTTGGCTTGTGCTCTTGTTTTTCGAACTGTAGAGTGAAAGAACAGGTACAGAGATGCCCAGTTAAAGATGCGTACTGCGCATAAGCCGATCAAGCTCTCCCGATCTCCACTCAGGCTCAGGCCGGTCACAGATCTCTCGAATCCTTCTCTCGTCATTTTCGCTCGCCGAGCCTGGGAGGAACCCCAGGTTGATAGGTCGTTCAGCTTCCGCTGTCTCTGCTGCCTGATTATTCCTGCGTCTCTCGACTCGCCACCTGACCTCATCGTCTTCAATCGAGCGTTTCTTCTGTTTGAGTTGTTCCACAGCCTGTTGCGCAAGGGCATCGTCAGTGTTGTTCAACAGAAACACGATGCATTTCTCAAGGTTTTGCAATAAAGATGAGTGAATCCAGTCGTAGGGTGAATCCTTGGATGGCAGAAGAATGCCTTTTGATAGTTCCTCATCAAGTTTCAAGATTGTAGCCCAAAGTGGCGTCCAGGAATTTTTAGGCCGTAATAAAACCTGGACTGAGTCTCTAACTACTGGCCCCGCAGCAACACTGTCATCAGCTCCGTGTTTCAGCAAGAGATCTACCATGGATTTCTGACCATTCGCTGCTGCATAGCAAAGGGCGGATCCAAGAAGGGGATGCCTGTAGTTGATGAACTCCGGCTCATTGTACGTTTCCAAGCAGAGGCTCAATATCTTGGGCGTGATTTGAGCGATGTGTGTGTAGTTCGGACTACCAGAGAGAAGATGAAGGATGGAGAATTTGTTAGCGGGGTCGATGTGGAATGAGGGCCGTTGTTTTGGACCACCAGTGCTTTTGCCGAACAAAAACTTCAGTGACTTAATGGTACGCATGGTGTGTTGAGACAGTACTTCCACCAGTACGGTGGTATGTTTTGTCTCCAAGCCATGTAATCCGGAAACTTGCAGCGGGTAGAGCGCGTCGACGTTAGCGCCATTCTCGACCAGTGCAGCCGCGACGTCAAAATTCTGGTTCAGTATGGCCATTGCAAGCGGTGACTTACTGCGCGGGTCGACACTTTCAAGAGGTACACCTGCGGATATAAGAGCATCTGCAATATACCTTCCTGGCCGTGATTGACGAGGCCGAGATGCACATATGTGAAGCAGCGATATCCTTCCCGTGGGCGTCATTCGAGTAACAGAAAGGTTGGCGTTGTACCTTTTCAAGAGGTCGAACAGAGCGTCGTGATTCATCCGGATGGCTTCCTCGATTGGTCGATGATGATTTGTGCCGTCAGGATGATATCTCAACTCTAGCAGCGTCTCCACAATGTCAACACTGCCCAGCTTAACCTCTCGACTGAGTACCCGGCTTCTTTCTTTCTGCACATTCTCTGAAGCCATTCCTCCAGTAAATGGCAAAGCTCGAGCATAAAGTACCATCAGAGAAGCTCTCAGGTTCTGTTTGAAGCGACTTCCACAACGAACGAGGCGACTTTGAAGTGATAACGGGTCAGTCTGAGTAATCGCCTTACTTCGAGCGAGATCTAACATGCCCACTTCGTCAAGAAGCCGCAGGCTTGGAGTGGTGGTGCCCCCATCAATATGAGTGATGAAAGCAGCCAGAATCTCTGGATATGTGAGGACAGCAGCGAGCTCGAAAGGTGATGTAACATCCACCATCTTAGACATGTCGTTCGAGCCTTCCCACTCACCCCGATGCTTCTTTGCGCTCTTCGCAAGGGGGTCGGCCCCAAGTTTTAGAAGCACCCTGACGGCGTCCATATTATTCATCAAAACCGCTCTCCCAAGGGGAGTCGTGCGAATTTCGAAAATACGTTCCCAGTCCGCTCGGATACCTCGGACGTCATGGCGCATACCACCTGAACGCAGCTCGACTTCCGCGCCGGCGGCGACAAGCTTGCTAGCGATAGTCTCCATTTCGTTTGGCAAGAAGCTCGAGAGCCAATGCAGTGGCCCTTCTTGTCCAAAGCGGTAACCGTTGGGGTCAGCGCCGTTATCTAGCAAAAACAACGCGCAGTCGAGTTTGCCGCCGGCACAAGCACACAAAAGAGGCGGCTCGTCGACATGCTGGTTTGGCAAATTGATATTGCAGTTGTATGTCATGACGAGGTGCTGCAAAGTTTCCGACAAACCAGCTGCTGCGGCGTAGTGCAACAACCCATGGCCGCGTCTGTTCACGTAGATTTTATCAAATCTCGATTCGGTCGCATCGCTTCCAGCATCACTCAGAGTTTGGAACGAAGATCCTCTCAAGCATGAGTCATAGGCACTACCCAGTATATCCCGGATCGTTCTGTCCAGGCTCGGTAGATTATCGATTTCGATGTTATTCCAGGGCGGGGTGAGGTGGGATGAAAAAAAGTATCCCATGCCAACGGCACCCATCTGCGATAATAAAAATCGACGAGCTTGCTGAAAGGTACTCCACCACTGCTGACGGTCTGTGGCACTTCCAGTGGAAGCAAGCTCCTGGATGTCCTGAAGACAAATTCTATGTCCACGCATGACAGACAGCTTGAGAAGCGTGTCCAGTCTATGCCTTGGCAAGTCCAGACTCACTCCCAGAGCTCGTGAAATGCGCCAAACCCACGCTTGCGAAAGGTAGTCTTCGTCTTCGTGGCTATCGTCATCAGAAGCAGCTTTTAAAAGCCACTCAGAGGCATTCAGATCGTTGAATGGTGTACCGAACTCGAGAAGGTAGCATTGGAAAACGAAGAATGCCGCGACCGTTTTTCTCATATCTAGTAGGCCACTAGTGCTAGCACGAGTACCTGAAGCTGCGGACTTGAGCTCCTCAAGTATTTGCCGCTGCTGGTCCCAAGTTAGGATGTTCTTTAGTTTCTCGGGCTCAAAGGTGAACTCTTCCGCATTAGGCTCGTCGAGCTGAGGTCGAAAACCGGGCCTGTCATACAGTCAGCCTGGAGAATTTTTATACGCATACAAAGATAAGCGTACAGGTTATCTTGCAAATCGACGTCGTCTCCGGATCGACCGAGGTAGAAAGACAACGCATCTCTGGTGATGCCATGCCGCCCCTATCGCAATTAGTGGCACCTTATGAAGGGAACTTTCTCTTACAGGTGCTTCGCGGGCCTCCGTTGCGGTACGCTCGTTGTTCTTCTCTTGCACGAACTCTTGATATTCGGGTATGTGACCAAGCCTAGGAATAAATCAGTATAGCAGGTATCATTCTTCGACTATACTTACTTAACGCCCCTAAGAGCCGCAAGTGCTTTAACTAGATCACGATCCGTTGGTACCAGCCTGACGGTGTGAAGGATTGTGTATGCGAACATGTCATAGAATGCCCGTGAGACTTTATGTGAGGTAGCGTAGTCTTGAATGCTGCATAAGCCACTCTGAGTAAGTCCTTCAGTCGACTTTATGGCGTTAAGATTGCGCTTCTCTTCATCCGGAGCGCTTTGCGCAGCCCCCGGGAACGAAACAAATCCTTCTCCGTCTTCGAAAGCTCGCCAAACAAGAAGACCGAAGGAGTAGACATCCGTAAGCATCATTCCTTCTCTAGTCAATAATCGACCATCAGTAACTTCGGGCGCTTGAAAAGGCCATGTCCACGTCTCTAACTTCCGAGTCTCTCTGAAAGTCATATCCATGACCGTGCCACCAAAATCTGCTAGTTTGGCAGTATACATCATCTCGTACGGCTCTGGCTCCGCGTTGGAGTTCCTGCTGCGCTTGAAAGGAAATATCAAGACATTCTCATGTTTCATATCGCCGTGCACGATTCCAGCAGAGTGTAGAGCTGACAGGCCGCGTCCTACATCATAGCATAGCTTCTGCTTGACTGGAAGAGGCAACGCATTCTGGGAAGACTGCAGAGTCTTGAACGTGCCGAATGAGGCATACTCCATGATTAAGACTGGGAAAGTCGACTCAGAGATCGGCGAAAGGCCCCATTGAACCCCCAAAAGACGAACGATATTTGGGTGATATCGAACGGGTTCGTGAAGCAGAGCTCGGAGCTCAAAAAGGATCTCTTTCCAGTCAACCTGTGGCTTATTGGTCGTCGAGGATGCGGATCTTTCACAGTCAGCTGCAGATTTGTGGCGTGCTCACTTGACTGTACTGTGACGTTTCCTCCTCAGCTTGCACATCAGGAATGATTTCCTTCAATGCAACTTCGAGAGGGGGCTCATTTGGGTCCTTCACCCACAAAGCATGCCTCACCATGAAAGTCTTGCCTTGGCCTAGGATCTTTCCCGTGGCTCGAACGGATGAAGAGTCATCGAGCACGATGGGCGCCAGTGTGCGCAACTTGCTCTCGAGATTGGTAACATGGCAGACGAAGGAAGCGAATGAGCCACGCGATGCCGAACTCGAGGATGCGTGCCGCTCAATCGCAGGAACTTCATGGCTCACAGTTCCGTAGCTGGAGGTCGGAAACGATCTGACCCAATCAAATTCATCCATCAAAGGCACTGGGAGGTGTAGATACAGGTTCTTTTGACTGGGATAGAAAAGTGCGGATGGACAACACGTTACGCTGCGCGAAGTGAGAAGGCTACGTTGTCGGGGCAAAGACATGAGGCCGCTTGCTCTTCCTGTATGTGGACGATGCGGCGTCTGTACCGGCATATCCGCAGCTTGCGCTCCGAGTGCGGATTGGTTAGATGCATCTTAAATGTTCAGCTGCCGCGTAAGTGGTATGATGGCGGAGGAACCGAGGAAGAATGAATGGACGACGGCGTGACAAGTTGCATGGGACTAGTCCAATTTGGGCTTTAGCTTGCGCTAAATTCGTACTTGAGCTGAAGTATACGAGGTATCTCCCCCTCTTAATTCCCTCAAGATGTGAGAACTCCATACTCTATTCGATTTGACATATTGCAGACATGTCTGGCCTCGAAATTCCGGGCCTTGTTGTAGGCGTTGTGCCACTTGCGCTGAAAGCCACTGTCGAAGCGTGGAAAGTACTCGACGATACCGTTAGCTTCTCGGATGATAGTGAAGATTTGGTTATCCGTCTAGAGACACTGAAAGCTCATTTGGGCATCTGGGCAATGAAAGCAGGGTTGACCGAAGGCGGCCTTCTTAGTGCGCTTTTGCCGTTTGAGGAGCTTATCGAGCGAACACTAAAACGTATATGCGAACTGGTCACGGAAGTCGAGCTGCAAGGAACAAAGTACGGACTCAAACCTCCAGAAACAGGCAGCGGCAACACAAAACGAACGAATGCAGCAATCGTTCAGATGCGGAAGAGCCTGCACGCAGCCCTATCAAATACCAAATCGCCAAGAACAAATATTGCGGTCAAAATAGAAGCAGATGCGGCTCGAATCGCGAATCCGGAACGAAAAGATGAGCCTAACGTCTTGAGAAGAATTTGTTGGGCAGTGCACGATAAGCAGAAGTTCGAAGGCTTCGTCAACACGCTTGAAAAGCATGTGAACGGTTTGCAGAATTTTGTTGTGGACCACGATCGACGAAAGTTGCAGCAAGAAGGAACTCGAATCACGTTGGATATAATCCGCGGGCTTTCCGAACCAGACGCTCTAATACATTTACGTGGCGCACCTATCTGGGACGACCAATTTTCGCAGATGGATATCAGCACCTTGGCGCGATGGAAAGCCATCGCCGTAACGCCGCCATCGCCACCAGTCACAACTACTGAATCCTTGAAAGACTGGAGCCTGGCCAGTATACACGCTGATGATAGAAGCCAGGTGCGCTTCATCAAGCGAGGGCTGGTCAACAACGATGCTGCTTATTTTTTTGAGAAGAAAGAGTACGACCCTAACATCACAGACGACGAGAAGGACATATTGCAGGATCGTATTCGCCAGCTCATGGCTTTGCTTGGAGAGGCCAGATCTCAGCGACACCTGAACACACTACAAGCACTTGGCTATCTTGATGATCCCAGTTACCACTGCTGGTGGATAGTCTTCCGCTTCCCGTTGAGCCCCCTGGACGTTCTTGATGACAAAGCGAATCGCCCGCTTTCCTTGAAAGACCTATACTCAGTGCCGTATAGACCAGCGCTTGAGGCACGCTACAGGTTGGCAAAGCGGCTTGTCGACTCGTTCGCTCGCCTGTACGGCAGCGACTGGTACCACAAAGGGATCAACAGCAGTAACATTATTTTCCCACAGATTTACACTGCAAGCTCGCGAGCTAGCTTCAAGTCAATCAATACCGCTCTCGTTCAAGGCTTCAATTACTCCCGACAGCTCACACAGTCTCAGACCATTGACCGCGGAAAGGTTCTCAATGATCTGGAAGCTGCCATCTACCGCCATCCACTGTACCAAGGGGACGCGGCATCAGGGTACCAGATACAGTACGACATATACTCACTCGGCTTGGTGCTCTTTGAAATTGCAATTTGGGGTCCTCTCATGGATATGTTTGTGCCTGGTAAGGGTAAGAAGCCGCCAGTGGCCCTATCGCCAAACATGAAGCAGTTTCATGAGGCGGAAGCATTCGAGCTCAAACGGAGAATTGACATGCGGGTCGAAAACGAGCTGGCGTATCGGGTCGGGACAAGGTACAAGGAAGTGGTGCAATGGTGCTTGAGTTTACGGGGTACCGTGACTGCACTTGAGTTCTACAACGCAGTTGCAATACCATTGGATGAGCTATGCAGTCAGTAAGATGAATGGAGTTGGTAGTTCTGCATGACTCGATCGAAAGGTACAGCTTGGTATCCCTCAGTGCTCCTCATGTGAGCTGAACCCTCATAGCACTCTGATGCCGGTGCCAGCTTGAACGCCTCCATGCCCAAAAGTTCCATCAGTGCTGAAGTGGGTCCTGGTTGGCCTCATTGCGCTTTGCCTGGTCTCGTCTCTAGTGCTCCTCCATCTCGGAGCCAACGTCGTGAAACTTGGCGTTCGGATTGTAGGTGTATGGCCTCTTGGTGGTCGGGGTCGGGATGCTGGTGGTGCGAGCAGGCTCAGGTGTAGGTGGACGTGCCCGTCGGCGAGGATTGAAGATGTTGAATGGACGGGAGTCGGCATTGGCATTGTTGTCGGCGGTCTTCTTCTGCGCTGCCTCGCGATTCTCCTCCCGCACCTTGGCCTCGTATAGCTTCTCGTACGCCTCTTGGGCCTTGCGGAACTCGCTTGCGTCGCCGTTGGAGCCGGGACCTTTCTTATCGGGATGGTAGAGCAAGGCAAGTCGGTGGTACGCGGCCTTGATCTGCGCGGCCGTCGCACTTGGGGTCAGATCGAGGTCCGCGTAGTATTTGCGAGCATAGCTGCTCTCAGGCATATTAGCGGTCTGAATCGTGGAAGCGCTGGCGGAACAAGTGAACGGTGTGTGCGAGGGAGTGGGGATCTTGTTGTTGTGAAGAAGAGCGTCACGACGAAGCTCACAGCGCAGTCTTAAACCTCTCATCATCAGCGTTTGCAGGTCTCCAGGCACCCAGGCAACACACGCGCGCACTATCGCAGTATTGTACGGCCCCGCCCAATCAGGCGCTTGCTTAGTGACTATGTGCAAGTCACAGACGCTGAAGAAAGTGTCGAGTGATCAACATTTATACAGGACGATTCATTGCAAGGTTGAAGCACATAGGTAATTCAGCTGCTGTGGAGAACAAGATGAAGCGTGACCGAGATTTCCGCCTGCTCGAGTGCCAGCACATGTGACAATGCAGTCACCGTACGTAAGCTTGCTGAGGGAGAGCACCAAACACATTTAACTCGAGGCGTATATGAAGCAAGTATTATGTTCGCTTCAGGTCTTCTTGAGACCTTGTAAATCCCGATCTGCGGCGGAACGACACTTGACTCACTTAACCCATCTCAGCAATGTCCAGCGGATCTCCACGCGAAAGATGTCGTGAGAAGACCTTTCGCTCTCGCTTCCGTATGTCGCAGAGATGTTATCGGAGCAAACGGCCGTGTCGGCGTTGCCTGAATTTCCCGCGTGCGCGCGCCTGTCTACTCCCCCTGGTCGTTCTTTCCTGATCCGCTACTCTCCACCAACCTTGATCTATGAGCCGCAAGGGTGCCTTCCGAAATTTCAGCCTTCTATAATCCCACGCTATGTGTAAACACTCGCCGTGAGATTGACGGCAGAATTTCATCTTGCCCAAATGCGGCGGCAATCACATGCAAGAGCTGCGAGCTTGTACAGGTACGCCTGCAGCAGCCTGATGTGTCTTCTACTGATAACATCGTAGTATTGCTCCACCGATTGCCAGGCAGCCGACCAGGTACGGCACAAGCTCATTTGCGAGTCTTCTTTCCTGAAGGAAATCTGGTCACCGCCCATGGGTGAGGAACAATCAAGCGCCGCATTCGATGGAGAGAGTGGCCTCCGCTCCCACAGGCTCTCGGCGTCCCTACCTGAGGCTCAGTCGAAACTTTTTGCATTTGACATAGACAGTCTATTACAGTCGTCCCGACGTCAAATTAAAATGTGCTCATTGAGCTGTTCATATAGCCATTCGTGTGGTACTTGACTCCGCCATTACATCAACGCACACACTGTAGGAGCTTCATGACTTTGTCCCATATTCTACTTAACATTACGCCGAGGGAATCACGACCGCGCTGGTGGAGCGAAGAGTCCGGCAGTTCTATTGATGGGCTCCCGAAAGCTCGCGGTCACGTTCGCACCTCGAGAGCACTTGAGTGACCCAATGAACGCGCCTGGTGCATCGCTGATCTTCGAAGCCACTAGCCCTTCTAGGGGTAGTACTTCCTGAAGAACGCAATGTCCTCCTTCGAGGGACGGACTGCCCACTTGATCTCTTCCACACCCACCTTTACCCCATTATTTCTCTTGATCTTGACCAAGGGACATAGTTCTAGGCTAGTTGCCCTGCAATCTGGGCTTGCGAATGCAGTACTCCCATACATCACTGCGGTCAGTGTCAGTCCATCCGATCCCTCGGGTGTTATCGCAGCTGACTTACTCAGAGAATCGATATCGAAGTTTTTATCTTTGTCCCTTTTGTCGGTGCTCGACAAGTAGTTGAAAGCCGGAAACCTGTTCTCAAGTGCGAAGTTACGATCGGTGCAAAGCTTGTTGCTGATTTCCAGGACGGTTAAGTCACTGTTCTTAGGCTTTGACTGGGCTGACAAGATAGCGCTGGCGAGACCTTTGAGCTTGGTGCAGCGAAATTCGACGAAGTCATCACCTGAAGATCGTTATGAGCTCTGAGACGATATGATCAAGTGCTTACTCACGATCTGGGCGCGACATCTCATGGCCCAAGCCAAGAACTATGTTCGTAAGCAAGAACTACGCTTCTATTCTTTGATAGGGAGGACTGACCATGCCCAATCTAAGAGTGTTAGTGTTTCCCTCAGGCAAGGATCACGTTGACCTACCTCATGTGCTATAGTATGAGCTTCAGTGTTTTCAGCAATATATAGTCGATGCCGAAGACCTTTGAGCTCCTCAGGGGATGCACGCTCTCTGGGCGTGTAGCCAACAGTTGCAGAGCTCACCCCGCCAGAGCTCGCTTCATCTTTCCAGATTACGGCTAAGACGTCATTGGAGCCTAAATTGTTGCGTTTTCCATTCCAGTAGGCAGGAAAAAACTCTTTGAAGCAATGCTGAGGTATTCCAGCGAACTTCACCTCGGAGAATGCGAGGTTGTGGCCTGTCTCCTTCCCAGCTCCGCCACCGAGCGCTTTGCCCCACAACGCAATAGCCTGATTCAGACGGCACCCAATCTTCTCTTTCATCTCTGCTGTGGCGAAGCAGTAGCGGATCCGATTGCGATTCTTCAGGATCCCCCGTATTCGCCACGGTTGCGGGGCACCACCGTTGGAAAACTCTGCAGTCAATCAATGTTAGCGATGGACTGAAATGCATACATGAGGCCGATAGGTAGTAAGGCGATAATTGCACTTACGGCTACGCCATCTACTCTCCAGTGCAACAGATGCATTGCCAGAGGGAGCTTGAGCGCCATGATCGGGGTCTGGCAGTATCTCGGGCGAGCGCACATCGGGAAGCGGGAACGACTGATCGGTGGCTGATTGGAGTCCAAAAGTAGCTGATAATAACGGGCAGCCACGGTAGAAGCAGTGCTACGATCCGTGTCAAGGTCGCCATGCTTGCCGCGATGGGAATGTCAGAACGTTTTGCGCTAGCGAGGTCGAGTGAAGTGAGGCCCACGAGGCAAGCCTGAAGGCAGAACAACTCTTCAATTGGCTGCATTCTATTTGAGCATTGTTGGGGCCCGTGCTCGTGCTGTAGCCAATAAATCTTCTTCGTTTAGATCACATGATTAAGCTGCTCCAGGTATCCTTCACTCCTGTCATATCAACCCGGAAATGATGTAGCACTTACCTGATAGAACCATTATCGCAGCTTGCTATCGTCTTGAGGGAACGATACTTTAAAAACCTCGCAATCTTCAAACAGCAACGAAAAGGTATATATATCACAGGGAACGCAATTGGCACTTAGAAAGGCTTTGTCGAAGTTGTCTAGAATTCTTTTACTTTCGAGGTCAGCTGCGAGGATATAGCCTCGCCCTTGATACGGGAAGGCGAGAAAAGAAGTGGCATAACAGAATGTTCCTTGATGATAGGTCAGTACAAGCGTTGTTCTCAACATAATCTCGTCTATCCCCTTCACTACCATATGTGGATCAGGGAGTCTCTGGATAACCAGTCAAGAGTCCCTCACGTGGTGCCTGCAGGCGAATGTCACTACATATATAGCAGTAAATATTATTTGCTCCAGATTACTCTCTTGCTTGTTGGCCCCGTCGCTTTAGTTCAAAAGTGATTCTAAACATGAACACGCACATGATGGAGCAACTCTATTATCCTGCTGATCATGTTGACCACCGCACGTGTACGATCGAGTGATGCTTCAAATTGATCAATGTAACGGAGAGCACTGAAATATCATCATATTCAAATTAAATAAGACTAATTTACCTTCAGTCGATATACAAAATATTTCCCTCAATAATCCAATATTGCATCAAGTACTCAAGTTCGATACACTCCGTCTCAAGTAGCACTGCGACGGCACTGACTATTACCCAGATTCTGGAGTACACACTCTGAAACAACCGGGGCCTTGTACCTTCTGCGCTCCCCGAAGTGCAATCGCCCAGTATACCGTCTATCCCAGTTTCTGATATGTTTGATAACTTCGCTATTGAATATAAACTCTTACTCATCATTAGATTGGTATTCGATGGCGCGAAATGACCGCGTCATCCTGCGCATAAGCATTGCTGATGTCCCAACACATGCACATCAGCCATGTGCTGGAATATACGCATTTCATACCCTATTGTGCGACGCGTCCAAGCAGCGCAATGGAAAGCTACCAACATGAGGTTAGAACTTTAGTAACCCTGATATTTATCATGATCAAAATAGCCTAGAACACCCCGCAATCTACAATTAATAAGTCGCACCGGTGCCACAGTCGATTCTCGTGCAACCACACTGTGAAAGTTCAAGCCGTAAGCATACACTATCGTTGACTTATTCGGTATAACGATGATATCCTGGTGTGCGTAAGTGGTGAGCATCATCAGCATGTTGGACTCTTAGATACGACTACAATCAATGATTGCATTGATTATCCGGTCGATAATCACGAGAATGTGCCTCACACTACTATACAGTAACGGACCCAGCGGCGAGGTATAAATACCACGCTCTCACAATTACATTTCAACATCAAAGGAAATAACCCACGGGCTTGCTACTACTGAATATATAGAGAGCTCCCAACGATATCACCATCTTGACCACAAGAATGAAGGCCTCCATCATCTTCTCCGTCCTCGCTTCCAGCGTCGCCCTCGCTGTCCCTGTCTCTGACATGGAAAAGCGCGCCAACACCGCTGTGTACCTCTGAAACGACCGCAACTTCTCCGGCTACTGCGTCCACATCACATCGCCCAGTGGAACCTGCGTACCGCTCGCCAGCGACCTCAATGATAAGGTCAGCTCCGCAGGACCTGACCAGGGAAGCTTGTGTTACTTCTTCGTGTAAGTGGCTTGCGAAATACTACGAAAGTACGATTGGGACATAAGGCGCCTGACATGGCTTGCACAGTAACGCAAACTGCGATGACACTGGAGACTTCTTCCATGTTGAATACCCCGGTGTTGCTGATTTGTCGAAGACACCTGTCAATGGCCCGACTGGAAGCACGAGGAACTTTGAGGACAAGCTTAGCAGTTATCGATGCACCTCTGTGTAATCTACCGGTGTATGGGAGGTGTGGAAGCAAGAACAAAACGCTAAGGTTATGCTTAATGGAAGTGGTAGTGTTTGCATTCTCATCCTTAAGGTTGAGCTATATAGAAAGGTCTTCCCTTCACACGTTGATCTGGTGCTTCACACTCTCGATAATCTTATCCATCTGGACGAGGTCATCAGCCGCAACCTATGACTGTCTCATGCATCGCATTGATGTCTTGACACAAGTTCATCTCGACGAAATAAGGCCCCAACGTGGCTATTGGGTCTATCTTCGGTCTAGCGTGGCGCACCCGAGAGCCGAGCATGCGTACATCTGATCCCAGAAACAACAGCACATATAATCTGCAACGTCAGGGTGGCGAAACGATAGTGCCGTTGGCCAGAAAGTAGGCTTTACACGAAGAATGAGCTCCACCTGTGCTGATACGTGCGCCAAAGAAAGACGCCAATATTCGTGCGCCGAGAATAGCAACAGCCGGGTCCTGCGGCTGAGGCGACGCTAGGCTCCTCGCCCGTAAGCTCCAATGCCAACCCCACAAAAAGGATCTCTGTGCTTCCGCTAGCTTGTCACCTCCCGAGAATTCATTTCGGAACCAAATTGACGACTGGCACCCTTTTGACAGCCCCTTTGATAGCCCAACGTCCTGATGACGAACCCGTGCGTCTCGCAAAACGGCGAGTTGCGCAGAGCACCGTCTTCGGAACGGCGAATCAGCGAGTGGTAAGCTCACTGGAGAGATTCTCCTCTGGGTAAAGGCGCGCTGAAGCTAGCGAATGATCTACATAACGGGGGTACATCGTGCTGTTGATTGTGGAACCTGGAAAACGCCGTTCCTCGTACTCGGCGCACAGCTCCTCGTCAGGCCTCTACCTGGTGCTTTGCATCGCTGTACTCCGCCTGCTTCCGCACTATATAGTATGTAGCTATCGCTTCTCTCCTTTCGTCTCCTCGTCCCTGGTCACGCCCACACTCGTTCATCATGAGAGTTGTTTCATTCCTGGCCATCGGCCTGTTCTCCGGCGCCTTGGCCGCTACCGTCTCGAACGACGCCACTTGCGGAGGAACCAACAAATACACGTGTCTTGGCAGCACGTTCGGAAACTGCTGTAGCAGCGCCGGGTGGTGTGGTTCTACATCCGCGTACTGCGGAACTGGTTGTCAATCTGCCTACGGCAACTGTGGTAGCAACAGCCCCACGAGCAGCAAACCTGTAAGCAGCAAGAGCATCGCTTCGTCCACCAAGTCTTCCTCAGCACCGGCCTCGACATCCACGAAGAAGGTGTCCACAGATGCGACCTGCGGCGGTTCCAAGGGCTATACCTGCCTTGGCAGCTCCTTCGGTAACTGCTGCAGCGCCAACGGTTGGTGTGGCTCGACATCAGCATACTGTGGAACCGGATGCCAGTCTGGCTTTGGAAATTGTGGAAGCAACAACGGAGCTTCGAGTACTGTGCTAAGCAGCACCAAGGTCACCTCCGCCACCTCGAAGACTTCCGCCGTCTCATCACCATCTGCGACTGCGTCTGGCTCAGCCACCCAGTGCTTGACCGGAAAGAAGGTGCCCTACAAGGTCTCATCTGATGCGGCCTACTCCCAGCTTGCACAGCCGTACAACCTGCGCTTGCCGTACAAGCCTGCTGTTATCGTTCTGCCGACAACGAATCAGCATGTCCAGGACGCTGTGGTGTGTGGTGCAAAAGGTGGCTTGAAGATTCAGGCAAAATCTGGTGGCCACTCTTATGCAAGCTTCAGTAGCGGAGGAAAGGATGGATCGATGGGTAAGCTTACTTGACGAGAAAGGCCACGGGACCAAGGGCTGATATTGTTAGTTATCGATTTGGAGTCTTTCCAGAACGTCGCTTTGGACACTTCGTCTGGCGTTGTCCAGGTCGGCGGTGGTGTGCGATTGGGCAACCTCGCAGATGGTATCTACCAGCAAGGCAAGCGAGCTCTGTCTCACGGCACTTGTAAGTCAAACAACTCAATTCAAACGCATCGAACTAATTTGTTGCAGGCCCCGGTGTCGGCATCGGTGGACATTCCACTCACGGCGGATATGGCACAACTTCGCGCAGCTGGGGTCTCGCCATGGATGCTATCACCGCCGCCGATGTTGTCCTCGCGAACGGCACCCTGATCAAGGCCAGCTCCACGCAGAACTCCGAGATCTACTGGGGCATCCGCGGTGCCGCTGAGTCCCTCGGCATAATCGTCAATTTCTACATGCAGACCCGCGCCGCTCCAGAAAGCGTCACTTACTTTGCCATCCCCTGGACCGGCATGTTCGACCAGAAGTCCACCTTCACGAACGGCTGGCTGCGCCTCCAAGAAATCGCGCGCAACTCCTCCGTCATCGACAACCGCATTTCCTTCGGCGTCTACCTCGACAACGCTGGAACCTTCTCCCTCTCCGGCTTCTTCTCCGGCACCGTCGCCGAATTCAACTCCAAAATCAAGCCAGAGTTCCTCCGCAACATGCCCACCGCTGGCACCCCGACGGTCAAATCCTACGGCTGGTACGACTATCTGGTCCTCCTCGGCGGCAAGGACACCATCAAGGAGCCTACCACCGGCTACGCCGAGCACGACACTTTCTTTGCGAAATCTCTTACCGTCCCCGAGACCGACGGGCTCTCTGCCGCCGCGCTGAACGCGTACTACGACTACATCAAGTCCGGCAGCGTGACCTTCTACTCCATCATCAACCTCTACGGCGGCCCCGGGTCCGCCATCAACAGCAAGGACACTACCTTCGCCGCGTACAGCGACCGCGACAGCTTGTGGGTGTTCCAGAACTACGGGACGGGTGCGGGTGCCGATGTCGTGAGCTACATGAACGGCATGAACGACGCGATCATCAAGGCGCAGCCGAATACGAAGTTTGGCGCGTACCTGAACTACGTGGATCCCAGCTATGATGCGGCGACCGCGCATAAGCTGTACTACGGGGATGCGGTGTATGCGAGGTTGGCGGCGCTGAAGAAGGTCGTGGATCCGGCGAATGTGTTCTGGAATCCGCAGAGTATCGGAGCGTAAAAAGAGAAAGAGCTTGTAATGTATAGATAATGTTAATAGATCTTTTTCACCGATATTGATGGTTTCGTTCAGTGCTAAAGGTCCGGGTTTCCTGCGTGTTTTTGGAATGACGTGAGTTGCTAGACGACGAAGCCACGCGGACTACTTCACCCAACAGAGATGTTTCCGAAACTGCATCAGGTGCTTTGACTACTTCCTAGTCATGAAGCTCGGCACAGAATTCAACTCGCTCGCATTGGGATATGGGAGCGCCTCGAGTATCTCATGCCCGCTGATTTGCAACAGGGTGTCCTCGCTTCTAGCTCCCCACGGTGGCGATCCGCCGACTTTAACCCCGTGTGTGGGTTTCGGAACATAGATAGACAGAAGACGGGGTCTGCGGTGTTTATCGTTGCACGTTCACAGCGATGGAAACAATTCATTGCTGCATTGGTGCATACTTTAAGCTTGCGTGCATTTACGACTTTGGTCTGTTGACTGGTGCAGTTTGGCCGCTCAGCCCTGCATGAACGCGAAGCCGATATATTGTTACATCTTGTAGCGAGCCTATCGTCTATTCCCTGTCTCCCACCCACATTTCTTTACAAAAGCAAGCGCCCCTGGACTTTACTATAATCTATCCGTTCACGCCTGTTGAGAGACACCCCGAGAAACTCCAGAAACCTCTAACAATGGTACCCCGCGCCAGACCAACATCAAACTCGGTGACGTCCCCCAACTTCTAATGACCATTGTTGAAGCGAGGGTCCCCAGGCAAAATGCCATCAGTACCGCCTGACGTCCTGATACCAGATCCATAGATAAGCGTATCGTATCCTACACCATGTGTCAGTCACGTTCTCCCTACCACCCTGGTTTTGAACTTACCCGCCATGACCTGCAGCTTCATCGCCCCATCCACAAAGTACTCCTGGTCCTTCCCAATCACCGGATCACCAAACGCGTTATTGATAAACTTGAGCACGCTCTCCGCATCCTTGGCATGGAACTCTGCGATCCCATCGTATGGCGCGACCTCCTATTCCCCAACGTCAGCCTCTCTGTGCCACTCTCACACTCACGATTACGAAAATGAAGGGGCAGAGTTACTCACCACAGACCCCGTATCCTCCAACGACTGAATAGCCACCCGACTCGCTTGATCCGCATGGAACTGCACATAGCGCTCAATCAGCACCCCCGTACCCTTCATCGCGAGCGTGAGATCCGCGTGCACCGTCTTCCAGTGCTCATTGGCCTGCTCCTCGCACAGGTCCGGGTTCATCTTGAACAGAATCATGAAGCGGAAGTACGGCTGGCGGTTCGAATCATGGTTCAGGTAGGTGCCGGGTGCGTATTCGGAAAAGGTGTAGGCGTGCGGGCATTGCTTGTCGTCGGAGGAAGCGGAGGGCGAGCAGTTTGTGAAGTCGGGGAGGCTTCGGGTGCAGGTTGTGGTGGAGTTGATGTCGGGAAGGAAGGAAGGATGGGCAGTGGCGAGGGAGAGGAGGGAGGGCACGCTGAAGGCGAGGGCGGAGAAACGCATCTTGAAGAGCGCAATTGGTGGGAGACACTGGTTTCAATCGATTGAACTTAGATGAGAGATCTGGTGGTGCTTGTGCGGTGCAATGAAGGTCTGAATGAGGGGGTATGGAGAGGGTTTAAATGTAGGTTAAGGTCCGTTTGGGAATGCACAGCACAGCACCTACCAGGGGAGGGCATGGAAATCATATCGAAAGACGGCGCATGCACCGGGCGATGCGCGAAAAAGTTGTGATGATGCCTGCATTACAATACGTTCGCCGCTCAAATATCTGCTGTGTCTTTGAGCGAAGGGCGGGGGGCATGTTGATAGGGTAATGGCGCAGGCACAATGTCTTGAACAGCCACTTCATAGTCGGTCATATGATTTAAGGCTCTTGTTCCGTGCGTATCGTAAGATACTGTCTTCTCCCATGCCCTATCATTCGCTTTCCGGGGCCCGATAGATGGGTAAGAACGAAGAATTACCAGAGGTCCATATAAGGAGTCACACGCAGTGTACGTGGCTGAGATCAGGAAACCGATCACGCGTTCGCAAGATCTTACGGGTTCGAATGAGAACCGTGGGGGCCGTGATGTATGCGCCGCCTAGTGTGGCGCGGTGCGGAGGTGTCAGACACCGCACGCTTTAATTGGCCGGTGAAGATCGTTGACAACCCCGAGGACGACGTGGGAATATCAAAGCTTAGTATCCGATCGTATGTCGCAAGGTTTGGGGCAACTATGATGGGGCGGTAAGCTGAACCGACGATACCCATGCCTCAGAGCTGAGTTTAAGCAAAGCGAGTGGGAGAGCCCACGTGCCTTCTGCTCAAGAGGCTGCTGATGCCTTTAATCTTTTCGAGCTGCAGGATGGAATGGCCTACGCTCAGCGTGTGCACGTGACAGAAAAATGTTGCATTTGCTGTCGTATTTGCCAGTGCCCTTGCACGTCACGTTTGACTTCCTCTTTTTCTCTTTCTTGGCTTCAGCTCCTTCTTCAGCTTCATATTATTCTCCTCAAGGTTTTTAATCAGCTGATCAATCCGCATGCTGCTTTCAGTGGGCACTACGCTGCTGACTTCACTAAGTCCTGGGTATTTAGTGTTAGTGTGCAGACGTCCCCGTAAGTTTGGTTCCTTTCGCGCTAACTTCACACAATACTCTTTCACCCTCGCAGGTTAATAATTTCTCCATAAAAGCCTTGTAAGCTTTGTACTGTGTTTGAATTTCTCCCTTCTCTTCCTGTAGGGAAGCATATGCTTCATGAGCCACGATAGGAACCATTCGTTCTGACCGTGAGCCAATCTGGATTCCATGTCATTGATCACGTCTTCGTAGACTTTTTTAGCGCGCAATACAATTTCTCCTGCTTCAAATGATCTTTGGCTTCATTCTCGTCCAACTGACGATTGACGTCTTCAGGTTTGTGAAGCGGACCGTGTGAATATCGGCAACACCGGCCGTCACTAGTCGAACGGCAATCAGATGCGATAGTTCGTGTGCCAGGGCATCAAGTATATTCGACGACTCCTGGAGCGCATGCTCGAGCAGCAAGACGCTCTGTCATGGTGGGCGTCCACCGCCGACGCCTGGCAAAATCAACCGTGGAGACAAGGCGCCCAGCCCAATGACTGGCTCATATATTGTATGTAGTGGAAGGTGCACGAAATGTCCGTAAGACGCGTAGCGATCAAAAAGGGCGCATGTGGGACGCTATGGCTACGAGTGCCGCATTGACTGGTAAGCGCGACAAGAACAGCTATGCCGGTTGATATTGCGATGGATTCGATGCTAAGATGTGGGAAATGCTAAGGGGCTAATGTGAACAAAAGCGAAATTCCTTCGCAGCAATACCGCACGTCTACGCGGAAAATGTAGGTGCGAAGAGTAGCGGGGCTAGAATTGCCGAAACCTGATACATCTCGCAGCATTCCAAGATCAATATCCTCTCGGAGAAGGGAGCTTCAGATGAATGAACGCAATGAGGAAGAGGAAGAAGGACATCAAGTTGCATTTCCATAGAGGATTCGACTCAGATGGTGGTCTCATTTGGTAGGCAGTAAGGTAGTGTCCACCACAACCAGAGTTAATCAATGGCCCGTCAAGAGCCAAGGTGCCTGCCAACACATACCCTCAGTGCTCTCTGCGGTCGCCGTTGTTTCTATCTTACGATATTTGCGGCACACTTACTAGCCCACTGTGAACCTCCTCTCTTGCGGTTTCGGCACCCTCTGCACATTCGCCTTCGAAGCTCATTCCAATCTTCTCAAGCCTTCGATCCCTCATCTCAAGATATGCAATAAGTCCAACAAATGGCACGACCAGTGCTCCAGTGACCAAGCTTGCAATATACCCCTTCTCGTAATGCGGCGCGTCTGTGACCGGATAGAACACCAACGGCCACCATGTGACAAAAGCGAAATCGAAGCTATTCATCCAGCCCGTTGTGATTGCTCTGAGCTGTACGTCATGCGCCGTCACATCCGCCATCCAGGAATACCAGACAGCTTGCGGGGCATATGTCGTCCCAAGAAGGTAGAATGCGAAGAAGTGCCAGCCATCTGCCGCAGGGTCGGCGACGAGGATGGCTGAGCCAACAATGAAAGTCAAACCAATTGCTAGGGATGGCTGCCAGCGCGACTGAAGATGGTCGGAGATGAGGGAGTAAGTTACCGTGCCGAGGATAGCGAACAGGTAGATCGCGGTGGGGTAGGTGTTTTGTTGAATTGTCGTGTAGCCACGGGAAGCCATCCAGAGAGGCATGACATTGTTGCCGCAGGCTTGGATACAGAGCGAGTAGACTGTTACGAGGATTAGACCTGAGCTTAATGTAGACCAAGGGCGAAGGTGAAGTTACGCATGAAGATCATAGGCAGAAGCCAGAATTGCCAACTGAGAAGTACGCGTCGGAAAACTGTCAGATCCCAACTAGCTTTCTTGGTCTTGCCGAGCCGGGAGACAGCTATGTCCTTCTCTTCGTCGGAAAGGTACCAGGCACTTCTGTGCGTCGGCAGGTTAGGTATCACAATCCATCCTGTAGCAAAGGTCAGTTTGACCGATTCGAATCATCAAGTTCGAGCTTACCAAGTGCAGCAACTGGAATCGTAATGACCGATACAACCACGAATACCCATCGCCAAGCTGGTAGCCCGCCCTTCCCATCGAAAGCAGAGAGTAGACCGGCCTGGATCCATCCACCCGCGATGCTTCCAGTATGTCCGAAGCAACAAAAGATGGCCGCCCGGGTACTGAGTTCAGACTTCTTGTACCAAGAACCATAGATGAAGTGTGCTCCAACATATGCAACAGCTGAGAACGCGCCTTCGAAACCGCTCAGTATAAACAGCTGGTATACATTTTGCATTCGGAAGGTGAGCAGCGTCAGAACGCTCCACGCCACATTCGCAGCAACGAAGACGTACTTCGGCCGCGCCAATGTAAGGAGCGAGGTCGACGGTATCTGGAAAACAGCATAGAACACCATGTAAATGGTGATCATCAGATTGAATTGATTGCCCTGGAAGTTGAGGTCTTCCTTCATGCCGCTGATATAAGCATGACTGTAGCTAGCACGATTTACGCCGAAGAGGAACCATATCAGAGAGAAGTAGGGCAAGATGGTGAGGTCGAGCTTCATGACCACGGATTGTTCGATGGATGCGGGGCCCCAGAGAATACTTTTGATGTGGGAAAGTGGGGTTCTCTCAGGTTTTGGGGAGTCGCTATGGCGGTTGCCAAGAAGAGGCTCACGTTCGTCCGGCCTACGCGCCATTGTTATAGTTCTTTGCAAAGAGGTCATTCTGGCGTTGCTGTATCGTGAAAGCGCAGATTAGGAAAGATGGTTGACTGGCATCTCCATCGAAGTACGTGTCAAGAGTTCCTCAATGCTCGTAGTGGACGTTGAGATCTATGCGCACAAAATTGCGAGTGAGGTGAAGAGGGAACGGAAGGCGTGACTCGGAGCGGGACCTCGCGTAGGCCGAGGCACTTTACCATATATAGCTTAGCGCAATTGCCTGTTCAGAGCGGATATTGCCGGCGAATTGCACCACATCGGAGTCATCAGAGGCATCAATCGCCAGCTGTTCGGACCGAACTTGGAATACGAAATATACGGTCGATGAATAATGTTCTGTGGACCTCTGCAACATGTGTACAGTCATAAAGCCTCTGACGTCGCGCGAAGCGAGACTCTTTTAAGAGGTATCGATGGTGTCGACTTCAACACGATACTCTTTTGGCGAAGTTGTTATCTTACTGGAATACAGCAGTTGATCACGAAGTGAGCATGCCCTGACTTGGACAAGAAAACACTTTGATGAATAATTCAGGGAAACATCCCATAATGACCACCACAAAGCAAAGAACGTCCCATCGCACATGGACGAAGGATAGCTACTTCATCTCGACTGACCCCGCGCTTGTTCCAATCGCCGAGCTCAATGCTGTCTTCGCGTCGGACCTCTTCTACTGGGCCGATGCGTTACCAGAGGATGTGATGCGCGAAACGCTCAACAACTCACTCTGCTTTGGCATGTACGAATCTTCACCAGCCAACTCGAATACTTTGCCAATTGGCCTTTTGGAAACTGGAACGACCGAATCCAAGCTCATCGGCTTCGCCCGCTGCATCACCGACTCTACGACTTTCCTGTACCTCACCGATGTCTACGTCGATCCTGGAATGCAGGGCAAGGGATTAGGTGCGTGGCTGATCAAGTGTGTGCAGGAGGTGATCGAGGAAATGCCGCACCTCAGGCGAAGCCTTTTGTTTACTAGTAGCTGGGAGAAGTCCGTCCCGTTCTACGAGAAGCTAATGGGGATGAGCGTGTTGGAATGTCAGAAACCAGCGGAGGGTGAAAAGGGCTCGGGCGTCGCAATCATGCAAATGCGCGGACCTGCGTTCCCAGATGCTTTGCGGTGACGTGTGGCGCCTAGACGATTGGCTTGTTGTGGCATATCATATTTCTCGGAGCGATGCAGAAGTTAGAGCATTTGATGTATTTCCGAATCCGGCAGTCTGTGTGTGTGCGTGGACTGCCGTTAACTTTCACCTTTGTCTCACTGTTCACTTGGTCAAAGCGCGCCATCACGTGATAGCGCGAGACTGGGCTTGGCGATCCTTCCATCCGGAAAGTGCACTGTAACGCTTTCTCCGCCAACAGGGCCGACCATGTCTTCATGTTAATCCAGATTGCCTCCGACGATGTCAGAAGCGGCCCCGCAGCCGTCTGCGCCTGCATGGCGGGCCTTTGTGCACCTCTATCTGCCCGTCATCACGATCGCCTTCCTGACCCTCTTCCTCCCAAATCCATTCTCGCACCGAGCACTCCTCCTCGCTAGCGCTCTCCCAACCTATTTCCTTGCCTCGCTCGTTCACCAACCCCGCCCGGGTCCAGCCGAACGCTTCACACGCCGCTCCCACATTCACCACGCCATCGTCCTCTTCACGTACGGCCGCCTCCTCGGCACGCCATTTAATCTCTTCACCTATCTCGAGGATTTGTTCGCAAGCTACAGCGTTCGTCCTATCCTCGATCGGCCCGAAGGAGCGCCTCCTCGACCGAGCGAGTTCTTCGTGCAGGCGCTGTGGACGACGGCGACTACGGTGGCATTCGGACTCGTACCGCCATCGTGGAAATGGACGTGGTCGATCATGGGTTGGACCGATAGGATAATGTACCGTGCGGCCTATTTGGCGCTCGTGGACGACCTTGTACGTGTTTTGGGGTACCCTCAGGTAGCGTCGAAAAGAGGAAGGGCACTTGTGGTGGCGGTGCAGGCGGTATTCATCGCTGTGTCGGTCATGTGGGTGCACTTCTTCTTGGTGCTGGGAATGCGCGCACAGATTGAGAAGGATATCGTCATGCCCATGGCGAGTTGACACGCGACTCCGGCTGTGCAGCGATGACCTGATCCTGAATGCACAGTATTGCCAGGCTGCGCCACGTTCCGGTAAGCTTGCGCTATTCCCCCCGTCTCTACAACTGAGGTCGACAAACTTCGATGCAACCATCGCGCACTCTAGCACATAGTCATGAAATCGTACCAATATTAGACTCTGCCGTCGCCCACCCATACCCGCCTCCTAGAGCTACAGTCGGCTGAAGACGGCACCGCGGAGTTAGGATGCCGCGTCGACCACACCAACATACACGACGCAAATCCCCTCCTTTTCGATGCAATGCAATACACCTGGGGAGGCGAAGACTTCTAACGCACCATCTGGATCGATGACCATATCAATGAGCTGAGCCAGATGCCCATTACCGCCAATCTTTTCGATGCACTGTCCAGGTTCAGGCGTCGAAACATTGTACACTATATTAGGCTGATGCTGTCTGTATCAACCAGAAGGATGTCATCGAGAAGAGCACGCATATAGCTTTGATGACCGATATCTACCGCTCGGCTGCGACAGTAATTGTTGAAATGGGAGAATTCCGTCCCAGAGCAGCACAGAGAAGAATGGAACAAATTCGCTCGATTGGCTCAGGAGATAAAGACACGTTTCTCGGAGTTGGGACCTCAAGAATCTGGCGGGTTTATGGATTTTGACTGGATAATTTCGCTCAAGCACTCCGTGGACCGAAACTACTTCGCACCGTTGAGTGTTACCCGGAAAAGTAATGACGGTCTACGTTCCACTTCCCACTACCATACTAGGTTGTGGATAAAAAGCATATTCCTGGCACTGTGGGATCACGTCTTGCGATCGCTAGACAACATATCCAGTGGAGGAAAGAACCCAGAACTAGAAGTACAAGTTTGGAACGCCTGTGCCGAAAGATTTGCCTGGGTGGCGTTAGCAGGCCGTTCATCATCTGAACGAGGAAGAGCGGCGTGGCTTGAGAAAATATCGTGTTCCGAGCCCGCCAAGTGACGAGCCAGACCACGATGACCCACGTCGACGGAATCTATTGTCGATACTCCAAGGAGATAAACGTTTTGGTCTACGGTTGGGGGATATCGACCAGCTGGCATATTTCGGCCCAATGTTCGAGTACGACATCAATTGCCAAGCTTATCGTAACACACTCGATTACCTTGACTGGCAAAAGTTGAACGACATGGTGCGCGCAGCTACGCTCAACGGAACACGAAGATGGTCCAGAAGACTATTTCGCTCCACTGCTTTCCCTAATTGAGGTCACGATGAGATAGATATCTGTTCACTTGTGACGTCGACTGGAAGCCTGTCAATGCCCTGGATGGACTCATAGTGGTTGTTGGTACGAATGCCACGACGGAAGGCGACCGAATCCTATCTCTCAACCCCGGACCTTTCCCGGAGGACATAGAGTCTAGAAATAACGCGATGGAAATCCTCCAAGCGTTCCTACCTTGGAGGCAAACAATGATCGTTCGGGAAGCACACTTGAGTACGGATGTCTATCTCGCCGCCTATCAGGACCTTGTTGAGAAGCACGGTGTGTTTGAAGAAAAGTGGCCGATATCACGGATGACGTATGAAACCTCTCCGCCGAAGTGCAGCCTCAGACAGCCCGGGCTGCCGCCCGTATACAAACTTGTGGGAGATTGCTTTACTACTGCAGCCCGTTTGCAGACACCATCTCGAGACTTGCAGCTTCGAAGGTAGGACTTTTGAATCTTGGGGCAACGGACAGCCGTCAAACTGGCAACAGGATTACAACCCCGAATTGTGCGACTTGGACATAGGAACACTGATGAAACGCTGCGAGACATTGTCCTTTTGTAGCCAGTGAAGCGTTCGCGCTGTAGCAAAACTCTAGGTCTAACGCTTGAGATCACAAAAGTGTCATCGGGCAGGCATACGAGGAAGTCCCGCTAGTTCATGCCGTTCTTTCAGATATTCACAATCTCTTTCAATATAAATAAATGCTCTTGCTCAGCTGATTATCTTCACCAGGCTATGCTGTTCACAAGACAAAGCAATGAAGATTTCCATACCTCAGACGAATCACACGGTTGGCATCGTCTCTTTGGAGGGACAATATCCAGCTGAAGAGTGATGACAAGTCTTCATCCGACATTTCTCGTGACGTAGAGGGCTTTTCGAGACAAGCAATTTTCATTAGTAATGAAGGCGAAGATTCTTACTTCTTTGGTGCAATACGTGTAGATTGATTATTTGGACTAAGCCTGGATCTCCGTACGCGACAACAGGTAACATAACGTAATAGTCGGTCACAATGAACGACTCTTTCATCCACCGAACACATCTGGATGCTGCTGAGGGCCAATGCATATGTAAAAACGGTTGATCCAACACTCGTTGTAGCCCGACCGACTATGTCCATATTGTCGGCAAAACTCTCATCAAGTCTCCACTCCGCTTGCTCCGACTCAAACATCCGTAATGAACGGAACACTCTCAATCTTGCAAGTGATATTCGCTGCCGGCAGTACGCCACCCAAGTACTGCTGCACATTATGTGATGTACAGGCCGAACTTGCAGCGAGGGATGTGTGGCCAATCGAATCTTGTGTGAACAAGACAGACCCTGGGAACAGGTTAGACATTCTCCGTGCTCTGTCGTACTGTTAGCATATACTAATATTAACGTAAAGGCTGACAGCATCAACTGACCCCACGATTGGCGTAATCGGATCGATCGTGTTTCCAATGAAAAGGATCGGGAAACTTGTCTCGTTTGCGCCCAGTTTTCCACTGAATCGTTGGCTTTCCGGTGGAATGATGTTCATCTTCCTGCACAGCAGCGACACAGTGGCCCAGCCATCGCCGACCCATTGCGACTGCTTGTTCTCTTCCTTGACATGCTGCTCCCATATCGCCATGGTTGAGATGTTGTACGCCCCAGGTACTTTGACGCTATCCATACATGAGATTAAGCCGCCGTAATCTACGCCAGTCGGAGGCACGGCCTGGATTGTCAGCGCGATTGATGACCCGTTGCGCTGTTCTAACTCTGCAAAGATCTGCGCCAGGAGTGGGAAACCTTGAACCGGAGAGTAAAGCAAAACGAACAGCGTAAAGACGAGGTCTTCGTAGGTAATCAGTGTGGGGACCGGGCTTATCGCCAGGTCAGCCACAGGGACGGGATCTTTTCTCACGTCTTCGATGATGTTCCGCATGCGTTTCGTAATGTCTTTCGTGGTCGAAGAGTAGAACGCGCACTTTTCTCTTCCTGCAGTATGACATGCCTTCGCGAAGCTCAACACCGCTTCATCCGATTGACTCAGGCCAGAGGCGTTGTTCTTGTAGTACGTTTCCACATCGACCACGCCATCCAAGATCATCCTCCCAATGCGGTCGGGAAACAATGTCGCGAATGTGGATCCCAGAACAGTGCCGTAACTGATGCCCCAATACCAGAGCTTCGCGACTTTGACTTCTTGTCCTTCCGCAACAGCCCTCTTCTCCACGTAGTTCAGCATATCCCGCGCCGTGGCTATGGTGCCAACGTATCTTGCCGAGTCATTGCGATGCACGCTCGAGCATCTTTCGCCCCACGCACCAGCGATCTCGAATTGTCGCGCTAAAGATTCCGGCGACTTGCTATTTATCGGCCTGTGGAATTGGCTCTTGAAGAGTGCCTCCGATGCGGGATCGCCTGGGAAACAGCTCAGGCTCGGCCCACTGTTGTTCACGCCGCGGGGGTCAAAGCCGATGAGGTTGTACGTCGTGCCTAGCGTGTTGAGCAGCTGGGCGCTGCCGTGCAGGACGGCGTCTACTCCGGAATTACCGGGTCCGCCAGGATTGTAGAGGATGTCTTCGGCGGGCTGCGTGGCTGAGGGGAGCTTGATGTAGGCGATTGTGGTGTTGCCGGCGTCGGGTTCGGCGTAGTCTAGGGGCACGATGAGGCGTGCGCAGGTGAAATTGTCGTAGCAGGGTGTCCATTGGAGGGCACTGAAGGGCGTTACCTGTGACTGTTAGTGAGGTCTAATTGAGTGTCCGATAAGAGAACTCGCATCGTCGAAAGAGTAGACCATGGTTTGGTTCGCAACATCGCGGGCAATGGGATTGGCGCGTGCTGCGGCGAATATCAAGCTGCTCAGAAGTACTGCGTGAGCCATTGTACTGCGAGATCAGATACAGGATCTCCATCTCATGATCCTGAAGCTCCTCTTATACTGACGATCCACTTACCGACGAATTGTCTCCTGTACGTGACATTGCTCCGCAGCAGCTCTACAGCATTGACTACGACACCCACGTCCCTTCCTGACTCGTTCCATCCTTTGTTCTTCTGTATTGGAACTCTACACTATTCTCAGACGATTATGGCAATGTGCCCTAGCAAAGTCCGCTGATTGGCTCCGCCGCGTACTCACAGCGTTGGATGGGGCTGAAACGGCCGCTAACCGATTACAACTCTGACGTTGCCGCGTACCATCTCATCACTCATCTCCGTACACGAACTGCACAGCCTCGAAATACACGACCTAGCCAACGAGCATGTTGCATTCGTCTACGAAGATTGATTTCTACGCGTACACGCCTTCCGCAATCAAGTGGCTCAGCGTGGCGTTTCGGCCTATCCACCGACTTAAACTTTTATCGCTCTTGAGGATCAAATCTGCTACTATCCGCCCGAAGACGTCGCTGCCGTGCGCATTGAGATGCGTCCTGTCTCCCGCGACGAGATTGTATTTGTCTGCCTCGGCAGAACCGATAGCTTGCACGTACGTGCGCGACGCGGCGTTGAGGTCGATGAGTTTGATGTGAGATGCGGCAGCGACTTCGCGCGTAGCATTCACTACATCGCCGAGATCCTGAATAAGTTGAGCACCGTTGAAGTTGCGGCGAGAGAGCGAGGTGAAGAGGAGGGGCGTTGCGCCGAGTTCCTGGACGTCTGACGCTAGGGAGGCGAGGTTGGTCTTGAATTGCGCGATGGAGACGTTGTTTGCTGGTTTCTATGCCCACGCAGGCATGTTAGCTTCACGATTCCTACTCAAAGGGGAAGCGAGGGGCCGCACCTGGTCGTTGTGGCCGAATTGGATCGTGACGAATACGTTGTAGGCATCTGTAGCGTTTTTGACCAGGTTGAGAACAGTCGCCCAATCGCCGCCCTTGACGAACGATACGGTTGTGGCGCCGTTATGGCCTTTGTTTACGCCGTAGGCTGGGGGCTGAAGTGTGGCTAGGAAACCATTTCCCCAGCCGCCGCCGCCGGCGGATTGTACTGCGGTGGTGGAGTCGCCCGCCAAAAAGAATGCTGCCGGCTTCTCCTTTTTGTGTTTTGGAGTTGGTGTGGTTACGCTGAGATGAGCGAGCAGTAGAACGCTTAAGATCGCACGAAGAGCCATGGTAAAGGGTGCGAAGGGAAGATACGAATTGGAAAGGATTTGAAGAGAAACGCTGCCTTGACATCTGCAGTTATACCTGTCATTACCAGATTGCACCTCAGGTCCCGGAACATCTTTCGTGTACGGACAGTAGGCTTCGCGACTACATTTACGAGACGGAGAAACTGGGACGCAACAATACGCGAACCAATACGTTGCAGCCTCCGCATCACCGGACACTTTAAATCGACAGATTATTACGGCAGAAGGGAACAAGCTTTGATCGTCTTAGCGGTAGGGAAGGATTCGCGATAGTGCTGGAGATGTATCTCGAATGGGGTAGCGAGTGGCGGGGCCCCGCGATCTTAGCCGCGGAATTCGGGATAGTCATTGCCGAGCAGCGTTGACGCCATCTTGGGGTGCTCCTGCATGGAGACGTCTCTACTTGTCTTTTGGAATCGTATGCGCACAGGAACAGTCGCCGTTAGAATGTAAGAGATCAGCAAGTGATCCACACGCTCTGCATTTTCATCATAAAACATACGCTTCAGAACCCGCGGCAATATGTAGCTAATAGTGATACAGGAAATTTGGTTGTCCCTCTCAAGTACCTGTCCGCCCCTTTGCGGAATTGACAGGCTCGAAAGGTTGCAGTGACATGGTGGTGGCGTACCAGTCATATACAACCGTGATCAAAAGCCGGCCTTCGGTTGGTGTGTCTCAGAGGCTCTATCATAAATGACATAGTAAGCGTGAATAGCAGCTGGGTTGGTGCGGTGGAGATTGCGGCGCATATTTTCGCTCCTGCAGTATCACCTGGTGAAGCATTTTAGTGCGTGCGGCTCCGGCTTACCTTCGAATGCTTTCCCGAAAACAGATTCCTGGGCCCTCTGGGTAAACCTATCTGCAAGCGGTGTCTCGGAATCGAATGAACATGTCATCCTTGCACACGTCAGTACGGCCGAAGCTTTACAGTGGTTTGCCCAATAGAGAGCTGTTCCTGATTTGAGACAGGTCATGGCGCCCTGTGTATCTCGCTCCATGATGACTCCCAGTTGATTGATACTAAAGTTCGAAATCATTCGCCTTTTGATCATTGCGTCGCGTATTAGTGCCCAAATAGAGTTTTCCTACTGCATCCCTATATTGATAACTTGGTCCCTCGGATAGAGAGAAGGCGACTAGAAATACATGGACGAGATGAGTTCCAAGGAGTTGAACGAAGACGGATCGGCGCCATCAGCAGTCGAAATTTGTAAGATTTTATGCACAATGGTCAAAAATCACCATCGTCTGTTGCTCTCGAGAAGGGCCCAGTCACTGAAGACATCGACCCTTCCCGCGCAACGCAGGCCCGGATTTATGAAGGTCGTGTCTTTGATTTTGCTGCAGTTACTTCGGACGAATGCCCTTTCTGGGTAGAAAGTCCCGTAATTGCTTTTTGTGGACCTTCGCGTGCAATGTCATCGTGGTGGGTAGAAGCTGTCTAGAATAGCCTCTCCCAATATTCGCAGTATCCCATGGCACTTGTTGGTACCGGCTTCCCCAAACCAACTGCGTTTGATGTGACCAATCGCGATCGCACAGGGACGCTGGCCGGCGAGTAAACCTTACGAAAGATGATGGATGTGATCGAGCAAATCAATGAAAGGTGATTCGAAACTCCAAAGCTGATCTCCTCTACCCTTAAAACACACGTACTCTCATGTAGGAGCCGTCATACCTCGTTATCTAGCTGCTTTCCATCTATCGAACCTTCAGTCCCTGTGTTTTTGCAATGGCCCTCGCTTTCATGTGTCGAAACAACAGTCTCACATCAACGCCTCTCCTTCCCAGCGCAACAAGCACACACAGCAACGCCAAAACCCTCCCCGACCACCCCATCGTCCGCAACCACCTCCACATCCTCCTCAAAACCCACTTGTTATCCCCACCACTTTTTGCAAATACACCAAACCTCGGCACCCACGTCTCCCTCCAAAACATGCTCGCGTATCCCGGCCAGCTCGCTGCATTCCGCCCGTGCTCATTGATGTACCAGTTCGAGCAGCCAGCATCAAACACCGAGCCTTGCAGCTGCTGGTGAATGGAATTCACCCATTGGTTCTCGGCAGTGGGCTTCACTTCGAAGGTAGAGAAGCGGCGATCGATGAGGGGCGCGAGGAGGGTACGGGCGACAAAGGAGACTTGGACTTCGATGGCGAAGAGGGCGGAGTTATGGGCGGGAAAGGTGTTTGGTCCAAATCTGGGCGGTACGTCAATATCACGATGGAAAATGAATGGAAGGTACACTTACAGGATAGCTAGGTTGGGAAAATTGTGTACATAGGAACCCATGTAGGCTTGTGCGCCGCGATGCTCTTTCCACTGTTGGTTCAGCGATTTGCCTTCTTTGCCGATGATTTCCATGGGCGTAAGAAATTGTTGCACTTGGAAGCCGGTCGCGAGGACGATGACGTCGAAATTTTCTTGTCTGCCGCTGGAGCTGATGATCCCGGTCTCGTTGATTTCCCGAATTCCTTCTGGAACTAACTCCACGTTGGGTGCGTTCAGGGCGTCGAGGTAGTTGGGGTCGAAAATGCGGCGTTTACAGCCTGTTTGATGTGAGCCGTCCGCACCAAACAGCACGGGCAATCGTCTCACCAAGTGGGAAGTCGGGCACAATGAAATCATGATACTTCTCCGGCGTCCTAGAGTAGATGTAATTCTTCGCATAAGCCTCGACCTTTTTTCTCTTCTTTGCTGCGGTCACACCAGGCATGTAAGTCGCAACGAGATCGTCGTTTTCCAGAAACAGTTGCAACCTCTTCCATCGCTCCCACAACGGAAGATATTGGAACGCTAACTTCTCCAGGCGCGTAAAATACCTGTTTGGACGTTCGTGATACCATTGCGCCGATCTAGCGTACTGCGTGATAAAAGCAGCTTCTTTCTTGACCGTAGGCACGACCTGCGCGGCGGAACATCCATTACCGATAATAGCCATCCTTTTCCCCTTGTAATCATACGAATGGTCCCATCTCGCCGTATGAAATAACGCTCCCTTGAACTTGTCCATACCTTCGAAGCGTGTATCCCGCGGTCGGCTAATGCCTCCCACTGCACTGATGAAGACCGTAGCATTCCTAATGAATTCTAACTTCGTTTTCGAATCCCGAAATCTAACGTCCCATTTATTGCTATTGGCATTCCACGTAGCGCCAACGCACTCAATGCTAAAGTGCATGTGCTTTCGCAGATCAAACTTATCGACTGTAGCATTCATATAGTCCAATATCTCGGGTCCGTCACATAGCTCTTTAGACCAGTTGGGGTTAAGATTGAAGTGGAACGAGTAGAGGATGGTGGGGACGTCGCAGCCGACGCCGGGGTACTTGTTCGTCTGCCATGTTCCACCGACACCATCCAGCTTTTCGTATATCTGCACTTGCCGGTCAGCGCTTTGGGTGACAGTGGTATAGCTCATCGGGAGCTACGCATTCAGGGCTGAATATGGGAAGTACATACGGTGAAATCATCGAAGCCAAGTTCATGCTTCAAAGTGTAGGCCATGGAGATGCCCGCAGGCCCAGCACCGATTATGATGGCGTCTGGAGCGGACATTGTTAATATTGACTCCTGCAAGCTTCTTGCGTGAGAATTGCACGGTATCGAGAATGAAGTTCAAGTGTTGGTGGGAATCCTGATAGAACTTCTTCCTATAGTTCTTATCTGATAGCCGCGGGTTACTCGATATGCGTTGCTTTGTCATATTATATAGCCCGATGGAGTTCTTTCCGAAAGTGCGGGGAAGTCGCATCGTCAACGTTCATTTGATCTTCCCCGCAACCTCAAGTCACGTGCCGGGTAAGAGCATTTCCACGTCGATCGTCGTACACATACACGGAAATTGAGACCTATACCCTACACAGAGATAGTTATACTCCAGGTTCGACACAGTGATGATGACATCCCGATCTATAAAGTCCGCTGCGCTGCGGACACGAGGTACTATACCACAGTTGATAGCCAGTCGAGCATTTTCAGCTTTTCATGCCCAACACGAAAACACAAATCCACCTTCTCAGGCCGCCACAGCAAGCTTCGAGGAAGAGGCAGGTGATAAGCGGCCGATGATTGAGCGCTTGAGTCTCAAAGGAAGAACGACTGTCATCACAGGCGGTGGCCGAGGTATTGGCCTGGCAATTGCTGAAGCAGCTGCAGAGGCAGGAAGTAACATCGCTGTTTTGGACGTTCTAGACAAGCCCCATAAAAGCATCTCGAAACTAGGTGTGAAGGGTAAATACTACCGGTAGGACATCCGCAGCCGATGAAGCCGGAACTTGAATAACGCGAGTCCGCTCAGAGTCGATGTAACCAAGATGGATGATTTAGAGCGAGCCTTCGGCGAAATTGGAGATGAATTCGGTCGCGTCGATGGTTGGTACGTGATATCACCAGTCAATGTTGATCCTCGTTAATCACTAGGTAGCGTTCCCGCCGCCGGAATCGCGGTTGACAAGCCCTTCTTAGACCACACCTGGGACGAATGCGAAAGACTGCTGAGAGTCAATGTATGTCAGTCCTTCCATTTCGTTCCCCGCTAACAACTCCAGGTCCTGGGAGCCTTCTTCTCGTCCCAGCTCGCCGCCCGTGCCATGCGCGCCCAAGGGACCGGCGGCAGCATCGTTCTTATCGCATCCATGGCATCGCACCACGCTGTCCCGCTGCAACACCTCAGCATGTACGGCTCGACCAAAGGCGCAGTCAGAATCATGATGACGCAAATGGCGGCCGAGCTCGCGCCCTGGAATATCCGCGTGAATTCGATTTCGCCGGGGTTCATCAGGACGGATATGACGCTGCTGTGTGCGAGGCAGCAGCCGGAGCTGTTCAAGTTGATGGGGAATGCTCCGCCACTGGGAAGGATCGGGGAGACGAGCGATATTGTGGGGGCGGTGAATTATTTGTTGAGCGACGCAGCGGCGTATACGACTGGGGCGGATATTCCAATTGCCGGGGGGATGACTTGTGGACGTATTGCGAGTTGAATATTTTTAGAAGGATCGCTGGACGCAGTTATGCATACTTCCATTGTCTTCGTGTTCTCCTTCGAAAAGGCTATCCATAAGCCATGCGTCCTGTTGGTCGATATCCGCGCACGAGGCGTCTAGAAGCTGATTAAGGTCTAGGTAAACGATGCTCAAAACCAACTCGTGTAGAAGATTGAAGCCTTTGGAGTTCAGATATTCATCGTCACTTCCAAGGAGGAGACGAAGTTCATCGCCGGGATCTTTTCGGGAACCATTCTGGAAAGTGGTAGGTCAAGATTATCGTGAATTCGGTGCAGCGTCGACATCGTCTTGTGTGTTTTATGTAAGTGCTGGAATGCTGATATAGCTCATGGACATGGCCCCGATGAGGGCCTCTAGTGGTCGAGGAACTAATTATTGTGGAGATTGGATGCGGCAGCCACATTTGCAACCGCTTGCAAATTTCCGTCTCTCGTATTGCGGTAACTGCAATATGACAAGCTTTGAGGCTGTACTTGTGATCGTGACGCTATTGGACTTGCCCACTAAGGTCGCAACCCTACTCAGATCGCTTTGATGGGTTTGGAGCTTTGAAATAGGAAGTAAAGTTTCGGCTGGTGTATCCTTACACGGTATCGATAGAGGCGAGAGGGTGGCAAGAACATTGCGCAATGCCGCAGTCTGTTCGTTGAACCCATTGCTGACCGCTTCTTTCAATGTGTCAAGATTCTAGTTTATGGTAGTCGACATGGTTTGAATGTCCCCTACTGGCGAATCTGCTCTGGTCAAAATATGCCTTTGACAATTAAAGCGAGCCCTCACAATAGGCTCCAATCGGACTCATGCAACAAGTATGTTCCAATGCCCAACCAGGTTCGTCCTGGCTTCTTTAATCTGTTCCAACAACTCCTTTATCTCTCTTCTCTTCCTCAGCTATGCTCACTTGCTCACATGGTTTTCTCCAGGTCCATTGGTCACGGCTCTTAGGCAGCCTTGCAATGTATCGTTCAAGCGTCCCAACAATAAAGTTGTGCTGGTCAACAACAAAGAGAGCTTCCCAAGGCAGATCGACGAAATGCGGTCCATTGAAGAGGCTTTCAAGACGGTTGCCATGGTCTCCAATAGCGAGATGTCGCCCATCTCGCTTGTGATTTGCTGCAGCCCTTTTTCTGCAAGGTAGGCGACTTTGGCAACCTTGAGCGCCTCTGCTATCCGACGCAGGACTTCCGCTATCGTGATAGCGGCCGTAGTGATAGAAAGGGGATCCGTTTTTCTTTGTCAAGAATGGTGCTAGGGCTACCGGTGTGGATTGTGGTTCACGGCTGTGCGTGTGGGTCGTACAGACTTCGTACGCCTTGTCATGCCTGGATTCAGCCTTCCTGCATGCTATCACTTGAGTATGGTCGTTTCCGGTCAGGCTGTTCAAGTAGGCGAAACAGGGGATAGACGCGTGCTTGGATGCGATGCTCTTGATACGACTAATCAAGCTGTCCCAGTTGGCGAATCAGGGTGGTTGTGTCTGTACCGTGGCTCAATATCAGTCCAGTACTCCCATATGTGGGGTTTGTTCCTGCTCATCGGATGAAAGCAACTTGATGAATAATTCTCGTGAGTTATCCCGCCATCGTCTCGTTAAAGTGCTTCATCGTGACTTTACACCGTATGCCGTGGGAGTGTGTTCATCGTCCGGAAGCTCGAAGCGCATGCGACATGCGCAGCCAATTCTTTGTGGTCAGTGAGGGCGGACAATTGCTAAGCAACTTGAGGAACGCCCGGTCGGTAACGTGATCACGCGCGCCGTCCACATTTTGGAACACTACTCTTGGCGCGTCAGGGTCCAGCACTCCTTCGCTCCTGTGGGGTATGTTCCATCATCTCCCACGCCTGCACACATCCTTCAAGACGCAATGTTCCTTTATGTCCCTGCGAGTGTCTTCTGTAGTCCCCTCGGTGCTCGAACGCCAAGATCGAGTGATGATTAAGGTGCTGATGCGGGGGCCGAATCCTGTGGCCCGGCCCGATCTAAGCCCCAAAATGCGACTCCATGTTCACCAACGCCTCCTGTATAGGCAGCCATGCCGCCTTTTCAGTGACCTCTTTAAGCATCTACGCAAGCGAAGATGCTCTTCAAAGTCGCCAACGTCATTACTGGCGCGGGACAGAGCGCCGCCAAACAGGATGAGGGAGCGTCCCTCACGTCGGTCCTCGAGACGCCCGCCCTCCGCGTAGAACTCGCCCTGCTGGTGTTGTTGTGCACCGATGCGATGCGCAGCGACTTGGTAGCGACATTCGACGCCGATAAAACACACGAGACCGAATCCTCCACTGCGACGCCACCTCCTACGTCTCCACCGCTGCAGACAGCGACACAAGATCTTATCAGCTTCGATGGGCCGCAGAATGAAGCCGCAATCGAGGCAGAGGGACGGAGAAGGGTGCGACAACGAGAGGTGGAGTCGACACAGATGCTGGGCTTGCGAAGGGCTGCTCTGACATACTTCGACAAGTGGAGGGCTGGCGTGATGCATCGCATTTGCGACGTACTCTGCGTTCGAGGGGATGTGGTACGCCAGGCGAAGGCTAAGCGGAAGCAAATGATGGCAGAGGGCGAGAGGCATAAACAAGGCAATTCTCTCCTGCTTGATTTTGAAGGCGATCCGTTCAGCATGCGTTACACCAGTAAGACGAGGAAGCATGGCCACTACGAAGTCATTGAAACGCAGATGCTTGCTTTCGAGGAAGAAAAGAAGGTTCTCATATTGCATTGCCTCCTTCTACTCATCTTGAGTTTAGAGCATTATTCAGCTCACTCGCGGCTCCTCCTCCTTCATCTAACAAGCAGCCTGGAATTGGAGCCGGATCTCCTGGCTGAGCACGAGAAATCGATCGCTCAAGGCCTTCTCGCCACTGCTGCATCCCAGATGGATGCAGAAGAGTCAGCAAAGAAGCAAGCTTCAAACGATGCGACATCACGGAAGTGGAAGGTCGGGCTCGCTGCTGTGGGTGGTGCTGTCCTAATTGGCGTCACTGGTGGGCTTGCAGCACCTTTGCTCGCTGCTGGTCTTGGCACAGTCATGGGCGGCCTTGGTCTGGGTGTAGTATCCACCTACCTTGGTGCACTGGCAGGGAGCTCTGTTCTCGTAGGCTCTCTATTTGGTGCGTACGGCGCGAAGATGACTGGAAGGATCATGGAGCAATATGCGAGAGAGGTCCAAGACTTTGAGTTTATTCCTGTGCAAGGTACGTCCCAGTCAATGATATCCAGCAGCAAATTGCTTACAAGTCCAAGATCCTGATCGCCCGGCCGCCCAGCGTGATCACGAGTGGGCAGCAGAGCTAGATGCCCGTGATCCCACGAAGCGCGAACAGCATCGTCTTCGTGTCACTGTTGGGATTAGTGGTTGGCTCACGTCACCAACCGACGTGAACAAACCATGGGAGATCCTCGACGCGGGAGGTACCGAGCCATTTGCGCTGCGTTTTGAGCTCGAGGCTATGCTTCGCATGGGCAACTCGCTCAACGACGTGCTATTCAGCTACGCTTGGGATGGCGTCACCTACACCATTGTCAGCCGCACTCTTCTCGGGGCTTTATATGCCGGGCTTTGGCCGCTGGGCCTTGTCAAGGTTGCGAGTGTCCTCGACAACCCTTTCAGCGTTGCGCTGGCGAGGGCAGACAAAGCTGGAAAGGTCTTGGCACATGCCCTCATCGATGGCGTACAAGGCAAGCGACCTGTTACTCTGATGGGTTACTCGATTGGAGCGCGCGTCATATACTCATGTTTGGTTGAACTGGCAGAACAGAACGCGTTCGGCCTAGTCGAAGCTGCCGTATTAATGGGCACACCGGCGCCTTCGGACAGCAAGTCTTGGAGAAAGATACGGTCTGTTGTTGCCGCTCGTGTGGTCAATGTGTTCAGCACTGAGGACTACATCTTGGGCTTTCTGTACCGGTCCACCAAGCTCGAATTTGGGGTTGCTGGTCTGCAAGAAATCAAAGACGTATTTGGCGTCGAGAATGCCGACATGAGCAAGCTCGTCAGCGGCCATGACCGTTACCGGTACCTGGTCGGAAGCATTCTTGTCAAGATCGGTTTTGGCGACATCGACTTCAATCGAGTAGCCGAGCAGGAACGTGCTTTGGAGGTCGCGGAAAAGCGGAAAGAGCAGGTCCAAAAATACGTGCAGCAGCACAAGAAAGACAGCCAACAGCCAGACCTATCTGCCTCAAGGGCGACAGAGATGGTGATTGCCCAACATTCCTCCAATAGCTTGGTCAATGTATCAGCTCCATCATCAGCAGAACCACCATCGCCACCTCCAAGTCCATCACGCCCTCGGAGACAGATGATTTCGATGCAGTCAAGATCAGGCCAACAGCCTTTCGTGCGGCGGCAGCCGACTTTGCCGGCATCCGCACCTGCGCCAGCTTCTGCGCAAGACCCATCGCGAATGGCAGCTCGCTCGGCCTCTGTAGCACAAGTAGGGAAGCCTGCAACGACTGAGAACATGGATCCATTGTCAGATTCAATCGAAATGGAGAGCTCTGCCCCTGCTCTGTCAACACGCCCACCAGCTTACCCCTCATCTTCCCTGTCCCGAAAACAACTCCCCACGAACATGACGCCCACACCCGCCGCTGAACCACAGCGCACCAACTTCACACGGCCCACTTGGTCATCATCATCTCAGTACGACCCCGAGCCACACCAGATCGACATGCGCGACCTCGAAACGCAGAAAGTCTCACCGTCGCTGGAAGGGATGCTTAAGTTCCCAAAGGACGCACCTCCGTCCCCTGTCGCTGTTGAAACCTCGAGAAGCGCTCCTCTTTTCACAAGCGCGGCGAAGAAGACGCCCGTAGTCGCTATTGCGGAAGTAGACGAGAGCGAGTATAGTGACGATGACGTGGCGAGCGAATTTGGAGAGCTGAATATGGTGGAGCCCGAGCCGTTGGATGATAATGATTATGGGCTGATGTGAAGGAGCGAGCTGTGCATTGTTATATAGATACCCCAAGAAACGGTCCAGGATTTAGACCACATCAAATTCTTCGTACAGTTGAGGTTCAAACTCAGAACCCAAGAACCCACTGACCCAAAACATTCCCACCCGCTTATACGTATTTTTCTGCATCCGCACTAGTACCAGACCTCGTGTTCGATTCTGCCGGTGGACGTGAGATCGGTCGAGAGGGACGCAGGCAATGAACATTGGAGATTCGGTGGGGAGATCGAGTATATGCATCACACGATGGTTTTGAATATCCAAATATCTTTTCCTGGCTGTTTCCACGCACAGACCTACATCACGAATGCCCACATGCATGTCGGACTTCTTTACATATGGCGTTAGTACCCATGCGCAGCAGCTCATGGCTCAAATTATAATGTGTGCTGTAGCAGTTTATCTTTTTGGTGAAAAGGACGTGTGGGTCTTGTTTAACAGTTAGGTGCTGTGGTCGATCTGGCAACTCCGGCATGGTAAGCTACATTGTTCCTGCGTGATCAACCATTGAACAGTCTGCGCTTCCTACTCACTCGCTGCGATGTACATCGTCGACACCATACTGATAATTAGGAGATTAGTATTAAGATCATATGTCCTGACGCGATCAAAGAGTGTGATGTAGGGAATTGGCACGCAGGATAAGCTGATCAACACTGATTTAAGGATAAGTGGGCAAAGGGGGAGAAGCGGGCGCCGCGCATCTTTGGAGAGGTCGTCAAGGAGAAGTCGCCTGAAGAGAGCGATGTTATCGATCTCGGGAGCTCGCCTGCGGACACTGCGGCGGTGCTTGAGGTCGACGATAAGTTTGGTCGGCTCGCGCCTCGATCTAGCGATGAGAGCATTCGCGAAAATGAGGATGATGAGGACGAGGCTGCGGCCACCAGAGACGGCAACGGACCTGGAACTGTCGATGGAGAGAATACGCGAGGACCGGCCGACATCCGAGTTGCTGCTGGCAGCGAGGAGGGACAAGACGCTGCGGTCTCAGGTGAGAAGTCTGTAGGTCGAAGGAGGACGATTGTGGACTACTACAAGGGGACTGATTGGAGCGACACTGGACACTGTTGGGGTTCCGGTGACTGGGAACGAAGTAGTCATTTAGTGTTGGTTTTCATGCGGCAACAAAGGCGGCTCTTTAATGGGAGGATTGGAACGACGGGTTTCAAATAAGATCATGTTGGCCAGCGATGATATTGCCATCGAAAGTTGTGCGAGCTGGTGTGGAAAGCGCTGAGCACTTTTGGTTCCTTTTTGATATGTTTGGAACTTATCTTTTTTTTTTCTTTTGGAAGCGCATGGGAATTCTTCCGGCATATCGATTCAATTCAACGATTGCATTCTCGCATTTTATTGGGTAGAGCGCGACCACTACATCTATGTATGCTCAGCCATCTTTCTTATCCTCCTTATTATCTTCCTCCTGCTCCTCTGCCTTCTCAGGCTCTGGCTCCGGTGGAGGCGGCTCCCACCCATTGTATAACACATCCTCGTGTTCTCCGCACAACGCATCCCACTTCAGCAGCTCTCCCTGATCAGCCCATGCATCTTCCCTCGCGCTCTGTTTTCCAAATGGCAGGTACGGCACCCAGTCAACGCCGTCAACCGTGGTGATGACACCACGATCAGGCTTCGCCTTCAAAAGTTTCTCCGCATGAGGGAAGAACCACATGCGGTCCCACCACTCATCGCGGTAGTTTTTGAGTCCAGTGAAATGGATGACGGGGAACATGTTCTTCGTCACTGTGTTGATCCCGAGGGGGACGTCTTTCCAGGACTTGCGCTTGAGCCAGGCGTTACCCCAGCCCCACTGGTTGAGGGCACGAAATGGGGCTTTGGATTGCTCCACGTCTTTCGGTAGCTTAAGTGAGAATTGGTGGATCTCGTCCTTTGTGATGAACGACCGAGGCTTGTCAAAGGTAGCCCACTGAAGGATGTCGTAGAACAGTGCGACTGTCTGGAACATACGAGATTCGTAGTCGATGCCTATATGATGCTCGGCTTTCTTTCTATCTTCGGGCGCTGGGGTGAATACATTAGGTTTCACTTCGTCGGGCACCTGGTCCGGAAGAGGGATCGTCGCGTTCTTGCCAGTGGACGTCATGCGCACGAACTCTTGGTCAGCCCAAACGTCTGCAAGATACATTTGATCCGAGTTGCGGCCGTAGAACTCTGGGTCCCACGTCTGATTGACCTTGTCCATGGTGGCTTCGAAAAGACGGCGGAGGTCCTTGACGGGTCCGAGCATGGTGCCAGAGTTGAGCCAGCGGGGTCGCCTGTGTTCGTCATTCTTGTCTGTCTCTGAGCCAAAGGCATCACGTGGAAGCGTAGATTCGGGTACTAGCCAGCAGGCTGGGCGGCGGAAATCGATGGGATAGCACAATACATCTGGCCCGAAGAGTATGGTAGTGTACATGTTATGGCTTTTTACGTGTTTGGCCCCAAATTGTCTCTCTAATCGTTCATTCGAGGCCTTGACCACCTCGTGGTAGCGCTGGAGCAGTACATCCGGGCCAAGCTGGAAAATGACATCGTAACCGTCTATCAAAAGAACCAAGTCGTCCTCGCTGGACTTGGGAAGAGTGTCAAAGTAGCGAAGTGGTGCGCGCACTTTTGCAAGATGTGTTTCGGCAGCATCAAAGTCGCCTTCACCCTTCCAGGCAAGCAAAACTGTCGGAGGATAGGAAAGAACGGCTGCCGAAAGTACCAAGCGGCAGACATTCAAGTCATTGCCGGTTGCTGTAGTCAGTAAATGAAAGCCACGCGTGTTTGAGCTCTCTTGGGCGATGTCCGACGCGACTTCTAAGTCAACCTCCAAAGTCCTTTGCGAGACCGAGGAACCAGTTGAGAAAGAGTAAAACGTAATTAAAGTAATGAAGACGAAGCCTACTGCCACGAAGAGGGCTCTGGGCCGGGGCATGCTCAACATGGCGGCAGAACGATTGACTTCAGGCAAGGAAGGGACCGACTGAACGAAAGTACTGAATTACGGCATACCGGTGTGCAAGTGACATCTGGTGCGAAAATGGTGTACGAGGATTACGCCCAGGCTGTGGCGGTGCCGATTTCCGCTACCCTGGCGTGCCCAGAATCCGAGGCGCGGGCGCTGGAGTCGTGGAGATAGGGGCGCATCCGCTGCCAAGGGGTGAACTTGACTTACTCGATGAGGCAGTGAATGATGATGGGGTCGCGGCCAACCATTCTACCCACGTGCAGCACCAACGTGTAAGCGACCCACCAAGCACGCGCGTCTTTGTATGCGTCTGGGAGATGAGAACTGGAGCGAGGGAATCATGATGTCGATCGACCGCAGCTTATCGCCAGCGCAAATATTGGTGTCACTTCGCGACGCCTGGGTACGAGATCTATACGAAGCAATTCACCTGGCTGTGACAGTGTATGGCGTTGAGCGACAATTTTGTTCCGAGACGCGCCCAATTGGGCTAGGTGTGGCGCTATGAGCGGCGCCGCATCCTTCCGCTGCCAAGCTCCGCCGCCTTACCGCTGCGTCCTTCCTCTGACCTCAATTGAACTGTACCATGCACCCCCAGCGAGCGCCAACAAGATGCCCGCCCCATTGACCGCATTGAGCCGGATGTTCCAAAATGCGGCGCCCAGCACTATTGTCAAGCACTGTTTTAGGTTGGCGCAGATGGTCATCGACAGCGCGCCCGCCAGCTTGTTCGTCTGGAACGAGGCCACGTTCAAGGCAAACGCCAGTATGCCGTTACCCGCAACCGCCATGAATCGATTCCCATCAAGCTGTCCTTGGCGTACGTAGGTCAAGAACTCCGAGAACTCACCGGTCAAAACCGAATACAGGAGCGACTGCATCGCAGCCAGTGGGCCCATGCGCAGTAGCACCTCGTACGCCGGGAGCTTCAGCCGTCCCGTCATGAGGCGGTTGGTGACCACGGTCTTCACAGCTGCTAATACCACGCCGCTCAGCGTCAAAGTGAAGCCCAGTGCGGTGAAGTGATAGTCGCCAAACGTCGCAAGGCCCACGCCGGCAATGACCGGTATGATGGACGCGTAGATTGCAGGCGCGTACGACCGCGCGTACAGCACGCGATAGATCAGGATGCAGAACACTGGCGTCGTCGCCCGCATCACCTGGTGGAATGGGATCGACACCATTTCCCTGCGAGCCAGGTCAGCCTCAGGGTCATTGATGCAGCGCCGTTTCACTCACAGCGAGACATTCGACATGGCGATGTTTAACGTGAAGAGGAACGAGAAGGCGATCAACACAAAGTGCTCACGCAGGGTCAGTCTACTTAGTTGGAAGTGACCGAACAGCAGCAAGATCGAACAGCCCAACGCTGATGTCCCTGTGTGTATCGATGTGAGTATCCAGGGAAATGCAAACTGTTCTCGTCAACCTCCGTCCAACGTCTTCCTGTCCTACACAAACGCCTACCGAGCCCAGCACAAGCTTGTTGTAGAAGGTCAAGCTGAGATTCATCACGAAGTACATGCCGAGATAGGCGATCGTCCGCGTTCGATTTGCATCTTGCTCTTTCGTCCTTCCTGGCACCTGGCTCTCGGAATCCGCCGTCTTTTCATCGTCTCTCAGCAGTGGCCTGTTGGATTCGACATAGTCCTTCTCTTCATCCAGCACAGCAGAAAGCTGCCCGAGGTCGCTGCGCTGCATGTCGTGGAAATCTTAAACGGAAAATTGGAAGGACGTGTGCAGTAACAACATTCCGAAATTCAGAAACCCACACGTGCAGACTTCCTTATCGCCAGCCCCTACTCCGCTGCCTCGGCGGATGTACGACGGCTAGTTCGGCTGGGTCATAATCTTGGCAGTCCACATTCTGTCTGACGCGTGCAAAGCGGCCCCCTGTCTACACAATACGGTGGGTCTCGGTAAACACCGATCAGCGTGCATGTGGCTGATGGGCCTATCACCAATGGATGGTGCATCGCGTGCTTCTTTGATCACCTGTGCCGATGCGGACTCCCAGGGGCACACCAAGATGAGCATTGGCGTTTATGGCTTTTGCCAGCCGCCGACTGCTTCCTGGGGGGAGCCGCGGACCATTCGTCGCCTGGGGACATAAGGTCCCGTATTTCCGTGGATGGATTAGTGACATTGTACTTTCCGTCCTCGCAGCCTTGTTTCGTCTGCTGCGTTATCGGTGACCTCACACGACCATGAGCCCTTCGATTTCTCTACCTATCCATCCGCAAAGAAGGAGTGATACTCCTATGGCAGCGTACCAAATCAACCCTGATCGAAGCACGAAACCTACTAGAATAAAAAAGATATGCTGTATCGGTGCCGGCTACGTTGGAGGGCCAACATCGGCTGTTATTGCAAGCAAGAACCCTAATATTCAAGTCACCGTTGTGGACTACAACATAGAGCGCATCGAAGCCTGGAAGACAGATGATCTGCCTATTTACGAGCCTGGCCTGTTGGACGTAGTACAGGCTGCACGAGACGGGGACTCAACCAAGCGGACGCCCAACCTTTTCTTTTCAACAGATGTCGACCGATGCATTGCAGAAGCAGAATTGATTCTCCTCAGCGTCAACACACCAACGAAGTCATTGGGACGCGGAGCAGGTCACGCGTCAGAACTGTCGTATCTCGAGTCGGCTGTTCGCAAGATAGGCGAAGTAGCTGAGACCAACAAGATAATTGTAGAAAAGAGTACAGTACCATGCCGGGCCGCCGACACACTTCGAGATGTTCTCGCTGCAACAGCCAAACCCGGCCTCCATTTCGAGATCCTCTCGAACCCTGAATTTCTCGCGGAAGGCACCGCCATCCCGAACCTCTTGAATCCAGATCGCATCCTTATTGGGTCACTGAAAACTCCACGAGGCTTGGAAGCCGCCCAAGCGCTCGCCGCAGTCTACGGCGCCTGGGTCGACCCCGACCGCATCATCACTATCAATCTCTACAGCTCAGAGCTCGCCAAGCTCGCCGCAAATGCTCTCCTGGCCCAGCGCATATCCAGCGTTAATGCGCTCAGCGCAATGTGTGAGTCCGTGGGCGCCGACATCGACGAAGTCTCCTACGCCATCGGCCTCGACAAGCGCATCGGGTCACGCATGCTCAAAGCCTCCGTCGGCTTCGGCGGCTCATGTTTCCGCAAGGACATCCTTTCTCTCGCCTATATCGCTGAGTCACTGCATCTCTTCGAGGTAGCGGACTACTGGCGCTCCATTGTCGACATCAACGAGTACCAGAAAGACCGTTTCACACGGCGCATTGTACGGTGTCTGTATAATAGTCTGAGTGGCAAGACGCTGGCCGTGTTTGGATTCGCGTATAAGAAGAATACGGGCGATACTAGGGAGACGGCTGCGATCACGGTGATCGATAATGTGCTTACTGAGGGCGCCAATGTGCGCATCTACGATCCACTCGTGAAAGAGTCGCAGATCAGACAGGAGCTCAACAGCACGACGGTACGGTTAAATTGTGCGGAGAAGCAGCTTACCGTATGCGAGTCTGCGTACGAGGCTTGCACGGGCGCGGACGCGATCATCATATTGACGGAGTGGGACGAGTTCAGCAACAGAGACGAGCCTATGCGACGGGACTCGGGACACGGACGCAAGACGGACGAACGTGCGGAGCGCAAGCTCGACTGGACGCGTGTTGCGGAATTGATGCGGCGGCCGATGTTCGTATTTGACGGGCGCAACATTGTAGATGCTGCGGCGTTGGAGGAGTTGGGGTTCAGGATAGAGTGCATTGGCAAGGCTTAGAAGTAGACTTGTATTTATATTGTTTAATACCCCTTTGTTACATACATTCTCAGAGAGACAGCGAATGCACTTTTCATTCTTCGGTACCTGCGGTCTATTCTGATGACACGCTCGGCTCAACATCGTACTCCACATCCGTCCTAATAACGTACTTCGCGCCCTCGACAACACCCGTCCCTTCATGTAGCAACGCGTCCTGCGCCTCGCCATGCGGGAACACAGCTACACTGCCCATGACCGGCTTTACGGGGTACGCATTCAGCACGCCTTCCTTCACGCTCGGGAGGAAGAAAGTCGTTTCGCCGCCGCGGAAGTCGTCGTTGAGGTAGATGAGGAAAGTGTAGAGGGAGGATTGCTTTGCGGTCGCGGGGGAGGCGTCGTAGATGTATGCGTCGGTTGTAGGATCGATGCCGGAGGGGGGCCATGCGCCGTCTATTTGCGCGTCAGTAGCATGTTCCGGCATGCTGGAAGCTGGAGATGTACTTACCAATATGACATCTATACTCCGCCCCCGGAACGTACCGATACACCCTAAACCGCCGATTGATCCCGCGCACCTTCTTCCCCTCCTTCACACCCGGCACAAACTCCTTGACCCGCGCCCACAGCGCATCGTGGAACGCCTGATCGACTATCCAGTAGAAGTTGTGCGCGAGCACACTCGTGTCTTCGCCCTGCGGCCGCAGCGGCGCATCGGGGATGAACTCCATAGTCTCCCCCGCAGCGATGATGGATGCGCATTCCGCGGGTGTCAGCACGTCGCGTATGAGTCGAAGATGCGGGACTAGTGGGTGCGTGTGGACGGTTGTTCTGGGCGCGGGGCCTAGGGGGAGGGTATTGTCCTGAGAAGCGAAGAGGATCGCGGGGTGCAAGTTTGGCGGTTTGCGCTGGGGGCCGGGTGTTGTTTCTATGGCGCGGAAGCAGGACTTGAGGCCTGGCGCGCAGGATGCAAAGATGGAGCCATCCGCGATGCTGGCGCGGATGTGCTGCGTGGGTTCCACGGTGCCGCGTAGATCCCAGGTTTCCTGAAGAGAAATGGCGCCAGGTGATGCATTCAGGCCATGAGAAGTGGTATCTGTGGGACCTGTGACACGGAGGATGGCATCCAGGACTCGGATTAGCTCCGCGTTGTGCGAATTCGTGCCAACGACATCCTTGTTTGGCACGCGCACGTGGATGGAGAGACCAGATATCACGTCCAGTGTGCGGACCCAGCGGCAGAGGGCACCGAGGGAGGGTGTCTCATTACGGATGCGCATTTCGGAGAGGAGTATCCGGGCGTCCAGGTATCTTCCGTCTGTGAGTGCGGCGGAGATGCGTGCTGTGAGATTACCGCCCTCTGGTGGTTTCTTAGCTAGAGTGTCCAGCTATGCAGAGAAAAGTTGACTAACCTGCTGCTATCATGCCCGTCGTACTTGCTTGCTTGAAGGCGTATACCGCCGTTCTGAGGTCTTTGCATGCTTTTGATTTGATGAGGGATGGATGTTCGGCTAGTGCCTGCAATGTCTCAACCGTGATTTCGACTTCTTCGGGCGAGGTGACGGCATTGATAGTTGACGGTCCAGTGGCCGAAGTATCTTGTGGCGGTGTCAAGGGACCTTTTGATTTGATGGATATTGATGCTTGGGGGTTGTTGCGCTTGCGTTTAGCCATGATGGTTGTTGGTGGCGATGCGGTCAAGCTGCAGGCACAAGCGCGGGTGTGGTGGGCTACAAACGACTATGCTACTGCTCCCGTTGATGAGTGCTTTTGCTACAATTCTTCGGTATGGTGATTGCAGTGTCTGGTAACTGTCAAGGGTGTTGGCACTTGAAATGGTGGTAGATGTTAGATCGTGAAATTTGATAGCGCTAAGCTAAGATCGGCAACGCTAAAAAGTTCCGGAATGGCGGGGGTGGGGCAGCAATAAGCCATTCCCGAACACCATCTTCTACTCCACGCCCGCTCCGTGGGACTGCAAGCCCTTCTTGATGCTTTCTCTAAAGAGCTTCCAGATGCAGTCCTCTTCATAAGACATTCTATGTGTCCTCCACTCCAACCACTCTTCTGCCCTGACCCCACTTTCTGCGTCCAACAATCCAACGGCCACATCCACGTAATCCGGTCGTTCGTCGCATGTGTACGTTACCACAGCGCCACAGGTACCACAAAAGGTACGATCGACTTTCTCTGAGCTCTTGTATGCTTTGAGTGTGCCGAATATCGGCTTGTACGGCGAGCCATCCACCAGCGTGATATGCGTGGCTTCTGGGAAGGCCCATCCTATGACTGCACAGCCCGAGACTAGTCGGCAAGAGTTACACGCGTCGACAAGGGCATACCATTTCGTCTTGTCCTTGGGCGTCATGCTCTCAGGTGAGCCGTGGTGTACTTCGGCGTTACGGGGTGGTGAGATATAGAACTCAACACCACCGCAGTGGCAGTGTGCTTTCAGCTTCTTTCCATCTCTTGAGGGATGCGCTTTGCTCCGACGAGGCTGAATGAACGAGTCGGCCTCGCTCGTAGATCCTACCTTCCATTTCTTCAATTCCTTTCCTCCGATATCTGGGAGCCACCCACTCAGCCCTCCATCCTTGGTGCTCTTTAAGAAGTAATGCGAGCCGAAGTTCCAGGTTTTCTCGTCGGTCTCCACCATGCTGGTCTCAACGAACCATGTGTCACCATCATCCTCGTGCGCACTGTCGAGCATGTGAGCGCCGCATGTCGAGCAAAACAGTTTCTGCACTGTTGGCGAGGATTTGTAGGCCGTGAATGTTCTCAGATCAAGTTTCGGAGGTGGGATCTGAGCATGGATAGTACAAAGTGTTCCATGAGTGCGGCGGCAGATGCTGCAGTGGCAGAAGTACGCGGGTATCGGCAGCGAACTCGTCAAAACTGTGAAAGACAGCTGTGAAGCCTTGCAGTGGCACGAAGCTCGGAATGTGCTTTGATCGGCCATGACGGCTTGTGTGCTATTGCTCGAGATCAAGACCACGACTGAGGTTGTGAGGAGATGGCAGGTTGGAACACTGTAGGTAAGCGAATACGAGGAAAGCGCAAAGTGGGGCTGCTAGTGCAATGTAACGATGCAGGAACAGGGTATGACGACCTTGCACACATGTCCCTATTCATTTTACACGAACGCGACTGGAAGAGGTTGCAACAACACCACTCGTCGAAATTTCAGATGGTAAATTTCAAATAGAACATTCTCAGCTTTTGTTCAATCCCTTACCTCTGGCGGGCATCTATCTCTCTGATCCTGAGCGAGCAAGCTTGCACCATCACTTGTTCTCTATCAAGCAATGAAAATCCGATAAAGTAAAATAGAAGAGCGGAATCGGAACGAATGACTACATACAGCGGCATCAAATCGACCAAACTACCGACGACTTAAGACACCTGCAATCATGCTACTGCATCAAAATTATATTTGCTAGGGAAGGGTAAGGAAAGCCATTCTTGCGATAATGGCAGAATCTGCGATAATTAAGGCGTCTTTGAGACCATGACGCGCTTTGGCACAGAGTTACATCGCGCTGGTCGCGATCCGCACCGAGGACGTTTAATTTGCCTACGTGCTACCCCTACAACTCCTTCATTATGGCACTCGGATCATGCCCATTTTACCTGATTCTTCAACTCCATCAGAGCTTTAGATCAATTGATTGCTTCCGTTGCTGGATCAGACCATCGATATGTTTCTAACAAGCGTCTCGGTTGTAGTAGATGTTCCAAAAACTTCAAACCAGGTTTCCACAACATCTGAGAAAAGAAACATTTTACCCGAAAGATTGGACATTAGAAACAGCGCAGATTATACATGTGTTATTGCGGGAGCAATGTCTTGAACGTATGCTCTTGCTAACTACAAACATTGTCTCCTTTCTGCAAACCGAGACGACGGGATATAACTTGTCTAGAAGGCGGACAATAAAGCATCACGACCTGGAGTCACCTTCCATCATCAATTCAACAGTTTCGCTTTTCTGTAGAGACACACCTGATGCTGATTGTGATGTGGTGTATCAAAAGACTTTCGACTTTCAAGGAAGAAAACAGAGGAAGCTATAGACTTTGAAGATCCATTACCGGGGTACAATACCTATTTCGAATTGGACTGATCTTTCAGGCGGTAGAAAGCCTTACTTTACCGTCAAGCCAGGATATAAAAACACCAAATTTCCCCTGATCACGCCATCAACTTGATCCTTGCGAAAATTGCTAAATATTCATCCAACAGCATCATTAGGATTGGGCGTAACAAAATTTATCTTGAAGACTCAAGGACACTCTGGTTGATGGTATTGTTTCATACAAAGGCTGTTTCTCCACGGTCAAAGTGGGCATGGGTAGGCCGCTACTGAACGTCAGTTTAGCGACAAGTGCTTTCTGGAAGCCCGGACCTTTGACTCAGTTTCCTGCAGCTCGGGCCATAGGTAGGATATTGAAGTTGTGCTACGGCAAAAAGCACATCAGAACTATCCACGAATTTGGAAGATCCCCCAAGGAGCAGATGTTTATAATGCAATAGTATGGGACAGATATTGAAATCAGTGTCCTCAGCTATTTGAGGGAAATCCTGAAATCCCAGAGGCCATGTGGCACACTCTTGAAGCTTCAAAACACAACTGCGTGAACACAGTACTGAGAGGGAAGCGACTTTCCGAATGATTTGCTCGAGATTGAGAAAAATCAACCATGTGGAGTGAAGCTTCCTGGAGATGCAACATCCCACATAATTGAGATTGCACGTACAAGTCCGTTTGATGGGCTTCAATGTATTGTGGACCAAGGGTTACGATTGTTGCGGAATAATTCTGACGCCGCTGCGCGATCAACTTTGAATGCAGCTTCGATAGTCATCCATCCTAAAGTCCTGCAAGTACCCGCACGGCAGATGCTGGAGCCAAGGGTTCGTTATGGGGGCGGGGGCGATGCCGCGATGGACCAGAACACCATGAAGTGGAACATCAAGCAGAAAAACTTTTGCGATACAAAGAACAAAATTTCCTAGCAGATTCTCGTCTTGTATCCTCAGAGCTGTGAAAGGAATAGCATAGATGGAAGTACTGCTATGCACTATGGCCAGGAGCTTGTTCAAGGGATGTATACCACTGGTATCCCATACAACGGAAATTTGAACACCAACTTGGTTTAAGTACGAAGGTATTAACGTCGAGACACAAAATGGACCGGAAAAGGCATTCAAGACTCGCTTAGCAAGGCTCAAAGACGATGTCGTGTTTGTGAATCCTAGCAAGGATTCCAGATACTCCACCTACTTCGATCTTTTCGAGCACGTGGCTGAGCAAGAATGCAGATTGCAGACAGTTCGTGTTACACACCAAGCTTTGCAAGCACGTAAAGGCAAAATGGAACGATACTTCGGTAACGTAGCGATGAAAGTCAATTTGAAGCTGCGCAATTACAACCACGCAATTGCTACAGAGGATCCTCAATTCAAAACATCGAAGCTGGCTGGAGTCGATCTGAAACAGACCATAGCTTTAAGCGCAGATGTCACTCATACCCAAAAGACAGCGACCCTGGGTCTTTCTCTCTTGCTACTCTAGCCCGTTCTACGGCTCCATGGCGTACTTGGACCGCAATTCGGAAGTAAGCGCTGTTATCCGTATCCGCATAGTTTACCATGAAGCTGACATTTTGAAACAGGCCATCGCTCAAGAAAACATGAAGCCAATGACACAACAGCGCCTCAATGCATTCTACAAGAAAAGCAATCGCCTACTTGCGAATGTTCTATTCTACAGTGACGGTATTGACGAGAGCCAGTACGCCAGGGTTCAAGTGACCGAAGTTCTAGGCATCAAGTCGGGCTATCAAGCATTTGCTGAAAGCACTGGCATATCTCAAGATCCGAAGATCACGACGGTGATAGTGACAAGGCGCCATCATACAAGGTTCTATCCGTCTAATGTCATCAATGGTCATGAAAACTCCCGCGAGAGCAACTGCAGCCCTGGAACCTGTGTGGACTCCGGTGTCACGCACCCCAACTATTTCGAATTCTACCTCCAATCTCACCACCCGATTAAAGCCACAGCCCGTCCAGCGCGATACTTCGTGCTCGACAATGGAATGAGCTTGACGGAACAGCAGCTCCAGAAATTCATGTACGAGCTTTGCTACTCGTACGTTCGTGCCACTCTTCCAGTTGGGTACGCACCGCCAGCATACTACGCCGATAGGCTTTGCGAACGCGCCCGTTGTTACTTTGCCTACTTTTTGAAGTCGTAAGATGCCCCTGATCATTCCAGCGTTGGAGAGCAGACGAGATTGAGGTTAGCGGCATCTCGAATCTTGCTGTCGAACTCGACGACTGCGTCTGTGCGATTAGGGATATGTTCTAAGATGCTCCTGAGGACTATGTGCACAAGATGGTTGCAGACAAAACACATTACGACAGAGTTACGATGCAAGCCTATGAACGTATCGTTGACCGAATTATGAAGGCTGGAAAAGGGCAATCCGCCAGAGAGGAAGTTGAAGAAAAGCTTGAAGTCACCACACTTGCACCTTCTTCTTTTACTGGACCCAATTGGGGAGATCTGTACAAAGATTATGTGGAAACGATGCAAAGGCTCTCCGGATTGACACCAGACCCAGGAAGCTCATCGAATGCTCAAAACGTTCAATCCACCCAGGCTGTAGGGTTCACCCCGGAATCTAGATTATTACAGTATGTACCGGCTGTCCCCGAAGCTGGATCTCCCGAGATCACGGTAGCCACCTCATTCGAATCGACTGGCAGATGGAAAGAGCGGTAGTATATTCCAAAGAACGACAATAGCCCTTGGCATCCTTACCTGAACGATTCCATGTTCTGGATGTGAGAATTTGATACTCCCATCCACAACGACCTATGCTCGGCAACAGGCTCTGCGAATATTTTCCACATTGCCTATACCAACTGACCAACTCCTTATTCGGTTTTCCCACGTTTAATTATCTTGATATGCTGGAAGACAACCAACTGTTCTGTGATCCACGATCGCAAGACTGTGTGCCATTTGCCATGTTTGGTTTTGTAAAATTCGTTCGAGCATTTTCTTTCGCGTAATAGGCTATCCGCTTGTTGATCTCGTCTTCTTCGCTTTCATGCGGATACGACAATGACTGATATTCTTCTATCAGCTTTCGCACCTGCCTCTTATGGTTACTTGCAGCGGACTCCAAAATCTCAAAGATTGTGAAGTGGTAATTTTGAAACTCCATCCACGTTGATAAACGATCCTTTCTTGCATGTTCAGAGAGAAACGTCCCCTGATGAAGCTCATCAACCGTTGTTGCAGCCCTCCTGTCCTGCTCTCATTGAGCAAGAGTTTTCTCGTCACGCTGATTTTCCTGGAAACGTCGGAACTCCTTCCAGTCTTCAAGTTGCTGCCGGAGAACAAGGCCTGTCCGTGGACCGTTGATCGGGTGGTCCTAGTATGATACAATTTCTCCATTCATGTCATCGAGATCGTTGTGATAGTCTTCGCCTAGTTTCGGTGGCCATACAAGATCTCCTGTTGCATAATACGGAAACAACCTTCTGCAAGGAGAACAGCGCGCGCCTTCCAATCATGTTGTAGGTTTTCGTGGCGACTATCGTCTATGGCGCAAGCTGGTGACGAAGGGGTGGCGTGACTAAAACACGCGTCATATTTGGAGGCATTTGATTGGAAGCGCAAGAAACTTCCGAAGGTTCAGCTCACGAAATGTTCCCAATCGCATGGAGAAAAGTGCGTTGAGCGGACTTAACACGTACGTAACTTGTGTCACCAACCAGTCTTCCGCGTACCATGGTACTCTTGAAATACAGCCGCTAAGTACATGGTATAGCTTCAACTCTCATTGAGAAGGTGGCACCACGAAGATGACTTCTTTCTGTACTTTAAAGTGAATATCTGAAAGCGGCTTTGCATTCGAGGAATGACGTCATCCAATCCAACGAGCTACTTTGGGTTCCAAACTATCCTCAGGTGCTTCCGCACGTGAACGCCGCAGCGCTCCAAGACTGCGACTGAATGCGCGTCTCTTTCCCCGAGCTCAGAACGCCGGATATACTCGAATCCCCGCCTTCCCTTCATTGGGGCTCGCACATAGATATATACATGATGACACTGTGTCTTCTGGTCGTTACAGCCACCATCTACTCCTGCCAAAGCACGTTGTTTCCATCGCGTGCGTTGACCAGCACGTACTCGGTACACCTCGGGTCCGTCTTGTGGTCCGGAATCGTCATGGCCATGAGGTTGACCTCCATCCAGGTGGGCCGCATGCCCATGGACTCCAGGCGCTCCCACCAGTTCCTGAAACGCTTGAAATCGATGCCCTTTTGGTCTTCACCAACGTGTATCTCGATCATAATCTGGCCGATGGGCAGGACGGCATCACCGTTGCCCCGCCACGCAGACGTGAAGTAGTCCATCACCGAGTCGAAAGAAATGTATTCCGAGCCCTCGACGTCGATCTTCAGGATGTCCATGTAGGTATGGTTGTTCTGCGCCATGAGCGTCTGCAGCGTGAAGAAAGGTGGGGATTTGGCGGGCTCGTCCGTCTTTCCGATGCCGACTTTCTTGAAGAAGGCGCGGTCGTTGTACTTGGAGGCGATCTGCTTGCCCCACGCGTCGACCGTAAAATCGTAGCCCCAAATGCGCGCGCTAGGGATGCGCTCGAACATCTCTGCTTCGAAAGACGACTCGCCGTTGATGCCGAAGCTGTAGATGACGACGCCCTCTTGTCCGCCGGTCGGCACGCCTCTCATCCAGGTTGTCGGTACCGGAATCGATTCATACACACTCATTCCGCACACCCACTTTCCTCCGTCACCTAGTCTGCCAACCCGCTGCACGTCGTGCGGACATGTCCACGTTGGTGGAAAGAAGTCCCAGAGAGTGTAAGGGTATTTCCCGAACTGGTCGAGAGATTGCGCGGGGAAGAGCGGGATCTGAGGATTCGATGGGTGTGCCTCTGCCATCTTCCCGCGTAGCTGTACGCTCTTCTTCCATGCTGACTCTGAAAGGGCCATTCGCTCTTTTAATCCAGCGAACCTGCGACCCGATGTCCGCTGCGGAAGGGGGAAGGAGCGCAGGTATGATTGCTCCTCCGCATTATTGTGTAGGACTGCGATGAAGAAGATGAGGGCGACAATGGTAGCGACAGCACGTCCTACCGCCATGTTAGATATTATAATGTGGAAGTCGAAAGCAACGGTCAACGTCGAGGAAGAAGGTAAGGCAAGTGGCGCGTGTAACGTACCCTGGGGAGACCGAAGGAAAGTCATTATATGGTTAAGTTCAATGCAATCGTGCGGAAGGATTTGATTTGCGACTTAGATATTGACAAGAAACGGCCCCGCTCTGCTAATGTGAAGCAAGAGATCGGCTTATGGAACGTGAAGCTGGTTAGACGATTGAACTACGGCCTTGGTAAGAGGGTCAAAGGAATCAGAGTAAACAGCAAACGTGTCGGTGCCAGGTGGAACAGGATACGAATCCTTCTAGTGTCGTACTTTAAGCAGGTACAGCCGTGGATCTCCTGATGAATGCTTGCGAGTGAAGCTCGACAGCAAGGGTAGGCGGCGCCAATATGGCCAATCTCCGCCAAGACAGGACAATGACGGTCTCAGCCCAGATGTCCGCAGTCAATCCGCTGGCAGCGGCACGGTGGGCAATCGAAGCAGCTGAAACCATCTCCACCCACTCGAAGCAACCAGGTCTTTAATTCCGAGGAACAAGCCGCAAGAGAGCTGCTGCTTAAGGCAACGAGGCCCCACAGATCCCATTATCGGTCCCACAGTCGTCAAACGGGGCAAGCCACCTCTGCCCTAGGTGCCCAGGCACGGGATGCCGATAGACATTGTCGATCAGTTTCATGTGGTCATTATGTAAGCAAGCGCCAACAGAGCCGCGTTTGGTGCTCCGCCTGAGGCAGGGATTGTTCTCGATGCGGCCTTCTTGGCGGGTGGAACACCAAACTCGCTTGATCTACAACGGTCGCAATCGGACATAATATTCACATGATTTAAGATGCTATCAAAGCTAAAGTATATACATGGATGACGAACCAACAAAGAGATTGGCTCATGCAAGAATGCGGTACACGGCCAACGCTGCCGCTAGCAGCAGACCGCTGCAAAGCGTAAACACCATATTGCGGTGGTGCTCTCCTAGGGCAATTGTTAGCGGCCGCCGCTTGTATCTACCCCGCGAGTTGCAGAACGCGGAGAGAATGTGGGGACTCACCTTCTTGTGTCGTGCTGAGGGCTAGAACGACGAAGGCGTTGAGGGGAACTCTCAGAATGGTATAGACGCTGGCGCGCATGCCGTCTTCGATCAGTTTGCTTTTGAGCGAGCCCATGGATGGATAATAGATCCCGCAGCAGACCTCAAAAATGCAGAAGCACCAGAGGACAACCTTCTCCTCGCGGATGTGCGCGGGTAGAAAGAAGCAGAGCGAGGCGGCAATAAGGGTGTAGATGAGGATCTGCTTCGTCGGCATGGATGACGCTGAAGTAGACAGATTATTGTAGAGCATAGAGCCAAACATCATGCAGCACATGAGTATGGCGAAGATCAGGCCGAACGGCAAGTCTGTTACGGGCATCAGTACCAAAGCAGATATAGCCAGCCAAGAGAAACTTACCTGTGGTCGATCCCGACAGCTCATGGGAGAGTTTCAAAGCCGGAAACTTGAAGAAAATGAAGAGAAACAGTGTGCCCTCGAAGAAGCACGAGGTCAACGCCAGGGTCAGGATGTTCTTGTCCCCGAGGATCAGCTGCAAAGCAGACTTTGCAGGTGCTTGCACATGGTCGTCCTTTGCCTCTTCTGCAAGCAGACTTGTAGCCTCCGCCGTGTTCTCCTGTCGCGAGCCATAATTTTCGGACTGTGAAAATTAGCTATTGAGCTGCGGCTGTATCGAAGGGTAAACTCACCCAGGTCTTGGAGATCGCGATGAATGCGATCGACATACATCCCAGCGACGCCATGAATGGTGCTTTAGCCGTGCCGACGTGATCGACCAACCATCCAGCGAAGATGCCAGCGACAATTGCGACAAAGCTGTTGAGTGTAGTCATCATACTGAAGATGCCGCCCAGTGCCGATCCTTCATCGTCGACCATGAGTTTGTTGTACTCTGCGACCAGCCAACTCTCGAATACGCTGTACAGCAGTGTGCCTGAGACACCACCCAGAATGCGGCCCAAAAAAAGCACCTCAATTCGGTCCGTAAGGAGTGTAAGGCAGGAACAAGAGTAGATGACGCAGTATGCGAGGCATCCTGCTTTTCGACCACATCGATCCGCGATACTTCCCGCGAAGGACGCAGAGATGCCTCCTGATAAGAAGCCCACCATGAAGAGGAGAGCTACCATACTCTCTGGCAGACCCTTCTCATCTGAGCGAATGTTTAGTCACTCGTCGTATTGTGTTACTCGGGATTCCCACCTTTGTAGATTGGATAGATGTACGGTCCTTGGAGCCAGTCCGCGCCGTTGACCAGCAAGAACACGGGTAGGAACTTCCACTTCAGTCGCCGTACCCTCTCGGCGTCGTCATCTTCTCTTCCTCGATGCTCGACTTTCTCTGAGTTCGATGGCGCTTCCGAAAAGGAACCTGCACGTTTCTTTGATCGATAAGACCGAGCGAAGACCACGCTGTTCAACAGCAGTAAACCAACGAATGTGCTACGGTAGAGGTCCATGGTGTGATTGATCAAACACCACGATTGAAAGGTTGAAAGAAAATTATGATATTGTTGGAATGCAGTCGCCAGGACGTGGGTCAGAAGTGTGACATCCTTAGAGGTGACCTTTGTTATGTGCCAGCCAACGCACGAGCCAGTGACGGTCGCGGATCCCGCTCCATGGCGTCAGGCCCGCCAACGTCAAGGAGGCGGCGCAATCGATTGACGGCTATGGGGCCATCGGTGATCGTGCGTTGCGAAAGAGTGGGGAGCCAGCCCCCGGAAACGGGAGCGGTTGGAAGGCGTAGCCGAGCGCCACTCTAGCGGGGCCAAGTGGGCCAAGGTACCTGACACGTCTCACTGTGCTGGTCTCGTTAGATGTTCTTGTGAAATCTAACCACAACACACTGCTCAAATACCGAGACTTCTCTGATGTAAGTTTGTGGCAGATGATGCCTGGTGTTCAAAGCGGGAGGTGGCTACAGTTGGGACGAAGGCCGAAGTCTCTCGGTACAGTCGCGGCAAAACACGCGTTCACATACCCACATTGACGACAGTGATTACCCTACGGTAAACAGTAGGGATTTGCGCGGGCCTATATTGGGGGCTGTTAGTGGTGGATCATACGCTGACACTGATGTTCGAGATCTGAAACGATCATGAACAATCACGTGATCGTTACATCACTGATCAATGCCCCCACGTCCGCTCTATTTCGTTTGATCCAAAACCCATCAAAATCGAGACGCCTTTGGTAGCACGGAAAAGAGATTGCAGGTGGGATACAAGCACGATGCCTAGCACGTCGTTCCCTACGCTACGGATCGCTACGGATTGCTACTGTATATCGCGTCCAATGTCCGGATGACCGACGATCGCAAGATTCTTGCAGTTGTAACCAGAAGAGATCGTCTTGCTCAGACTTTACCGCCCGTCTCCTGGAGACTGTCAAGTTGCAGCTACACCGCAGGGGTGAGCACAGCTTCTTCGGTGAATTATACGGTGTATGTGGTACAAGAGAAACTTCTCCAATGGCGCTTCACTAACGCCGAGACAAAGAAAGTTTGCAGGTTACTTTTTAAATGACAAACCACCTGAGGTGAACCCCGTCCCACTTTAAGGAGAATGGTCATACTTGCCTGTGTACAGCGTTCGTCACACACACCTCCAAGAATATGATCCTGTGCCCATTGTTGCGTGGACAAGAGCGGGCAAGGGTCGCTCAATCGACTGGCTCAATGTAGCCGACATCGTTAATAGCAGGTTGTGGTATGTGTGCAGGGCGCAGGTCCTCCCCTTGCATACTATTGTGCTGATCACCTGCTCTGAACGTTTGCTCATTTCCGACTGTTCCTCGTCAGCAAACCTTCCCCTAGTTGGCATTGCATCAATACTTTTCACAAACTGCCAAGTAACGACGTAGACCCCGTGGTTGAAGTACGCCCGATATCTTGTACCTAGATTGGCCAGGCGACACACCAATCTCCTCACGTTAGGTTGGTTCATGTCTATCTTGAGCGTGGTCCCATCAAAATCAAAGTTCTTCTTCCATTGAACCATCAAACAGACGCTCACTCCTTGCTTCGACAGGATTGAAACAGGGTTTTCCTCGAATTCCACCTTTTCGCCACCGAAGTAGCCATCGAACCAGCTATTCCTAGCTAGCTGTTGGCATGTAGCCACGTCTTCGTTTGGCGCCGTGGTGCTGACCATCACCGGATCAAGGTTGTTGCTCGATGACATGTCGTAGGGTTCTATTCTCAACACTAGGTTCTAGTATTTCTCGCTCGAGAATGGTTTTTGTGAACTTGGAATAGTTTCTTATAATCTTGTACACTTGGTGGTAAATTCAAGCTTCCAAAATGCTGATTGTGTGCAGGATCGAGTAACTCTCTGGTGTTTTGCGCTGGAACTTTATACATTCAAATAGTGAGCCATAGCTGTGTAAGTCCTGACACTGTAGATATCTCTGCCTTGGCCAGAGGTTTCTTAGTCTCGAGGTGAAGTTGTCGACCGTGTCCTAAGTTGGGCTAATACTGTACACTCATAATAAATTTGTGTGACCAGAGCTCAATCCCATATCCTCATCGCTGCCCGATTTCCGACCTCGTCAAACTAATATCAGCACTTGGAATATTCGACGCACGATTTGCTCCGGAAGAGCAACATGCTTCTTTGGGTTGTATGTTCGCAGCGTGAAACAACAAAGCACGTTCCACTTAATCATGAGTACACAAATGTCCGAACGAAAAACAATCTTGAGCTGTTAATCTCGTTGCATCTGAATCCAAGTTTTGAGGTGGTTGCAATTGAGGACCCATTGACACGGCACATTTACGAGGTTCTTCGCGTATGACATGACTGGCGAGCTCTTGTTCCTGCCAGCAGTTATAGACCGTGACCGTAACTCCTTCCTTTCATTTGTTTTGCGATACCAGTCATAACCATTGCATAGTGTCAATCCAAGGCGCTCACTGCGCCCACCCAGATACCCTCGCAACGCCGTCCGCCTAATCCGCTACATTATGAAGGGTGAAGCGCGGTTCGTCGGGACTTTCGCCGCCGCGTTCTAGGTCTTGGAATTTCTTTTGCCAAGCACACTACACAACGTAGACAAGATCTCCTCCGAGCCGCCCGTTGGCATGTCTGCATCGCCACTCTTGGCACAGCTGCCCAAGCAGCTGAGACGCCCACGATACGCAGACGCTTTCCCCTCGAATCAATCGGATATATCTCCTCCGCCTTTCCATCTCTAGCCAAGCCAGCATGTGCATCTGCCCGAGTGCGACACGCTCAAAGAACCGCCTACTTCCCTTGATCCAGAGCACTTGGAAGATCCACGCGGAACGCAATTTTCCCCATCTGCATACAAGTCTGGATGCTTGAAAGTCTCCATGGCCAAATGCGGACTTTCAAATTCTGTTTTTGTGAGAGTACCTCGTCAAAGTTCCAGAGAGGCGGAACCTTGTCAGACTTGGACATGAGACTAAGTGAGTACCGTTTATCCTCTAGAAACGGCGATTTGCCATCGCTGCGGGTTTAATAGATGTGTCCAAAACGCTGCAAAATGTCTATGATGATGTGACTTTGAGGTAGGCGATATTGCGGTGCAGTTCTATGCTAAACTGCTTCGATGGGGCATTCTTCAGCCCAGAAATGTAGACAGCCGAGTGGTAGGTCTTGAGTTAACCTGGACTCTGGGACAGGGTCTTTTGTAAGACTTTGTGCAACAAATTATGATATTGGGAGGTGGTTTTTACGGGAAAATGGTGTTCTTGTTATCTCAAAGGAACACTGTTCTTCCTCGATATGGCAGTGTTGCACGAAAGCATTGATCTAGCATGAAGGAGAAGAACCTTACAAGGGATAACACAAGCTGTAGGCCAATTGGCCCTGCCAACCTGCCCAGCTCCACGATGGGTATCAAAAGGACATTCGTTCGATACCCGGTCCGAGATTGATCTAGAGCAGTGCAAGGTCAAAACACGACGATGGAATCCCACAGTGAAAACGAGCGCTATCCAGGCGTGGGATAGCTCCACATAGGCCTTGGAACGCATTCAGGGTATTGGGCTCGCAAAAAAGGGTTCTTGTGGTGTAGGCTGTCAAGACACGAGCATAGAGGTCAAAATATCGCGGCCAGCGGAGTGTCTCCGACTTTAGATCCTCTCAGCCCCACGAACGAAGTAAGAATGGGGTCATTTGTCACATTTCTTCGGATATCAGTTGCATTCTGTCTGAAAGGATGGGTTCCGGTGTCTCCTCACCTGGTCCAGAAAACTCCAATCCTCGGCCTATTCATCGCCGCAGACGAAGGTCATATGCTTGTTGGAAAAGTGCAGACAGGGAGTCGACAGAAGGATCTATTGCAAGATCCAGCCTTGCTCACTTTGTATTGAGGTGTTGAAAGCCTTTGGTGTTGGGGGATTTTCTTGCCTGAGGAGGGTGTGGCCGGCGAGTCGCGACTTCATTGCTATAACAGACCTCGAACCTTGACTTAGACCAGGGAGTCCAGCATTAGCGTCAGTTCCAGCATTTTAGACGAGAGTAGCGTAGGCAGCGGCGTATATTCTATGGATGAGAAGACATCTGGATATGCTTCTTTCTGGGGTCGTCTTGAATAATGCATAGTGGGTCGACCCAAAGATATTGTGCATCTAGCTTGGTGACAAAGGTCATAGCATTTAAGATAGACGTAGGTATCTCTTTAGCTCGTTTGATCTGATTCCTGCTTTTTGCCACATCTTACTCGCGGGCTGCTTTATTCTTATGCGTATATGCTATGGATGAACGTAATTCAAGGTATATTGGAGACCATATAAACCGGGTAACAGCTGATTGGTGGCCCATGCGGGATGGAATTGAACTGGTAGATGTGTCATAAGATTCAAGACTAGGTTGCAAACAAGACATCTGGGCCGTGTGAGCAGGCTAAACATCGATCCAAACGGTAGCTCTGCTGCCAGCTTCACAAGTCCGGCAATTTCTATTCTTTTGTTCGACCTTGTATTGTTGTAGCTCGACACCGCTGGGCATGACCCAAAGGTGTTTTTCACACACATTGCACCGTTGGTCCTCCTTGAACAATCACTTGTCCCACGCGAGAAGGACATGTGTTGAAGTCCGCAAGATGTCTGGTCAGGTACTCTTGATAACACTACCAAATGACTATGAGGCTGGGATTGTGGACCGCGTGAGTTATACCCGCACAGAAGCGATTTCATCAGCGTGCTGGTGCCTTGGTCGAGGGGCATGCTGGCAGGACCGTCCAAACTTGAAAGGAATGCAGGAGGCAGACGTTCACTGTATAGGCAATGACCATGTCCTTGCCGAGTATCTGCATGACTTGTGACAATGTGCTAAATATGTGCTCGTGCACCACGACACGCCATGCGCCTCTCTCGTCGTCTGAGTAACCCGAGGTATACAATAGCCGCATCTGCTGCACACGCGTCGACTTCGATGCCTCTCCTTGGCCTTGCGGAGTGATTAGTTACAGTTGTACCACCGGCGTGGGTACAGACTCGCCTAAAAAGATGATTTCTTTGGTCCTCTGTTCTCGTGGTGGATCTCGGAGCAAATGCGGGGAGAATGTTATGTACTTTTTGGCGTCATCGAACATAGTGACGTTATGCTCTGGATTTGTCGTCTGCTTTCTCGCCGCTCGCATAGACGACTTTACTGTTTTGCGAATCATGGTAGAGTACGGTCTTGTGGAAAGTAAGTGCTCATCGAAGTCAAGAGCATTGATAGGCGTGAGCTTTGCCCTGTACTTCGCGAAAAGAATGATGATGAGTCAATCGTGCTACGAAGTGAATCGGTGTCTTTCTGGACACGATTAATTTGTTTCCTAACAACGGTAGTATGTCATGCTGTTTTGAAAGTGATTTGCTCGGAGTGTCAGATCGATCTCGTTGCTGGTGGGATCACACGCCTGTTGCACGCTGTGAGGAGTAACGTCAAGGTTACAACGTGAAGATCGATCATGCTCTCGAGTTCGCCTATGCCACTCTTCTTAGATAGGAATCTTGCCTTGGCCGTTGTTCGTACCGAACCGCCTGGTGATTTCTGTAGATTGCCAACCTCATTATACACCTTGTTCGCAAGCGTGTTGCAGCAATCATGTGCGGTTTCCAAATCCATTGTTAGTTGGTGATGAACTTCTTCGCTATCACTCTCCATCCATTCCTGAATTTTGCCCAGTGCGATGCTGAGCGCGCCTAATTGCGATGTGAGACTGAGCAGGGCGATATCGGAATTTTGCCATTGTACGCGAAGTGTGTCAAGCACGGAGACAGCCTTTGTGAGTATATCAATAATCTGGCCGGCTGATGCAGCACCAAAGATTGTCAGAGGGTCGGCCCATGCACCGACAAGGCTGAGCATGTAGGTGGAGGCGGAAGAGACGTGGCGCAATTGCCGAAACTTTCGGGGCTAGTACTTTGATGTCCCTGCTGTGATCCGAAGCCTTCTTCACTGTAAATGAAGTGTGGAGAGACAAGCAGTCATCGATGGCGAGGGCTGAGATCATAGGCGTCTGTAAAAGACCCCTGTTCGCACCGCCTCGCTACCGATGACAGACGGAGGCCAACATCGGTACTCTATACGAACCGCTCGGCTATCGCAAAGCCGCAGGGGCTGGGCTGGTATTTGAACCATCTGCTGCATGGTGTCGAAACTGAAGTGTATTGCCATTCGTGAAATTTGGTCAGGCCCAGGAAGTGTGGTCGGCGCCGTGAGAACATTGTCGTGCACGTGGTGCTGAACGTTTGACATGCCATTTGCATGGACATTGAAAGCAGCCGTGGGGGTCAACCGGTGTGTTGGCGGTGTCGGAGGTGTGGCTAGGCTGATTGCCCTGGCGCATGACGCACCACGGCGATGACTCGGCGGTGACCATGGCGAGGTAGACGACACCAAGATTACAACCACACGCTTCGACGCGCTATCGCCGCACCGCCACAGCTTGCACGGCGTCCGAGGATGCGTCTGGCGGCCCGTACACGAGTCAAGCATGGCGTTTGAGGTATCGTATAACCTCGAGAATGAGCAGCAGTTCTGGGACGGTGAGGCGCCCGCTGCGAAGGACCCCGCCATGCAATGCATGCACCCAGCACGCAGTGCTAACACGGTGCGCCACAGAGCTCGACGACATTGTGTCGACGCGCTGCCAGCCGCACGACCACGAGATCATCGACAACGCCCTGCGCTCCTACCTCAACGTCACCACCAGCTACCAGAGTATGCGCCCGAGAAACACTGCTGCCGCGCGCCACTGACTGGGACCAGCCGAGTACCTGCAGACCGAGTACAGCCTCGCAAAATGCGTCTACCGCCTGATCCAGGGCGAGCTCTTCACCCAGCACAAGGCCTATGTCCGCCGGCAGATCATCTACTGTCTGCTGCAGGTGCGCAACAGAATCGCGCTGCGTGCGCGCCCTGGCTGACCCCGCGCAGGAGGACGATAACCCCACGCTCCACATGGTCGCCGCCTTCCTCCTCTTCGACGGCCGGAACGACCAGAACGATGCGACGTTTGAGATGATGCACGAAGAGGGTGTGTTTGCGCGCCTGATCGAGCTTATCCAGTTGGAAAGCGTGCAGGAGGAGCCCCGGCTGCACCAGATGCTGCTCGAGTTGCTATACGAGTCCTCGCGCATCCAGCGCCTGAAATGGGAAGATTTTGGTATGGCATTTCGTGGCTGCGGAATCTCCAAGTCAAGCACTGACCCGCGCAGTGGCCGTGGACGACTCTTTCATACTCTACCTACTCGGCGTTATAGAAGGCGTGTCCGACGACCACGAGGACCCCTACCACTACCCCGTAATCCGCGTTCTGGTACACCCCGACACCCCCTCTCCTCCCCCATCCCACTAACACCTCCAGCTGGTCCTGAACGAACAATACCTCGTCGCCTCGACCCAGTCCCAAGACGGCCGTGTCACAAACCGCGTCATCAAAGCCCTCTCCACTCACGGCAACATCTACAAAACCTTCGGCTGCAACCTGATCCTGCTCCTCAACCGCGAATCTGAGACCTCCCTCCAACTCCTCATCCTCAAAGCGCTGTACCTCATCTTCGGAAACCCCCAGACCGCAGAGTACTTCTACACAAACGACCTGCACGTCCTCGTCGACGTGATACTGCGGAACCTGATGGACCTGCCCAGCGACTCCCCCGCCGCAAATGCGCTCCGGCACACGTATTTGCGCGTGCTGCATCCGATCCTGACGCACTCCCAGATCAGCAAACCGCCGCACTACAAGCGCGGCGACATCCACCAGATCCTTACCCTCCTCATCGCGAGCGGGAACCACTTCGCCCCCGTCGACGAAACGACGAAGCGCCTCGTAAACAGGTGCACCGCCGTGCCCTGGCTCAAACCACCCGTCATCACGCGCACAGACACGAGCGAGACCAATGGGAGCGACAGCGCGGTGCAGAGCCCCGTGGAGAGCGCGGTCGGCGACGGGCAGAAGGAGATTGCGCGGCGCATGCTGGGCATGAGCGTCGAGGGCGGCGAGGCGAGCAGCACGAGCGTGCTCGAGGTCGCGAGCCACACGGAGAAGCCGGGGGTGCTGACGCCGAGTCGGCTCAAAGACAAAGAAGAGGGTGGCTAGCACCGTTCCGAGGCGCGCGTGCCGCGACTGCGGCTTTCGAGCATTACCTGCATTGCATCGGTGGCGTGGCGTTCCCCGGGTCCTAGCTGTGAGCGTTCTGTCAGATAACCCATGTGCACTCGGCCTCGCCCGGCGTTAGCGGACGAGGCATCCTTGGAAGCATGTTAGAGTAACGGAAGACATGATTGCAACTCTCTGTGGAGACTCTGCTCTTGATGCGCTGTGTCGTACGATGCGTTACTAACGCAGACTCTCGAGGACAGAGCGTGAAGTGATGCCCATCTGTGCTGTGCCGCAAGCCGGCCAAGTTCAGACGGGGACCTGACGACGAGGTAAGATGCACGGCAAAAACCACGTCAGCATGAGGCCAAGCTACATGAGAAACACATCTTTGACCGCCCACAAATAGGGAAGGGGTATGCAATGCTAAGTAATTCCAGATCCCATCGCCGCGCCATCCATCTATCCCTTCTCAAACTCCATAAGCCCCTCACACGCCCGCCCACCTTCCACCTCCGCCACCACTCCACTTCCCTTGGCTCATTCCTCTCCACCCGTCCTCACTCCTCAAACATCCCCGCAACCCCCTCCAACCCCGGACTCGTCCCGCGCACAATCGCACCCGCACCTGGCTCCACCTGCATATACTGCTCCTCAAACTTCGTTTTCCTCCTCGGCTTACTCCTTTCGATCCGCCCCTGCTCCTGAATGCTCAGCCCCCTCACACTGCTCAGCAAATCCAGCACGATACTCCTTTGCTGCCTCTCATCACTCCGACTCACAGCCTTCAATTTCCCCAGCTTCCGATCCACGCGCGACGTGTCCCCCATACCGGGCAGACTCAGGATGATGGAGCGCGGGATGTCGTCGTCGAGGTGGATGATGCCTGCAATCAGGCTCGCAAGATCCTTCTGGCAGTCGACGAAGTAGGGCTCGTGGAGGGAGATGATTGCGGTTTTGAGGAGCTCGTTGCAGAAGTAGTCTCTGATGGGTGACTTTTCGCGGAAACGCGGGAGGAGCGTACGCAGGACGCGGACGGTTGTGTTGACGGAGCGCGTGTCGCGCACGTGGATGCAGGTGTTGCAGAAGAGAAGGATGGGCTCGAGGACGGCGGGGGAGGAAAGGATGAAGTCGCAGATTGGGGGCCCGTCTTTGCGTGCGTCGTCGTCGAGGCGGGCGAATTCTGGGCAGGGTCAGTATGTGCTGCTTTGAGGGTGCATCAAGGGCGAATGTTGGAAACAGCAACGTTTGGAGAGGCTTGGCGAACATGGACGTACCTTGCCGTGAGTCGAGCAGCACAGCGACGAGCGTGACTGACGAGTATGTGAGTTGCCGGAGAATGCTTTCGGTCTTCATTTCGTCCGTCAAGTTGTCGTTCTCCCCGGCATTGACAACCTGCTGACTGACCTCATCCCACTCCTTGGTAATCTTGCCATTCAGTTCACGGAACAATCCCTGTATCATAGCCGGGAGAAATTGCGGCCTTAGATGTGACGGGCAGCCTTCGATGAGATGTGTAGAAACTGTGAGAAGCACGGAGAGGTGATGAGCCGTTAACGCGTGTGCGTGTCCGAAGAGCGCTTGACTTAGGGGCCCAGACAGATTTTCTATACCATAGAAGAAATCTCGGAACCGCGTGAGCGAGTATAGGATGTAGTATGAGCTCTCCCGGATCTGTCGAACGGTACCTCGAACAGTAGATGCGAAGCCTTCGTATGTCGACTTTGACCCACTCACGCGCGCGAAGAAATCGTCGCGGCTCTCGGTCGAGATGCCGGCCTGCCAGAATCGATCAGTCAAGACTCGCTGGATGACCTGCTGCAGGTCCTGTGGAAGGTAGGACCAATTCGAGTCGATGTCGTTGAAAGCTTGCGCATGGCTGACGAGCTGGAGGAGGTTCGGGAGTAGGATGGGTATAACTTCAGCCCATAACCGGGCAGCCGATTCGTATGCAGGAGAACCGTCGCGCAACTTCTCGGTAGATGCGGCTAGGAGCGTCTTTGTGAGCCGGAGGGGAAGTCGCTAGTGTGCGTCAGCGTAGTCGTCTGGTTCGAACCAAGCACCATACCTGTGAGTGATCTAGTATGGTAGCCTGCATGGCTTGGCCATCACCACTTAGTGGCTGCTCAGACCAGTCCTGCACGCCGCGGAAGTTGTTCGCAGACAAAAACTCTGGCAGTTGGGCCATTCCAAGGCTGCTGCAAAAGGCTTGGAACGAGGAGACCGAGGTTGCAAACTCATTGTTCTGCCACGCGTCCTTGATCTGCGTCAGCATTTGCCGCATGCGCTGCTCCTGGCTTTCACGATCCAACTGAGTGCATCGGTGAACGATGATGAACAGGAACGCAGAGTAGGCCATGCGCTGACGGTCATCAGTCGTAGGATCGGCCATCATTTCGTTGATCTTATTCTCCAACTGTTCGTACACATTCATGAAGTCATCAGCAAACTTCATGGCAAGCTTCTGCATCTCAAGGCTACATATGCGTTCAAGGTCCTTCACCGTATCGGCATACTGTGGATAGGCAGGGTTGTCCGCGAGCCTTACGGTAAGCATGTATTCAAGAAAAGAAAGAGCAAAAGCGGGACGGTCAGGGAGCGCTTTAGTCGAGAATGTCGACATGAGTTGTATGATTTTCTTGGCGATTTCAGGATCATCGAAACGCGCCTGCAGCACCTGCCGACCCCACTGTTCGAACGAGTCTTCCATAGCGTTACGTTTCCGTTCATCTTCTTGCGGTTCGTTTCCATGGGTAGACAGCCACTTTAGATAGCCCTTCAACGCTGCGTCAATAATTGTGACTTGTGCATCTACTTTAAGTACGGGTGCCGAATGCTTGGTAAAAGTTTGCGGTTGGAAGGGTGGGCTTTCGTTGTATAGGCCGTGGAACGTGTTTGTCGCCTGGCCAAGTATGTGCTCCATGGCCTCGACGGGTGTTCGCCGTACGAGAACATCAATGACATCGGCACAGAACCTTCGGTAGTTGCCGAGGAAAGCATGTCGCTCGGGTACAGTGTCGATATCTTCGTTTAGGAAAAGAATTGTAACGTCTTCGGAATCTTCCGGGAACACTTCGTAGCGTATTAATCGTGCGCAGCAGATCTCTAACAGCCCGCCCACCATGTTCGTTACTACGGGTGAGTCGCGGACAATTTTCGAGCGCAGTAATTTGGTCCAGCAATGAAGCACGGGGATCGACACGACTAAGCTAGGATTGCGTGCCACGTCGTATAGAAACTGGAAGATGCCCGGAAGGTCGCTGCCCTCGGGAACCTGCTGGGGCTTTTGTTCGATGAACAGACCGAGGCTGTTAGCCAACTGTGCATGTTAGCATCAGACGAGGGAGAATAACTTGGGCTATTACCTCAGAGAGTTTCTTGCACAGATTGTACTTCTTCTCATCTAGACTATGGATGTCCATGTCGGCCAGCGTCCAGTTGTACACTTCCTGCAGAAGCGACACGCTGCCAGGAGTGAACATTGGGCACACGAGCTCTACAAACTCGTCGTCATGGAGGTGATGACGGGTGTAAATTGCCTGCAGAACATCGACTGAAGCCTAGAGTGCTGGTTAGCAATGGAAATAAAACAAATGTGTGGTGGTCCGTACCACTTGAAGCTCGGTCACGGGCACCGCGAGAGCCTTGCACACATGCTCAATGACCTGGACTGCGGCAATCGCCTTCGGAATGACCCATGGCATGCATGCTCGGAGAGCGTTCATAGTCTTCACAGCACATAATTTGACCGCCTCCTGGTGCTGGTAGTCCTGGGACAAACACCACGACAGATTGTCGCACAGCCTCTGGAGCCAGCCCTCGTCCCCACAGCGCACGTTCAAGCTCTTGTCGCGCCCCGGCAGGTGCTCGGTGAGCACAGCTTGGGGTGTGAAAATCTCGACGCATGCACGCCCCAGGTCGCTGCCTCGCAGACCGGCCGTGGGGTCTTCACGGTTGAAAATCTCCTCGGACAGCGTCTCGAGCACGTACAGCACCACGGCCTGGTGGTGCAGCGACGACTGCCACAGCTCGACGAGCTGCTGGTCCATGTCCATCCACTCGGCGCCCCACGAGCGCTTCGCGATCTCAGTCCACAGCTGGGCCACCTTGTTGCGCAGATAGACGGGGTCTTCTGCGGCGATGCTCTGGGCTAGCTCGACGACGTAGCTGCGCAGCACGTTGCCCTGGTCCTCGGTGAAGTCCTCCCAGTTGTACCTGATGGAGAACTCCAGCATGGTGAGGCCATAGTGGCGGAGCTGCGCCGGCTGCGACCTGTCGAGAGCGAGTGTGTGGCCGTGTGAAGGTGCTTCGGGGTGGCGCTTGGCCTGCTCGAGGTACTCGGTAGCCTGGCGGCGAGTTTCGTTGTTCGACTTGGGCTCGTAGATTGCCTGCAGCGCGGCCAGCACCTGCGAGAGGTCGGTCGTGTGGCCATTGGCGCCGCCCACGAGGCCGTCTTGCGGGGTTGTAGACGCCCCATCCATCGTCGCAAGGCTCTTTTGGGCGCTCGAGGCCCTGAGCGAAGCGTCTAGGAGCGGCAACCGGCGATGAAGATCTGGCGTGCGAGGGTGCTAAACTGTTGGGGGCGGTTTGGCGGGCGCGGGATATTCTTGGGGCGGCAGAAGGTTAGGGCAGGCGTGCGCTGGCGGAGAAAGCGGTGGTGCGCTGTGGGCTCAGGAAGTCGGTGTAGAGTGCGCGTGCTCTACTCATCGCCGACCAACGAGCGAATAGACGAGCCGTCGACTCGGACACAAACAATGTCCCAGAGAGTGACTTGTCGCTTCGCAGTCACGTCTCGCAGTGTCACAAAACGCGTTCAAGGCAGCCGCAGCCGCCTATTGGGCCGCCGAAACGCGCTGTCAGGTGGTCGCTTCTACCTCTGGAGAAATCGACAAGAGTACCCAGTTGCCTTCTATCTCCAATCCTGTATCTAAACACGTCCCGGCTATTGTATATGCTATGCTCCCACCCAACGCCTGGAAAAGAACCGTTCGTGAAACGCTTACAACATGTGAGAACCAGGCGAGTATTACATCACCGTGCATGAGCGCCAGTAGCCAAAATAACTCCCACCCGACTCGATGCGCCAAACGCTCTCCGTCCAAAGACTACATAACAACACAAGCCTGCTTCTGACACTGCTTGAGGTAGCCCTCGTCTTCTTCCGTCGAGAGTGGACCTCCCTGTTTGCGCACCACGCCTTTGACGCTCATTGTCTGGTCGCCCTCCGCGTGCCACCACTTGAGTATCTGCTGCACTGCACCGTTGTGTTCTTCAGTGGCGATGCTCCACTTGCCCCCGCTTATCTCGACAGTCTGGCTGGGGTAGTGGAATTCAGGGAGGTACACAACGGTTGGCGCATCATCTGGCGTGGAGCTCGGTGCTGACAGCGACAACTTGAATGTTGCGTTCTTCAGATCGAAGCCATATGCTGTAACATCACCGTGCGTGGCGATTGGTGTTGGGCGAATGAAAGCCTCGGCCGCCCGAAGGCCCCTCACGTCGCCATTGTCGGATTTTGAGCTCATGCGGTCCACAGTCAGCGATTTCCTGAGATTAGCAGGATCCACGCTTAGCGTCTCCGCCGATTGCGCTCTTGAGTACGAGGGTGAGTTGACATCGAGAGATGCGCGAGACTGCGCTTCTGGGAATGAGCCTGCGTTTGGCACGGGTTTGTCGTCCACCGAGTAGATGGACAAATCCTCACCATTCCACTGATCGCCCCAAAAGTGATTGTTCTACGAACGTGTCAGCAGACGCAATGGACCATGATGGCGGCAGACCTACATTGACAGTATAAGTCCACAACGCAAAGCCATTGGCGAGACTTTGTTCCAGCGCAAAATGGTTGGCATCCAGGGCTGCGATCTGGCTGCTATAGTTGCCTGTTTTATATGCGAATTTGTCGTCCATGTCGTAGGGTATGCCAATTTCGGAAAATAAGCAAGGATGGATGCCCATCTTGTCAGCTCCCTCCTCTCGTATTGCAGCCAATTGATGTGCAAAGCAGTTTCGGATTGCATTCTCTCCAATCTTTATTGCAAAGGCCGGAGTGAGATATTTTCCTCTTAGCACCCCAAAAACATCAACATTCCAGACACGGTTCCTGAAATGTGTCAGCAAAAGAACGCCGCGGCCAGGCTCGCACTTACCATTTCTTAGTCAACAGCGTGATGCCGTCGTAGAAATGCGGACAGAAAACTATGTTGGGATCGTCGTCGCTGGTGCCCTTGATCGCGGGCGGGATCTCTAGGACAGGGGCTTGTAGGAACATTAAAGAATCCGGAAATATAGCCTTGACCATCTTGCTGTACCGCCGCCAGTGGTCCAAGAACCAATGATTGCTAAAGTACTCGTAGTCTATGGTGGCGCCATTTCGAGGATCCTTGGCAAAGTAGTCCTTTTTTAGAAGTGTGTTGGTAGCCGGGTCCCAGATGTCATGTTGTGCCCACAGGCATTCGCCCAAACGCCACCCGGGGTCGCGTTTCCAGCCGTATTTCGTATCGTCGTAACTCGAAGAAAGCCATGCTGACTTTCCTTGCGGGTCGACCAATGTGCTGCCAGACTTGTAGGGGCCCAAGCCGCCAAAGTCCCAGGTGTCTATCTCGCAAGCATTGCCCGATCCGGTAAGTATGGCTTGCCACGCAGTGGGCGAGGTCCCCTTCTGCAGCTTCTGTTCACTCGGGATGGCGGAGAGGTCCTGGTAGCCGATGATGCCGCGATTGGGCTCATTCATGCTCTCGAAGCCCACGATTGGGTCGTGCCAGAGATCGCCGGCCTCGTTGATGCGCTTGGCAAAGTGCTCGACAGCGCCAATGTAGTGATCCTGCAGGTATTCCTGAATGTTCTTGCCGTCGATAATGGCCTTGGGGGCGAACTCGTTGCCGGCGAAAAAGAGGGTGAAGGTGACCTGGCACGCGAGCCTTGTATAGTTGGTTGCCCATATCATCTTGGGGTAATTCTCCGGCTCCGGGTATACGTTCTGAACGAGGGCAGCTTCGGTGACGTCGAAGAAGGTCGGGTCCAGTCCGCAGGCGTAGAGAGTCCACATGGGCGCGCCTGAGCCTCCAGAGAACCGTGACCACTGGAAGGGGTGTCAGTCAGCGCATCAAGGCGACTTGGCGGTACGTACAACGTCCTGATGGGGGTCCATGAAGATGTAGAAGCCATAGGCCTTTGCCTTGCGCAAGATGGCGATTGTATGCTGTATCCACTCTTCATCGTACTTGCCGGGTCCTGCATGCTCTATGGCTTCCCAGGTAAAGATGTACCGTATCGTGTTGTAGCCCCAGCTACGTAATCGTGCAAAGTGGGTTGCAGCGTCTTCGACAGCGAAGGGTCTGTCAACGAAGGAGACATTGTCGCCGTCGAAGAACTTGTCGGCCACGTGTGAAGGCTGGTCGGGCGTGGCGGGGAACTTTGCGTCGGCAGCGCAGTTGATGCCATGGAGCGTCACCTCGCGGTTGGCGCTGTCTCGGAACGTGCGCCCGTCGATGCGCAGACGAAGGGGAGCCATGACAGCGAGAGAGGGCCAGGCTGTTCGGGCTGCAGCATGGACGACAGCGCGCTCAACAAGCACAAGGAAGCAGCGAAAGAATAGGGACGCCGGGAAGCTGGATGCAAGGCATCACAAGGCTTGGACGCTTGGGACCTGGCGACTGACGACGACGCGGGCGGCGTGGTTCTGCCGCAATGACACGGGGGCAGGGGTCGCACGGGCGCCCCAATACGAGCCGCGGGCCAGGCGCGACCGGGGCGTTCAAAGAGGACAACTTTCAACAAACCACCGCTCTGCTCCACGTTGCTCCTTCACTGTACGGATATAAGCCCGCCACCCGCGCCCTCGATGCCCTAGGACGCTCTTGCCTTTGCCCTTCTCGACTGACGCACCCACCGGCGCCACTCATCCAGAACCAAAGCTGTCGAGTCCGCCGACTCGGCGCCACGCTCTTCGGCCATGATCCTCCGGTTGTCCACACTGGCCCTCGGCCTGGTTGCGAATGCCTCGCTGTCCCATGCCCTCTCCGCCGCCGACATCCCTGCGGATACGCCCGTGTCGCAATTGATCAAAGATGCCGGCATGAAGCTCGCAACCGGGAACGCGCAGGAAGCCCTCACCTACTTCGACGTCGCCATCCAGCGCGACCCCAAGAACTACCTCACCTTCTTCCGCCGCGGCGCTGCGTACCTCTCGCTCGGCAAGACGGCCCAGGCGCAGAATGACTTCGACAAGGTCCTCGAGCTGAAGCCCGGATTCGAGGGCGCATTGGTGCAGCGCGCAAAGATCCGGGCGCGCAAGGCCGACTGGGCTGCCGCGCGCAAGGACTACGAGGCTGCGGGGAAGGCGGACGACGTCTTGCAATTGGACGAGGCACAGGGTGCTGCCATGCTAGCCAAAGAGGCGGCAGACAAGGGAGACTGGGAGACATGTGTCAGCCAGGCAGGCACCGCCATCCTGGTCGCGGGAGCTGCCTACGACATCCGAAGGACGAGGGCGCACTGTCGCTTTGAGAAAGGCGAAGTCGTCGAGGGCATCAGCGACTTGCAGCACCTCCTGCAAATCAACACGGGCGACATTGAGCCGCACCTCCAGAGCTCCGCCATGGCATTCTACTCGCTCGGCGAGGTAGAAAAGGGCCTCAAGCACATTGCGCAGTGTCTCCAGTCCGACCCAGATTCGAAGGCATGCATGAAGCTGAGGAGAAGAGAGAAGAATCTCGAGAAAGAGCTGAAGAAGGTCCGGAAAGCATTCGAAAAACAGCAGTGGGCGACCGGAGTAAAATACCTCGTTGAGCGCGGCGAGGAGGATCCTGGTCTTCTCAAGGAGGTCAAAGAAGACTTCGAGGGCTACGTCAAGGATGGTTACATCTTCAAGAACTCCCCACAAGGCCTCTACAACGAGCTAGTGGAGATGACGTGCGAGGCATACACAGAGGTAAGCTTCTTGAATCACCCACTCGACGTAACACAAGCTAACCCGCAACAGATGAACAACTTCAAGAAGGGCGCACAGTACTGCGACGAAGCCCTCAAGCTAAACCCCAACTCCCTCCCCGGCCTCCTCCACCAAGCCCAAAAACAACTCGACGCCGACGACTTCGAAGACGCCATCCGCACCCTCGAAACCGCCAAAGAAGCGCACGGCCAAACCGAGAAAATCCAATCCCTCCTCCGCAAAGCACATACCCTCCTCAAGCGCTCCAAGCAAAAAGACTACTACAAAGTCCTCGGCGTCACCCGCGACGCCGACGAGCGCGACATCAAGAAGGCCTACCGCAAGCTGTCCAAGGTGTACCACCCGGACAAGGCGTCCGCGCAGGGCATTACGCCCGAAGAAGCGCAGAAGAAGATGGCGGCTATCAACGAGGCGTACGAGGTTTTGTCGGACCCGGAGCTCAAGCAGCGCTTTGATAATGGCGATGACCCGAATAACCCTGAGCAGCAGCAGGGCGGGCACCCGTTCCATGGTAGTCCGTTTGGCGGCGGGCAACAGTTCTTTTTCCAGCAAGGCGGCGGGTTCCCTGGTGGTGGGGGTGGGTTCAAATTCCAGGGTGGGCCGTTTGGGTTCTAGCGGGGCGTGTATAACGATGTGAATGTATTGATTAGTGGGAATTGGAGTTTGGGTGGGACGGCATTTCTAGGGCGTTGTTTTCGATACTGGCCTAGGGGTTTGAGTCAAAGGCTCCACCTAGACTGGGGATTTTACAGTTCAATCGAACCATACCTCATCCCTGGTACTCAGCTCTCTTGCCCTTGCTCCGGATCTGGGCGGCGATGCCGTTTCCTGTTCAATAGTTTCATGCGCTGATGCTGGAATGGTGCTCCCTTTAGACCATTTTCTCCGCTTCTCTTTGGCATAGGTGCTTCGTCTTCCTTCCTCTTTTCCTCTTTCGCAGCTTTCCAGAACGAAAACATCATGATTTCGCTGTAGTACCTAGGATACATATGCAATAGTTCCTTCAAGTATGTTCGAAAGTTACGCCCTCGCGACATGTCCCGGAGCTCCTCGATTGTATACGCTCTCAAATAAGAATTTGTCCAATCAGGACCCCAATGTACATGAGCCAAACTCGGTACGGTCGCTACGGACGAGACAAAAGCGGAAAGAAAGAGAGAAGGCGGAAGGTTAGTAGCCTTGCGCAGTTTTGCGCGTTGAACGAGCCTAGAGATGGTAGGTGCGACCACCGTGTGGAAGAAGGTGTATCTAAGAAGTCGCGGCGGTAGCTGCAAGAGAAACGGCAGAAGCGTCCTGAACGTCTTGGCGTTGAGCAGCGCGAACAGAGTGATGCCAAAAGCTCCTATTGCGAGTGTAATCAAGTCCATAAGCACGGAGTGCTCCGGAGCGCCGCTCATGCTGAACAACCCCGTCGCAAATCCAAGCGGAAGGAACACAATCGTCACGTATGTAAACAGGTTGATGTTCTGAGAGCCGCGGAAGCTAATGTCGTCTCGAATCGACGCCAGCTGAGTCGGCAGAGACTCTCGGAAGGCTTCGATCTGGTTTTTCAAACGCTCAACCTCACGAGCCTGCCGCTGCGTGAAGACGTCAAGCTTCAAGATTGTTGTCCGATGTTTTTCTTCGTCGCCTTTCGTCCATCGTGGCTGCTGACTTTTACGATCATTTTCCCGTCGGCTCCACTCTCTAATCTTTTCAATGTTGTCGCTTAGATTGTCTTCAACCACCAAAAGAATCTGTCCATATCTGCTCCATTGTAGAGCAACTGAGAAGTAGTCGTCTTCATTTGCGAGCTTTTGAAGCTGGCTAGCTTCGTCGATGGCCCTCTTGAACGGATCGGAATTCGGACCTGTGTCTTCATTCGCGTCTAATCGAAGCGCGCGCCCCCTGACCACACGGAAGATCTCTGTTCTGTCTTGGAGAAGTTGTTCAAGCATCTTGCTGTATATGAGCAGCTCCAAGATCCTGCGCTGTTGCCACGGCTTCGTGACATTGCCCCTTGCTTTTCGCCTCTCTTCTGGTTCAAGTTCTTCGTGCGGTCGCAACATATCCAAGCCGTCTCTAATCCCACACCTCTTGCTTGGCAGCAAGCGCAGTGCAAGGTTGATGTGCGAATCTTTTGGTAGTCCGTTTTCCAAAAAGTGACATGTCCAGAACCTGTCAGAGAAGTCTCCAAAAAAGCGGAAGCTCATCACGGTCGACGCGAGATATTTGCCGCCCTCAAATTCGTGCAGACTTTCATCTTTCGAATCCGACATGTGGAAGAAAGACAGATGCAGCTCAGTCTCCCACTCATTCCTTGCCGCGGTCGCACTGTCGAAAAAGTACTTCTCGGACTTGATATGCCGAGCCAGGAATGATAGGATATCATCCTTCTCGGTAGCGGACGAGGCACTATGGCATTTCCCGACCACTGTTCGGTCGCTGTATGGAAGCCATACGATCCTTTTCTTCGACATCCACACACTTCGCGTACCAAGAGCTTTACACGCCTCCTCAACCGTGAGTAGTGCACCAGTTATTTCGGTTCCCAAACTCCATTTAGGCACATCGATCACCGTACCGATGAATTCTGAGTCACTTCTGATGGGGAACTCCATAACCACCTCATCAAGAGTCTTGACCGGGTCGCGACGATTTTGGTGATTGCTAAAGGCGCTTTTGTCGAGTTGGAGACGGTTCTCACAGACAGAGTCGCAATTCAGGACCGTTGAAGGCGATTGCAGCCAGTCGTCAGAGAGGACATCAAGCCCCAGTTGGTCTTTTGATGAGCCAATGTTGGTGAAGGAGACATATTTGCCGACTTGTTTTCCAATCCTCACGGAGTCTTTGTAAGTGTTGAGTTGTGCAGCTGCGTCCGGGGAAGCACTTTGACTCTGCTTGAACGTTGTGGTGAAATCATTTGCAGCGCCATGTATCCAAAGCATATGCGGTATCTCGAACGTCGAGAACCAATAGCTGTCACGATTTGTCTCCGATTCATAAACCACGGGCTCCATCTTCTGCCCAAACAACCCGGGAAAGAGGCCGTTGTAGGCAGATCTGCCAAGCAATTTTGTGCGGATTTCCAGGGCCAATGCTTCCGCTGGTTGCTGGTTGAGTCGTACTCCCTTGAATCCAAGAACTACCACTAGCACATACCACAACGGTTCGTCCCAATCAAGAACCTGAAACTCATCATGATACGCCTGGGCTTCGAGAAGCCTGACCCATCGCTGGTCAGCAAATCTCCCAGCAACAGTAGACTCATCTTGAGTCAGACCTTTCCTCTTTCGAGTTGAAGCCAGTGAATCCCTCTTAGGATCATTGAAAAAGTCCAAGCTGTTGTTGGTGAAGAGGAACGTGTCTTTGGAATGTAACAAGAACCTGGTTTTGTGGGCCCACCTGCTTGTTGCAATCGTCCTCTGTTTCGACATTGGGTTCTCCGTAGTGAACCTCTTGAGTGTTTTTGCTCGTACCTCTTCATAAGAGTAATAAGGCCGTGACTGGTTCGATGTCGACAGATTTAGCAACCCGACAAACTTGAGCGCCATCCCAATCATTACATGGTCGGTAAGACTGTACTTCGCTCCTCCCGGAACCTCCTCATAGCTCTCGTAAATGTCGCCGTTCTTATAGAGCCGTGGAAAAGCGTATGTTCCGCGCGTATTCAAGGTGTGCAATTGGTTGGTCCAGTTGTCAACTTTGGAGTTGAACTTCCCTTCAATCGACAGAAGTACGTCAGGGTATGTTCCTTGGTTCGGAAAAGCCTCGAGGCAGTGGAGCACCTTCATAAGCTGCAACGGTGTGTCGATTAACGATGGAGGTGGCAGGTACTCAGAACCGTCGGGTTCGTCAATCCTTCGTCCAGAAGGCCAGTAATGAGGTGCAAAGATTTCGCCTTCCTCCATGGCAGCCTTTTCGCAGATCCATGTCAGATGACCCTTGAGTACCTCCCGCACTCGTTCAAACGTGGCTATGAGATGTGGTTTCCCGGTCTCTCCCTCTTTGGGTAAGTCTTTTCCACCCTTGGAGCCCTTGCTGCCATCGGACTTCTTACTTAGTAGAATATTGGCTTTCCGGTTCTTAAGACGAAGCTCTTTGGACTTTCCATCATCCGGATCTAAATATTTAAGCATTGAACTGAGAAATTGAATGGCAGACCTTTGTACTCGTTAGGATATTCATTTTGACAGCGTAATGCATAGCTCACAAGCTAGCCCGCGGTCCGACACGGTGACCGGAGATATCTCCACAAGTTATCGCAACAGCGCCACCGAAAGTTGGTAAACTGCATACAGAAAGTGTGTGTTCGAGGTTTCGACGAAGAGCGAAGTCTAAGAACGGGTCTGGCGAGAAGAATATTTTGTGGTAAAGAGAATCCCGAACGAACTCTTTTCCAAAGTAATCAAGTGCGTCCTTGGCCTCAGAGTTACATCCATGTGACACTGTGTCTTGCTTGGTTGCTGAATTTTCCACGTTTGCCAGTGAGGGAAGGCCTCGCAAGTCTGCAGCGCCACCAGCTTGCGTAGATATCAGGAAGCTCATATCTGCTTCCTGCAATAGACTAAGCTTGTATGCTACAGTGATCTCGCAGTGGCTCGGCGCGTCCTCTCTTTTGAAAGTTACGCAATGTTCAGTATCGATCGTGGCTGGTTCACCATTGATGAAAGGTGATATGACGAGTGCAACGGCGACCGGTAGGTATTTTCCATCGCTTGGCAGTGGACTTGGATTCCCTTGTTCCAAGACATACTTAGGAATGGTACGTGTGATCACAAGGTGTTTGTTCGAAAGGACAAAAGTTTTCAGCGTTTCCGATGATTCGCCGGTTGTGTCGAAATCTTGGTTGCTGACAAAATCTAGACTTCTGATGCTAAGCATAGTGTCTAGGTTTATGGCCTTGTCGAAGGCCTGATTACTGACTTCGCTGCTGGGAATGAAATAGCTCTGCACCACGGTACCCTTGTAGCAAAAGTATTGAACAGAAAGCAAGAATGCCTTGGAGAGTGTAGTGGTCGATTCACCCTCCGCTGTTTCTTGGTCTTCATTAGCCTCAGTTCCTAAGTTGTTAGGGCCCCCGCCTTGTTCTGTTCTGTCTGCTTCTTGTGCTTCCTGCCTTGGTGCATCTTCAGAGAAGGCTGGTCCTTCATCTTGCGGCCTTTGTTTGAAGACATAACGTGGCCATCGATCAAACATAAATCCTAGCGATGGGCGTTCGTCAATAGTGGTCCAGTCTAGCAGATCGAGCCGGAGTCCTTTCTCAGGATCGGTCGCTGAACTCATTATATCCTCCATTCGGCTTTGGACATACCACGGCTTGGAGTATTGCAAATCGACGCAAAACATTCCAGAGGAGCCGTATCCAAGGTAACGAGATATTTGCAGAATATGTCCGTATGCGCTGAGACTGACGGTAGTACCATCATCGCCAAATGATGCATATGCCTGAGATCTTGCATCGAGATCCTTCTTCTCCGCAGGTGACCTGATGAATACGTCCTCTCCTAAGCTTCTCTCGTACCAGAGGAAGCCTTGTCCGGGTTGCATTACGAGGTTGCAGGCAACACACGAAGTCAGTTGTGATGGCAATTTGGGTATGGCTTGAAGAGCGAGAGAAGACAATGATATTGTTTATTAACCACGTAGTAGATTGATTTACATAGCCATTGATGATATTTCAGCAATCCAGCACAAGAAGTGGGAAGAAGATGTGGAGTAGGGCTGATCTTGCTGCTTCAAGTGAATACAAGCGAAGGCATTCGGAAAGTGGTCTGACAACACTTATTACCGCACGTTTAGGGCACGATTACCATAAATAGGTGGCGAATCAGTCTCTTTAGAAGGTACAGCCCGCGATCAAGACGCCAGGCAGCCATGACAGGCAGACAATGCGGTTTTATCCGGCGAGGCTGAACGACAGACGCGATGTGCCCGAACCCTTCAACATGTAGATTTATTGTAGCTACAGGTATACTGGAAGGTTAGTAATAATGCGCAGAGTGCAGTTCGGCCTCCGCCATAGCTATTCCAAGACATTCAGTATGACTACCGATGGAACTTGAAATCGGTGAGAATTGAAGCTTTGGGCACGACGGCGATCAACGCTCGTATTGATGTGCAGACCCGAGGCTGACAAATACACCAGCCCGGCCTGTGCTTCAGCTGAACTGGTTTACGTGTATGGGCACAGGTGGCTCTGGAGGAACCCGAGGAGCGGTCCCGTCACGCACAAAGATTATGCATGGTCCATAGATTTCCCGAGGAAGTCTCGACCTATGTCGACGTATGCTTCGAAATTGAAGAAAAAAGGGCAGAAGATTGCCCTACACCAACGACTGTGATTCTGCATGCACGTGAACAAACTTCGCTTCAAATGCCCAGATCAGGTGCAGGCCAGCGTGTCCTCCGACTGAATTATAACAGTACGACACGTACCTTACCTCTTCCAATCAGGCACCCATTTTAAGCTGATAGCTTTGTGTCAACGTCGAATGGACGGATGGTTGAAGCTGCTTGCAAGCACAAGATGACGTTTACATGTTCAGTCGTCGAAGATTCTAGCAATATGGAAATTTCAAATCTTCGAGCTGACTTAACACAGTGTGGGCGAGCGCGAGGATTCGAACGTGTTTAGATTGTATGTCTAGTGTGTACGCAGAACAAGCTCATAACAGGAGAGTCAATGAAGGACCGGCGCTCCAGTATTAAACAAGTCGAAGAATTTCACAAAGTAACAGCATGTTCCGAAGTCTCCACAGATCTGAAAGACTGTGGCTGACGGTACGTACCGAGCTGAACATGTCATGTGGCCATGCATTGCATCGAAGAAGTCGAGCAACGTTGTTTACGACTGCCTTTTTCCGGTATCCGATCTATACCTAGGTATCTATGCCTCGTGCACTGGAAGCTCGCCATCCCAGACACTCGTGCACGTAGCTTCACGCACTCCACATACATTGATTGGCATTACTCAGTATACGGCATCAAACGTAGTCACGCGGTAACGGGTAGAATGATGGAGGCCCTGTGTGCGCAATATGTTGGGCCGCGAGTACATATCTGCTGTGTATAGCGAATCTGCCGCAGAATTAGTAACTGCGAATTCTTCTGGCTTGGAGCTAAAGTAGTAATGCTTAGTGCGCCAGCGTTCCTAGTATCGCAGAGCGAAAAGAGACCCTTGCCACCTTTATACCCGTTCACTTTGACATTGCACTGATTCGATGACCTCTGCGTGCGAAATGCGTAGTTGAGAATGTGGAATCGGGAGGGCGGGATCGGCGGTATTAGAATATGGGGGTATGGTCAAGACGGGGTAAAACAAAAATATAGAGATGTGGACTAGTAATAGATGTAGTAGGAAGCAGGTTCGATAGTGCAAGGTGGAATGTTGGGTACAATGGGATTACAGCAGAATTAGGTGGAGGCTGGGAAACAGCATTTGGCATCAATTCGGCAGTTTATCAACTCAATTTCCTGAAAGTAGATGAAACGATTGAGCGTTGATATTTGCACGGGTGTTTATTGTCCTGCCGTTAGAGAACTGTTTGTGGGGAAAGGACGGAGCTGGGTGGGGAAAGTGAAATCAAGATGGCTGAGGTAGATAGGCAAAACTCAATGACTACGCTATATTACACATATTATCCAACAGAAAGATGAACGCGACACTCACCGGCATTACGGCCTCCGGACAACAAGGCGGGCTGACGTCAATACAAGTCCACGCGTTGTACCCACAGCACCAAGAGGCTACCTTTGCGGCATGGGGAAATAGTCATACGCACCCGAGTGTATCCACACGCACATTATTACTGCGGAGCACCGTACCAAGGCGCTACTCGGGTGGAGAGTCAGACCATAGTGTTTTGGAAGTCCCATGTGGATAGTCGGGCCGTGGTTCTGACAGAAAACTGCAGCCCAAGCCTTTATTTTCCGACAGCCAGGGTCCTAAGAAGTAGCTCAATCAGGAAGGGTGTAGGTTGCTTGATCGCCAAAAGGGGATTGTTCCGGGGAGAAGCCGAGGCCCCCGGGGAAGGTCTCGCGATGACTTTGCTAGGGATGGTCCAGCGTTACTGGTGTATGATCCTGAGAGCAAACAGGCCATCACGAATCTCCAGAAACATGAGCAATTGTTGTACGACAGTGAATTTTACTGCACTTGGCTGACGCTGCAGCCGCACAGAATGAGTTTCAGGAAGGAGGAAAGAATGTGAAAGCGCGTGCGGATGGGAGCCGGGCACTTGGCGCTGCGTGCTGAGAGAGATCTGCATGTTTGGGTTCAGCATGGCCGGATGCGTAGATTGCCGAGAATGGGCGCGTGGTAGACGAGATGAGTAGAGCCAGTGCTTCTTGTAAAGTTGGCCGTGTCGTGCGGCTGATTATGAATCCTCAGACCAAGTTGGTGTGGTAGATGCTGCCCAGGTACCAACGCGCTATCTGTTGTAATACGAGGAGCACGGTCTAGAGATGTCGCCCCCGAAATCGGCTACAATAGCCAGCGGAGACCGACAGTGGATCGTGGGGTAATTCGTACCCTACCCGTGCCTAATGTTGGCCTCGAAACGATGTCGTGGAGGCGGCGGAGGGATTGAGAAGCTCGGATCCCTCGATCGATCTCTTTGCCCCTGGCGCAGATCCACTCAAGCGCCTTGGCAAGCCTCAACACCAAAGACCTCACCGGCGATCATCCCTCCCCAGCCTCCAGCGTATCCACCCCCACTGCCGCGCATTCCTCTGAAGGCTAGATGTTCTCACCCTTATCACGCCGCGTCATTGTCACACGCACAAGTCGGCCATCGGAACGACCCGGACGGGTACGCGACGACCAGGCTTGGGATGTTACAGCGTGTACGCATCTACGCTGACGGACGCCATGGCAATGATGTTATCTGGGCATGTTGCTTCGTTACCTTGACACAGCCTCACCCGCTGATGCAGCGGCTCCACTACGAAGATAGGGATAATCAGTTCCAAGAGGTGGCGGCTGCTTGGCACAATCTGCTTGTATCCCACGCCCAGACTGCATGTTTCTGTTTCTTCCGATAAGACGATCAAACAAATAGGAGAAGTTGGCAAAACGGAGGCCTTGTACGACAGTGACCTGTATCTTAGTGACATCCGGCCGCGGCGATCGGTGTTTGGCGGAGCCCAAACATTTGCCCAAGACTGACTGCTGGCATCTCCCTGCGAATCATAGTTCACGACGATCGAGCGTCACAACTGCCAAGTCGGTCTGTGTTGTCTCACTCAGCCTCCATGGATGATCTTCGTGCTTTAACTCATTTCATCCGCTGAGGCTCCGCCTGTCTTGGGTGCATGTACACAATGCCGACATGTGTAATTCTCGATGCCTTGAAACTTGCTCATCGCAACAAATTGGTACTCTCATTTGCTTTCATCTAAGTTCGAGGGCAGATCGTTGGCGTTCGATGTCACCAGGGCTCTCAACGGTTGTACGGGCCGCAGTCAGTGCATTCTGGCCTTGACCAGAAGTCGTGTACCACAGGGTCCCGCTGGCGTCGCCAAGCGTCCGCGGGCTTGCGTCCCGCTCCGCTTTCCTCCCTAGACGCATTACGCCTTCAGTCAAGACGAAGCATCGATATCTTTCATCAGCGTGTATGACTCGGGGCATCCTTCCCTGACGGCCGATCGCAGATACGGATTGCGTGGCGTTATCGCCCTCAAATAGCATCAGTTTGTCGTTGATGCTGACACTCACTCGACCCGTAGTTGTTTATGTGGGTATCAAGACCTTAGCGCCACCACGCATGCTCATTGAGCATGATAAAGACACCTTTGCTTCTCCAGCAAACCACCGTCGACCGCAGCACTGCCTCGCGCACAGTGCTTCAATGGACAGCATATGACGCCAGGCGGCAAATCGTGGACGGCAGCCCAATTCAACAGCGCTTCCGCTTCGGGCGACTACCGCATACCGCCTACCCGTGAAAGCCAACGTCCTTGGCAAAGCATAGCGGGTGTCCGAACGCATCGAAAAGTCTCCTTGAGACCGGCGGAGTCTAGAATTCCGCATCAGTAGTGGAGCTCGCAAGTCTTGGCCACCTCTTGGAATTGTTTCCTTGCGTTGCTTGTGCTGCCAGCCTATCTAATAGGCGCTTTACCATGGGCTGTAGGTAGCACATTTGTGCAAATGATACTGACCGTGCACATGTTGTTTCACAGGGGCGGCGTTACGCGTGCGTGTGGGTGGGACCCACCTGGGCAGCCCATCAATCCCAAGGATTCCCCAGGTCGGTACTGTAATGGGGAAGATTGAGTGTAGTATTTAGGTTCCGAGAGGCCCGTACACCCTCGGCGAGTAGACTCCATCTTTCACACGCGCGTGCACTGTGCAGACTTGTACGGGTCATCCAGCTTTGATACACTGATTAGTTTGCTATTTTTCCAAGCCATTCACCGCACCATCAGAGTACCGTGTGCGTAATCGATTTGTGTGTGCAACCACTGTTACCTTCAATCGAACATCACGAGTCTCTAGCGTGTCGAGCGTCTTCCTTTCATAGGCGTCTCTTACCGGTCGTCACCTCCCGTTTGCGATAGACACTTAATGCGGCAAGCATTACCAGCTACTACCATGGCACTTCGAGTGGGCGGCGAAGAGAGTCAAAAGGGCAGACCCTCGACTCAGTCTTTGTCCTCACATGAAACGGCGTCAGTCGAAAACATCTCTATGACATCGTCCATGGAGGACGCCTTCGAACCTAAGTGGCCTCGGTCCTGGCGGGCATACACCTGCTGGCTCGGGTGTTTCTTCCTCATGTTCAACTCATGGGGCCTGGTCAACGCCTACGGCACCTTCTCCTCCTACTACGTGGGCAACTCGTTGCGAGAGGTGGACCAGCTCGAGCTGAACCTCATCGGTTCCACACAGTCATTCCTAGTTCTACTCTTCTCAGCACCGGTTGGCAAGCTTCTCGATGCTGGGCACTTCCGCTACGTTGTCGCAATCGGCACGTTTCTGGTTCCCTTTGGACTATTCATGCTCTCCGTTGCCCACCCAAAAGACGGTACCCTGGCCAGTTTCGGCTCCATCTGGGCCACTCAAGGACTCGTTGTAGGCTTGGGCATGGCTTGCTTCTTCGTGTCTAGCTCTCAAAGTACGTATTTCCACTGACAAATAATGCGATCTATTACTAATATTGCTAGTCGCCTCGACTTGGTTCCGTAGAAGCAAGTCACTTGCAGTGGGTGTTGTTGCCTGCGGTGCCAGTGTAGCCGGCGTTGTCTACCCGGCAATGATCAGGTTTCTCATCGAGGAGCTGGGTTTCAACAACGCTGTGCGTGGAGTTGCTGGTCTTGCTGGTGTCACTTGCGTGTATTCGTTCATTTTTGCCACGCCCAACCCTGCCCATGTGCATCCCAAGTCTCAAAGCTACCGCAAGCTCAGTACTTGGATTGACAAGGAAGCCTTGGCGAACAAAGCCTTCTGCTGGTTCACGGCTGCTGTGGCTTTCCTGTTCCTTGGCTTCTACCCAGTTTTCTTCAATCTTGAAGAGGTATATACACCCTCCACTATATCATGAATATGGCTGATTATGAACAGTGGGCTGCGGTATCTGGATTGGGTACTCGTGGTGGTAGCCGCGCACCCATCTCTGCAACGGCTCCAACAACCGCACCCATGCAGACCTATTTCATGCTCATGATCATGAACGGGGCTTCCACCTTCGGTCGACTCGCCTTTGCCTTCTTTGGAGACTACACCGGTGCCCTCAACATGCACATCGTCACCCAGATTGTGTCCTCGCTCCTCATTTACATCTTGTGGACGCTCGCAGGCTCGACAGCCGCCGCGGTAGCTTTCTGTGTCTTCTTTGGCATGTTCTCTGGATCCGTTATCGGCCTTCCACCCGCCTCGATTGCCAATATCCTTAATTGCACATATACCGATCCTTCTAAAGAACACCTCGCGCATTCCAAGCTCGGCCAGTGGACTGGGATGATGTACAGTGTGGCCGCTATTCCAGCGCTGATCGGACCCCTCATTGCAGGCCACCTGGTCACCGAATACTCGACCTACATCACAGTCAAGATGTGGTCTGCTGTCAGCCTTACCCTCTCTGCGGTATGCATGATCGTGGCAAGATGGTACCTGCCTACTGTCGATGGCACGCATATCAGCACGCATCTGTACCGCTTCTTCGGCAAACACGACAAGGCGGATGAGGCAGAGAAGAGGAGACCTAGGCGCGCAACGGTGGACCCGACGAATGCTCTCAATCAGAGCCTGTCGCGATCGACAACGAGGGTGAACAGCAAGGTTGCATCGCGACAGATGTCCGAGGAGAAAATCGATCCTCCGCCTGAACTGGTGCTTTTAGCCCCCGAGAGGAATGTTTGAGCGTGTACGCGGAGTGTGTTTCACGGACCGGTGTCGAGTTTTCATGTATTGAAATCCACTGCACGGCCTATAGTATGAGCAAGCACGAAGCCTTCCAAAGACCATCGGGCTCCTTGCTTCACACGCTCAGAAGGTTTCTCGCCCAAGGAAAAGTGAGGCGTTTTCGGGATTTCGGCTTGCTTTCACGCCGCCCTACAGCCACGTTTGTAGGGCGATTAAGAATTTACGATAATTATGCATCATTCTTCCATTTCAGTACGATTCTAGCGAACACATAGCTTGGTACGCATGGCGCTACTCTGTAGAGGAGTCGAGCGTCGATCTACGAAATCGCAATCAATGTCACTTCTTACCATCATCTTCGGTCTCCCAAACCCACCCAACAAGCACGGGCTCTAATCCTTAATGGCACATACTTCAGAAGGAACAAACGGGTCATAATACCACACATATAGCATGTCGTCCGGATTAGACGTGTCCGCCGAGATCTCGGTACTTGGAAAAGCCAGGGCGTCACCGCGTTTTTCCATCAATGAAACTTCATACCATAGCCACCGAGGGGGGGGGGACCAAACCTGCGAACCTCCCGGTACTACCCGACCGGAGTATAGGCAATTCCGGGATATATGAAGCGGCTCAAGCGGCTTTGCCGCGTTCGGGAAGGTGTCATGAAGGACCCGCACCCAAGACACTGGGCAAAAAGTGTATAGTGGTCTGATAATACCGCAGCATGACTGCTTAAAGAGGTCGGTCACGGGTCATGGGTCATGCTTTACATGCAACATGCCACTCTGGGCATCGGGGATCTAAGATACAATATTAGGTCGTAGGTTTCACTGCCGATGCATACACTGTCTTGGTAACGTGGCCTGATAATACCGAAGGATCTGGATTCTCTGCTCGCATGACCAGGTGTACGGTGCGCTCCAGCTCATGCAGTCAGTATCATCTGGATAAATCGAACGAGTACCGTGATGGTTGCCGGCAGATCTCTGCACCGGGAGACCGAAACACATGCAAATGCATGTACTCGATCGCGGCCAATTCCTCCAGCCCTGGAGTCTTTTGTTGCACAAGGTGCTGGGCAATGCAATCACAGCCAAGTATTGCCTAGGACGTGACAAGACTTGGGCACTTCAGAGACAACTCTCTGAGAGTCCCGCCGCTAGATTGGAATGCATGCCGTAGAACCTGGGAGCCTGTACATACCTCAAGATGACGTAGACGCAGCTTAATTCGAGATCCAGCCGGTGATGGTGCTAAACAAGTCAAGTGCGCGGTAGATGCGGGGAATCTGCGCTAGGACAAAGTCAAGTCCGAACGCGCACGAAGAAGAATCCGCCCCTCTGCTCCCAAAATCCGGGGTTTACACCGATGCCAGAATGGTAAGTGATCCCCGTGCAATTACCCCAGATCTAGGCATCTCTCTTGGCGGCTATGATATGTACTGATGAGAATACTACAGGATGAGAGCAACAACTACCATCCCATAGCCTGCGAAGCCTGTCGAAATAAGAAATCAAAGGTACGAAGACGGCTGCAGAGTCTGGTTCTAGCTGAATCTTAACAGTGCGATCGTGATCTGTGTGTTCCATCGTGAGCTCTGAATCGTTAAGATCTAAACAAGAACAGGCCGGTTTGCTCGCAGTGCGCTTCGTCTGGAGCATCATGTCGATATCCGCCTACCAACAAAAGGTGAGCGGTCTTTGTGCATTCGTTACACCTCTATCTTTGTCTGTAATATTTCCATGATAACTTAATAACGAGATAATAGAGGAATTCCTTCTGGATATATCGCGCTAGTCGAACAACGGCTCCTAGAGTCTGAGATCGTCATCTTCGAACTTCTCTCCACCTTGTACAATTACAACCCCACAGTGCGGCAGCATCGGCTATCCTTTGATGAGCGGCACAGTCTGGGAGAATGGTCGAAGCAGCAATCGAAGGCTAAGAAGGTGGAAGAATGGACGAACTTCCCACTAGGTACAGACGAGCAACGACAGGCTTGGTGGCTCAAGAAACAGGACTCGATTGGCAGATGTGAAGGAAGCGATGCAGGAAATGTTGATAGTCCAGCAACAAATGCCTTTCTGGGAGTTCTTCCGGACGCATCACCAATATCCGCTGGCTTTGAAGAGACACAACAACAGCAGCAGCAGCAGCAGCAGCAGAAAAGTATGGATACTCCATTGCCGCTCGCTTCGACGGTATCGGAAACGACCACAGTCTTACAGCATCCATGGACTTCACAAATGGATAGTCAGTCAGGCTCTGATGCTGATAATTCGTTCCGAAGTTCTAGCATGTCTGGTCCGCCTATGATGGATGAGAGACCACAGTATGCTACTGTGAATAACTCTGTAAATCATGCGTCACCAGAGGCTCGACACTCAACATCGGATCGGTGGAGGAAGTACTTTTAGATAGTCGAAAATGAACAAAAATCAAAATTCCTTTCCTATGCCCCTTTGCCATTGTTCACGTGCTGCCATAAGAGTGGACGCTTAGCCCGCTTCGGTAAGACTAGAGAAAGCACGGTGGACTTCGCGCAACAGCCGAGCGTCTACCTCTCCCAATAGCACCTCTCCCATCACCAGATCCCATCTCAAAATAGATGTTCCATCTATATGTCAGAGTCAACCGCCAACAACAAGCGTCGCGTTCGGCAAAGCGAGTCTGAACATGCAGGTGGCCCAGAAGGAAGCGCTGCCGAAGCCAGGAAGAGGAGGGCTTTCCTTCAGACTATGGGCCAGCAGCTCCGTGAATTTGGCGCATCGGGCACGAGTCCCCAAGACCACGCCAGATTTGCCTTTGGTACAAGTCCCTCGGATCGACCGATGACGCGCGGGGCCCCTTCTACTACAGCACCCGTGCAGCATATCGATACACCCGCCGAAATTGATGCCGCTCCAGGTGAAGATGACCAATTACCAGCAGGGGCTGCAAAGAGCGCAGCCAAATGGCTTTGGGATGAAAATGAAGTGCATCCCACAAACAGCGGTAGGGCCGAACCGTCCTTCACATTCGATGATCTTTTAGATTGGAGCCAAAGCTACTTTGATCATTGGCATCCAGCATTTCCATTTGTACATGCGCCATCGCTGCTCGATCACTTCCGTCAGACAGTATCCCGAGGCCCAGTTTTGTCTACGTTATCGCCATCGGATGCATTCCAGAATGTTATTCTGCGATCAGTCATGTCAATATCTATTGCAGATCGACGGCAAATGAAAATTCCTGCCAGGGTATTGCCATCGACGCTTGTTTTTCACACCTTCAACGATGCTATCAACAGCACCATGGCGGTCCTGACCGAAGAGAGCTCTATCCTTTCATTGCAGGCTCTTGTTAGTGTCCAACTGTTTCTGCTCACCATGCATAGATACAACGCTGCGTCTCGCTTGGAAGGCTTAGCAGTACGCATAGCGTTCCAGCTCGATCTGCATAGATGCCCATTGCATACTCATCCCAAAGCCGACAAAGAGACCGAGCTTTGCAAACGGCTGTTCTGGTCTATCTTCTGCATTGACCGGTATATCTGCATCCGCCTAGGCAATCCATTAGGGATGCGTTCCGATGATGTCGATGTTTGTTACCCGCATACCGAACACCATGGCGATACCAGCACCAATCGCGAGGATGAAGATACAGGTAGACATTGTACAGTCCAGCTTCAAGATACCTTTCCAACTAATCATCGTTAGGTCGCGATGACAGACTAGACCTTCTCGAATTCCTTGCACAACATGCCTCGATCAGAGGCTCGATAATGGAGAACCGCAGCAAATCTGCCATCAAAGGCAACCGTGATGACGTTGACAATGCCATGCAAACAGAAGCAGAGCACGCGAAATGGTGGAACACAGTCGACGAATATCTCTCCAATGACGAGCAAGCACAGACCATCACCAAAATTCACCAAGTAACGCTTATAGTACTGCGCTTTGAATCTATCTTAGCACTTCACCGATCGTTATTGGCAGCCTCCCGTAAGGATGCAGCGTACAATTCAGCCCTACAGAGGTGTATCACGGCGTCCAGATCAATCATCAACACGTTACACAAGGCATTGAAAGGTTTCGGCGCCTTCGACGGTTCACCTGGCGTGCATGGATACGAAAGCACGCCCCTCCTCTGGCCCTCTTTCACATGGGCGGTGTGGATGAGCACTTTCGTTATCATCTCCGCTGCAACAGAAGAACAAGTTCCTCGCGGTGTGGCTGTGAGACTCGCTGAGAAAAGTATAGAGGTGCTTCGACACCTTGCGCTGCGAGGGACGAGTTGGCCAGAAGCCTGCATCGTCGCTATCGAAAATCTCTCTGCGCGCTTAAACGGTGTCTCCACACGAAGCTCGAGTATTGGGCCTCGAAACTCATCCAATGGAACTTTGCCCAATGCTGGCCCACAACGTGCGCCACACACTTTCCGAGGAGATTCAGCTGTTAGAGGCTATCCCTATCACCAACCGTTGAGCCAAGCTGCGTCCCAATATCGAGCCCCTGGCCCTACTGTGCAGCCTTTTGCATCTGCGCCATATCAGGATCCCAATACTTCAACGATGCATTTCACCGAATTTGTACCCATGAACAATAGAAGTTTTCACGCGTCCACACATGAACTAGATTTTCAGAACCATGCGAGCCTCGCGAGTGCTCATTTGGGCGGTGCCGGTAATTTTCTAGGCTTAGCACAGCAGTCTTCCGATATTCCTAGACCTGGAGACGATATCATGCAACTATTCAGTGGCGAAGACATAGCTTCATGGAATGGGGGAGGTCTTGGCTTTGGCTCATTGGGATAACGTTGAAGGCTTCAAATTGATCTAAGATCTAACTGCAGAAAGCTCGGTAAGAAATGCTTAAGGCGAAAGACATGCAACGACAACTAACTCGCAATTTTATTTAGAATTGGGGACAACAGCCTTGCTCAGTGATGCGGACTTAATCGCGCTGTGGATCTCTTGCTCGGCACCATCCGGCAACGGCAACAGTGCGCTCCTCACTGTTGCATGTTCCAAGATACCCCTAGCTACCAAAGCGTGCTTCAACGCCACGGTACCCTCCATGTGCGAGCCGCGGTGGTAGACGCTCTTTGTGACTGGAAGAAGCCTATCGTGGATGGCCCTTGCACGAGGGTAGTCCCGCGCCTTTCCGGCCTCAATCATCTCCAGAAGTGGCTCAGGCGCAATGTTTCCGTAACCGACAAGCATGCCGTCGACATCGAAGGCGGTGTGTAGGAGGTACTCGTCGTGGCAAGTTAGGATCGTAAGGTCGGGGTTCTTGGCCTTGATTACAGGGATCTCGGTGTCCCATCGCCTCATGTTCCTCACACCATTCTTCATTGCGATTACACCAGGTTGTGCGGCAATGTTCAAAAGAGTCTTCAGGGAGTATGTGGCCTTGGTGTTGTCGGGGTACTGGAATAGAATGAGGGGAAGGCCGGACTTCTCGTAGACGACCTTGTACCTGTCCTCAGGCGCACCCTCTTGGTATCCGAATCGAAGCCATCCGTGGCTGGGGTACAGAAGACCAGCTTGAGCGCCAGCGGCCTTTGCGCGCTGGGCCTCGAGCGCAGCGACTTCAGTGCCTTCGGTGGTGATTCCAGCAATGATGGGAATCTTGTTGTCGACAGACTTGACGAAAGCCTTGATGACATCGACTTGCTCTTCCTGAGTGAGGAAAGTACCCTCACCAGCATGTCCGAGAACTACCAAGCCCTTAACACCGGGGATGCTGCCGAGCCATGAGCCTAGACGTTGGATAGCGGCATAGTCAATCGATCCGTCTCGGTTGAAAGGTGTGACGGGAGCTGGGACAAGACCGGCAAGGTCGATCTTGGGAGCCTGCTGAACTTCTGGAACGGAACCCATTGCAAAGATGCTTGTTCTCGTTTAAAGTAGAGAGTTTTGAAATGAGTGAAGGGTTTAGTGATGATGAAGCTGATGTTGATGCTGATGATGCTGGAGAAGGTAGGCTTTAGCTTCATATTATATCCTTCATGCCACTCTCTACCATCTACACACTGAACACTAGACGTTTGAGCACCCCACACTAGACTCCGCTTCCATGTCCCGAATGCGTGTGACTGAGGGGAAGCACCCTGGCGGACAAACTCAAGTCCGCAAGCGGACCCACCTACGTAACGTTGATGCGCTCCGTCATTGGCCGGAGGAACTCAAGTCCAACCACTATCTCTACTTTTCAGCGCCGTCCATATCGGACTGACCTTTGTCCGCTTTAGCGTTTGATGGAAATGGGCCGCGGCCAAACTCAACCAAATTCTCCAGTCCGGTGATATTCTCATCCTCGTGTATCGAGTCATTCTTACGCCTTTTACCAATTGAAACCACTCAGCCACATGGTTCTCGTCGCTCGTACTCCGCACTCGGCCGCCCGCACGTTGTGTGCCTTGGCCACATGAAATCTGGAGAAAGTCCGGGGAACCCCCAGGCCATGTGTTTTTGCGAAACATTGTCCAGATTTGATATATAGTGGGCTTCATACCTATCAACAAAGATTGGATTATCGCTTGCTAAGCCTTGTCACATCTTCTCTTCTCTTCATCATGGCTGTTACCTCGTACCCCTCCGACCTTGAGAAAAACTCGTCAGTGCAGATGGACGATGTCGTGCTTAACGAGAAAGATCTCAAATCGTCTGCTGCAGTTGAGGGCGGTGACTACAGTGGTGCAGTCGCCAAAACTGATCCTGCGGAGATTGCACTGGTGCGCAAGTTGGACTTCCGCATCATGCCGGCTCTGTTCTGCTTGTACTTCCTGTAGGTACTCACCGCGTTTGTTTTGTTTTACTTCACAAAGCTTGCGCATTCAAGTTTTCCTAACATCACTCAGGAACAAGCTTGATCAGAATGCTATCGCGAATGCTAGATTGAATGGATTGGAGAAGGATCTAGGACTGAAGAAAACACAGTACAACACATGCATGTAAGCAATTGCATCTTGGCTCTCATAATAACACCGCTGAATTTTATTCAAACAGCTCCATTCTCTACGTCGGATATTTGTTCGCCCAGATACCCTCGAACATGTTGATGTCCTCCAAAAAGGTCCGCCCATCGCTTTACATGGCCCTCTGCGCTGGAATCTGGGGAGCCGTTGCTTGCTTAACAGCAGTGGTGAAGAACTACACCGGACTCGTCCTCGTTCGATTTTTCCTAGGGTTCGTAGAAGCGCCCTTCTACCCTGGCGCATTGTACATCTTGTCCTTGTTCTACACGCGCAAAGAGATCGCTACACGGGTGTCGATTCTCTATGCCGGAAATATTTTTGCAGTCTCTTTCGCAGGACTTATCGCAGCCGCTGTCTTTGCTACCCTGGATGACAAGCATGGAATGCACGGATGGCAATGGTATGTGAGACCTTGAGGAAGTCAACGAGATCAACCTACTGACTTTTCTTTAGGCTCTTCATCATTGAAGGTCTCGTCACGATTGGTGTGGCTATTATCTGCGTCTTCCTTCTCCCGGATGAGCCTCTTACCACCCGCTGGCTCACACCTGAGGAGCGACAGCTTGCCCATGACCGTATGCACAGGGACACGGTCGGCGCAGAGCAGGGTAAGGGAGCGCGCGCTGGCTTCATGCAGGCTCTTCGCGACCCAAGGCTCTATTTGTTCGTTTTCATGCAGAACATGCACCTGAGCGCAACATCCTTCAACCAGGTAGGTTTGTTCTGAATGTTTCGAAGTCTGTCCCGGATCTAACTTTACTATGCAGTTCTTCCCTACAGTTGTGTCATCGCTTGGCTTCACCACGACAATCACGCTTGTACTCACCGCGCCTCCTTCCCTAGTTGCAGGTGTCGTTGGTATTGCAGTGGGCATTTCATCTGGAAAGTTCAACGAGCGCACGTGGCATATCTCCGCGATGATGGGACTCGCGACCGTAGGTTTCGTCATCAGTGCCGTCACACTCAATGTCGCCGCACGCTACATTTCGTGCTTCCTCTTCGCTTCTGGTTTGTTCATTCTGCCTTCCCTACAGCTTCCTTTTCGACTAACAAGATCCTCAGGTGTATACTCTGTCAACTCCGTCATCCTGGGCTGGGTCTCCGGCACGCTCGGTCAAACGCCCGAGAAAAAGGCCGTCTCGCTTTCCATGGTCAACATGGTCTCCATGGCTAGTTTCATCTACACGCCATACCTGTACCCGAAGAGCGACGGGCCCAAGTACGTGATAGCGATGAGCGCCAATGCTTCGTTTGCCTTTGCTACAGTGGCCGCGGCGTGGGCTATGAGAGTCTGGCTGCAGACACAGAACAGGAGGCTGAAGCGCGAGGGCGGAAATGTGTACTATGCCTACTAAAGGCGTGCGCTACCTACTCGCTCGTATGGAAGTAGTTCATTACTGGGAAATGATACCAAGGTTCAAATACAGCATGTTCTGTGCTCGCAAAGATTCAAGGATTTATTTGTGTGCTTGTGATATTCGTCTGCAGGCTAGAGTTCGCTTGTTGCTTGACATATGCTCAGATCGACATACTTGGACGCTGACGTCAGCTTAGCGATGGTGAATTGCCCCACCTGCCGTATCATCAAGCTGCGCGTGTCTTCATTGGTGCGATTGCACAATGTAAGCAAGCATCACCGCCTACGTCGCCTTCCCTTCTTACCTGAACGAGACTCATGTCAATTGAGATCTATCAGCAACTGAACCTCGCAACTCTGCACTGCAAACACTGTCCCTACCACCCCTTCCTTGTACGGCGTTGATTGCGAATATGGCACAATCGAACGGCACCTCCACCATATCCATCGTCGACTTCAGTGCCTTCCCAACTGGAGGAAAGGTAGAACAAGAGCAAGTCGCCCGGCAAATTGACGATGCATTTCGGGAAGTGGGCTTCGTGTATCTCAAGAACCACGGGATTCCCAAAGCGAAAGTAGAAGAGTGTTTCTCTTGGTCCAAGAAGTTCTTCGCCCTTCCCATGGAAACCAAGATGCTTGCACCGCACCCACCATCGGGAGCCCACCACCGCGGGTATTCCGCCCCAGGTCTCGAAAAGGTTACTCAGCACCAGTACGAGAAAGACGATATCGCGAAGTCGCGGGAAGTCTCAGATTGCAAGGAGTCCTACGAGTCCGGTAACGTGAACGACGAGGCCCAGCCCAATATCTGGCTGCCGGAGGAGAAACTCCCAGGCTTCAGGGCGTTCATGGAGTCGTACTTCGCCGAGTGCGCTGCCCTGATCCACAGAATCCTCGATGCGCTCAGCATCGCGCTCGCGGTTCCGGAGCCCGGCCTCTCACCTACGCATTCAAAGTCGCTTTTCCAGCTGCGTCTGTTGCACTACCCCGCCATCGATGCGGCAGAGCTCAAGAACAACAAGCGCAGTAGGATAAATGCGCACTCGGACTTTGGAACTATGACATTGCTGTTCCAGGATGAAGTCGGCGGCCTCGAAGTCGAAGACCCAAAACACCCGGGGAAATTCAGCTGTGCGGGTCCTATCGACGACGCGGTGCTGGTCAACATCGGAGACCTGATGATGCGCTGGTCGAATGATCGTTGGCGCTCGACGGTTCACAGGGTTGGTCTTCCGCCGCCAAAGACTGTGAGAATTCCTGGCCCGGGCGTGAATACAGAGGGTCAGCGTAATAGTAGCAAGTTGGTGGAGCTAGAGGATGCGGAGGGTGCGGTGGTCCCGGATAGGTATAGTATTCCATTCTTTGCGACGGCGGACATGGATACCGTGATTGAGGCGCTGCCGGGTACGTGGGGTGAGGATAGGCCGAAGAAGTATGAGCCTGTTACGGCGTGGGGGTATGTGCAGATGAGGATGGCGGCGACATATGAGGAGTAGGTCTCGTGGTTTAGTTGACGCGGAGGTGTCGCGATCGATGATGCGACGAGGGTACACAGAGACATTCGAGAGATGGTGTTTCCAAGCAACTAATGGATCCCTCGAAAGGGACTTCCAGACACGCAAAGCTGGGTTGATCACTACAACTTGTGGCCGGGATGAACAGAGTCTCCACATCTCTGACTCGATGTCCCGATGCACGTCGATGAGAAAGTAATAGTAGCAATATATTTTCCAACCAATTAAAAGTGGAGTAGATGATATATTCAATGCAAGAGCAGAGCGATTTACTTTCAGAGCAGAGCAACTTGAACCTAGAATAGGAAGATCGACTTACTTTCCCTGGTGCAGTTATGGTTGTCCCGTCGTAGTGGTTCGCTCTGTCAAAGTGGTAGGCGCTAACGTAGTAATAGGTTCTGTGGCAGTTACCTAAGTGGGGATAAGATCAGTCGTTGAGGTACCTGGCTCCTCCATGGCAGTAGGAGCTCCAAGCAACTGGCCCTTGTACGGAGCAACACACCCGCCATCGCTCTGACCTTGCTCCACTCTGCTGTCGCTAGAGCAGTAGCAATTGTCTTGGATCCAAACGGCAGCATATTTGATTTTGGGATCTTCAACTCGCATCTCCTCGCAATAATCATTGCAGACTGCTGCATTCAGAACGTGATCGTCTGGAAAGTACCTGCCATACCCGAATCCATGGGCAGAGATATATTCATTATAGCAGCCGAGATGTTCCTAGCCATCTAGCCGTAACAAAACTTTAGTCAGAACTCCCAAGTATCGCAACACTCGCGTCTACCGTACGCGATATGCGGCTCGACCTCCGCTGTGCTCCAATCTGTACTCTTAAATGGTGGATCGGCGGGACATCCACAAGATGCCAATGTGGTGCACCAGATACGATACGATTCCTCTCCATATACACTAGCTACATTGCTAGAAGTCAGTCGTCTGTCTTCAAGGGTAGGCGGCACAGCTCGACAGGTCGCATCGGTCATACCGACCAGGCTTACTCCATGCTGTATGAGGAATGGGATCGCTTCGAAGCTTCCCATTCCTGCAACGACGTGAAGTAAGTTCGGGCCATGCAAGTCCGTAGTTTGATGAGGGTTGTCATAAGCTTTCCGGAACTCTTCCATGGCCTCGTAGTTATTGTGACAAAGTGCACAAAACAAGGCGTTCCATGCCAGTCGATGGGTTCTTATACGCGCTGTAACTTTCGCTGTGAGCAAAGCTTTGACATCCTCGCGTGCGCCAAATGCAGCCGCCGGTGCAGCACCGTCTATCCGCGCGGGCCCTGGCGGTTAATGTCTGTGAAGGAGTTGCAGGCCATTATGGCGAGAAATTCCTCCTGGGCCTCTGGTTTACGGCCCGCGCAGTACAGAAACATGATGGCGGTCATGCCATCACATCCGACGTGATCTGGGTCTAATTTTTGCTAAAGGGAAGCTGTGATACTGCTGGCTTTCTCCAAAATGCAGCAAACAGCAGAAGATCCCTAGTGTCACTTGAGATGAGCAATAGAAAGAAGTTGTTGGTGGACCTACGGAGTACGGCTGCACCACGATCGATCAAATACTTCATTAGCTCGGTGGAACTGCTCTGTGCTGCGTACTGAATATTGTAGTAAGCTTACGTACGTATGGCTAAAGGGCGGTGCCAACATACCCAAGCTAAGCTACCTCCCTTGCGTGATACGTTCGTGGGTGAGAACTTCCTGTTGACGATCGAATCACGAACGGTTACCAGGTCGCCATCCTGACAGGCAGATATCATTTCATCGCTTGCATAACTCACGCATCGCAACCGGCCGCCGAAGATATCGAAATTTTGCCATCTCAAGCGCGATCGGTGCAAGGTTACCAAAAACAGCAGCACGAGATGCCCGGTCAAGGTTGGTAAACTTGCTCTTGCCTGGAACTGGTAGGTTTCTTGGGAGTCTTTGGCGTGTTGAACTATAGAGTACGAGCCGTTCAAGAGTGACGTCCAAAAGTCATTTAGGTGATATGCGCTAGTGACAGTATTACAGGGGTTCGGAACGACATGCTCTTCGAGGTTCGATGGCTGCCGTGTTGTAGGCCAGATATAGTTGCCAGGATGACCGTCCTGACTGGGGGAGCTTGCATTCCATATGTTCATTTGTGCAAAACTTGTCGCGCGAACAGCGATCTTCTCAGAGCCACATCGCTGGTTTGATCAGTAGCGGATATTAGGCTTCGTTCTCGCTTTATAAAATGACTTTTAGATTGGTTGACGGCAAGATGATAGAGAGACTGCGTTCTACACGTTGAAGCTGCAGGAGGCACTCGTCCGCTTTGCCCTTGTCCACCAAATTCCACCTAAGTTTGCGCCTCTTTGTAGAACGATCAACACAAATTCTTGTGCAATAATCACTGATCGCAAATATATCGTGTTTCGCTGGTGTCAATGCTTGATTGAATATCCATATTTCTCATTCTGAAAGAGGGCCCTCGAGGACAGATCTCTCAGATATGTCGTTCAATGATTGTAGTGCCAAGAAGACAAGGCATATATGATTCTGGAGTTGCGCGAATTCCCTCGGTGCAGCGTGGATTGCCATTGAGCTTGACAGTGAGCTTGACAGTGAGCTCGGATACCTCCTTCGCTACTGCCACAAGTGTCGCAATTGAAGCAACCATGCTAATGGGCTCCATCGCTAGGAATTGGCCTTGATAGTGAATCAGAAGGGATGGTCTTGTAACCTACTGCAGAGGCAAATGGCGGCCAAACACCAGTGTGGGGTCTCTAATCCAATATTGGGTTGTGTGATCAAGTCGATTCCGGTGAACAAAAACTATCCTGCGCAGGCGAGGCGCTCTTACATCGAGTGAATGATCCGATTGGTTAGCGCGAGAGGTTGTGGCTGCATGAGCTCATTGACATAGCAACCGCGCGGGCGAATGCGCAAAGTCACCCTTTATATAGTCTGAGGTGAGGACATGCGCGTTCTCATCTATATGATGTCTCATAATACAAATTTCGTCTGTATATCGGCCGCATCGCCAAACCTGGTAAGATTGCTATTGCTTTGGGATCTTGAGTGATGAGTTCCTAATATACCAGCTATTCGAATCCTAACGTAGTCTCAAAGAATGGAGGCTGTTAAGCTAGCGATCCAACTTCGATCAGTGCTGGTAATGGTGACTACTGCAGCTAAATGACACGATATCAGTCAGATTGTTTTCGACCATGGTTCCATCTGAGGTGAGAGCTTAGGCAGATACTTCACGTTGGATTATGGTCTGCTAAGCACTGTCCTGAAGCCGATATGACGCGCAGTCCTCGTTCCGCAAGCTTTATCGTCAAAGTAGTAATCTGGGAAGACATACGGACATCGTCTAGGAATGCGCACATGTCAACAACACTGGTCTCGTATGGAGGAAACGTTGGTGAACATTGAAAAATCTGATGATTCGTGTCATCTAGTCGTGAAGTTTTAGCACGTCAATACAAGCATGCCTCTTATGCAGGTTCCTGGTCCTCTCAAACGCCTTATTTCCGCCCTATTCCGGTCGTGCCGCCCTCGTATCTCATTCGCATGGTATCACTTAAGCAGGCTGCTCGAATGCCCTCCTAACAACTCTTGAGAACTCTGCGAATGGCATTAGTATGGCCTCAGACGAAAATTTCGATTCAACTTACGATCGAACTTGACGTTCTCCCTCACAACGGTGCCCTTGGCCTCGTTGTCCTTGTTGATAGGCACCTTAATCCTCTCGCCGTCGACGTTCCATCCGCACACGGTTCCGACAAAGTGGTCAAACTCCTTGCCGGACAGGTCCAGCCAGCCCTCCAAGATACTCTTCTCAACTTCCCGTATTGATTGGCTTACTGTCGCAGCAATGCGCACGCGCATCAGCTCCTCGAAGCCAGAGACATCGGCCACGAGATCAGCGTACAGGTCATCCGAGTCTAGCGTTGACCAGAATTCGGCGTAGTTCGCACCTTCAAGCAGGTTCTTGAGGTGGTTCAGCTTCTGCACGGCCTCGGAGAGCGGTGCATCACCAGCGGCCGGTGTGTGTGATGATGTCGAGAGAGGTGCGAGTGTGTGGCTGGGGAGGAGGGCGAGGCAGAGCGAGAAGTCGGGGTTCGGGAAGACGGTGAGGGCCTTGACGAGGATGTTGGTGATGGTCTCGTCACGGGCGAGGTGCGGGTTGAACTGGTAGCTTAGGTTACGGTCAGCAAGGGGTCGCAACATATATGTTGATGACTTTGTTGGTGGGGTGGTTGCTTTCAGATAGAGCTAATAAAAAGAACTTCAGCGGGCGGAGGGATTCAATCTCCAGTCCCTCGGGTAATAGGAAACGTTGTGGTTACTTGTTCATCCTACAACATGCGTGGATAAGTGAGGGAAAGTGACGTACAGCTTCAACAGCGCGAGGTTGGCGTAGCAGTCGTACGTTTGGTTCTCGCACTGCTGCATGACATAGTCCTGGAAGACAGCCGTGGTCTCCGGGTTGTACCGGTCGAGTCCGTTGAGGATTTGCTCGATGTGCTCCGGCCTGTCCGGCGCATAATCGAAAGGGGCGCCCATGGTGAAGTTGCCTGGTTTGGATGTGCGACACTTGTAGGTGGAGGTGCGCTCGCGAAGTTTGCGTGCGCAAAGGCAAATTTACGTAAGCCACCTCCTGAGATGCGCTAGTCCCTGCTTGAATTAGTGTCCAGTTCACCTCCATAGTTGGTGAGAGGGACACAAGTGTTTTCCCGTTTTCTACGCCATTCGACTTCATAGCCATTCATGCTCTCCCTTTGCGAAGATTATCGACCTGAATGAACAGCTTCCGTTTTATAGCGATTTTTCAACGAGCTCTATCAGTTGACAAATGCGCAATCATGCCTATAAATGCTTTCATCAAAGCCTCCGGCTTGATTGAACCCATTCGTACCGATGTCACGTCTGCTAATCGGCAGCCTGGATCTCTCCCCTCACCTCGCGCAGGTCTTGATCATGTCAACCGTGGGCTCCGACATGCAATTGGGAATAATAGAAGAATCATGGATAATTATTGCTTCTTTCTCCGGCCAATCCCATGTGATGGCGCTCTCGACGCTATCTGTATACCTATCGTGCTTCCTCGGCGCAACGTTTTGTCGTAATGTGAAGCCTGTTGCATTCACTGTTAATGGCTGCTATCCCAGCGATGAACGATAAGCAAGCTTATAGTACTGACGATTCAAAGCAGGTCCTGGAAGTGAGATGAACAGGTAATAGCATAACGAATCGTGATCATTTCGCGATCCTCCAAGTGCCACAAGCGAAAGGGATACCTCGATTAGAGACGAGACCGGCAGTCTTAAGGTCTCGAGCGAGGACCATGAGGTCTAAGATTGAGGGACATTCGGTGGCGTGGAAGGTCCAAGGAAGTCCGAGACAGCGTGTAATGTAATTGTGTATTGAAGGAGCGATGGAATGAGTAACGTTGATGCCCACCAGATGGAGCTTTTTGGCACCTGAACGTGTGTTCGTGTCATTATCGGCCACCATGTCGGTTGACATAGAAAATGTAGGACGGTTAATTTGTCCAACAGGAACTAGGTGTAGGACTCAGTGGTAGAGAGTGGACTGATACAATCGAGCGACGACTGCTTGTTGCACTCAATCATAGTGCCACCAACGATTCGTTCGACGTTGAAGACTTCTGCCGCTTCGATCGCACGCAGAAAATTTGGAGTGAGATGGTAGAGGTATCTCTGCTGCGCTTTATAGAGCCAGTGTTGACTTAGAGCTTCAGCAAGCTAACCAATAGTGAGCTGTGCGGGGGTCACCGGCTAAGATATTTGCCGCTCACTAATACCAACCAGAGCGTCATCTGAGGCCGACGACTACAGCTTTGAAACAAGGTTCAGATTGACTGTTGACTATTTGAAACGAGACTTATGAGCTGACAGGCATTGGGCCGACGTCTTTGAAAATAGTGTTGTTGATGATAGAAGAAGGTGTCGGCGGTCCAGGCACATATGAGCCGATACGCGTCTCATTGTGTTGAATTGCGGGACCTACTATCTGTATACAGAGGTGAACCTAACTTCGATTCACACGATCCACGAAGCGTTGGCCATAGAGCTGGTGGCTCCCTTATCGCTGCTGATGATGCGCTAGTACAAATCAGGTGCACTAAATGCTCGCTCCACTATTTTTCGAAAAGCTCGCTCGATCGGGAACGTTAAAATGCAATAAAAACTTGAAGAATGTTCACCACTACCACTTCCTAAACACCCTGGATTGGCCAATGCTCTCGCCATGGATCTCAAAGGTGCGCGTGACGCTACTTTCCGGGTCCCTATCTCGAGCAAGGAGTTCGTCAATGTCAAAATCCATGTGCCGGCCATCAGAGCACAAGGCCTCAATCTCCTACCATGGGCATCAACCTACGTCCTCGCATGTCAGCTTCACAATCTCGGTATCAACCCACCTCGCGAAGAAAGCTTGAACATCCCCATATTAGAACTCGGAGCTGGGATAGGACTTGTCGGTTTAGTCGGCTCGATGATATGGCACCAGCGCGCCATACTGACAGACCTCCCGCAAGTTGTTCCGGGACTCACGACCAACATCGATCTAAATTCGAAACTAATACACCATTACAATGGGTCAGTCAGCGCGGGATCACTAGACTGGACTGAGCCAGATACTCTCACACTGCACGATGGCAGCACCATCTCGGCCCGTGGGACCAAAGCGAATATCGTGATGGCCGCGGACACCATCTACGATGAACAACATCCGGAAATGCTTACTCAGACAATTCTCCGGTGGCTCGCTCCAGGACGTGATGCCAGGTTGATCATAGTATATCCCCTGCGTATAGCCTACCTGGACCAAATCCGTGAGCTATGGGAGCGCCTTGAAAATGCAGGTCTGGAAGCTATATTAGAAGGCACAAAGGAGGCCGAAGAGATCGACAACACTTCTTGGGACGACGAACGGCTTTGCGAGTGGAGTGTATGGAGATGGAGGATAGATGAGGACTCATCTGGAAGTGATAGTTCGTCTTGAGGTATGCTCTATAGTGATTATGGGTCAAGCATGTGGGATTAGACGTGGTTGGGATAGATTTCGCTAAAAGATAGATTCTGCTAATCAACGATCGAATGCTGCTATTTCGCCATGGCTACACATTCGATCGAAACTAGACCACTTCGAGGTAGCTCGTCGCGAAAGCAGAACTGCAAGGGGTTCAAGATTACAAAGTATTCCTCATTTGCAACGTTGACTCCTACAGACTCATTAACCTCGATTACGAATACTGTTACTTGGGCCGCCGGATGTAGGCTGCATTGCTTCCCAGGATCATCGGCGGTTAACAAGTCACTTGTGGAAAAATTAATGCAGCGTCATAATCAGAGTTGCAAGATACCTGATGTTACATTCCTATGTCAACTGTATTCATCGAGGCACTAGGAGCCTATATGTCAGACTTGTACTGTTCCCCGACGCCTGATGAAGCTTGCTGGGAAACTCACTACTCCGCTAGGACAATCGCAAGCGGCCTCACAATCATTTCCAAGAAGGCTCACGCTTTCCCATCATTTAGCCTTTTGAACAATACATCAGCCCTCTCATTCGCAAAAATGCTTTTATCCTCGCCCAAATCCCCTGAATCGTTGATAAATTTGTGATCAGGATACATCCTCCCGTACGGCGCGAGGGATGTGTTCCAGTTGAACGGATGTGCAAACGCAAACAGTCTTTCGCTTTCTACATCCTTGAAAATGAGCCTGCTCGCGCTATGTCTTTGAAGCACCGTACACGTCAATCTTGATCTTATAATTCGGGCTTTGCCTCACAATGCCTCGCCTCGAAGTGCAGGTGCAGTCCGAGTACTTTGAATCGCAAGCTATGAAGTTACCGATCCCCTCATTTCAGCTCTCTGAGCATCTCTCTTTTTACCGATAATAGAGGCGATTCGTGGCTGGCGCTTGATGAAGTGGGACACCCAGAGCCTGCCGAGGGGCTGGGTATCACCATTCATACGAAGGATTCGGGTGGCCATTTCTCGGGTACGGGCGTGTGAGGGAGGGCAGGCGCGTGCGTCTTCTTCAAGGATCCATTCAACTAGGAAATCCTCCTGTAAGGGAGTCAATCGCTGCTGGTGTTGATGGCTAAGCGCGCTGGTTGTTGCACCCCGAAGGCGGCCATGTAGAGTTGATAGAGGGATACCATATGCCTTTGCAGCAGCGCGCTGACTAGAATAAAGACCTGAGTTTAAACCATTGATGGCTGATTGAATAGCGAGCTCACGGGCATCCATTTTGATGAGTGTTGGGGGGAGATATCGCGTGTTCTGTGCAGGTGTCGCGTTTTGCCAAGATGTTCTGAAACCCTAGATGTTCGGTATCCATATGCACTAGCTTAGTCTTTCGGCCAAGTCGGGCACGTATGTGTGATAAGCTAGCGCATGGGGTTCCGAGACACCCGGGGATATGAGACACCGCGCAGAAATCCTCCACCCTTCAAACAATCGCGATATCTCCACATCCA